GAAATGTAATATTTATCTTTCTCAGAAAATGTATTGCAGTACCTTTAAAACTGACAAATTTAGTGCTGTACCTTTAACATGCTAAATTGCGTTATGTGCCTTCAATGTTGTTTTTTAAGTTAGCCGGAACGGAACAATTTTCGTTTATTCTGGCTGTTCCTGCTACTCCGGCTAGCCGTAGTCCGGTTCCGACTGAACAGGCTAGCAAGAGAAGATAAGTAAAACCTGTTCAAAGAACCATTGTTTTATTCCATAATGTAGTTTCAAATTACTTATCACCTCATCCCTGGCTATCCGGCTAGCCGGAATAACCGAAATCGAGGCTACATAAGATAGAAAGATAAAAGCCGGTTGAACCGGGAGATATCCCCCAATAGGTTTTGGACACAGAAAAGTACCTGTTGTAGTGTCAGAGTTATGTCAAAGACAAAATTCAAAGTATAAGAAAATAACTCCAAAGTTAGGCAACACAGAGTTATGGTTCTTTTGCACTGCACTTCTACCCAATGAGATCTATCTACCTACAAAGTTTCCTGTTCATACCTCTCATAGCTTTAGAGTTATGACCCGGATACAGTTCAAATTGTAGGAATAGCCGGAATTAACGAGATGTGAGCGACCTGAAATGACCGTCAATAGAACGATCTTTGGCTAAATGTAGGCAAAAACCAGAGTATTTCCGACGGAACACCTATTTCCGTGGACACACCATGGATGACACACATATTCTTAGAATAATTTTTATTATTTATGTATTCGTAGAATATGTCAGATTTTTTTTCATCTTAAGAAGTCTTGATTTCGGTTATTCCGGCTATTAGCCTGAAAAGGTTATTAGTAATTTGAAACTGTATCATGGAATAAACCAATGGTCTTTTGCAAAGGTTTTACTGTTTCATTTAAATGATTATTTTGTATATTTTATTTTTTGCATTATCTTAAACATATACATGAACATTTTGATGATAAGCATTTGTTTGTGGTAATCTAGGAGTTTTATTATGCGGTATACATTGCTGGATATTTGTTTTAAATTATTTGTATGTATGCCGATTTTATAATTGTTAATAATAAACGGACTGCTGTATGATACTCAGGATTATTATATATCTAATAAATCTAACCAATCGACAATCTGTATTCGTATCTCGTGACCGTCCAATATATTCCCGTTTTGGATCCAAAAATGTATTATTTTTATATTGGACGGTTGGGGACATGTGCACTAATAAACTTAAACTGTGTCTGAAATGTTTCACTGGCCAAAGTAGACTTATTATAAGGCCATTATAAAGTGTATTTACTTTATGATATGATCTTTAGTGTTAACTTTGATATATTTTTTATATTTTTGTCATGTTAATTGATTAATACCAAATATGAAATAAGTCTTACTTTGATTTATATCTTTGTTTGTTTGTTTAGCTTTATTGTTCGATTGCATTTATTACTATGATTCTATGTTATGTAGCATGACCCATGTTTGGTAAATACTCGTAAACTTTCATATATTCTTATTGGTAATTTTGCACAATAAAATGATCATTTTTGAATAGCGGGGTAAGAGAATGATATAAAAATTTTGCACACGGCTGATAATTATGGACCTACATATATAGAAAACAATCCAGTTCCGTCATGTCGATATCTGTTTTGTGAAAATCTTTATCCAAAGAATTGAAAGGTACTGATGAAAGGCGATTTTTGAAAGAGGACTTATTAATGCTTTATAGCCTGCACTCAACCAACTTTTTTTAGAATGGGTGTTATGTCCTTATGAAATCATTTATTATTCTGGTTTCTACAGTCCGGCCCTCCTCTTCACTTTAACAATATTGGGCTCAGCGAAAGAGAACGAATTTGTTCAATGGAACAATTTTAACAAGCGGTGTAGTCTGTTTTAATGGTATTTAGAATAGACGTTATAATAATTACTATACACTTATAACGTAAAAGCAAGTGTCAGGCGTAACTTATGCAATACTATGCAAATAAGGCGATTGATAACTCCAAGGAAAAGTGGTGGGGGCGAAGAGTATCATTATCCTTATCCGGAAGTCATTGGTTTAAATCTCAAAAGTGATGAAATTCACTTGCGACTTCTTCCTCCTTGACTGATGCGATAACTGGTGACAAAACCCAAGATGCAGTTGCCTGCGGTGAGTTTAAGCACGTTAATATCCGCCAAAAGGTGATTGACATCAATTGGAAAACAAAGAGATAACTTGAGTCATTTATTCAATCGCATGCACTGTCAACGCACATTGTGACATTCCACTATTGTATGGACTATTGATAGTTGAATGGTTAAGGTGCTTGATTTTAAACCACGTGTTTCTCGCCATGTGGGTTTCAATCCTGCCAAAACTTTTGAATTCTTTCATGTGAACGAGGTATCCAGCTAGCTTACGGAACGTCGGTGGTTCTATTCAATTGCCCGCTGCAGACTTAAATAATGCACGGAGGAACTTGTTCGGTCTTCCTTCACCAGTAAAGTTTGAAAGTCACCATATGACATCTGCGGCGTTGGTGCACAATACATGTATAAACCCCTTCATTTAAGCGATAAGCGTCGAGGAAGTTACTTCCCTTACCGGATGTGACGTAAATGGAGGATTATTCTATACAGACCGCTTCAAATGAAAGCTAATCGAAAGTTAAAAACGTAAATACTGATTGTTCACTTAAGAATTTAACATGACACATTTAATGTATGCATACGTAACTTCCAATCAAGACAATAAAAAAACCAAAATATTTCAGATTTATTCTAACTATGCAGGATGTTACCAGTAATGATTTATGAAAATCAGCGAAATTTTCAAAATGAGTGTTTTACAATTTTCTTTATGCCGGGCCAAAAAGCTAGTAACTATGTCAATTTTTCACGTTTTATATAATAATACATCCATACACAAACTACAATTACTGGATATAAGATTATAATGTCATTTTCTAGTTTTCTGTTCGATTTTCTGTCATTTACCAAAAATCCAGCGTTTATGTGACAAACATGATTGTCAATGTATCTTTGAATGACTCTTTCTTTTAAGTTTAAGAACAGCAGGAGAATGCATTACGAGGTGTGGTAAGGAGTAATAGATTCTTTTTCATTATGCCGTATAAAAATCACACAAAGAACCAGTGATGGATATTCTACATAAATTTTCTTGAAAAGTAGAAAACCAGGCGGCAATGACTTGAAAATCGTATTCGCAACAGTCGATAATTGATATTACAAATCTATACTTATAATTATAATTATTATAGTAATATAACTTTTCCTAGTACAATTATTTTCAGAATTTTAATTGAAAATGTTTTAATAGATGTTGTAATATAATGCTGAATAATTATGATATATAGGATTGACCCGACGTATTTATTAATAAAAAATAATAAATAATACTGTCAGAGAACTTATTTTATAAATAGACTTGTATTTATTCTAAAAGCGCCGCTGGGCCGTAAGATATTGAATTAAAAGGGTGCATGTGTATATATACAAATGATATATACAAAATGCACTGGACCATAATATCATAAATCGACAGGCTGCATATGTAAGAGCTATAACATTATATCAGATTACGTCACTTATAAACACTAGTTGTTTTAATTATGATCCGAATTAAGTTAAAGCTGAAACCTCCAGATCAGCCAAAGTATGTCAATAAAATCAAACTTGAGACAAAATGTACTAATATTTTAGAAAAATGTGTAAACGTAAATAGGTTTATGCTCCGGTACGTTAACAATAATTTTCATGAACTTCAAGGTTTTCAACCTAATTTCGTAAAGTCTGAGTGGGAGCATTCAGAAAAAAACACATATCCCATTTTTAGGTCTAAACAAGGCAATAAATATATCTATATATTTTTTCATTTATCTCAAGGACTATAGCTTTTCGTTAGTGCGCTACATTATTTGTTCATACTCATAATAATAAAATCGTGTTTTACCTTCGGCTCGACGAATTTTCTGCTAAAAATGGTCCGAGTGGGAGCATTCAGCAGGTGCGCGATGACGCAATATCCTACCATTGTAAATATGTTGTATTTCTTTAATCCCCTCCCCCGGCGAGTGCATTTCTCCGGAACCCTTTTATTTTTGCGGAAATCGTAAAAGAGTGTTCCATTTCCGGCCTGTCAACGTATCTCGACTCTCGAGTCACTACTACAAGTACCATTACCACAGTCTTAAGTTGTCCCTCTTTTCACATTAAATTCGATTTTCAACTTGTTTCTCCATACAATTGTACAACATTTCTTAAAATATTGAAAATATTTGCTGGTTAACAGAATGTATATTAATTGATGTACTCGTCCAAAAGTCAGCACAGGTGACGCAGTGGTGATCGGGGAAACTCTATTTGAGAATAGTGTTAGCTAAAGTTAATTGAAGGGGAAGCATTCTCACACAAATTCAGTAACGTCGGACAGTGGTTTCGTCGTTTTATTTCTTGATTCGCTGTGTTTCTTTTTTACGCGAGTGTTAATTCGAAACTACATGTATGTGGGTAATAGAGAGGGATAGATAAGTAAAGCAATTGATTACACTGATCTGGAATATACAGTCCCTGTGTTGCTGCAGTTTTGTCCAATGCAAAATAGTACCCTTTTATATAGATGGACAACGTGCTTTAAGCTGAATTCGATGCGTCATAAAAGACACGGTTGCTATGCAGCCAAATAACAACAATACTGCCTTCGAAACTACCTAGCATTTAGCCTAACAAAAACACTGTCATTAACCTCGAATTTAGGGTCAAGAATAATTTTCAGTGGTGAAATTTAAAAGTTAGCATATTTTAAGTTATCGCATCCGTAGTAGTTGTTAAAGTATTTAAATACTCGTATAAGTCTTATCATACCAAGATTTCAAGCAAAGAAAATGTAAAATAATCTTAGAAAGCATCAGCGATAAACATTGTAAACCCGGAACTGTTTTTGCAATAGCAAACTAGTATGAGAAATGTGACAAACAACTCAGACCTTCAAATAGTTCTTTAGTTTTACAATTAAAGCTTAGAAAGTATAATATATAATTATGTTCAGTATTAACTTCTCCTGGTACAAGAACGATATATAGGATAATATATTCCTGGCGTATATAAAAGGAAATAATATGAAATATATACTTGCAGAACTTTTAAACGAGAAACTGTTTAAATTGTAACATCGCTATTGTTGATTATTAGGAAGAGATTGTGCGATTATCTGGCGAGTATTATCAATGTTGTTTCTTATGTCCTGGCGAACAGACTGTAAATCACGTTTTATGTTTTGCATATCCCCATGCATGCTTTGAATCTGGTTATTCATATGAGAAAAATTTGTTTCTGATTCAAAACTTTTCAAACAATGTACTTTCAATTCTTCCAAAATGGGAACTATTGGAGTGACGACTACTGTTCCGTATGTTGTACCTCCTTCTAAAATCCCTAAACAACTATACTGAGAATTGTTTTCAGCAAGAAACACAAGGGCCCCTGAATCGCCAGGGTCAGCAAAAGCAAGGTGTGTGTGTTTTGTTACTTCAATTTGCTTAAAAAGTTTTATTACTGCATATCCTGAAGCAAGCAGACAGCTATCCAGGACTTTAACTGCGGTATTGTCAAACATAATAGTTCCATAACGGAACTCGGTTTTGGATCCAAATTTTATCACGAGATTTTCCTTCTTATTCAGCCTGTCTGTGCTACATATGCGCCAATTGTCGTACTTGATGTTATTTACGCTTGATGCTGTAAAGAAAGTTGGCAACAACTTTGAATAAAGAACATTTCTACAGTGTTAAATTAGACAATTTAACTGAAACTATTTGCACAGCATAAAGATAATACATAATATAAATTTAAAATATCATGAAAAATTGTTTTACACTGAGATTTGTATCATTTCATTTTAGAGATCTATAGAATCAGACTTTAAATTATGGAGCGTGCTGTCTCTAATGTAAATATAAAAGTGTGTTTTCAATTTTAAGCTCTGTAATATGTAATATAATATAATGGTAATGCATTTTGATGTTTGCACTTTGTCATACATTTGATAAAAAACATTTCCAATAATGAAAGAGTGAACAAATTACATAAATCTAAATAATGGTTGATATCTAGCATGCTTTATTTTATAAGCAATAGAATGAAAGTAAACTGAAGGTAGGTTTTAATAAAATTGGGATGTAAGACTCAATGTTAATATCCCCTTCATATGACACCAGTACTGATTTCAGGAAAAGACTCGAAAGTGATTATTGTAAATTGCAAGAATTTGTTCCTTATCGAGCTTAAATAAGTGTGTTTAAACCAATGTTAATATAAATACAAAAAAGTCAATACCCGAAATATCTGTCGTATCTGGAAAAATTGCAGACTTTGGTTGCCTGTCTGTTATTTTGAACAAAGCAAGTTCCATTCCAGATTTTGTACTAGAACCTTCATCGTAGATAAAGTGAACGGTGTGTCCTATTGATGAATTCTGATTTGCAGGCTGATAAATGTTTTTGTACATATCGTGCAATGGCCACTTCAAGGAACCGCTATAGGTTGTTTTCAATTGCACCAGTTCCCACGGACTTAAAAGAACATGTGCACATGTTAATCCACAAACTCCAAATTGAGGATGGTCTACAAAACAGCCAAGGGTACCTGCGACATATTGACCATTATAAAGATCTCCTCGTATTTGACAACCCATCGTAACAGGATCAAGTTCTTCTCCAGCTGTACGTCCAAAGGGAATAAAAGCCCCCTCTCTTACATCGACAGCAATGTCGCCATAACACTTTTCAAATGGTTCTTCATCGATTGGAATGTAATTCTTTTTCTGGACGTAAAGGACAATACATTTTTCTGGCAGCAAATTCCATGAAGAACCAAATCCTTTTGACCGATTTGAGCATGCAGATATTATTGACAAGTACTTGTGGTTTTTCATCAAATCTTCAGAGTGTTTTGAAATGCAGCTCTGAAGGCTTTGATAGGACTCTTCATCTAATTCTGAAGCTGAGGTGTGTTGTTTAATTACCTCGAGACCTTCTAAACTAAAATCACCGACATATTGTTTGACGAAAGAATATGCAATTAATTTATCTAAACGTACAGGTTTTGTACTTTTGTCATCTTCTGATTTGTGCTTCACAGTTATTACAAAAGTTATCCTTTGCGGGTTTTGAATTGTATATGCAGCCCAAACATATACAATAGCGACATGTTTTGATTTGATATGTTCACAAATTGCCTTGCACGTGACTCTAATCGGTTTGGAATCCCTCCCAAATATCTGACACATTTCATCAAGAATTCTTTGTCTTGGCAGCCTCCCTGATTCAATTAATTTTTTAATGTTTTTTACTTTCCCCGAACTGAGAAATGGATCTAACTCTTCATCGTTATCACCTGGAAACATAATAAAAAGTACGGTACAGTGCGTGCAGAAATTGATACCAATAAGCAAATATCATAAAAGCACTTTTTTATTTAGTATTGAATTATTATTGTTATGGTTATGATGTTTAATTAAATTGAAGCGTAACGACTCATGTTCTTAAAGGTTGATCATTTCTACAAAAATAATAAAAAAAATCATTAAAAATTATTGGGTACATAGATAGATTTCGGTTTATAGTTATTCGCAAGCATTGTAATATCCATGTAGATAATTTTATCGTGTGGATCCTGTTCGAATATTACAAAATGTGATTTACCATTTGTAATACCGTATGAGGTTATCATGTACCTTCTGAGAACGCAATGTTGTCATTCTTGTTTTTCATGTATTGTGTCTATTATGATCGCTATTATAAAATTAAACCTGCGACACATTCATTTGTCCATTTGAAAATGAAACAAATGGAAATATTGATATATCTTTAGAGTATTTTGTTTTCATGGAAGGACTTTACCATAAGAACAGTCGGTTTTCCGTTTGTCATATGACACAAAAACTCGAGATCAATACATGTATTCATTTAAAACTGTAAAGGCGCAAAAAATACTTCATTGTTTACGTACATGTAGATAACTCATTTACTAAACTTAACTAAATAACTTTTCGGCTTATTAATTTGGAGACATTTTCTACAGTTTTAGAAAAAAATAATTATTTCATGGAATTTTTTATTATTTTTGTAATTAAAATTTAATGATCAATTCAAAAATGGTTAGAAAAACATATTTTGACCTGATGGATTTTTTTTTTGTAAAATGGCAGTTTCCATGGTGACCGTATTTAATAAACAGGCAAAATAGCCAGACAGTGTATTTAAAAATAAATCATGTTTAGAACAGATTAACACACACAACATGCACAATTGTATACAAAGATAACTTTGATTATGTATGTAACAAATGATAATCTGAATATATTTCTTTAAATTTTGAGTTTTTCAAGCTCCTAAACTGAACAAAAAATGAGACAAAATAAACATGAATTCTGTAAATTATTACAAATATCGAAACCTTTCTTTCATAAAATTTTCATTTTTTTAATTGAAAACAGTAAGCAAGTATTCAGAAAAAAATGAAAAAATGAAAATTGGAACATTTCTTGAATATTATTTTTGTTTTTATTCAACTTTTATAAATGTATTATTTGAAACTTCTTTGTCCACTTGTTTTCCAGTAATCAAGTGTCAACTCATTTACGTCACTACAACTAGTAAGTGGATAACGTACGCGGAAACATCATCAATGTTGTCATACTATTGGTAGGAGAGATCTATTTTCCGATGTCGTCTAAACGACCCTTTTGTTCTTTCGACCCGATCTCCTCCTGAACATTAAGAAATATTTATTCTGTAATAATTACTCATTATTTGTTTTGTTTTGTAGTCAACTTTTAATACACTTATCCGAGTACTATTCAACTTTTTTCCTTTTTAAAGATTAATTACCCGTGATTATCTCTCTTGGATGCGCATTGCAATGCGTACAAAAACTACCGAAAACGTCTTTAAACGTAACAAAAATTTCACACATGATAAAAATGTAATCTTCTTGATCATAATTCTACTGAAACAAACGGATTGGGATCATTTTCATATTCTTAAGTTTTTATATAGTTATATGCAAAAAGCAGTTAAGACTAAATTTATCGGAGAAAACCTACCTCGATTTGAAAAAACAATACATTAGATTCTGTAATATTACTGATTTAAAAGCAGATGTATAAGAGAAGTCAATTTGCCAGCGACCAGTTAAGTTGACGTCGGCATGAAAATGCATGAATTTGCCTGTTGGGTTACCATATATTTTGTTGTTGTTGTCTTCAAAAGTCAATTTTATCAAGAAAATGTTCTTGTTCTTTGAATATTCTATATCACTTGTTCTTAGACTAGAAATTATCACAAGGGCTGAATACCCTCGGCAAGCGCCTGTAAGAAAACGTGCCGTTGAGTTATTAATTTTGCACATAGGGATAATGCAGTGGTTTATATATTTTTTCAAATGATTTTGAATTATTTGTCCTACATCAGTAAGATAAATTAATGTTTGGATTTGAAGTTTTCATGCCTTCTTCTAAGGGCAAAACGTTCTTTCTCGCTGTGCGTTCTGCACTTCTACTCAGTGTGATATATCTACCTACATAGTTCATGTTGATACTTTTCATAGTTCTCAAGTTATGTACTGGACAAATTTTGAGCGTTAAAAGAAAAAAAGGGAAATTACTTCAAAATTAGTGAAGGCAGAGTTATTGTTCTTTTGCACTGCACTTTGTTTCGATGAGAGATAACTACCAAAGTTTCTTGTTAATATCCTTTGTCGTTTTGAAGCTATGTTCCAGTCAAAATTCAAAGTGTAAAAAGGGCCAAAAATCAGACAAGGCAGACATTTTTTGTTTAGCACTTTTACTCAAGTATATATATCTACCTACAAAGTATCTTGTTAATACTCCTTGTTGTTTTTGAAATATGTGCCGGAATGAACAAAGGGCAATAACACTAAAATTAGGAAAGGCAGCGTTACGGTTCTTTTGCGCTGCATTTCTGCTCATTGAGATCTACCTACCTACAACGTTTCTTGTTACTACCCCTGTGGTTTGAGAGTAATGTCCTGGACAAATTTCAAATTTAAAACATAAACAAAGGGCAATGACTCGCAAATTAGGCAAGGCAAAGTGAAGGTTCTTTTGCACTGTACTTCTACTCAAAGATATGTATCTTCAAACTTTGATATCTCTTTTAGCTTCAGGGCTTTGTCCCGGACAAGAAATCTTCAACGGATCGAGGACCGACCGCCCGACGCACACCTAGCTGACTCCAGTTTACCCCCTAAAATTTCGTTTGTCGGGGAGTAAAATAAATGGCAATGACCTTTATACTATATGATAAAGCAATTAATATCATGAGTTTCCTTTTGCAAAGTAATTTCATAGATTCCGTTATTGGAACACTGTAATAATTTTCGTTCTTACTTCTATACTCAAAACACACTTATTATGATTATAAAACTTATAAGAGGTTATATTATAATGAAATACATTGCTTTTATTCTAAATTTTATCGAATGAACATTGAAATTTTCATAATTGATAATATTTCAGGCATTCAAAACGTTTTCAACAAATAAAATCGGTTTAAGGATAACCGAATGCTCACGCCCGTAAGGCAACCTTTCGGGACACATTGCTGATTTCCAATTATCTTTATTTTAAAGGAACATCCGGAAGGTTTTGACTTACTTATAAACAAAATATGCATGCATACATAAGATAATATTCATACGAATTTTTATTTTCACTTATCCCTTTCTTTAGCCAAAATGTCTTAACGCGCGTAATACGAAATTGTTTAATACATGTAATGTTTGAAATTGCCAGTAAGATCTTTTTTAACACTTGAGATATAATTTTACTGCATAAAATGTGAAAAATTGTATTATCTCAGATAAGTAGCTGCTTAGTGAGTTAAGCAATTGCCTCGGTGATGTAAATTATGCTTGTGTTGTTGTTGCTTGGTGAACTTGATACAGATATGAAAGAATTACTTATTCAAGATACCATCTAAATCAGAAATTTTATCTAGTTAAACTAAATTAGCGAATTACAAAACCTTACGTATTATTTCTATACCTGCTTAGATGAAGTAAATGACAAGAAGGTAAACTTTAAAAATTCAAATATTTCTTTGAAAACAACCATGTCTCATATAAAACCAGTATAATTGATTCAGGAAACTGAACCAAATAATTGACATTTCAAAGAAATTCGAAAGGATTCATATAAGCATCGATTTGAATTAAATAGGTTTATATAACAAACAACGACAGTTCTAGTGTAAGACACATTTTTATAATAAAATGGTGACATTCTAAGATCACTTACGAGGTTTGTATATTCCGGTTGCATCTTCAGCTTTGTAACTGGTCCTCAGACTCCCTTAAATACATATTAAACATGATGTTAAAAGTCATAAATGTCCGTTAAGCACACACACACAGATATATATATACACATATTTTTGTTGATTTGCTTATATGTGCAAAGTACGAGTATTAATTGGCTTAAATTAAGAAAACGTGTGTTTGATGGGTGATCAGAAATTATGAACACTTTTGCTGAAACTGCAAATTATGTATTTGACGGGAGATGACTATCAAATAAGCGGGTTGTTCGTCTTGTTGCTTGTGTTTTATACAGTATAATATATGATAAAAGGGATATTTTTTCTAGATACCGTCTTATAAAAACATTTTACTCAGTGAAACTAAAATGGTGAATTACGATTAGGTAAACGACAAGAATGTAAACATTAAAAATCAAATTCTTCTTTGGAAACATCTATGTTTCCTCATTTGACACCAGTATAAATGATCCAGGAAACGGAACCGAAGTAATTGACATTTCGAAAGGGAGTTGAAAGGGCCCATTTACCATCAGTTTGAATAAAATAAGTTTTTGTAACAAACAACGACAGCGTCAGCAACATAAGAAAACAAAATTTAATTCTTAAAGTGACATTATGCTTATTTTCAAGTTGAGCAAAATTGACTGACTGTTATGATAGTGTTTGACCAACAGTTGATATTAGATTACGTTTGCGATAAAATAAAAAAAACTGCCTGAAATATAAAAAAGAGCCTTACAGGTAATTTTCGATGGATATTTATTAAAATCCTTCATGTGAAGTGAATTACAAAATTGAATGAAATTAGGCAATATGTGAGCATAATTTGTCTTTCACCTGTTCACTCACTATATACCCTAGAATGACCATTATGCTACTTTGTCACTGATTTTGATATTCTTATATAAAAGATAATATTCTTAGATCACTTACGACGTTGGTATGCTAACGTTTCTGCTGTATCTCCAACTGTATCACTGGATACCCGATGCACTAAAATACAGATTTAACATGTTGTTTATTGTCATAAATATGTTCATTACACAAATACTTTCAGTGCAGTTCAGTGTATGCATATTTCTTATTGTTTTTCTTAAATGGGTGAAACATTTTTTGCCTTGAATTTAGAAAACATGTGTTTGAGGGGTGATCAGATTAATCAAGACGTTTGCTTGAACTGTAACTTCTGTTTTTGATGTAAGGGAATATCAAACTTTAGCGGATTGTATTTTTTAGTTACCGTTTCCGAATTTATACAACTATCTAAAAGACGCATATTAGTATTCGGATCACTTCAATGCTTTATATATGCTGCTACATTCACATATTTTTACTATATATCAAATAATGAAATATTTAAAATATTGAGTATTTCGAATAATAAAACAATTCCTGCTAATAGAGCTTAATAACTTTGAAATCTAGCGCTTTCTTCCAGCTTTTCCAATCTTCCTTTCCCCAGTTTAATCATCTCCATGAATACAGCTGAAATAGATTAATCAATTTCAATTTATTGGTCATAGATTATTTGTTATTCAGTTTGATATAATAGTTTCGTTTACAAGTTTTAAACAATTAATTTGTTTGTAAAATTTCCACTGCTGCACTAACTTTAAATTACACTTTGTGCCCGGCGACCAGTGCAATCAAAATTGGCCGAAACTTATTTGCAGACGAAAAGCATTGGCCATAGGATTATGCAATATATTTTCCATCAAGAGGTTATGTTAGGTTGCGCTTAGTTTTATCACGGTTCATTGCGTATTTGACGAGCTGTATTAGTATAGAAACGGGGTCATTTAAAACACACTAATGTTTACACTGTGCACTACTAGAAAAGCATCTATGTTCCTCCCGGTTTCGATAAGTTCGGATCGAATCCCCCACATCGCGTCATCTTCAGTCAAGGCCTTGAATGGTTGTAACTTTAAACAGCTTAAGTAGCAGTCTAGTATACGCTGTAACTTTTAAAGGGTTTAACACTTTATAATACGTCCTATTCGAATCGTGGCTGCAATGGCAAGTATTTAGAAATTCTGGTCCGTCATCCAGCTGTAGGGAACGTGTTACAGTATCGCGCTTTGTCATTAAAGTATAAAATTTCAAAGATGGCGACGACCCTTATATCAGGATTTTCTATAAGGAAGATTGGTTTCTAATAAAACGTTAGTGTTAGGCTTGTAAGGAAATGAGTCCGGCATATTATTCATCTTGATTTAATATGTATATAGTATATCCAAAACATTCTATATTGTAAGTACAAAGCGCGTTACTGTTACACATTCCCTATGTTCCCTTAGTCCACATACGGTTATAAAAACATGCTTTTCATAGCCTGCCAACCCGAATTCTCTCGAGCTGATCTCCCAAATGCCATTGCAGTGTTCCGGGGAAGCGTATTTTTAATCTGTTTTTCTACTGTGCTAGACTTTTAAATGGCCTTGAGGTTATATGTAACGATGTAATAACTTCAGAAAATACATACTGGGTGAAAACAATCAACACGAGAGAGACAAGTTATATATAAGATTTTTTTGATTTATAAAGAACGATTTTATTTAACTGTTTTTAACTTAATCATAATTTTAATAGGTCTGTTACCTTTCGGACACATGCTATAAATATATAAAAAAAGAGGTTTGACAAAGCAAAAGCATAACAACCCAGAAGAAGAGCATCGGCCTGAAGATCAACATTATTGTCATTAACGTAATTGACAACCGGAAAGAGGAGTTGTTGTTTAAATCCAAAGCGTTCCAAAATTTCCTGTTTGCATTTCTTCACTGCCTTGTCTGTAAATACACGACGTTTTCCTGTCCGTAAAATTGCGCTTACTTCATCGCACTTTGTCAAGACCACAACTAGCGGATACTCTATAAAAGGATAATATCGAAATTTGATTCATCTCGCAATCGGAAACAAGCTAAATATCTATTGGATACATTTGTCAAAATTGTTTAAAGTAACTTATCTATCAATTTTAATAAATTAAATGCTTTTATGTATTTGTTTTTATTATGCGTTTCCGTATTGAAAAATCAATTGTGAATGTTGTTTTGAAAGAAGAAATAGAGCAAATAATTCCTTAAAGATTTCCTAAAACGGCCAAATGTAGTGTTGCAGTCTCGGTTTGATTGAACCTTATAATGGAGGGAAGTGGTAATTGGAAGCTACCGTCCTTGCCCCAAGCACCAGCGTAAGCAGAAATCAACATTTCAATAATCATAACAATAGTAAATTGTGCATTAAAAAAACTTCTGCCGAAGCGGGAAATAAAGGTTTGTTAAATTATAACCTTTAGAATTGATGAATTGATGCAAATTTGTGATGACAGTAGTCATTTTTTCTGACAGACCCTTTTGAACACTCATGCAGTCAAAAACAAAACATACGCAATGTATTTTGTCACAAGGTGGTGGTTCTTTTATGAATTCCCTTTGCGTTTTTTGAATACCATTTATGATCTGAAACAAAAAAAATAGGTATCGATATTGATGCAATATGGGTGCATGTGGTTTAAATCAATTAGAAACTTCTCTTATGATACTATAGATGACTTTTTCACCATTTTTGGTTCGAGTCCCACCAGGAACTGTGAACTTTTTCATGTGATGAAGCTATCCAGCAAGATTACGGAACATTAGAGGTTATACTCAGGTGGCCGTTCGTGTCAGAAATTATATGGAAATTCAGTATTCCTCCACCGTTAAAGCTGGAAAAGTGCAAAAAATCTCTTAAGTGTTATTGCAACTTTAACAAAAACTAACCATGTCTTTTAATCATACTTGTAATTGTCTGTTCTCTAACCCATAGTCATTAAAACTTGTTTCGTAGATCATTTTACGTAAAGAAATACATGTACATTTTAAATATAATAAAAAATTAAAGACGTAAATATAAATTCAAACATTATATTTATCCGGCACGTTCCCCTCAATAATGAGCTTGACATTATCTTCTGTTATACCATCCACTTCCTGAAAGCCAGGGGTATCCCCAATACATACTATGCTCTTTCTTCTATAACAATCGTCTAAGTATTCGATATCATGCAATTTAAACTGAAATAAAGGAATGCTTTAAAATTATAGAAGAAAATTCTGCTTCACATTTACATCGATTTTCTATTGAAAAACATAAAGCAACGTATTATAAAACAACCGATGTATTTGCTTGCAAAAAAATAAATAACTAAGTATCAGGAGTTCTAGGACGTACGATGACAGGATGAAATAACAAAATTTAAATACCGATTAGAATGGTAACGTTTCATTCAATGACGGTCATTGAGGTCATATGGAACGTTGTCTTAAAATTGGTTCTTTAAATGATATTAACTTCATAACCCTAATTGCTGATAAAGTAATCAGCTCTGCTCAATGATAATAACACTGCATTTATTATCAAAACAGGTAAATTCTGTTAAAGATCTGATACTAACAATAAAGGAATATGGGTTAAAAGACTCTTAAAGGAAATTAGTTTATATGATTGATAGAATATTTTGCAATATTTTACGTGTTGTAATAAGGTATGAATGGAATATTGTATTTTCTATATTATTTAGAAATCTTAATTCAATTAAATGTCTCAAACAACCACCTTCTGCGTTGTTGATGTAGCATTGTCCGACATTGCACATGCTGACCCGTTTCCCACTGCCTTGAAAGTAATTTCATTACAAAGGGCAGATGCTATTGAGTCAATGAAGCTTGATTTTCCGGATCCTGTAGGTCCAACCACTAGAATCCTTAATGTCTTGTTTTCCAATGCTAAAGTACTCTCATATATTGATTTAATTACCTTCCTTTTGTCATCTTCATTTTTCTGTAGTAATCAAATAAAGTGTTTAAAACAGGAAGTTTCTATGCAAAACAGTTGGCAGTCTCAAGCGCTCCTAGTATCAGAACGTTTCCAATGCAGAATCTATTAATAAATAGATCAACACGGAAGAACGTCATTTAATAATCTCTAAATGAAACTAAAATGCATATAAAGAATATGCCGTCTTTTGTTTTATTTTAATATTTGTTTCCTTGCTATTGAAATCTAAAGTATCTTTACACTTAAGAAGGTTTAATTTACATCTGTACCAGTTAAATTAAAACCACTTTGTAAAACTAATTGTGAATTATTTAATGTTATATTGAACATTATATTGCATTAAAACAGTAGGACAAATATGTTGAATATACTAATAGAATCTGAAAGGTAACATTTTTGAAAAAAATGTGTAAATTGTCGTTTGTAGTGTTAAATATTTATTTATCTTTCACAGTTCATTACAACGAAAATTATCTACTTTTCCTCAAAAATCTATAAATAAACCAGACTTACTTGAACGCATTACATAAAACAATAACTTTTGTTTTACAATTTTGTTAATCAGCCAAACTACTAAAATACGTTACGGTATATTTCAACTCAGTCACTCATAATGTGTAGTGAAAAATAATCTCCAGGAAAATCATATATTTAATGGAAATTACGAGTATAACTATGAGAATTGTTTCATATATAAGGTAAACTTTATTAGTGCCCGTGTTTCGTTTCACTGTGTTTTAAACTGTTATCTAAACCTAGAATGTTTGTTTTACTAGAATCATATTTTAAACTTAAGGGCTTACCAATTTTGGTAAAAGTGTTTCTCGCTCAGACCAGTCGTCAGGTGCAACCATCAAATCTTAGATATAAAAATACAACACTTGAACTTATAATTTAAAGAAAATTTCCTTTTCAGTATATAGGCATTATATGATGTCAAAAGTATCCAGTCGTAGGCAGGGCAATCCTTTAAACATAAGAAACGTTATCTGTACAAACTTGACATCACAAATAGGATTGTGTTTAAATAAAGAGAGTATATGCGTATGCATTCGACAGATCTTAAAAACCATTGCTGATGCAAAGATATAAGTTTTTATTGATACATCAAAGTCTTAAGATGAGAAAAAAGTGTGTCAATAACTGCTTTGAGACTTCAACTAAGCCTTAATCTTTTAAGGTCAGAAATTTATATAGTAGTTGATTCAAGTGTGATGCTAATGTTTGTAGTATACGATAAAAATATGAATTTTTAACCTTTATGGTGCCGAAGGTAGCTTTCAACGATTTCAAATATCCAATGAAATGCATTCACAGCTAAAAGTTCTTTCACATCATTTTTCCGTTTGTCTTCGAGATAGTTCATAATTGGAAACACATCCTTCTCAGGAATCCCGAAGAATTTAGCAATGTGTGTAACTGTTTCTTTAGCTGCCGGGCATTGAAATAAATGTTCAAAATCTTTCAATATATTTGGGCATAGCTTGTCAAACTTAGTTGCAACAACAACCATTGGCAAACCTGAAATGAATATGATTACTGCAGATAAAAAGCTATACATGTACATATAAGGTATGTGTTTCTACAAATTTCTCGCAAAATATTGATAATTTATAAACATGTTTCCTTTTAAAACATTATTTGTTCTGTTGTTTTTTTAATAAACACAAATTGTTGAAGTTTTAGCACATTAAATGCCATGACAATATGATCATATGAAACTATTTTTCATTATTTCAATCAGCTCATTGTCAAGACCCTAGTTAACATACCCGACTCTGCAATTGTTTTTCGTATGTCACTAATGTGTTTTAACTGTTCTTTAGAGAAATCTTCAAAACGCATATCCCCTGCTACTATCATACACACTGCGTGAATTCGGTCATTCAATGTTGCATTCGTCTTTAGCGTTATTTTGTTAAGCTTCGCCTTGCCTTGAAACTAAATAATTGAAACTAAATAAAGATCTAGTAAAGACACACATAATATGATGAAGATTATATCAAATTTAAGGGAATCATTTAGAAATAAATAGTGTAGTATTATGGTTCTTGAACATTGCACCTTTTCTCCCTGGTCTCTTTATCTGTGAAAATTAGATATAAATTAGATTAAACTTTATATTGCCAAAAACAAATCATCATATAGTTTAAGGATAATATTACGGAAAATTATTAAAAATATATTGCAGAGTTATAACTCCTAACAATGCACTTCCTCTAGTGAAATTTATTTTTATATAATTGTTAGTTTAGAAGTAAGACTCCCGGCAATCATTTAATTTAGCATTTTGTGAAAATTGCTGTTTTCATTGAATAGTCTCCCTTTACAAGTTCAAATTGCAACAAAACTATAAAAACTGCTTGAATATTATTCAAGCTTGTCACAAATGTTGACTGGACCATTGCCTTTGTAAACGATATGCTCAGTCTTAAAGTTCCTGTTACTATGGCAACGAATGGACTGCTCAAAATTACCCAAAATCACTATTTTGCGTTGATTTGTTCGGTCAAAATTGATTTCAAAGTACTGCAAGTACATTAATTTACGTTTTAACAAAATATATAATTCAAACTCCTAGAAATGTAGAGTTATGGTTTGTTTACACTGCACACCCTTTCATTTGTTAATATTACAGTGTTAAGTCAATATGATATCTACGAGGATTGATCAAAAAGTTCTCGGCCCGAAGTACTTCCGGTAGTCAGAAAACCCAACTAATGGTCTTACTTTTCAATATAATCGCCCTCTACATCAATGCACTTTGTCCACCTGTGCACCCTTCAAAATAGAACTCTTGATTTTGGTCCACAATGAACTCGGGGCCAAGGCTGGACAATATGGGGAGATGGAGAAGAATTTCAAAGCCGCAGTCAGTTGCAGCAGCCATCGTAACTTTGGATGTGTGAGCTGGGCATTGTCGTATAGAAGCAGAACGTCTCGAGTCAGTTTACACCTCATTTTAAACGCAATTTCTTGACGCAGACGTCTCAATTCGTCTGCATGGTACGTACTGTTTATGGCATGACCTTGCTCAATATAGTCAATCATGATTTTCCCCTGACTATCCAAAATATTGAAGCTGAATTTCTTCGGAAGGGGTGAGCTAGGGTACTTCCAATGCATGCTCTGTTTTTTTTCATTCTAGATCGAATTAATGGACCCATGTTTCATCCTGAGTTACGATCCGGTAGATAAAATCAGGTTTATCCTCGTAGCGAGACAAAAGATATCTTGAAATGTCAAACCTGGATCGTTTCTGGTCGTCAGTTAACTGATTTGGGACACATCTAGCGGACACCTTTGACATGCCATAGACATCAGTTAGAATTGCCTGAACCCAAAGCTTACACCCACTTTCCTAGCAATACTTCGCAGGCCTCGCCTTCTGTCGCACATAACCAGATCGTGCATAACTTCGGCAGTTTCATCGTTGGTGGTCTCTTTCTGCCGCCCAGGCCACTTATCATCTCCAATGTTCTCCCTGCTCCTCTTAAATTTAGCAGCCCATTTTTTCACAGTGCTATAGGAAGGGAACTCCTTCCAAAGTATATCCATGAAGTCCGCGTGGATTTCCTTGGGGGACACCCCTCTCTTACAGAGGTACTTAATGGCGACTCTGATTTCAACCTTTTTTATTTGGTCTAAATTACTCACCCCTCTACTGATCAAAGTGTTGTTTATGTTACTTTATATTTATAAAACCGAGTGTAACTCGGTCAGTAAGATATCGGTATTGAAGTATCGTGTGTGAATATCAGTGTAGTGGCTAGAAGTTTATCGGGCTGCGAACATTTTGATCATACCTCGTAAGTGTGTATATTATTACCATGAAAAGAAGTATTAACGGAAAGGCAGATAGTAAAAACAAATTAGATAGAGTTATGATTCTTGATAATGCACGGACAGACAGATGGACGGGCTGTAAAGGCGGTAATTGTATGCTTTTTGCTCTGGGAGCATTCAAATGATAAATGAAATAAACAAATAAATTGTAACTAAATTTGAGTTCCGAATTATACGATTTTAACTTTAAGATGATGAAGGTTTTTAAAGATAATTTGAAAAATGTTTAAAACCCTAGCAACATGTTTTTGTTTAATTTTCGGATATAAAATTGAATTACCCGAGTAGACATGCTACCTTAAACAAAAATATTTGATGCACGTCAAGGTTTGTTTAGGCAAAAGATAAATAACGAATCATTTATAATGTTTCATTTACTTGATAGTCTTCAGGTAATCTTCCTTCTAATAGAAGTTTAAGCTCTTCTTCAAGACCTCTTTCGTGCTCAAATCCAGGCATGTCATAAATGAATAAATTCAATCTTTTATTCGTCTGTGATTGTATGATAAATTTCGTTACCTGAAATGATGAAACAAGAAGTAGCAGTTTTCTCTTAAAGTTTTTTTTTCTGATGACGCTCATATGTAAACTTAACCATATTGCCACAAGGGTTGGAATACAATTACACATATCAGATCTTTAGAAATGTCTCTATCATATCGAATAATTGAATACTTCACTCGTTAATCTTATATAGCTTATATAGATCTATTTGTGAATTTTCCAGTAATCTTATCTTATTATAGAAATTTATTTACAAACCTTCCTTGTGTAGCTCTCTGGTGATTGTCCGGCTTGAGCAATCGGGACAAACTGTCCAGTAAACACTGCTGATAAAGTATTGATAAAACTAGATTTCCCAGATGCTATAGCGCCTACGAACAAAATATTGTAATGATCTATATCCAACCCGGGTAATGTTTCCATTGATATAAGCGCATTTTTCTTCTTGACAACATCGTCTTTCTTAAATACCATTTGACACATAATTTATACGTTGTAATGATTACTATTCAATGTTAAAAACTTAAATTATTCAGTCCTTTTACAAGAAAAAAACACTTGCTTTTTCAATGTAAAAATAACATTTGATCACAAAAACAAATATTCACTGCAAAACAATTGTCAGTGCGATAAATAAAAAAAATACATCTACTAAGCAACTGTTATAGTTTGTGTTCACTACTTCCTTAGATTTAAATATTTGCATAGAATCATCATTTATATATTACCTGCCTACTAGAAAAAAAATAACATTGCGAAGAAAATGGCTTGTCGTATGGACTGCTAGTATAAAATTTTAACATGTGCTGTTTATTTAAACTAGTAATTTGTTACTTATAAAACATTTGACTAGTTAAGCCATTTTCAAAACAAACAAATCTATTTTTATCATAGTTTCAGAGAAATATCTTAAAGAACGTTATTTTCACCACTGAATCTTTTAAACGTTATAATCAAATTCAAAGACAAAGTATGACTTATATAACGAAAAGACTCGCATAAATATGTCATTCATTTATTAAAAACCAAAGTGCTAGTATATTGGTTTTCCATAAACTATATTAAACAATGTTATTCAATCAATTTAAATCCATATTTTTAATCCATATTTTTTAATGAAAGGGTGAAAAAAATTGTGTTTTTGCAAGGTTTGCCACATACAATTCCGTGTTTGAAACATATTGTTTAAAAACTGATAAATATTATCCGATTCACCAAAGTAAATGTGTAATGTATTCATTTGAAATACTGCACTTCTATTGGACAAAACATAATTTCAAACACAAATATATTGTGGGTCAATTCAGTGCGACAAGCAGATTAAAAGCAGAAGAATATTAACAATGCCGATCTTCATGATCTTTATTTTGCAAATTTTATCTTTTTATTTTGATAGCAATTCAATGTTTCACAATTGTCTTAGCTATATTCTGAAAAACAAAAAGTCCAAATAAGAACAATAACTGTCCCAATATTAGAAAAATGGAACTTATTTATCACGTTGAAACAAAGATTACATGTATCTGAAGACTGAGTGAAAAATGAAACAAAAAGAATCAAAAATACTTAATCTAAGAGAGACAAAGAAAATGTAATTTTTAAAATTTAGTTGATATATATTTTGAGTTCATTGAATTTTATATTACCTGAACTACTTGCTATAATATGTTTGACTTTTCTACAATATGCATATTATAACAAGAGGTAAAAGGCATTTGTATTTTGATAGTATGGGCGTGAAAGAATGAACAAAACTAATATAATTATAATTACAATTGGGCATTTTTATACATAATCATTTCTCTTTGATAATCTATGGATCTTAATTCCTAAAGTTTTCCTGCTAAGCAATTATTAAATGCACAATCATTGCACTATCAAATATGCATTCAAAGTGGTATACCTTCGTTCTTTCTAACCAATTTCCTTTAGTTCTATCATCTGAAGAAATAAAAAAGTGCATTCGATAATACATTGAATTAGTTATTTGTGATTTTCCGTTTAGGTTTCAAATGCTAGAGAGCCTTTGCATATGTTTTTTACTTAGACATTTCCGTCGGACAGCGCTCTTATGTTTTTAGTTAAAAAAGCCTGGAAATGCAGTAATTCAAGTTTGGAAAGCTCTCTGTAAAATCATGCTAACTAGTGGGGTGATAATTGACTACCATTATGTTATATTGGCATGTATAAGGCTTAAAATAAATGCCAAGTAGTTTTGGATACTGATTTGAAACTCGACATCTGAATACAAGTATAACTATGCAATACAAAGGGTATAATGTTAATCTACAAAAACCGGTTCCTGACACAATTTTTTGTTTAAGGTAAATATTGTACGAAAGAACATTTGATGACAATGATCTTTTTTAATCATAAGAGATTTTTCTTCATTCAGGATCTATGTTGGAACTACGAGTGTTATAGTGACCTAGAGTTCTATTCGAACTTAAACAAAGTGTGACGCCAACATCTTTATTCTAAGACAATGCTATGGAAATGTTCTCAGTGATCAGTTATTATCTGAAATGACATAGTAGTGAAAATTTCCGTTTCATAGTGTCATAACAACAGATAATTGAACGATATTTATTAAAGCCAAGATGAAGTTTAACTATCCCTTATTAATATAATATAACTGAACATGCATACTATATATCAAAATCGGCAATTTCTAATAAAAAAAGAAATGCTTTTAGTTTTATTATAAAAATGACCGGGTATGTAGTTTATAGCTTAATAAAAAAGCATCCCATAATTAACTTTAAGCTTTATAGTCTAATGCATAGATGGTTATTCGCGTGACATGTTTGAAGTCAAAATAAGCTAAATTGAAATAAATAATTGTCAAAGATTTTAACAAAGTAAATGCCATTATGAAAATTTATAAAAATTTATGAAATGTTCAATTATTGCATATAAAAATAACAAAATGTTGGATATAATCTATTATTATTGTTGAATATACAGGTAAAATATCACAAAGGGGAGACATGAATACTCACTTACCTGTTACTTGGAAAACTTCTAGCTCTTTCACAATCATCTTCCCAGAATTAATATTAACAGTTTTTGTTTTTGGTAGAGAAGAATCTTTTGCACGGCTCGCATAGGCGTTGTTTATATGCATCGAACCATTCAAGTATAGATTATCACCTGTAACCTCTGAGGCAGTCTTCTTTTTAAATGTCAGAAGATCGTAATCTAAAAACGTTCCTCCTCCAAATGTAGGACCGTATTTTGCATAGCATGTTATCGCTACATCCTTCTTGTCTCTCTTAATTGGAAAAATGACACATTTTGCATCTGCGCTGTCATTCTTTGTAAAAAGGAAAGCCTTATCGTCTTGTATTGTCCGTTTATTCGCAGGTGAACTCCAATCTTTAGAAGTATAGCCGCCAAAAGTTGTATTGTAAGCGCCATACAAGATTGTGACTGTAGGGCCTTTTGCATCGCATTTTCTATGAAACTCATCTACGTTTGCCTTATTTTCTTTCGCTTTGTACAGACAAATCAATTTCTTAAATATTCCTGCTTCTTTACTTAACTTTTCCTCAATTTCTTCTACAACTGATTTAGACACACTCATGTTTGCTGAAATAATGTATTACAAGGCAAATTATGCGATACGTCTTTAAAACGAGACATCTTATTTTAGTTAACAGGCCGGTTAACCCAGTAAGTAGAGCGTTGGACACTAAATCGAGCCACCCTTTGAAAATGTTGCAGGCTCGCAACATTATGTGTTAATAGTTATAATAGAAGATATGTATATTAAATGGTGTTCTGGTGATAACTGTCAGAAAATTTCATATAATATCAGAAATAAAGCAATGAAGAAAATATACATCAGTAAGAAATTAAAGAAATAAAATATTGGCTTACATTAAATTGTAAACTATGAAAGGAATTTGAATTGTAAAAATAGGACTTACAATCAATTGCAAATAAATAAACACGTTTGATTTGATTTACTATAAATAGCACAATGACTAGCTGGATTACATTAAATTGTAAAGAACTAACGCATAATTTAAAAAAAAAAAAATACAGCGAAATGGTGAACTCACAACAACCACAATACTTTTTAAGCCAAAATAAATGGGGTTAATGGAAACATCGATATTCTTTCTATAAAAAAACCATCAAAACTTTATGAGAAAATGTAGAAATACATGTCACTTCGCTGCTTTATACAGTGGGAAAGGAAGCTGACAGTAAGTTGAAATCTGTTGAATTCTCACAAAGTAATGCGAAGGCAAATGACATTATTCAACGAAAATTCGATTTTAGTCCTGAGAAAAGTCATTCACGAATATGAAAAATTCCATTTGAATAACCAAAAGTCAAGCCAAGGGATCGAATCGTAATTTGGATTTCAGATAAAAATGTGTCCGAAAAGCAATAGCTTGAACAAGACCTTGCTCTCGAAAAATTCGTTAACAATGACAAGAAACAGCGAATACGTGAAAAAATATCAAATAAAATCACAGTAAGATGTAGCTGTAACAGACGAGGCCAAACGTCGCCAAAACAAAGTTTTGGGACCGCAACTATACGTTTTTCGACGAAAATTTTCCGGGGGCGCAATCTAGACTTAGTCTATCGAAGAAAATCAATAAGACTCGATGTTCAAATTGTAGGAAATTTTATCACAATGTCATTGCGGAGTGTTTAAAATAGAGAAAATAAGAATCCCTAAAGAAAGTATGTCGAAAATGATGATATAGAGAATAGATGGTTGATGTCGGGATGGAGAAGGTTTATGCGGTGAGCGAGGAAATGTATCTTGGCGAGCTTTAACCCAATTTTTTTCCCTTAAAATGTTTCTGTTATCATATTCTAACAATATGTCCATATGAAAACTCCTGAAAACGTCCATAACTGTCAATGTTTCTCCCCTTAGTAAAATTTATGTGTCGTTGAACATAATCTTATTAATAATTTTTACTTCCTTGAACAATATTTAACCTCAGACAGTAAGTAACCTGGTTAGTATTTTGTTTTAGTTTTTTCTAGGAAATGTGGTATCTACAACGTTTCAAGACTTATATGCCTATAATCATTTAAAGTCTGCTGATGTTTATTGAATAATGGCATAGAATGGCATCATGCAAGTAAATTATGTTTGGTGGATAAATAAACACCTAAAAAGTGCGGTAAACGGAAACTACGCCGGTGCGTGTTCTTGTTTCCTTCTTGTCGCTGACGGTAAATACCGAAAATGAGCGAATAATTACGTTTATGTACGATGATGAAGTAGGCGGGAAAATGGGCGGAGTTTATTTTATCTCCTATTGAAAAAATGGTGTAAATTGGATAATGCTGATCCGGATCATGATGGTTTGACAATGTAAAACTAAGAAAGTAACTTCTGTTTTGTCAGCCTATACACGAACAATGAGTATTCCGCATGTTAGGATGAACATTTGGTATTGCTACTATCAGAGAAACAGTTAATGTTTTGTCGTTTAACAAAATTATTTTGTTGAAATTCATGTTTACAATGTTAAATCGGCAAACTCAATCCAAGATTGCAACATTGGAGTTTACATACAAAGAAATACAATTGTATTTTGTCCTTAAACAAACTGTTCAACTCAGATCAACAAGGCTATATTTTTGGCAACGAATAGCCTCCATATCATTGTGCTATGCAGATTTCCTTATATCGAATTAAAGTGATATTTTCTCTAGCAAATTCAGTAGTATTTCGATTTGCTTTGTAGCAGAAATAGTAATGTTCGTTGCTCTTACACTTCCCTGAAACGTAAAGGAAACAACCTGTGGGTCATTATATTTAGGGCATTAATGTTATATCAATGCAAGATATTTGTATTAATTTAGCTTCCAAAACGTTATAATTAAATGTTAACACTTTAGAAAGGTGTATAACCTTTTTCGCGCATTAGCATGTCCAGGAACGCGAGGGTGTATTTAAGCCCGCGCTTGTTTCTGCAGACCTTAAAGCTTGAATAAAGATGCATTAGCGCTATTCTGGCCGGATTTGGTAATTTCGATAATTGTTTTATATATTAAATAACTTAAAAAATATTATCATTTTTATTACAATTATTTTGTATTATATTCAATTGAATACATGTAGCTGTAAGCGACATTCAACATGGATAAAATTAGAAATAATCATCGATTGTTACCCCAGATAAAAGAAAAAAATAAAAGCGCAGTTACTAGTATATGAATTCATAAGAAAAGGACGCCATTTGTCAAAATTCCATTAAAATTTTCTTTTTTAATTTATACCCGTGTTTTGGGAAAACATAGAATTCACACAAAAGTTATACCATTAGGTGCGGAATTTACCTTGGAATTTAATGGTATAGCATTCAACTTATTTGGAGTGTATATAAGACCGTAAGGCCGCTATTCCATTTATACGCTATCAGTGGTCCGCGTCCGTCATCCGCGTCCGCTACCGATTCGCTTATGAAAGAATACGTTGAATATATTCCTTTTGTCCGTTTACAATCCGCTTCCGCGACGGTATCCGCGACGTTTCGCAGGATGAGCGATTTTTTACGGACGCGGACAGTCATGGACAGGTCTCGTCACGACAAAATGCCTCGAACGAAATTAAATACTTTATCGATTTCGAAAGAAATACTAAAAAGCTCACCAAAATAGTGTCGGACAACCAATAAGTTTATGATGCACCAATGACAGATTAAAAAAACAACATCTGGTCTTCGGTTGCTAAAGAGATGTTATTCAAAAACCTAACTGGTATTCAATGCTTTTCCTTTTTCTTTTTACCTAATGCTTTGATGTTACACTTGGATTTGGAATTAGAATGAAATTATGTCATATTCTACAAAAATTATCCTCTGTTCGCTATACTATAATTAAAAGTATATACAAAATAATGTACATATGAAATAATACTCACGGACATGCACCGGACACTGATCACGGACGCAGGTCACGGATTGCGTAACAATGGAATAGCGGCCTAAGTGTGATTATTGAAACACTACTCCTAACCGTGTGATTATTACGCCCGCCGGGTAATAATCACGCGCGTGGTAAGATAGCATGCTGTACAAATAGTAGTATTCTAAAAAAATATATCATTAAACGTAGAACGATTTCTTAGAATAAAATATGTATCATTCGGATATAATTGATTAAATATAAAGTCTTGCGTGTGATTATCACTGCACTGCCCAAAAACCGTGTCTTTTTTTAGCTGTGCATAATAGTTACACGCGTGGTTTCGCGTAATTATCCAAGGACACCCGTCATTTTATAAATTGTTAAAACTATTGAACACAGGTAAAATTCAAAATTACATTTTCAGTTTCATGGTAAACGCTGCTTGAATAGTCGGTTATCCCGTGACCCTTAATATCTATTAATATCCTTCGGTATTTATCGGTAATATTCAATTCATTATATAAGAGTGGGACAGTCTTATTTTTCAAGCTTTTTTTTATATAGAATCCCTCATATTTATCATCATCAGTTACTGTTCAATCGCCATAATAACAGTCTGTGTTTTGAAATTCAACTACTGTATCTAAGCTTGACAGTGCAAAAAGGACAGTGTTGTTTTAATGTACTATTCTTCTAAATTCAATTACTTCTCGTTTATTTTAGATTAATTTTCAATAATCGGTCGTACCTCTATGATATAATGGGTAGTGTAAGTTCTTCAATTATTACATTTTTATTTCTGTATAGAAAAACAGTGGATATAGACAGCGTTTAGAAGGAATTCAGATTATGATGATATCATGTTATGAACACGTTTTTCGTGTTGAAATCTGCAATGGAGCACAGTTTCTGAAAATGTTTTTACTTTCAGAATATATTTATTATAGTGTGTCAGGTAACTTTCATTTTCTCTTTTATAATCATTTGTACAAATTAAAGTTAAACTTTTGACTGTTAAGCAAAAATGAATTGTATTTGGATTTTAAACTGTCATTGAACAGTTGGAATAGTATTATCAATTTCATTCTGTTTGAAACTCTGAATTTCATTCGCCAGATTTTAAGCAATTTAAAGCTCATTTGTATATATATATTTTTTTCTTCTCCAATTGCTCATTTATCATCCTCATCACTACTGAGCTGTCTTGCACTTAACTTGTTGAAGTGCGAATATGTGTATAACTAAATATTCTCAAATAGCATTTTGTGAATGGAATTCACAGGGTACTGAACCCAGTCTCTACACTCAAAGGGCGAACACTATTATAAATGTATTATGCTAACGCATAATAATGAGTTTAGTTTATTCGTTTAGTTTATACAGCATTTATTTTAGTTCGATTGTGTAGGAAGCTATAAGCTTAAAGACATACTTTCGAATCCGTTCCTGGAACTAACCAGTACTGAGCAATGAGTGTAAAGTTTCTTGCTCAAAGAAACAACGACTTGCCCCTGACGGAGAGTTTATTCGTTTATTTAAGTCTCTAATACAGTACATCAAATTCATATACATTTAAAATACATGTAAGACCAATCAAATGAGACTTTTAAGAGACATATGTAACCATTTTCACATATAACCTGGCTAAATACATATAAAACAGATAAGAAATAGAATATTCTTGTTAATCGTATTTATTTTAAAATGCTTTAAAGAAGTAAAAGAAAAAGGAGTGGAATAATTTGGCAATATACTCCACAATACAAAATGTTTGTAAAATAATGATAATATGTTTGATCAAATTAAGCAAATTTAGATTAAAAATGTATTTTAGCAATTGAGTAAAACCGTTTAATTTAAGATAATCAACAATTGATTTATAGGATTAAAATATTTTATGTTTCATCTACTTAAAATCAACTGTCTAAATTGTAATATCAGAAAGCAGGCATCTAATTACATCATCTTTAGTAAAGAGCAAATAAATTTCTGTTCCTCTGTCATGTTATGAAAATCATTATTTAACCTAGTCACTGTATAGATAACTCATTTCTTGTATCATCAAATAACGAAGACTTGAAACGGTATGAAACTTATCTCAAACTAAATTGACACAATACGGACAAAAGTGTGAATCTAAAGGTAAACCCTCATAATGACTAGTCTCGACTCTTAAAGGTGCCTCTCCCACTCTTAACTTGGCAAATGCTGTTCTGAGGCGATGTACACCTTTATTTATAATCTTACAATATATTTCTGTACACTAAACTTGTTTAAGTAACTTATATTTATTGTTACCTCTTCCACTATAACTAACATCCTTATTTATATTTTTTAACCATGTTATCTTAAAATTATTATTCAGGTAAATATGAACTTCATCATTTAAAGCTTTCTTGAATCTAAGTGATTGATGTATTCATCACCATTCATCTTTTAAAATTCTAATTTCTGCATCTGTAATTGGCGTCTGCGCCGAAGCGAGGCGCCCCTTTATGGAATGAAATCAGATTTTGTGAAAGGGCGACAGCAACTTCTCGAGCCTTTTAGTCGGTCATGATAAAAGCCGATCATTCCGATCGGTATGAGGCTGCTTGATTATTAATTTAAAGTGAAATGTTGCGATATGTACAATGAATAGCGAACTGGAGAATTTCGCAATGCAAATTCAAATGAAATAACCTTTTCCGTCAATAAATCGCGCTCTTCGTGGTTTTTTTATTGATCATTTTGTAGTTCGTTGTACATGTATCCGAAAGCTATAAATAGAATGATGAGTTGATGACCTAAGCATTCCGAAAATCTATTTATAAGAATAAGCAATATTATATCTTGAAAGATTAACCATAATTTACTGACTTTTTCCAGTTAAGTTTTGACTTATAATCATCGGTCAATATGACAATTGAATTCTTAAAATTTATTTTACAATTTAATAGATAAAGGGTAGAAAACGTAAAATCTCAGTATTGAAATAGCACATAAAACACAAAAAAGAAAAGAAAACAATATTCAAAAATCTGTATTTTTTTTATTAAAATAGATATTATAATTATTGTATAATAAACAATTATGCTCAACATGATCAACATGGTAATATAACCGGTGTCATATTTTTACTAAGTGTGAACAGATACCTTAAGAGGGGTCTTCGCTAATAGCATTAACATAATGAGGGACAATTACACAAGTGTGCTGTTGATCATACGTTACACATATGGATTATAAATGATTGTTTACATGTATATCCGTTGCTATTAATAATCACGATCATAAAGAAATAACAAGTAATATTCTAATCTCTAACATGCTAATCAAAGTTCATAATGGACAAAGTCTTTCGTCCGTTCATTGATAAGTGATATACAATTCTGGTAAAAACCAATTAACAATTGAAAAGTTGTCATCATAATTATGTCTACTAGTTCATCTTCACTTGCTGCGTTTCTTGCTTGGACGCCCTTTGATGCTTTGCATCAATGCTTTTCTTGTTACATACTGTATTGTATCCAAATGCTAATACACTCTTTTAGTTAATCTGTTATTATACATATAACTTATTCTCACAATAAAATTATTAACTTTTCTACTGTCTAGCAATTGGAGGTAACCATGTCTGCGCTATTTTGCGTGTACCGCCGTACCCCAAATAGCTGCGCCATATGCAATAACCGGCCATATAACGTTATCATATCACTTTGAAAATACATAATGTGGCATGAAATACGACGTCAGCTGAGTCATGGATTCGATTTCTATATGTTTGAGATAACAAGAGAACACACTAACCACTGGGCTATCGGGGAATTCGGTGAGATTGATCAGGTGGTAAAAGATTTAGACGATAAATAGTGTGCTTTTATATAAGAATTTCTTATTTCAATATTGATTATGAACAGATAATGAAAAGAATGACGAACACTTCAAACGGTATGCCTTTTGTTTTAATACATAATTAACCTTCATGCCTAGCGATTTTAAGAGAATTTACACCTCCATGCATCAATGCATATTGTGCATACAACAAACATTACTCCGGATATGACACTGATAATTTTGATCTGGTTAAAAAATAATTCTTTAATAAATAATAGTTTGTTCATAACGAACAAGTATAATGACAGGAATCTCCTGTTTGTTGGATAATAAAAGTATAACTATGTAAGAATGAAAGAAAATTATTTGACACAATTCATTTTGAAAACAATATGTTAAATTCAAGTATGTTTTGGTTAAATATAATAAAACCAACGGCTCCACAATCACGGGCTGTTTATACATTGTTTCATCTTGTTTAAAGGGATACTCAGGCAAATTAATGACAGAAATATTAAAATGATATTATGTACTCAAATCACGCTAAAATGGCATTTTCTAAGTCCCAGCATGAATTTCTGTATTAAATTTATATATGTTGGGTTTAAGTGTAAATATATCTACATATGTTGAACGAAATTTAGACCCCGACTGAATCCCAAAGTAGTTCTTAACAAGCCACGTGACTTGAACAAACCCTAGCAGTTAAAATAACAGATACTTTTGATATTGTATCATTGAAGCATGTCTTAGTCGTTCATTTGGCATGCTCTTTAATGTTTTTAGATTTCACTTTGACAACAATTTTTATTCTTTATAAGGCGAAAAGTTTTGTTCCTGTGACTGCCTAGTGTATTTTTGAGGACATTTACAGAATAATGAATGAAATGAAAATTGTGCCTGTGTCTCCCTTTAACATTGCATGAACCTTCAGATGAAGACACATTTAGACGCAAAATTGATTTCGGAAATAAAATTTTACTATTATACATAATTCAAATATGTTTGATTAAATATAAGATCGTACGCATGATTACTTCGGCGCGATATAATCATGCACTATTCTTCTAATACAAATAATACATTTTGGAAATATAAATAGCTCTTTCTGATAACCATTTATGTTTTAACCTACATTCAAACGCTTTGATTTATTAAGATAATGTTATTCTAAATTAAGGAGAAATGATACATCTACGATTGTATATTTACATCCCTGACAAAACATAACAAACACGCATAGCTTTTATCAATATTTAAAATCACAACTGTCTTAAACACTAAGTGAAAATACAATTAATATAACACATTAAAAAGTTCTAAAGCTTTTTAAAAATTATTTATCGGAACAAAACTTCAATTATTCATAGTGATGGTTGTCATGATATAAATCGCCGCAACACATTCATCCCTTTTAAAACATTTCAACTTGTAAGAAAATTAAGGAATTCTCACAAAAGTTATACCATTAGATGCGGAATTTATATTCAAATAAAATGGTATATAAATTAACTATTTTGGAGTGAATTTAAGACCGTACATGTGATTCAAACGGCACTACCCCTAACTATGTGATTATAACGCCGCCGCCGGATTACTTCTCAAAACTACAAGCGAAATATCATTCAGACTTTAAAGATTATTTAGTTCCAAGTCTTGTTGTCTAGTTGTGCTTTTCGTCAGTATTTCCAATTCTTTGATTTTTGTTAATGTAATGGCCCTTTATTTTTATCTTTAAATTTATCCGGACTACCTGTCTGATACCACATAAGCAATTACAATAAACTAGTATTTAGTATTATACATAACACAGCACGAAATGTATCAAATAGATGTTTTTGGAAAGTGTGGAATAGATAATCCGGTTTAACATATAATTGATGATAAATTGCCCTAGAACAAAATAATATCATTCACATATAAATGTTCATTCTAAATTACTTAACACCCTATCAATTTCTTTTAAATTAATATTTTGAAATAATATCCACATTTCTTTTGGTTTTATAATTTGTTTCGAATGTTGAACATTTCCTGATACCTACATGGTGATGATAATTTTTCTAAATTTTTAAGTTAATGACCGGTTACGTGAAGTCAATATGTGCCTTTTTAAAACTTTTAAAAGTATAATTTGTAAACTGTTAAACCAAACAATAATTAAACGATGTTACAAAAAGAAAGAAAATGTACTAAGTGAGTAAATGTAGTACCTCTATATATTCCACATCTTAAAATGTCCACAAAACAAACAGATCGCTACTGAAAAACGCTTGTATAATTAAAAGAACTATTGTGAATAAATCATTTTATCAATTTTTGATTCTATACTTTATACAACTGTATTTGTTTAAATATTAATTAAAACAAAGGAGTACCGTGGGATTGCCACTCGTATCAGTATATAAAATCTAAGGTGCCTTCAATGACACGCATGTCTAGATCTTTTTTAAAAAAAAATGACATACAAATATTCATTTTATTAAGTAAACAGTTAATAGCGAATATTATTCAGATAGTGACAAACCATTATAGAATATTAATAGGACGTTCACTGGTGCGTTGAGGGATGAAACATAGACTACTGGGGACATAGGACAATAAATTGAGTAAGAAATTATTCTACGATTTTACTCTGTTAGAACATTTACCTTTTTCTAGGGAAAAAAAAATAATGATTCTTTCGCCATATATATTCATTATTTTTAATTATATAGCAGAATTGCATACGGCGTAAATTAATAACTTGACTGTTAAATATAGTAATATTTTTAATAATATTATAAACATATCAGAAGAAATAAACAAATGTACGATCACTATAAACGTAAAGAAAATTTGAAATGCAAATCGCTTAATAATCCTTAGGGCGTATTGTATTGATTTTATTAAAATTCATAAATATTATTTTGACTAAATTTATTTTTATAACAATGAGTGAGCAAAAGTTCGGATCTGACGGTCTGATGATTTTACTTTATTTCTACATTAAGCCAACCGTCTTACTTTTGCTTACAAATCCAATATCGATAAATATTATTTCGTAAAGTAATAAATGCATGTCAAATATTTTGTAAGATACAAAAAGCCTGATGGATGCATAAACTCGTAATTCTTCTTTACTTTGGTTATATCATTTTATATGTACGAAAACATCTTGATTTTAATAACTTTAAGTGGCATTATGCCCATCAAAGTTCAAATAGTCAGTTAACCGGTAGATAAAATAATTGCGCCACGTTTTGTCATTATGTTGTTCAATTTGGTATTTAAATATATTGAAAATTAATTAATCATCCACAAACGTCATTATCTATGAATATCGTTTAAAATGTATTGACAAACTGCCTTGAAAGACATTTATTATCTTTTGTTTCAACATATTTTGAAACGTATCAAGTACCTTCAAACGCGTGCTTTAATAAACAAAAGACGGCGGAAAAGATTTAAGCGATTGTCGGTACATTTTATGGCTCATGTTTTAACTGGTAGATAGATATTTAATTTATGATAACAAAATACCATGTAAAATAGAACGAGTAGGTGATAGTCATGTCAACAGTGTTGATAATCACTTTCTTAAGGTAAGGGTTCAGTTTGAATTGTATAACATATTTCTACATTGTAAAGGAAATATTTGTTTGTACGACCATTGCCTTACAAAAAATCTAGTTTATACTTCAAAGTTATTAAAAAGGCAATGTTTTTACTAGTAGCCTTTGAATAATAAGCCTAAACTTAGTGTCGAAGCATAAAAATTCTATTTGCTATATCAAGTTAAATGACTTTGAATGAATAACTATACTTTTTAAGAAAATAGTTGTAAGTCCCCTAACGTTTAAATCGGATGGGTATTTAGGTTTACCCTCCGTCCGCCCGACTTACAATAAAGATAGAAAGTAGTTTTGAGATTATGCACGCCTTATTTTTTTTCCTTTTTTTTTTGTATTCCCGTTTTGAAAAAATGGGTTGCCAACAAACAGTCTTAAATTATGACTTACTTAGCAATATTAGTGATAACACTATATGTACTGAACATATTACTAATGAAGCTGAAAATATGGATAGAAATAAGTATGAAGAAAGGGAGTTAATTTGAGCTGCCCTTCTAACCCAGCAACGTCGATCATAGTAACATTTTAACACAGTTAAGTCATTTTCACTGTAAGTTCTTTTTTTCGTTAGGTGATTTCTTCAAATTTCAAGTACAAGTATATGTTTCAGATCATTATTTATCATATATGGCAAGGTTCACAATTTGAGCACCCAAGTTACCAGAATTTATTCCCTTGAACACAGAATTCTAATTTAAAAAAAGGTTATTTTTTCTACTTTGTCCACCAATTTCAACACAATTTTAGTCATAATATTATATCTAAGCCAACTATCCAGTCTTCTTGTAGAAAAGGGTAATAACTAATGTCTCAGATAGTGAATGACTCTTACCGAATCAGCGATAAGAGGCAAATGATGATGATAATGGTAATGATAATGTTAATGATTACGACTGTGACAATTATGATGCTGATGATGATTATACATACAAATATATGTTTCTGATCAACACCCACATCATAGATGGCAAGGTTCATAGCTGTAGCACCTTTTATAAAAACCATCATACTTGAACTATAATGTTTGGGAAAATAAATGTGTTTTTTTCTTTAAATACTTTTCTTCTTTAGGTATCTGCCACAAACTTAAAATATGTGATCCTTATCATTACTCACATCATGTGTCAGAAGATTCAATACTTTAGCTTGACTATATCTAGAATGATATCCCCATTAAACGTTTATTTTCTAGAAATTATTATGCCCAGACTTTTTAAATTCTTAATTCCCACATCATAATAATATGGCAAGGTTTATAAATCTAGCGCGTATGTTTCCAGAATTATAACCGATTAATAAATTTTAAAGTTTTCTTTTCTATTCTATAACTTTCTTTTTTTCAGGGATTTCCTTTATATTTTAAATATGATTTTGTGTCATATGTGATTACATTTAAAAATCCTGCTCCCGTGTTTCCAAAATAATTTTCATTTTGAACTTGAAATTCATTTAACAATTTTGTACTTCACTTGTCTTTTTTTTCACTTTTCTTCTTTGTTACTAAAATTGATATATAAGACTTTGATAAGTGTTCTCTGACATCACTCACATTCTGTATTGCAATGTTTTTAAGCCCAGCATCTTTATTTCAAGAGCTATCAAGAGAATTGTGCTTTGAAAATGTTATATTTTGGTTACTAGTACAACCAAGGATGTTTTAAGATTTGCCTTTTGTCTGTCGGCTTGTCTGTCTGTTCCCTCATATCACTTTTAAAAACTTTGAACTTTTCTAACAAATTTACATAAAATAGAGAAAAGTTTAAACAATGATTGTATATATTCATCCAGAGAAAATTGAATTTTTTGATGATCTGTTGTATATGCATAATTCCTTATTATGCATGAAAGCGTATTAGACATTACTGATACAAACAAACTAAGAACTCAAAATATTCAAGTATTCATTTTCCACAATGGCATAATTGCATGGTCATGACTCTTCAGAACGTTGCTGACACAATTCTTGTTGGGCTCCATCAGTTAAGGGACTTTTGTACTGTTTGCAATATTTTGATTATTGCTTGTTTCTAGTAGTCTTTGATGGAGGCAACTACAGCGCTTACATTTGAATGGTCATAATTATTAAAATGCATTTTGAATGAATTAATTCAGTTAGTGTGTAACTAACTGTTTGCAATGCTTTTTGTGAGTATTTGTTTAAAATACTTGGGGTGATACATTGAGATAATGTTTGTGTCACCTTTCTAGTGTACATGTAACCTCTGATACCCTTTCCAATTCAATTGTTTTCCCGTAGCAAGTAGGCGTGGGCGGTAGTCTGCACTTGACACTACCGTCCATCAATAGGCTCAATCAAACCAAGAATGCAACATTTTAAATTTTGCCATTTTGCCGTTTTGGACTTTCTTTGGGGATTACATTTGTAATTCTCTCTAGTTTGCAACAAAAAAATATACAGAGATACATGTATTAAGAAAGTCCAACAGAGCCAAATTTAAAATGCTTCAGGCTAGGGTTATGAAATCCTGCTTATGAACGACAGTAGTACTGTCCATGTCCACTGGCTTGTGTTTCAGTTGATAAGATCTATAAGTACTACATTACCTGTGTAATTAATCTTGAAAATATATACTGATACTTGTATTTTTTCAACTGCAAGTTATCCTATAATCTTGGTTAAGAAGTAAGGGACTTCAACTTTTTCAATCGTTTAAATATTTTCAAAATATTTTTATTGACTTCATAAATAAGAAAACCACATTGTTAATTTTTAAGAATGGGTACTGGCTATTCAAAAGACCGTCCGACGACCAATTTTAACAGACGAGATTCTAAAAGGAAAAGCAAGAAAAAAGAAAGAATGGAAATTCAAGAAGGCGAAACATTTAAGCAAGCGACGATTAAAGATAAATGCCTGAGAGATCTTGGGGTAAGTTCACATTTAACAATAAGTAGGCCTATATTTTTACTTAACTGCATTTGCTATAATAAACATGATTATATATAATGGCAAGGCTATGATTTATATATGAGTATTTGTGTTTAAGCTTTTATCATTGCATAAATAAGTAATAGGTTTATTCCCAGAGGAATTTTATACATTGGGTTTATTAAAATAATTCTTACTTTATATATCATTCTTCAAATAAAATATTAATCATCTGAAAGTAAAAATAAGGTTTGGTAAAAGAATGGTAAAAATGTTTCTTTAAAAAAGATCCAGCTTTATTTTTACAGGAAATTCTAGCTCAGCATGTAGATAAACTGAACAATAATGGCAAAACAACCGAGATAAAAAGCCTTCTTGACATATTAGAAGGTAAAGATCAAAATAATTTAAACATGCATTAGTGGTAAAACACAAATTTTATTTTAAGATAGTTACATAAAATGATTTAATCGGTTTTACCCAAATATCATGCGACTTATTTTCAACTTGTCTTTTGCCAACATTTTCAGATTTCTTAATTTAAAGCATTTTTAACATTTATAGTAAAATTCATTTTACCAGAGACCATAAAATTCAGGATCATTTGCAGAAAACAAACGTTTATTTTTAAAAATAGCTGACATATAATTTACAAGAGATTCTAAGACAGAGCTTTCTGAAACATCACAAGAAATACCTGTCAGGAGTAACACGAAAAAGTACTTTTAACACCAGCAAGTTGCTGTCGTTCCGTACTTGGATACACATACTTGAACCGCTTTAAGATGTCGAGTCAAAGAACTAAAGCTTCCATCTTCATTCAACGTATACTACGGTCTACAGTAGTAAATTTCTTATGCAACTCCAATAGGATCATACCGACAAGATTGGCATGGTTCATTTCAGACCTTATTGTATCAAAAAAAGGAACAAGGCAATATAAATTGAGAAACCTCGTCTTAAACAAGTCTGAAACATATACAATGATCATTGTTACTAGAATATCCTCCAACTTTATCATACACAACTTTTTCATAAATCTTAAAGATAACAGTAAGAACTGACAGCTTGTGATTCATTCATTCCTCTTTTGAGAGTGCCTCTTTTTCTATAGGGAACAACGTGGGGTTACTTAAGATAATCAAGAACAATACTTTGTACTAGGGATGTGTTTTAAAATTACTTTGTATCAGGGATATGTTTTAAATGGTTATGTACATATGTAATAAGTCTCACACATGCTATTACACGCTATCCGTAACTTTTTCACAGACAAACCTCAACAAAGCTTGTTCAGACAAGTTGAATGAAATTAACCAAGGTCAAAATTCAAAAATCAAAACTCTCATAGTACATTTGTTTACATTTTGAATATTCACTGGAATTAAATAAGTTCACCTTTTCGTTTTTATTTTTCATAAATACTGAGTAGAATTCGAGATTACAAAACAATAATATGGTAATACACATAATTTTGTCTAATATCTATAACATTGCTTTTATTTAGAACATAAAACTAAAGATATCAGTTACGACATGAACGGAGAAGTGACGGAGGCACAGCAATTCAGGGAAACAATAGAACGAATCGAAGTTGTATTAAAAGAATATAAGGTACTGATAAAGCTGTATTTAAGGTAATGATGAAATGGAACACAAAACATTAAATGTAGTATACACTTGATAGACCCAATAGCAGCACTTCTTTAATTATTTAAGATATTTCTGTCGTATAAATTATTTTTTCTTAAAATTTTTACTATGCAGTTACTTACATAGGAATTGAACTAGACCAAGAAACATGATTTTTTTCTTCTTGGAGTGAAATTGTCGTATATTGTTCTTTAAATTTCCTTTAAACTGTGAGCAAATTACGCCTAGGTTTTCATCATAAAATGAAGCAACTTTCACTTTACTGATAGTTCTTACGATGACGTAAAATGTGGCATAATTGTTTCAGTTTTTGCTCGTGTTCAGCGGTCCGATTATGATTATGAGTTTTCGTTACCGGACCCTTTCTGTTTTTATAGTTCACTCCGTCCCCTTTCTATGCTTTTCCAAGAGATTTGAAATATTTCTGCTCCACTTATCTGTATATTCTGACAGTGTGCACAATATCTATTAAAATAATTCTGTGAAACTGTAGTCAACAAAGTCTATCACTGAAACTATTGAGTGGTCATTGTAGCGGGTTTTTTTTTGTTGTTATTGCTTTTGGTTGTTGTTGTTGGTGTTGGTAGTGGGTTTTGTTTTTTTGTTGTTTTTTTTTTTTTCTTTTTTTGTGTTTTTTTTTAACGGAGATGTCACCTCAAATTGCCCAAAGAAGTGCAATGAATCAATATAAACTAGAAACGCGATTTTTTTAAACATTTCAAATAATAAGCAAATATACCTGAACAGTGCAAGAATCTCACAGAATAACTAAAGTTCAATTTTGATTTTCTTACTATACTTTTTCACCACTGCAGCTTGTATGATATCGGGAACAAATTTTTAAAGTAATCCGTCTGTCCGATGTCTTGCCCTGGACAGTGTAAAAAAAGTCTCTTTCTTTTTAAATAGACACTTTTCCATTATAGTTTATAGCGTGGTACGTGTTCTGATGAATCGAAGTCCTGCTTTAAGAGTACATTGTATTTGTTGACTGGATGGCGGCAAGAATTTTCATTTGAAATTAAAAGTAATGACTCTCTCTGAGAAGCTTGAGCTGCCCAATAGTAGTGTTTCGATCTGCTAATTACATATATGTCAATGAATTTCTTGTAATAATGTGTTGAATATAGAGTTATCCTGCCCGAACGATTGGAAATTGTTCTATTTTTCAATTTTCCATCGAAATTGCAGCCTCTTTAAAAAACTTCATCATTCTATTCTGTAAGAAATCAGACGCATTCTGGAATCAAAAGAGTTTATAAATCCGGGAAGTAAGGGGTCACAAGATTTAAGAAAGTTTCTTTTTTTTTCTTCAATAGCGTTATGTTTTAGTGTGTGGTGGGTATGGTTTTCCTTTCTTGGCGTTTATTTCGTGTATGAAACGCAGATAACGAGTTAAACTCTGCAAAATCATCCAAAATCTGGAAGCCAAGTTCTTTAACTGTTGCACCTCAGAGTTACGATAAATTGCCCAATCTTTCCAAACAACTATGATCCAGTTGTAATAAATCTATGTTGCTTTTGACAACATCCCATTCTTCTAAGCTTTAGTATTAGTTTTATTAGTTTAACATGAAACAGATCGACAAAAAAGATGCGGAGTGAACTATAAGTCTGTAGCTTATATTTTATTTCTTAGTCTTTCCCATTAGACTCAATGGTTTTACGAGAACTAAATACCAAATAAAAACACAAAAGCCGGTACAAATATCAATATGCAAAAATGTATTTGGGTAATTAACAACATAATTGACAGGAGGAAAAATGACTTGAATAAGAAACTATAAAACCTTATGACATATTTTAATACGATATTTCATAATTTTTTAATTGGTCAAATTATCGTAAATGGATAGCTTTTGCTTCAACTACCTTTAAAACAAGCGAAAAACAATTTGTTGTATCAGCAAATGGTAAATCATGATATTTTTGTTACATAGCGTATTAATGCTAGTTGATCATTTCTTCTTGCAAAAAGATCCATATCGAATGTGTGATATATAGATATTTGTTACTTTGATTGCTCATATTATATTTACATCGGATTTTTAAATGCATGGTCCTATTCAAATACTACAAATCAAAAAATGTAACGTGAAATTGTACATAAGTGTATTTAATTCATTTATCTTCAACTAAAGGGAAGGACCGATACGTATAAGATTTTCTTGCATTGATATCAATATCTAGTGCTAAAATGCATTAATATTGTGTACTTTTTTAATCATTTACAGTGGCTAACGTGGCCGAGTGGTTAAGGCCGTTGATTTCACCCACTCACCGATATTTCATGTGAAGAACTATCCAACAAGCTTATGGAAAGTCAGTGGTTCTACTCAAATGCCCGCTCGTGCCTGAAATAATGCATTGGGGCAAAGATGTATTCTTAACCAGTGTAGCGAAAACGTGTCTATGTGACCGTAAAAATAAACTCTGTATTTGTAAAATAAAAAAAAATCAACTTACCAAAACAGTAGCGTTTATAAGTCACTTTTTAAGTTAAATCAATATAGTGATCAATGAAATATTATATTAATAAAAACATTGATGAATTTTGAAATTGCTTATCAAAATCATTATAATGTTATCAATTTCACGAAATAATGCTTATATATTAATACTCTATCATAGGAATTTCCTCAGCGATTAAAAGATTCATTTAAAGGTGTGACAAAAGATATTTACTCGTGTGTAGCAGAAAATATGCAAGAACACAATCAACTGATAAACAGAAAGACCAGTATCAGAAGGAAAAATAGTCGAGCAAAAGAAATAAAACATCAAATTGGCGTTTCAGGTTTGTGATTTAACATTAACCAGGGACAAAATTATCTTAAAGCAATCAAGTATATGCGGAAAGAGTGTTTAAAGAATAAAAAATGGGTCAAAAATCATTCAAACACATCATTTGAACATAATCAGGATAGACATTTATAACCGAAAGATATGCAAAGATTGTTAAGTATAACACTCAGAAATAGATTGTTTTCAAAAATTTACATCGAAATATTGCAACTTAAATTGTACTCATCTCTATCATGTTAGTGACATAAACCAGAAAATTATCCTGGTGTGAGTGAACAACACTGTCATTGTTTAATATTAATCGCTGTCTCGCCAAATGACAAATACCCCCGAAACGTTTGTTAGTATTGCAGAAAGGAGTTATGAAAAGAAAAGAGAATAAAAGTAAATAATTGATAAATATTGTTCCTGTCAAATGTTGTGCTACTCATAGCAAACTTACCACATTTGGAAGTATGGATATGGATCCTGGACGCCACACCTGATCTAATGAACTAATGTGTACTTTCAACCTCTTACAGCGACCTTTAAGGTATTGAAATGTGCATAAGACGCGACACGTCTTCTCGGTGTAGCACATATTTTTGCCAAGATATATATTATTCTACAATGTACAACAAAGTCGCAGTCCGGACATGAATGAGTACCTTCAATTTCTTCTTGTGAAAATAGTACCTTCAAACTATATGTGTGAACTTCAAGTTAGAGGTGGGAACATTGGTCTTTGACGCGATACGTCGTCTTGATATGGAATAGAGAAAATAACAATCCCCAAAGAGAGCCCAAAAACTGCAAAATTGAAAATGTTGCAGGCTTGGTTTGCTTGAGTCTGTTCATAGTACTGTTAAGTGCAAAAAACGTCCAAGTCCCCTAGGACTGGCAAAAGCGAAATTCAACTGGTAAAACTTTATATTTTGGAACACAGATATGCCAGGTTAATTTAAATTGAATCCATGCATGAAAATGATAAAGTTCGGACACGAATGTGTGAACTTAAAATTACTAATTGTGAGAATGTGAAACTTTAAATTGTAAGTGTGGCCTTGACCTTTGAGGTAGGGACATTGGTCTTGGACGCGAAACATCATCCTTATGTGGTTGAGTTTATGACAAGTTGCTTTAAAATCTTTCAAAGTATGACGTTTACAGTCCAGACACGAAAGTTGTGTAAGTGACGACGCATAGACACGAACGGCGCGTTTAAATATACTGCCACTCGAGAGGCAAAACTACTTAACTAAATTTTAACTTAATCATGGACTAATCCAGTGATTTGATTTCACCTTCGTTAATACATTATTAGGTATAGATAATTCACTACTGTATTGTATGAACAAACATATAGTTCACACTACCCCTTCCTGTGCTTTTCATCTAATCATTGCCCAAAGATTTCCAATTTTTAGCTCCAATTATCTGTATACTTTTGACAATGTGAACAATATTTATTATTCAGAATAATTGAGTGAACAATGATGTAGTTAATTTGGAAGTTTCTGTGTACAATATTTATTGTTAAATTATTAAAATCATTTAATGAACTATTATGTGGTCAATATGGTAGTTTCCAAATATAAAGAATTAAGCTCCACCTACTGGAATGGTCGATTCTCATATGGTTCAAAAAATAAAATTTCAGTCAGATATTCATGTATGTGAAAAATTAAAAAGCTTTCTTGGTCATCCCCCACATACCTTACATTAATTATACATGTATAACACATTGTAATATTTACAAACAAAAGATCATCATATACCTTAAATTTTATCATATTAACATTATAATTAAAGCATACAAATAGTATATTTTACACATGTATGTAAGTAAACAAAAGAGAACCTAACATAAATATAGAATGTCAGTGTAATTTATTCGATTAATAATCTTACAATTTGCCATCTTTTAATTTCAGTGTCAGTCAAATTGGTATTTTTGTAAATAGTCCAGGCTAATTTAAGGCTATTTTTAAAGCCAATACATGTGGGTAACAATTTTTTTCTCTTAGACAAATATATGTATTTTTTTCAATTCTAAAAACAATATATCATATTCGAAGTCCTTATCTTCAGAACCTAAAATAAAAGATTTACAGTTGAAAATATTGTCAAAATTATGTATGTTACTTTGCAAATAGTGAAATAGAGACTGAATTTTTTGACATTCCCAAAATAAATGTATAAGTGTTTCTTCTTGACAGTTACAGAAAGTACACATTTCATTATCAACAATTTTCATTTTAAACAGCATTGAGTTTGTTGCTAAAGTTCTGTGAATTATTCTAGTCTGGAACCACTGAATGTATGAATCTTTGGTACATTTAAATACATAACTATATATCAATGGCCAGTTTATATTATTATCTATAAAGTATGTGTTCCATTTTTCCTTACTTGTTGGTACATCTGTATTTTTAACAAAAGTTCCATACAGGTATTTCTTATTGCTATTTGTAATAATAATAGGTTTGATAAAACAGTTTACAATAGGATATTGAACATTTAGCAAATCAGTATTAATGGTAATATTTAGCTTTAGCATGTAAGATTTTAATGTAGATATATCTATGTCCTATTGAAAAGCAATGGTTATAAAACAGTGGCATATGTAATATTTGTTCGAAGTTATCTATACAAAGTTTATCAACAAACATGTAAGCTTTCAAAACATCAATCCAGAAAGCATTCTTAATCTTATTATCAATTGACATACAATACATTTTTCCAAAATTAAAAACTTTATCAATATTAAACAATGAGTTCACAAACTTATAACATTTACTATCACAATTGCTAACATATCTTTTAAGCCATTTTATTTTTAAAGAATGAACATAACTACTAATATCTACCATGTTAAGACCACCTTCTTTGTATGTTTTAATGATTACAGATTGTTTAATTTTTGCCTTACCTTCCCATATGAAATCATAAAATAAATCATTAAGTGTTTTCAAAAAAGCAGTATTAGGTGTAGGTAGGCTTGTAAAACAATGAGTAAATAAAGGAAGCAATATTGACTTAACAACAGTGATTTTTCCTAGTGGAGTTAATACCCTTTTTTTCCAATGACTAATACTATTTTTTACTTTCTGCAGCTTTTCATCAAAATTTAGATCAATCATTTTTTCTAAATTAACATCAAAAGTTAATCCTAATTGTTTATAGTTTGTAGTAATACAGGTCTGCTGTCATGCTTCTTAAATGTTGGAATTCTATGAATTGCAGTTATTTCCCTTCTTTCAAGATTCACTTCTTTTTGTTTGAGTATGGTTATGACTTGATCTGTCAATGATTCCACTGATTCTGTTTTATTTTCTGGGATATTAAGTATTTTTTATGTTATTTTTTCTTGAATGTTGTTCATTATAATTTGATCTTTTGGTAGCATCTTTCACTTCAGTTTCATTTTTTTCAATCTGTCTTCAATTTCATCTACTCTTCTGGTTGTGTCATTATTTTCTTTCATTAGTCTCTCCCTTAAGCTTTGATTATCAAATTCTAGCGAGGTGATTTTTTCATTTAGCTCTCTTGTTTTTTAATTTAATTCAGCTGTTACCATGCTTTCTTGTTTTTTGTTTTTGTTTTTTGACCTAGAGAATGATAATGCCAAAACGTGCAAGCAAATTCAGGCTATTCTTAATAGCCGTAGAAATGTCGGTGTAAGCACAGTGTAGCTCATTTTAACACATTTCAGGAAACAGTCATAGGCTCAATGTTTGTATGCAAAAAAGATAAACCGATTTTAAGGACTGACATCAGATTTCAATATCATGTTTCTCTCTTATGCATGTGGAGAGTGGCGGCATAAAGTATATGTTGCAGTTCATATATTAAAATCATAAACAAATTAAGTGCAAGGGAGCTATAGCTTTTAGGAGAGGCTGTGGTACACAGTTTCTCTCTATATAAAAAGAGCCCTTTACATACATTTAGAAGGGCTAGCAACAGTTCAAGATAATTTTTTAAATGCTTAAAAATTGTGTCCTGTTTATATCATTTCAATTATACCAAATGAGTATAAATGATCAACTGAAGCACGTACAGCACAATTTTTATGCCCCCATTTCGAAGAAAAGGGGGTATATTGCTTTGCACTTGTCGGTCCGTCGGTCCGTCGGTCCGTCGGTCCGTAGACCAAATGGTTTCCGAGTGATAACTAAAGAACCCTTAGGCCTAGGAACTTCAAACTTGGTATGGTGATTGGTCATGACCAGTAGATGACCCCTATTGATTTTGGGGTCAAGGGGTCAAAGGTCAAGGTCACATTGACCTTGTAAGCAAAAACGGTTTCCAATCAATAACTAAAGAACCTTAAGGCCTAGGAACTTCAAACTTGGTATGGTGATTGGTCATGAGCAGTAGATGACCCCTATTGATTTTGGGGTCAAGGGGTCAAAGGTCAAGGTCACATTGACCTTGTAAGCAAAAACGGTTTCCGATCAATAACTAAAGAACCTTAAGGCCTAGGAACTTCAAACTTGGTATGGTGATTGGTCATGACCAGTAGATGACCCCTATCGATTTTGGGGTCAAGGGGTCAAAGGTCAAGGTCACATTGACCTTGTAAGCAAAAAACGGTTTCCGATCAATTACTAAAGAACCTTAAGGCCTACGAACTTCAAACTTGGTATGGTGATTGGTCATGACCAGTAGATGACCCCTATTGATTTTGGGGTCAAGGGGTCAAAGGTCAAGGTCACATTGACCTTGTAAGCAAAAAACGGTTTCCGATCAATAACTAAAGAACCTTAAGGCCTAGGAACTTCAAACTTGGTATGGTGATTGGTCATGATCAGTAGATGACCCCTATTGATTTTGGGGTCAAGGGGTCAAAGGTCAAGGTCACATTGACCTTGTAAGCAAAAACGGTTTCCGATCAATAACTAAAGAACCTTAAGGCCTAGGAACTTCAAACTTGGTATGGTGATTGGTCATGATCAGTAGATGACCCCTATTGATTTTGGGGTCAAGGGGTCAAAGGTCAAGGTCACATTGACATTGTAAGTAAAAACGGTTTCTGATCAATAACTAAAGAACGCTTCGGCCTAGGAACTTCAAACTTGGCATGGTGATTGGTCATGAGCAGCAGATGACCCCTATTGCTTTTGGGGTCAAAGGTCAAGGTCACATTGACCTTGTATGTTAAAACGGTTTCCGATCAATAACTAAAGAACCCTTAGGCCTAGGAACTTCAAACTTGGTATGGTGATTGGTCATGACCAGCAGATGACCTATTGATTTGGGGTCAAGGGGTCAAAGGTCAAGGTCACATTGACCTTGTAGGTAAAAACGGTTTCTGATCAATTAACTAAAAACACTTAGGCCTAGGAACTTCAAACTTTGTATGATGATTGGTCGTGACCAGCAGATGACCCCTATTGAGTTTTGGGTCAAGGGGTCAAAGGTTAAGGTCATGACCAGTAGATACTTGATAACCCTTATTAATTGTTTGATCACTGGGTCAGAAGTCATGCATAATAACCTTATCACATGACTATTTGGCTGCTGATAGGGGGCATACATGTTTTACAAACATGTCTTGTTACCAAATGCATTGGCTCAATAGTTCGACCCAATATATTTTAAGCTGATGTAACATGGATATTTAGTTTTTTTAGAATTAATGAAGGGCGGTCGTAGAATATGGGCAACTAAATGCCTACCACAGCTGCGTCAGTAAAACTTTATGTACCTTTTTCATCAGGAGCTGAACATTTATATTGTATTCTCCTTCTGAAAGCAATCCCGAAAAGAAATCATTATCATTTCTTCCTATAACATGGATATTTATTTACTCCGCCATGACCAGTCAATGTTTTAGCACTCGAATATTATATATGTTAGATTGTTCTCCCTGTTCAGTTAAACGTAATCGTCCGTGTTTAAGTGTGAGCAGGTATTGGGCAATAGTCACACGTTAACATCGTCCCTCTTAATCTTAATGACTGTCAATAACCTATCATGGATTACGTTACATGAAACTGATCACCAAAAGAGCAGTGTGAACTATAAGGCGGACATAGTTCACATACAAGAATAATATACAAATTAAGTGGAGCTATCGCAATGCTCCTGTCGAGTGGTTAAGGTCGTTGACTTCAAACCACTTGCCCCTCACCGCTGTGGGTTCGAATCCCGACAGGGACTTTGGATTCTTTCATGTGAGGAAGCTATCCAGCTAGCTAACGGAACGTCGGTGGTTCTACTCAGGTGCCCGTTCGTGCCTGAAATAATGCACGGAAGGGCACCTGAGGTCTTCCTCCACCAGTAAAGCTGGAACGTCGCGATGACCTATACTGTGTCGATGTGACGTAAAACCAAAAACAAACAAACAAAGCAATGCTCCCTTGCACTTAATTTGTATATAATTCTAGTACTATATGAACTATAATCTATCTATGTTTAACAATTGAAAAATATTTTAGCTACAGTTCAGATATATTACACACCAGATGGAATAATGAATGACATACAAAAGGTTCTGCAAACAACCTTGAGAAGCGAGTTAGGAGCTGTGAAGTTTATTCCTGTATGCGACAAATCCGAAATTAATGACGACATGCTGTTAATCATTACATGCAATGTGTCATCAAGAGTTGTTTCGGATGCAGTACATGCTATGAAAGACATCACAAGTAACATATTTCAAATTTTTACCTTCACATAATTAACTTATCGTAATTCATTACGTTATTTATTACTACTTGAAAGTTACCTTTTACTAAATATGTTCGGTAACATTGATTAAAAATTTCAAGCTAACTAAAGATAATAAATGTAATATACCATGGACAAGCCAGTTCTCAAACTTCTAAGCATTCAATAGATATTTATTTATCTTTATAAAAATTAATTACATATGAACACCTTAATCTTTATTTAATATTTATGTGCAATTTTGCTTAATTTAAAAAAAAACGAAACTTTATTTCCATCCTGGAAAAACGCAACCCATTTTGTGAATCGGGCCTAGGCTAGTAAAGCAAAGAATCTAATCTCAAACCTCGCCAAACATTTCTCACATTCTACTGTATTGTTTTGCCAATGAAGTGATTGTCATATAACTATCACATGAAAGTGAAGTGCCCAACAGGATGCTGTCACCTGCTTAAAGATTATTTATTTGCTTCCTATATTCATTTTCACAATCAGTAAATGGTGTATCTACAGGACTTTCAAAGGCAATAGCAATTTGTATGAAACTATGCTAAGTAATAAACTATGTAATTGTAAATATCTGTTCCTATTTACCGTTTTCATTTGACAGCAGCGGGCATGTGTGCCAGAAACTAAACTTGTATGCACACAAGTTGCTGACATAGTAAAAATTACATAGCTCATGATTGAAAGGTTTGAGAATAGTTAGGTGAGAGATTAGGTAATTAATTATAAGATACATGTAATTGTTTACACGTTTGATAATTGTTTTGTCAAACCAAACATGAGCCTGATATGTGATTTAAAAGTAAACATTTCAGTCCTGCATATCGGTGCCCATAGAATACTTGTGTCTTTTAATTTAGATATGTTCTTTGCTACATACATGGCTAGTGCTTGAAGGTCAGAAAGATTATCAAGTGATATTTTGTATTATCTTTTAGACAAATCAAATTGATTCTTTACTAATAACCTTGAGGAAAAAAATCTGAATGTTAGCATTCTATTACAATTACAATTAATATGTTAACAAGGTGTTCGTTGATTTATGTATTCCCAAAAAGTAAATACATATCTTCCAAGTGAATGTAAATTCGAACATTGTTTTTTCAGATTCAGCAAATGCGGCCCTCTTGCTAATACATGTCGGTGAGGCACACACATTTTCAAATACAAACAGTTCTTTACATTTGACAGGGAATGAATTTAATAATCTGCGAGGAATTTATGACATGTTCTTTGTGAAAAGTAATCACGACTTCCTCAGATGTGACATGAACAAAAACAGTATCAAAGGACTGTGCTCATTCTGTAAAGGCGATCCTTGTATCGCATGTATTGAAAGTACGCATTTTTAAAAGTTCGTACGAAAAACGTATAAAATTAGATACATGAACAGTCATGTCATATATGAAGGCGTTGTAAAACATATTTTCATGTAGTTAAAAAGAAATTGAAATATCGTTTTACTTGAAGGACTTTTGCATGTTAGAAATTTATAAATCAGAAAATATTAATATAAACCTACATCTTCGCTACCTACAGTTTACGAACGTTTTGTTATGTCTTTCCTTATACATATTAAATCGACAACAACAACAATTTCCGCATTCAATCTTTCATGGAAAATGACTTGAATGACCAAGTAAAATACAAATTACTTATATCGTGAAAATATTAAAAACAATAAAAGGAACTGTATACCATCAAGATCTAACATTTGACACTGTCTGGATGGCAAATGGGCAGTTTGTCAAGAACTTGAACCTTGGAATAATGTTCCACAGCTCTGTAAACTGATTGCCTGGACATGAAGGTCGCAAATTGACAAACCACGGTGTCTCCTGTATTAGGTTTGCTCAGATTTAAAAAAAAACTGTTGATCAAACAACATCATTTAACAGTGTTAAGGCTTTAATTAGTGTTGACTACAATTTGGTCTTTATGTAAGGTCATTATGTAAAAGAACAAACAGAACAAGTTGTAATAAACATATTTATATAGATATATAGTGTTTGAAACTTGTTTGATCAATATAATTGCAGCATTTCAAAAGAAACATAACATATTTACTTATCCGTCTAACCTGAGTTACCTCGCTGTTAAATCATTTTCACAGGCAAAATTTGTTCGGAATAAATATCTATGATAAACAATGTCAATAAATTCGGTAACTCAATACCTGTCATCTTTTATTTAGTCAGTATTTTTATCGATATTTGCGCCCGAAATCGTTTTCTTTTTTCGTCCAAGCGTCAAACGGAAATCCTCAAACCGCCAAAGATTATAGGTTACTGGAATAACGCTAATTGACAAAAAGAATTGGACAGTCTTTTTTATTTTAACTGATTTTATGTTTTCTCCTTAACATTTTGCAATATCCAGTACGGTCCATCTCTATCGTAATAGTCAATCTTTTAAAATATTGCTAATTAAGCTCTACTTAACAACAAACAATTAACATAATGACATTTTAAGAAATATATATTAAGTTTAAATTCGTTTCAAATCAAGATTGACCATAAGTCAGCCAGTCAAAAAGGTCAATGTCTGCGGAAAATGTACAACGATATGATGAAAATTAAAACGATTCAATATTCAAGTAATAATTTACATTCGCAAATATGATTTATTAGTATTTAATACCATATTTGCACTGCTTGACTTACAAAATAAGAGCTATTTTTTGCATATTTTGACCCCTTTACTTGGTAATGTGCGTGGATTTAAAGTACCGTCTGCAATATGTAAATTACTTTCTTTGCTCACTTTGCAATATTTTAGTTTATAATATATTTTCTTTTTCTTTTTTATGAAAATAATCATTAATCAACAGGCGTGCTTATATGTAATATTGAATAAAAGAGATGTGATACGAGATGTAAAGATGATCATATTTGACAAATGAAAGAAAAGATGTATTTTTTATTTTTGATATCTCTTTAAAGCGCTGAAAACAACACAACAAAAATAAAGATGAAGTAAAACATATATGGAATAGGTTATACATTGAAAGTAATAAAAGTCTACAGTTTTTTTTATACTCGAGTAACGTATGTCTGGTGATTATTTTAGTGTTAATAGAATGTACTTAAACACAACTCTTAATGACTTTTATCATAATGCAGAAATTATTGACATTTCAGAAGAAAAAGTAGGTTCTGGTAATTGACCAGAGAGTATTATTTTGGAAACTTTAAAATTATTCAAGAAATATAAACATTTTCGGAAAATAAAAGCATAAGCATAGGTCAAATATTTTTCTTGCGTATTCTACCATATTCCACCATATTTTAACTTTTATCCTAAATAAAACAATTTTACATGGAAATTTATGTCATTACACCCTTAACAATTCCCTTACAACAGCGTATGAAATTACAACTTAATTCATAACGGTGATTCATCCGGCACCGCTCATGCCAGATGAAATTTCCGGACTGAAACATTCCAGTTTTATACAGTCGGTCAATTTGGAATAAATTCCTTAAATATTTTCTAGGTGTCCAAAGCTTAAAGAAATCACTTTTTGATCTCTTCAAAATGCTATTAACAATGCTATCTTTGAACAAAAGCACGTGGTTTCATTATGAAGGGTTTTTTACCAAAGAAAATATCAATATTATCATTTGGTTAAAATATACTTCGACGCGGGGGTTCTATTCTATATAAACAAGAGCCGGTTGAACCGGATGATGCTCCCCGAATAGGTTTTGGACACAGGAAGGTATACCTCTTGTAGTGTCAGAGTTATGTCACAGACAAAGTTCAAAGTGTAAAAACAACCCAAATGTTGTGCACCACACATTGTCTCAATATGGTGATCATTTCTGTGAAATAGTTGTAAAATCTAACTTCAAATAACGAAGTTATGGGCCGGACATGATTTCGCTGCAAGTTCATGCTGTGACCTTGACCTTCAAGGTAGCGACCCAAATGATGCGCGCGTCACGTCATCTCAATATGGTGATAATTTCTGTGAAATAGTTGTAAAATCTGACAACAAATAACGAAGTTATGGGCCGGACATGACTTTGCTGCAAGTTCATGCTGTGACCTTGACCTTCAAGGTAGCGACCCAAATGATGCGCGCGTCACGTCATCTCAATATGGTGATAACTGTGAAATAGTTTTAAAATCTGACAACAAATAACGAAGTTATGGGCCGGACATGACTTTGCTGCAAGGTCATGCTGTGACCTTGACCTTCAAGATAGCAACCAAAATTTTGCGCGCGACTAGTCTTCTCAATATGGTGATCATTACTGTGAAATAGTTTTAAAATCCGACTTCAAAAACGAAGTCATGGGCCGGACACGATTTTGCTGCAAGGTCATGCTGTGACCTTGACCTTCAAGGTAACGACCTTAATGTTGCGCGCGACACGTTGTCTCAATATGGTAGTCATTTCTGTGAAATAGTTTTAAAATCCGACTTCAAATGATGAAGTTATGGACCGCACACTATTTTGCTTCAAGGTCATGCTGTGGCATTGACCTTCAAGGTAGCGACCCAAATGTTGCGCGCGACACGTCGTCTAAATATGGTGATCATTTCTGTGAAATAGTTTTAAAATCCGACTTCAAATGACAAAGTTATGGGTCGAACACGAATTCGGGACGTACGTACAGACGGACTGACAGACAGAAGGACTTACGGACGGACAACCTGACGACTATATGCTGTAATGATCAATCACCATACCAGGTTTGAAGTTCCTAGGCCTAAGCGTTCTTAAGTTATTGATCGGAAACCGTTTTTACCTACAAGGTCAATGTGACCTTGACCTTTGACCCTTGATCCCAAAATCAATAAGGGCCATCTGCTGGTCATAACCAATCACCATACCAAGTTTGAAGTTCCCAGGCCTAAGCGTTTTTTAGTTATTGATCGGGAACCGGTTTTTTCCTACAAGGTCAATGTGACCTTGACCTTTGACCCCTTGACCCCAAAATCAATAGGGGTCATCTGCTGGTCATGTCCAATCACCATACCAAGTTTGAAGTTCCTAGGCCTAAGCGTTCTTTAGTTATTGATCGGAAACCGTTTTTACCTATAAGGTCAATGTGACCTTGACCTTTGACCCCTTGACCCCAAAATCAATAGGAGTCATCTGCTGTTCATGTCCAATCACCATACCAAGTTTGAAGTTCCTAGGCCTAAGCGTTCTTTAGTTATTGATCGGAAACCGTTTTTACCTATAAGGTCAATGTGACCTTGACCTTTGACCCCTTGACCAAAAATCAATAGGGGTCATCTGCTGGTCATGCCTAATCACCATACCAAGTTTGAAGTTCCTAGGCCTAAGCGTTCTTTAGTTATTGATGGGAAACTGTTTTTACTTACACAGTCAATGTGACCTTGACCTTTAACCCCTTGACCCCAAAATCAAAAGGGGGCCATCTACTGGTCATGACCAAACACCATACCAAGTTTAAAGTTCCTAGGCCTAAGCATTCTTTAGTTATTGATCGGAAACCGTTTTTACCTATAAGTTCAATATGACCTTGACCTTTGACCCCTTGACCCAAAATCAATAGGGGTCATCTGCTGGTCATGACCAATCACCATACCAAGTTTGAAGTTCTTAGGCCTAAGCGTTCTTGAGTTATTGATCGGAAACCGTTTTACGAATTCGGGGCATTCGTACGGACGGACTGACTGACGGACTGACGGACAACCCGACGACTCTATGCTCCCCCGAAATTTTTCGGGGAGCATAAAAAACATTTAAGTCTTGTGTGAATCGTTAAAGCCAACACCTGCATGTGGCATAATAACATGAACCATTACATAAAAGTTCCATAAAGCAGAACCCTTAAATCAAATATAAGATTACTTAGACGTAGGTTATAATGTTACTTACATAGCTTCGCCACTTTTATCTCCAAAACTACATTGCCCAGAGCACAGTTATTTGGCATGCATGTGGAACACCGTTGTTACTACTTATTATGTATACATTAAGCATATAACTAAAGCCATCAACTCAAAGTGTCCTGCCATTTGGTCACATAGGTTATTTACAATTATACAGGTAAATACATGTTAATGTGAAAACAAATGCTAGTGCCGTGATAAGTTTCATGTGGCGCTGCGCCGATAAAACTATTACAAAATTATATTGACCTTTACCTGGGATGAAAAATATGTATAACGATCATGCATGTCACTTAGGTAAAAACTTGTCCCACCCCGGAAACAATTAATTGATAAAGACTTATTCACAAAAGTTATTTGAATCGTCCTGTTGAAAGTATATAATACCTAAAGCTAAGATATTTAATAAATAGCATTCGACAAAAGATGATCCCCCTAAAATCAAATATTGCTCCGTTCTATGCACTCGCTGAGAAAACATTGACATGTACGAAGATCATAAATATCTGGCATAGTATTTCTTTTGAAATTCGTGGATTTCTACAAAATATCATACAAAACAAAGGTTTGGTGTTAAAATTTGTCCGACTTTGTGTGTCACTTTTCAATAGTTTTATACAGGAAAACATTTTTAAATGTTTGCGTAACATAAATACAATGCCCACAATTAAGATATATTTGGCATATAGCATTACCGTTTGATCGTCTCGGGAGGTTGTATAAATCGGGTTAATACAAGACATGTGTAAAACAGCAATACCTAGATTTTATCAAAGAGTTGATCAAAACTGGCACAAAGTCTATACACTTAACAATCTCGGTGAGGGCCGACCGCTAATGTTGTAGGAACTTTGGCCCAACCCGTTTGCTTTTGCTTTTTAGAATACATATGAAATTTGTATCTGTATTGTATATACATGTATATAGCAATAAAATATGATTAAACTAAGAATTGTGACTTTTTCTTGAAAGGCGGGCAATTTATTACAGCCATGTTCTTTTTATTAATTGATTATATTAGATAATGGTGGTAATTTGCTTATTATTTATGTCTTTTAATTTTGAAACATTCTTTTACATCCTCTATACCGATTTGCTTCTCATAATGTAAATAGAAGTAGTTGGAATTTCAAAAAATGTTTCAAAAAAGCATATCATTCAAAAAAATATATACATGTATTGAACAAATACATTATTTAACATTATTCAAAGCAAAATTATTCTTTTTCTTTTACATATTCCTTTAAATACCATGGAAGTGACCACGAGTAGTTACTGTAATGACATAATTATAATAATGACAATTTAAAATATAAAGTGATTCAATATTTCAATAGGATTTTTATGATATAAACATGCTAATATTTAGGAATAATCGAATAATATGAAATACAACTTGGGCCTTGTCAATTAAGTCTTATAAGTACATCAAACATTGACACAACACGCATTGCCTGTTTTCCTAATGTTGATACATGCCATGTAGACGTTTGATTTATCAACGTACAGTTTAAGGGTGAAATGTAGTCACTAGAATAAGAAATTTGTGATTGCTGCCAGATTAAAATTGTTATATTTTTAGATTCGATGTTATTAACAAAATCTAATAATTAACTGCTTTCAATCAAGTAAAAATGTCAGTAAAAATTTCTTACAGATTTTAAAGTGACAAAATATGATTTGCTTCATTAAAACATAGATATTTTTACAACTCAAAATTTGCTAAGGATTACCTTTTTGACATTGCATATTTCAGTGCTATTATCATCATATTAAAATCATATTTCCGCTAACGATACACCTGTGCGGGGACCTCATAATCGTGTACTTAAGATATCGATGTGTCATGTACACCTTGAACGATAAGCACGTGGAAAAGCATACCTATGAAAATTTGGTGTTTTTATGGCCATGTGCTTTCACTTAAACGTGTATAAGCAGCAAGACTTCTCTCGTTTTATTGTAAAACAGTGTTCGAAATTAACAAACTATGGCAAAACGACAGGGTAGACGTAGTCTTAGTGAATATGAGATAAACAGGGGTATTGGAATGTTGGAGTCAGGCCGTTCACGAAGGCAAGTTGCCAATGTCATTGGGGTATCCCGAAGCGTTGTCTCCAAAAGTAGAACCAATTCCTAATAACTAAAAATGTCTTGCAAGGCTACGCCGGAGATCGGGAACCTTCAACAACTTAAGCCAATTATCGATTTATTGTACTTCAGGCCAGGCGCCAACGGTTCTCGAACGCTACGACCTTACGTAACGGCTTCCAGAATGCAACTGGTGTGCGTGTTAGCACACAACTGTTAGAATCCGGTTGCATGATGGGTTGAGGTCATTGGGGCCAGCAATTTGCCTTCCTTTGACACAAAGCCATATTCAAGAGCGTTTGCAATGGGCGCGAATTCATGTCACACGGACAATTAATGATTCGACCCCGGTCCTCTTCATGGATGAGTCATGGTTTGTGTGGACTTCACAGACCGAAGGGCAAGAGTTTTGAGAAGTCCAAATGAACGCTTAGTTCCAGCATGCGTTGCAGAATACGACCCTTTTTTTGGCAGAGGTTCAGTCATGGTGTTGGCGGAAATAAGCTGTCATGGTAAAACGGACCTACACATCATTGAAAACGGTACACTGACGGCCGTAAGATACGTCAATGAAATCTTAGGGGTCCATGTACACACGTACGCTGGCGCAGTAGGCCCTGGTTTCATTAATATGGATGACAACGCCCGTGAACACGGGATTGGCCAGTGAGGTTCCCGAACTTAAATCCAATTGAGCATGCTTTGGATATGTTGCAGAAAGCCATTTCTTCACGCCACGTCCAACCAACAACAGTTCAGTAGCTAAGACATGCAGTCATAGAGGAATGGGCCCAGATTCCTCATCACAAGGTCCACATGCTCATAAGCAGCACGCGGCGGCGATGCTAGGCTGTAATTAATGTCCGCGGACACCATACTCGGTATCAAACAACCTACACCAACCATTTTCCGATTTGCAAGATTTGTTTCTCCACTATGTGATCTCCAAATTGTTGATTTTCGTCCAGCACACTCTTTCCGCAACAGGCACACGTCAAGGAACACTAACATTGTCATTATTTTCATAAAAATCAATTCCTAACTAATTATGCCCCCCTTCGAAGAAGAGGGGGTATATTCTTTTGCTAATGTCGGTCTGTCTGTCGGTCCGTCGGCCTGTCTTTAGATCCGTCTGTAGACCACATGGTTTCCGCTGATTATCTTGAAAACTATTTATCACAAAGTCTTCATATTTCAGATAGTTATTTTTCATAACTAGTAGATTAACCCTATTGATTTTGGGGTCACTAGGTCAAAGGACAAAGTCACAGAGGCCTTAAATGTCAAAATGGTTTCCGCTGATAATCTTGAAAAATATTCATCACAAAGTCTTCATGTTTCACATATAGATTGTACATAACTAGTAGATGACCCGCATTGATTTTGGAGTCACTAGATCAAAGGTCAAGGTCACAGGATTTTTAAATGTCAAAATGGTTTCTACTGATTATCTTGAAAAGTATTGATCAAAAAGTCGTCATATTTTAAATAGTGATTGGTCATAACCAGTAAATGGCCACCATTGATTTTGGGGTCACTAGGTCAAAGGTCAAGGTCACAGGGGTCTTGAATATCTGAATGGATTCCGCTGATGATCTTTAAAAGTACTCATCACAAAGTCTTCATATTTCACATATAGATTAGTTATCATAAGAAGTTAATGACCGCTATAAATTTTGGGTCAAGGTCACAGGGGCCTCAAATGTCAGAATGTTTTCCGCTCATTATCTTGGTTATAATTAATCGCAAAATCTTCATATTTCACATATTGATTGGTCATAACTAGTTTATGACTCTTATTGATTTTAGGTCACTAGGTCAAAGGTCAAGGTCAAAGGGACCTTGAATGGTAATATGATTTCCGCTTATTAACTTGGTTACTTTTTATCACATGTCTTCATAATTCACTTATTGATTGGTCATATCTAGTAGATGACCCCTATTGATTTTAGGGTCACTAGGTCAAAGGTCATGGTCACAGGGGTCTTAAATGTCTGAATGGGTTTCGCTGATTTATCATTAAAAGTATTCATCACAAAGTCTTTATATTTCACCTATTGATAGGTCATAACTAGTAGATGACCCCTATTGATTTTGGGTCACTCGGTCAAAGGTCAAGGTCACAGGGGCCTTAAATGTTAGAATGATTTCCGCTCAATATCTTGGTTACAATTCATCACAAAGTCTTCATATTTCACATATTGATTTGTCATAAGTAGTGAATGACCCTTATTGAATTTGACGTCACTAGGCAAAAGGTCAAGGTCACAGAGGCATTGAATGTTTATATGATTTCCGCTTATTATCTGGGTCACTGTTTATCACAAAGTCTTCATAATTCACATATTGATTGGTCATAACTGGCAGATGATCCCTATTGATTTTAGGGTCACTAGGGCAAAGGTCATTTCACAGGGATCTTAAATGTCTGAATGGTTCCCGCTGATTTATCATGAAAAGTATTCACCACAAAGTCTACATGTTTCACATATTGATGTGTCATAACTAGTAGATGACACCTACTGACTTTGGGGTCTCAAGGTCAAAGGTTAAGGTCACAGGGTCTTTGAATGGTATAGGATTTCAGCTCATTATCTTATTTATAATATAATAATATAAGTCTTCATATTTCACAGAGTGATTGGTCATAACCAACAGATTATCAGTATTGCTTTTGGGGTCACTAGATCACAGGGGCCTTAAATGTCAGAGTAGTTCCGCTTATCATGTTGAAAAATATTCATCACAAAGTCTTTATATTTCTAATATTGATTGATCATAACTAGTTAGTGACCCCTCTTGATTTTTTGGTCACTAGGTAAAAGGTCAAGGTCACAGGGGCCTTAAATGTCTCATTATCTTGTAAAATTTTATCGCAAAGTCTTCATTATTTTTCATTTTTCCATAATTGAATACTTCAATGTACCCATTTATGGCAAGTTTCTCTGACAAAATTATCAATAATGTGAGTCAAAGGCTATAAGGGGGCATATGTGCCGTTCGACATTTCTTGTTACATTTAATTTCTTGTCATAAATTTTCACATTTATTACAAATACACAAAAGTAACGCACTGTAGAAAAATAGTGATCCCTTTTTTAGCAGTATATATGTAAATAATAGTGCTTCAGTGATTTGCAAAATAAGTCTTGTAATACTCTTTGTCAAAGCATGACAAAACTATGATATTAATGAAAGAATCTCATTTTAAAACATTTTTAATTAAACTATTGGTATAGACTTAGTTTCAAAGAAATACTAGCATTGAATGATGGAATTATTAAGGTTACGTAAAATATCTTCTGTCAATGTTTTGTCATACATCCTTTATTTAATATACATGTCTATGTTTAATGACAAATAGGTCTGTTACTTTTTAAAATAAGTTACAATAGTAAATATATTCATAAAGTCAAAACTACGGGGAGTGATTCTTTTAAGTAAAAAATACGTTGAATGTGAAAAAAATACACAGTTAATAAGATACTGGATTTTATTGCATGCATGTAAAGCATCTGATTACATTGAAAGATAGCATCAGCAATGATCAATCGTGGCCACTAGGACCACAAGTATTTGTGAGTTCATGGATAACCACTCAAATATTACAGAACGAGCTAACAAACAGTTTCCAAAACAATTATGTAGAAAGAGAAAACAAATTGCTATCTATAATTGGTTTCTAATTTGTATAGCCAATTTTGTTTAGCGAAACGACAATATTTTATTTTTGAATACATAAACATATCAATATTCTATGGAAAGAAAATAAAATCGGCTAAATGTCAACCCTGCTATGTTAAAGTATTATTTCTGGTAGTCAGGTATCCACGAACACCTTTCTTAAATTCGGTTAAAGTAACGCAGTCGACTTGCAGCTGCAGTCACCTGGCTCTTAAAGCAGTCCTCCTCTAAAACACGTTACACAACCGATAAATTATCATATGAAAGGGAGATATGCAGCAAATATGAAAAGAAACACTAGTCTATCTTATTTATAACGTTTCAAAAGACGACAATTACGTTGTTTCCAATAGGAAAAGACGTACTGCTAATAGAGCTTAATAACTTTGATAGCCTGCGCTTTCTTCAAGATTTTCCAATCTTCTTTTCCCGAGTTTAATCATCTCCATACATGCAGCTGAAATAGATCAATCAATTTCAATTTATTGGTCATAAACTTATTTGTTATTAAGTTTGATGAATCAGTTTTGTTTGCGAGTTTTCAACAATTTACTTGTTTCAACAATTAAGATTTCTGCTACTGCACCAACTTTTTATGACACTTTGTACCCGGCGACCAGTGTAATCAAACCTACCGAAACGTATTTGCAGTATAAAATATTGGCAATTTTTCTAAATACCAAAGTTTTGTTATGTAGTGCAAAGTTTCTTAACGGTTTTTACGGTGTCCCTAATGAAAAGGGTGGAAAAAGTGATTCGTCAAAGATGCACTCACGTATGCTTAATGTAAAATCAAGACAGTCCCGTTACCCAAAAATGCAATGCATCATGGGATTATTGATTATATGTTCAATCCCCAACCTTTATAAAGTTGCGTTTAGTTTCACTACAGTTTATTGCGTATTTAACGAGCTGTAGAAGTAGAGAAGGGGATCATTTAAAGCGCACTAAGGTTCACACATTGCGCTCTATCAGAAATGCATCTATGTTGCTCCCGGGTCCGATTATTTTGGATCGAATTCCTTACGTTTTTCACCTTCTGTCAAGCCCTTGAGTGGTTGCAACTTAAACCAGCTTAATTGTGCATCTGTGAGAAAGTTTAAAAAAAAGCGCACAATGTGTCAAAGCTGGTGCAAAACTTCAGATGCCCGTGAATACACCTGTTTCCCGTCGAGCTCTGTCCACTTTCAAGACTTGTGACGGTCTATTACGCGCTATTACATTTAAAAGGTTTAAGACGTTTAATACGTCCTATGGCAAGTACTAGCCCTTAAAAATTCTGGCCCGGCATCAAACCGTAGGGAATTTAGGTGTAGGTGCCCTGTCCTGTTTTTGTTTAGGGTCCTCCTGGGCTCCTTGCCACTGGCTCTTGTTGCTGGGTCGGGTGGGGGCTGTGTTCATTGAACGCCGCCTTTCCTTGGTGATCTTGTTTATCATATTTTGTTACAGTAGAGCGTTTAGTGGCTACAATAAAGGATTTTCAAGATGGCGACGAGTCGTATTTCTGCATATTCTATCAAGTAAATTGGTTTCTAAAAGATATGTTTTTGTTTGGCTTGTAATGAAATGATTCCAGAATATAGGTCTACTTGATAGTATATGCTGAAACAAAATATATCTAACTCTCTGCTCATATTGAAAACTCTTGTGGCGCGATAGCTCAGTTGGTTAGACCGCTGACTGTCACTCCTGAGCTTCGAGGTTCAATCCTGGGTAACACCCTTGGGATTTTTCAGAAACACTGATATAAACACTATCAGTGTTTCCGACCTACCTAGAGGTATACTGGTACGAAACCCAGGTAATCCTCACATGCATCTGTGCTATACACTGGGCATGTAAAAGAACCAAGGGATCTATTCAATAAGAGCTAGGGACTAGTTCCCGGATTCCTTTGTATCTCATAGCTGTCTCTAGTGTCTGCTGAGGTAAGGACCCTACTGGAAATAAGTGCTTGCACTTTCGTAGGCTATCCTTGACCGCCCGGTCTAAAGAAAATAAATCAATTAATCATAATGTAACCACAAATCGCGATATTGTTGCACGTTTCCTACGTTCCATACGCCTACTACTGCAATAAAAAATATTTATGCTTTTCATAGTCTGCCAACCCGAATTCTCTTTAGTGGATCCCCCAAAACCACTGCCTTGTTCCGGGAAGCGTTTTTGAAATCCATGACGTATGTACTGTTGATAAGTGTCAAAACATTCACTGTTCTAGATTTTAAGGATGTAACGACGTAATAACTTCAGAGAAACACATACTTTGTGCCAACAATCAACACAATTGAAACAAGATATACATTAGATTATTTCAAAATTAATACTAAATTATTTTATTTAAATGTTTTTATCTTAATCATAATTTTAATAGGCCTGTTACATTTCGGTCACGTGATATAAACATATTGGAAAAAGATATTTTATAAAACAAAAACATAACAACCTAACAGAAGCGCATCGGCTTGTAGATCAACATTATTTTCATTAACGTAATTGACAACCGGAAAGAGGAGTTGTTGTTTAAATCGAAACCGTTCCAACATTTCCTGTTTGCATTTCTTTACTGCCTTGTCTGTAAATACACGACGTTTCTCTGTCCGCAAAAGGTCGCTTACTTCATCACACTTTGTCAAGACCACTACCAGCGGACACTCTGTAACAGGAAAAAACATCGAAATTTGATTTATCTTACAATGGCAAACAACCTAATTGTCTATTGAATACTTATGTCAAAATTGTTCAAATAATTAATCTATCAAATTAAATAATGCTGTTTTAAAACATGAAGTTACACTATCGTTTCCGTACTAAAAGATCAAATTGTGAATGTTGATTTGAAAGATAAAATGGAGCAAAAACAGAGAATCCTTGACGAACGACGAAAACGGATAAATCTAGTGTTCAGTATTGGTTTGAGTGAGCCTGTTAATGGACGGTAGGGGTAATTGTAAGCTACTGTCCTTGCCCCAAGCACCAAATTCAACATTTTATCATAACAATGGTAAATTTGTATTGAAAAAAACTTCCACAGAAGTGGGAAATTAAGGTTTGATAAATTATAACCTTCAGAATTGATGAATTGATGCAAATTTCTGATGAGCGCAGTCATCTTTTCTGACAGACCTTTTTGAATAGTCTTGCAGTCAAAAACAAAACATACGCAATGTATTTTGTCACAGGGTGATGGTTCGTTTATAAATTCCTTTTGCGTTTTTTGAATACCATTTATGATCTGAAACGGAAATAGATATCGATATTGATGCAATATAAGTGCATGTGGTTTAAATCATTTAGAAATTTCTTTCATGACACTATTCATGACTTGTTCACAATTTTGGGTTCGAGTCCCCCAGAGACTGTGAATTCTTTCATGTGATGAAGCTATCCAACAAGTTTACGGAACATTACAAGTTATACTCAGGTTGCCGTCCGTGACAGAAATAATATAGAAATGCACTATTCCTCCACCGGTAAAGCAGGAAAGTCGCAAAAAACTCTTTAGTGTTGTTGCAACGTAAACAACAACAAAAAACTAACCATGTCTTTTAATCTTCATTGTAATTTTCTGTACTCTAACCTTAAATTCAGCACAAGCATTGCTAATCAAAGAAACGAAACATAAAAACAACAAAACAACATTAGATTTTGATTAATTGGATAATATAACATAAATCACATTAAGTAAAAAATAATCATATATCAAAATAAAAAATGTATATATAAATTTAAACATTATATTTATCCGGCACGTTCCCTTCCATAATGAGCTTGACATTATCTTCTGTTATACCACCCACTTCCTGAAAGCCAGGGGTATCCCCAATACATACTCTGCTCTTTCTTCTATAACCATCGTCTAAGTATTCCATATCATACAATTTAAACTGAAATTTAAGAACGTTGTAAAATAGACGAAAATTTTGCTTTATATTTACATCGATTTTTTATTAAAAATCATAGAGCAAAATATTATCAAACAACCAATGTTATTGCCAAATAAAATATTCTGCTCATAGAAAATGAATAAAACTATGTATCAGGGTTGCTAGGACGGACGATGAAAGGATGAAAAAACGTTATTCAAAAACCGATTAGAATGTTTAAATTTCATTCAATGATTTTTGAAATCATATGAAACGTTGTTTTAAAATTGGTTCATTTAATGATATTAACTTTTTGACGCAAATTGCTGATAAAGTAAACAGTTTTGCTATTTGATGTAAAGGTAAAATATGTTAAAAACCTGATGCTAACAATAATGTAATAAAGGTAAAAAGACGATAAAAGGACATAAATTAACGATATTTTATTTATGGAATATTATGCAATATTTTACGTGTTGTAATATGTATATGAATGGAATTTAATATTTTCTATATTATTGAGAAATCTTAATTCAGTTAAATATAAAAAAACAACCACCTTCTGCGTTGCAGATGTAGCATTGTCCGACATTGCACATGCTGACCCGATTCCCACTGCTTTGAAAGTGATTTCATTACAAAGGGCAGATGCTATTGAGTCAATGAAGCTTGACTTTCCGGAACCTGTAGGTCCAACCACTAGAATCCTTAATGTCTTGTTTTCCAATGCTAGGGTACTCTCATAGATTGATTTTATTACCTTCCTTTTGTCATCTTCATTTTTCTGTAGTAATCAAATACAGTGTTGGAAACAGGAAGTTTATATGCAAAACCGTTGCCAGTTTCAAGCGTTCCAAATATCAGAATGTTTCCAATGCAGAAACTATTTTTAAAAAGATCAACACGGAAGAACGCCATTTAATAAACTCTAAATGAATCTAAAATGCTTATAAAGAATAAGCCGTGTTTTGTTTTATAAATGTTTGTTTCATTGCACTTCAAATCTAAAGTATCTTTACACTTCAGAAGGTTTAATTTACAACTGTACAAGTTTAATTAAAACCACTCTGTAAAACTAATTGTGAATTATTTAATGTTATATTGAACATAATATTGCATAAAAACAGTAGGAAAAGTATGTTTATACTAAAAAAATCTGAAAGGTAACATTTTTGAAAAAATGTGTAAACTGTTTTTAACCTCTGATCCCCTTTCAAAATTCATTTTTTAGTTCCGCCCATTGTTTTCTCGTGTAGGGCACACGCTCTCTATAACTTGGGGACCATACGCCGCTTTTCATGGAATGGCATGGAAGTGTCACATTGAAGGTTCCATGATTACCGCCGTATGAACACATCTGCGGATGTTTCTAAATTCAAAATTTTACCATATCGCTTTTAAATGTTGAATTCTGCTTAAGCCGGTGCTGGGGGGGGGGCATGGGCGGTAGTCTGCACTTTATAGTACCGTCCAGGAACAGGCTCAGTCAAACCGAGCCTGAAACATTTTCAATTTTGTCGTTTTGGGCTTTCTTTAGGGATTCTTATTTTCTCTATCTCATCGTCACATCAGCGTTGTTTGTGTCGTGTGGAGGCTGTAAAAAGTCGCCCCGTACATTCAATCAGAGATGTTATATTTCTGATCCTTAAAGATCGTTCAGCACGACATTATTGTTTTGCTTGTGGTATTTTTAGTTTTAATTTTTCGGAATTTTCTAGTTGGGTGGTTCCAATATTCCTACCTGAATAATGTTGAATCACCGTTAGGATATGTTGCTTGCTTTTTAACTTTGTCTTTTGAGGTCTTATCTGTGATATGCAGGCTTCATAACCTCTGATCCCCTTTCTAAATTCCATTTTATTTAGATCCGCCCATTGTTTTCTCGTTCAGAGCACACGCTTGCTAAAACTTGGGGACCATACGCCGCTTTTCATGGAATGGCATGGAAGTGTCACATTGAAGGTTCCATGATTACCGCCATATGAACACATCTGCGAATGTTTCTAAATCCAAAATTTTACCATATCTCGTTTAAACGTTGAATTCTGCTTAAGCCGGTGCTAAAGGGGCATGGGCGGTAGTCTGCACTTTACAGTACCGTCCATGAACAGGCTCAATCAAACCGAGCCTGCAACATTTTCATTTTTTTTCGTTTTGGGCTTTCTTTAGAGATTCTTATTTTCTCTATTGTACTGTTAAATATCAATTATCTCTTACAGTTCATTACAACAACTATTATCTACTTTTCCTCAGAATCTAAAAATAGACCAGACTTACTTGAACGCATTCAAGAAAAACGTAAGTATTGTTTTACAATTGTGTTAATCAGCGAAAATACTTAAATACGTTACGGAATATTTCGACTCAGTCACTCATAATGTGCAGTGAAAAAAAGAAAATGATATATTTAATGGAACTTATAACCACGAGAATTATTTCATAATTATAAAAGTTAAACTTTATTAGTGCCCTTGTTTCGTTTCATTGTGTTTTAAACTGTTATCTAAACCTAGAATGTTTGTTTTACTAGAATCATATTTTAAACTGAAGGGCTTACCAATTTTGGTAAAAGTGTTTCTCGCTCAGACCAGTCGTCAGGTACAACCTTCAAATCTTAGATATAAAAATACAACACGTGAATTTATAATTTCAAGAAAATTTCCTTTACAGTGTATAGGTATTATATGATGCCAAAAGCATCCAGTTATGGACAGGACAATCCTTTAAACATTAAAACCGTAATCTATACAAACTTGACATAAACAAAAGATTATTGTGTTAAGATAGAACACCCCTAATGGGCACTATAAGGAACTGTAAAATTGACAACATAGAACAGTCAGATGCCTTAATTGTCACCTGTATGCAAAATCTAAACAAAATTTATCGTGTGGTTTATGAGTTATGGACATTTTTCTGAACTAAAACTTTACCATTAGTAAGGCCCTTTTTCAGAAATGAGGAAACTCTAAATAATCTATAATATCATCATTATGAAAATTGTTTTCCTATTGCTCATAGTTAAGAAACAAATAATGACATTAAGGTAAAGAAATTAAACAAGCAAAATGGTTGATCTTAAATAAAATGTTTTAACGTGTATAAAATGTTACCCTACCCACCTACTTTTAACACTTATTTGACCATTTCCCTATGTAAAAAGCCTTATTTAAAATATCCCTAAAATTTTCCACAATGATGGGCTGTTTTCAAAGTTTGCCTAGATTTTCTTATATGTATATTGGTTGGTCTTGCACCGTGTATTTTTTATTTTATTAAACTTTGAAAATATCTGGTATTATATTTGCTATTAAACTTGGCATTATTTAGTAAATAAATACCTACAATTATTATATAATTAAAATGAAACTTTTTTTCTTCCATAAGGGATCTGAGAAATTAATAAAAAGTGTTAAAAAGAAAGAAAAAAAAGTTGCCCTTTTTGGGTTTGAACCCACACCCCTCAGTTTTAATACAGTTAACAATGATTCTAGCCTATTTGAATACTCTTCAAAGTGGAGTGCAATAGGGCTGTACTACCTTAAAATAAAGAGAGTGTATGCGTATTGTATTCGACAGATCTTAAAAACCCTTACTGATGCATACATTAAAGTTTTTCTTGATACATCAAAGTCTTAAGATGAGACAAAATTGTTACAAAAAACTGCTTTCAGACATCAACTGAGCCTAAATTTTTAAGATCAAAAACTTATATAGTACTTGATGTTTATATATGTCCAATATAAAACACGATAACATAATGAATTGTTTACCTTTATGGTGACGAAGGTAGCTTTCAACCGTTTCAAATATCCAATGAAATGCATTTACAGCTAAAAGTTCTTTCACATCATCTTTCTGTTTTTCTTCGAGATAGTTCACAATTGGAAACACATCCTTCTCGGGAACCCCGAAGAATGCAGCAACTTTCGTAACTGTTTCTTTAGCTTCCGGGCATTGAAATAAATGTTCAAAATTTGTCAATATATTTGGACATAGCTTGTCAAATTTTGTTGCAACAACCACCATTGGTAAACCTGAAATGAATATGAATACTGCTGATTAAAAGCTATACATTTACATATAAAAATGTGTTTCTGCAAATTTGTTGCAAAATATTGATAGTTTAACATGTTTCCCTTTAAAACATTATTTGTTCTGTTGTTGTTGTTTTTTGTTTTTTTTTGTTGTTTTATTTTTTTGTTTGTTTTTGTTTTTTCTTTAATAAACACAAAATTGTTGAAGTTTAGGCACATTAAATGCCACGGCAATATGATCATATGAAACTATTTTTCATTATTTAAATCAGCTCATTGTCAAGACCCTAGTTAACATACCCGACTCTGCAATTGTATTTCGTATGTCACTAATGTGTTTTAACTGTTCTTTAGAGAAATCTTCAAAACGCATATCCCCTGCTACTATCATACACACTGCGTGAATTCGGTCATTCAATGTTGTATTCGTCTTTAGCGCTATTTTCTTAAGCTTCGCCTTGTCTTGAAACTAAATAAATGAAACTAATAAAGGTCTAGTAAATACATACATAATATGATGAAGATTATATCAAAGTTAAGGTAATGATTTAAAAAATAAGTAGTACATGTGTATAGTATTGTGGTTCTTTAATATTTCACTTTTTCTCCCTGGTCTCTTTATCTGTGAAAATATAATGAGATATGAATAAGTTTAAACGTTATATTGCCAAAACAAATCATCAAATAGTTTAAGGATAATATTTAGGAAAATAATTAAAAAGGTATCGCAGAGTTATAACCCCTAACAATGCATTTCCTCTCACCTAGTGAAATTCAATATGGTATCATATTCAGTTAAGAAGTAAGACTCCCGGCAATCATTATTTATTATTTTTAATAACCATTAAGGAAATAAATTAAAAAATTAAAATGAATTGGACTATTATGTCAGGTCGGTTACAATAAATAATTATTAAGTTGAGAGTATTTATTATCAGATTTAAGAACAAGCCGCAAATGAATTATACGTGATGGTTGTTGTTGCAAGTGTGAGATACATGATCCCATATTACAAATATTTTTATAGAAAAATGATAATAAACTGTTCTAGAACAAAATGATATTATTAATCATCATACTTATTTCGCATTTTACGCCCAAAGTCGCTATCACTGGGTTATGTTTTAATTAAATTCCTTCAATACTTTTCAAGATATTTTATGGAAATGTACATAAGGTATTAATAAAAGATATAATTCAAAATCTTAGAAATATAGAGATATAGTTGGTTTACATTGTACACGCTTTCATTGGTTAGTATTACTTTGTTAAGTCTCAATATGATACCTACGAGGATTAATCAAAATGTTCTCGGCCTGATGTACTTCCGGTAGTCAGATTACCCAACAAATGGTCTTACTTTTCAATATAATCGCCCTCTACATCAATGCACTTTGCGCACCTGTGCTCCAACTTGTTTTACCCTTCAAAATAAACTCTCTATTTTGGTCCTCAAAGAACTCATTGACCGCCTCCATGCTTCCAAAACGTCTACCACGAAGCTTGGTTTTCAGTTTTGGAAACAGGTAGAAACAGGGGCCAAGTCCGGAGAATATGGGGAATGGGGAAGAATTTCAAAGCCGCAGTCAGTTGCAGCAGCTATCGGAACTTGAGATGTGTGAGCTGCCGCATTGTTATGCAGGAGCAGAACGCTTTGAGTCAGTTTGCCCCTCATTTTACGCGCAGTTTCTTGACGCAAACGCCTCAATTCGTCTACATATCGCGTACCGTTTACGGCACGACCTTGCTCAATATAGTAAATCATCATTTTCTCCTGACAATCGCAAACAATTGAAGCCATCATCTTCCTTCCTGATGGCACCCTCTTGAATTTCTTCGGAGGGGGTAAGCCAGGGTGCTTCCACTGCATGGTTTGTTTATTGCTGCCTTCTGGATCGAAGTAATGGTCCCATGTTTTATCCTGAGTACGATCCGATAGATAAAATCAGGTTCATCCTAGTAGCGAGACAAAAGATACCTTGAAATATCAGCCTTGTCCGTTTCTGGTCGTCATCAACTGTTTAAGGGCCCATCTAGCGGAAACCTTTGACATGCCGTAGACATCAGTCAGAATTATCTGAACTGAACCAAGGCTTATACGCACTTCCCTAGCAATGCTTCGCAGGTCTCGCCTTCTGTCGCACATAACTAGATCGTACACAGAGCTTCAGCAGTTTAATCGTTGGTGGTCTCTTTTGGCTGCCTAGGCCACGCATCATCTTCAATGCTCTCCCTGTCCCTCTTAAATTCAGCAACCCATTTTTTCACAGTGCTATAGGAATGGGACTCCATCTGAATTGTATCCATGAAGTCTTCATGAATTTCCTAAGGGGAAACCCCTTTCTTACAGAGTTACTAAATGAGGGCTCTGACTTTCTCCATTTGGGCTTAATGACAACCCTCTAGCGATCAAGTGTGTTTTATGTCACTTAATCTGTGTAAAACTGCGTGTAACTCGGTCAGTAATCTTCAATAAGATATCGGTATCGACGTATCGTGTGTAAATGTCAGTTTAGTGGCTAGAAGTATATCAGGCCGAGAATTTTTTTATCATACCTCGTCAGTGTGTATAGTTATTCCAATGAACAGAATTATCAACGGAAAGGCAGATAGTTAAAACAAATAAGATTGAGTTATGGTTCTTGATAATGCACGGACAGATAGATGGACGGGCTGAAAAGGCGATAATTGTATATTCTTTGCTCAGGGAGCATTCAAAATGAAAAATGAAATATTAAACAAATAAATTGTGAACAAATTTGAGTTCCGAATTATACTTTTTAAACTTTAAGATGATTTAAGTTTCTAAAGATGATTTGAAAAATGTTTGAAACCGTAGCAAATCATGCATATGTTTTTGTTTCATTTTCGGATACAGAATTGTATTACCCGAGTAGACATACTACCTTAAACAAAAATATTTGATGCACGTCAAAGTTTGTTTAGGCAAAAGATTAATACGGAATAATTTATAAAGTTTCATTTACTTGATAGTCATCAGGTAATCTTCCTTCTAATATAAGTTTAAGCTCTTCTGCAAGTCCTTTTTCGTGCTCAAATCCAGGCATGTCATAAATGAATAAATTCAATCTTTCGTTCGTCTGTAGTGGAATGATATATTTCGTTACCTGAATTGAAGTAACAAAAAGTAGCAGTTTTCTCTTAAAGTTTTTTTTTCTGATGATGCTCATATGTAAACTCAACCATATTGTCACAAGGGTAGGAATACAAACACACATCAGGTCTTTAGAAATGTCTCTAGCATAACAAATTATTGAATATTTCACTCCTTAGTCTTATCACGGATTTATATTACTAGAAGGATCGGACAATTTCGTTTAGCTTAAAGTCCCGTCGCGCGCATGCGCGGAATCGGATAAAGGTGCGAAATATGACAGATTTTCACAAAAGTATGTGGTGTTATTGCTGCTTTGTGAAAAATTATACACATGTGAATGTATTGATACAGTATTATGTTGTGCCGCCGATAGAACGCTGCAACGCTTAGTTAAAAAGTACCTAATTTAAAAAATATTCGCCTATTTTTTAGGCATATTCTCTACACTTTGACGCCCTTTTAATTCAAACACAAATTATTACCGCGATTCAGATTAAGATAATTATTTTTTACATGGTTTAATGGTGGCATTGCAAAAAAATGTTTCTTGATTGCTAAAAAACTTTTAAAGAAATTCATGTTTGAAATTTGTCTTTATTTCTGTGAATTATTTCCAAATGATTTGTACATTTTGTATTTGATTACCTGTATATTAGTATAAACAAGTAAATATTCTACTAATTAGTGTATTAAATATATTTCCAGATGATTCTAGACAAGCGTTCATATATAGATGAATTCATTAGATTGGCAAGGAAAAAACTTTTATTGGCATACAGAACAGCTGTTTTATAATTATTATTATTTTTATTTTGAAACAGATTTTTTTCATAGTTATCCTTCACAATTTACGTCAAATGATTTATTTATCACATGTTTATTTTCTTTATTTTTCAAAGAAAGGACTATACAAGTTTAGTTGTATATTTTCAATTTCATTTCTAAATGTTGATAAAGAAAATAGATTTACATTGTATTTAAATATATACTCTTCAGAATCATTTTCTTACCACACATACCATGGACTAAAGTTAAAGACCGCGCACATACAAAATATACATTCAAATTCTATTTGTTTCTGAAGATTGAGTGTTGCAATTGTCACATGTAACCTTATTTAGGCCCCCACCACTTGTTTGAGAAATGTTGTTTAAAAAAGTGAACACTTTTTCGGCGCGGCCCCAACCAAAAGATACACCAGGGGGTTACCAGAAGGGGGATGTGCCCCCTTCTGTTTGGGGGTTTGAAGGAGGGCGGAGTCCCCCTCGTCGCCAAGAAAATTTGAACTTTTTAGAGGCTATAAATGACCTCAGATTGATCATAAGGTAACGTGTAACCATCGCTGAAAAGTATTTGACTCTATCTCAATCCATCAATTTTGATGGGGAAAAAATAACGCAAAATAGTGATTTTTGGCAATTTTGATATGTCCCCTCGTTGCCATGGTAACAGAAAATTTAAGCCTGAGCATGTTGTTGCAAGGGCAATGGTCCAGTCAACATTTGTGCCAAGTTCGATTAGTGTTGAAGCAGTTTTTATAGTATTATAGCAATTTAAACTTGTAACGGAAGACTTTTCAATGAAAACAGCCATTTTTCAAAAAATGCTCATAAAGTAATGAGTTAATTAAAATATACGGATTAAAATATACGAGTGACATTAAAAGGGCGGTATCGAGACAGCCACTTTTCTGTACGATGATTGTCTACTTCACTGCACGGACATTTGAAAACAGATTTTCAAAAAATAATGATGATATTAATGATGAATGGAATTTAAATATTCTATGAATATGCCAATATTGACAATCTCGGCAATATTTCGTGCGAAAAAAATGAATAAATTTTCTTTACGTGTTGAGCGAATTGTAAAGTCCGCAATACATTACTCGTAAAACAATTGTGCGTTAATTAATTTGACTACCCAATAAATTTTAAATGTTGCATCTTATAACTTACATCGGCCTTTTTTTATTTTGAAATTGAAATTTTTTATGGTAACGTAATAATAAATTTCAAATACTTGCTTTTTATATAAAAATGTAAATTTACCGCGGATTTCGTCAAGTTAATTTTTTTTAATCGTCGTTGCGGACAGATAAACTGTACCTTTAAAAAATAAATTAGAATTTATTATAAATTATTTGAATTTAACAAGTATTTTTCCTAAAATAAACTTTAAATATCCAAAATCGGATCATAAATGGAAAGGCTGTATGGTATTTTGTAAAGTAGGTATCCGGTAAATTATCGATCGATGTACCTTTATCGGGTGCGCGACAAGATATTTAAGCATTTACATAAGGTTAACTTGGAGTGTCCGATCCCTGTAATATAAATCCGTGGTCTTATGTAGATCTATTTGTGCATTTTCCAGTAACATCTTATTACAGAAAGTTATTTACAAACCTTCCTGGTGTAGCTCTCTGGTGCTTGTCCGGCTGGGGCAATCGGCACAAACTGTCCAGTAAACACTGCTGATAGAGTATTGATAAAACTAGATTTCCCAGATGCTATAGCGCCTACGAACAAAATATTGTAATGATCTATATCCAAACCGGTTAATGGTTCCATTGATATCAGCGCATTTTTCTTCTTGTCAACATCGTCTTTCTTAAATACCATTTGACATATATTTTATGCATCGTAATGATTACTACTCAATGATAAGAACTTAAATCATTCAATCCTTGAAAAATAAATACTTGTTGTCTTTTGTGTTTGTTTTTGTGTAAAAATAATATTCGATCACAAAAACAAATATTAACTGCATCACGAATCGCAAAGAAACACATAAAACAATTGTCAGTGCGATAAATAAAAAACATAATCTACTTAGCAACTACTATAGTTTGTGTTCACTACTTCCTTGAATTCAAATATTTGCATAGAATCATCATTAATATGTTACCTGCCTACTAGAAAAAAATAACAGTGCGAAGAAAATTGATTGCCGTATGGACTGCTTACGTACAATTTTAACATTTTATCTTTTTATTTTGATAGCCATTCAATGTTTCAAAATTGTTTTAGCTTAATTTTGAACAACAAATAGTCCAAATAAGAACAATAACTATCCCAATATCAGAGAAATTGAACTAATCCTTCATGTTGAAACGAAGAATACACGAGCCAATCAAAAGACTGATTGAAAAAAGAAACAAAAATAATACAAAATACTAAATCTAAGAAAGAAAGAGATAATGTAATTTTTAAAATTTTGGTTGATATATTTTTTGAGTTCATTGAAATTTATATTTCCTGAACTACTTGCTATAATATTATTGACATTTCTACAATATGCATATTAAAACAGGAGGCAAAAGACAATTGTATTTTGATAGTATGTGCGTGTTAGAATGACCAAAACTAATTTTGATATAATTACAATTTGGGCGTTTTATACATAATCATTTCTCTTTGATAATCTATATATCATAATTCCTGAAGTTTTCAAGCTAAGCAATCAAATCAAATATGCATTCAAAATGGTTTACCTTCGTTCTTTCTAACAAATTTTCTTTAGTTCCATCATCTGAAGAAATAAAGAAGTGCATTCGATAATACACTGAATTAATTATTTGTGATTTTCCGTTTAGGTACAAATGGAAAAGGTCTTTTACATAGACATTTCCGTCGGACAGCGCTCTTGTGTTTTAGTAAAATAGCCTTGAAATGCAGTAATTCAAGTTTGGAAAGCTCACTGTAAAATCATGCTAACTAGTGAAATGATATTTGACTACCATTATGTTATATTCACATGTGTTAAGCTTAAAATTAATGCCAGTAGTTGTAGATACTGATTCAAAACTCGACACCTGAATTCAAATATAATAAATTTTTAATACAAAAGGTATAACTTTATTCAACTTAAACTAAAAGCTAGATTACAAAAGTTTTTTTTTATTACGATTCCTGATACAAGATTTTTTGTTTAAAGTAAATATTGGACGGAAAAACTTTTACTGCAATGATTTTTTTAATCATTAAGAGCTTTTCTTCAGTCAGGATCTATGTTGGAACTACGTGTGTTATAGTGACCTAGAGTTTTATTTGAACTTAAAGAAAGTGTGACGCCAACATCATTATTCTATGCGCGACAGAGCTATGGAAATGTGCTCAGCGATCAGATATGATCTGAAATTACATAGAAGTGAGAAATCCCGTTTCATAGTGTCATAACAACAGATAATTGAACGATATTTATTAAAGCCAAGATGAAGTTTTAACTATCCCTGATTAATATAATATAACTGAACATGCATACGTTATATCGAAATCGGCAGTTTCTAATAAAAAGAAATGCTATTAGTTTTATTATGTCCGGGTATGTAGTTTATAGCTTAATAAAAATGCATCCCATAATTAACTTTAAGCTTTATAGTCCAATTCATAGATGGTTATCCGCGTGACATGTTTGAAGTCAAAATAAGCTGAATTGAAATAAAAAATTGTCAAGGATTTTAACAAAGTAAATGCCATTATGAAAAATTTATGAAATACTCAATGATTACAGATAAAAATAACAAAATGTTGGATATAATCTATTATCATTGTTGAATATACAGGTGAAATATCACAAAGGGGAGACATGAATACTCACTTACCTGTTACTTGGTAAACTTCTAGCTCTTTCACAATCATCTTCCCAGAATTTATATCAACAGTTTTTGTTTTTGGTAGGGAAGGATCTTTTGCACGGCTATCATATGCTTTATTGATTTGCAACGTACCATTCAAACGAAGATAGCCATCTCTAAACTCTGAGGGAGGCTTTTTTTTAAATGTCAGAAGGTCATAACCAGTCAATGTTCCTCCTCCAAATGTAGGGCCATATTTTGCATAGCATGTTATCGCTACATTCTTCTTATCGTCCTTTATTGGAAGAATGACACATTTTGCATCTGCGCTGTCACTCTTTGTAAAAAGAAAAGCCTTATCGTCTTGAATCGTTCGTTCTTTCGTAGGTGAACTCCAATCTTTAGAAGTATAGCCGCCAAAAGTTGTATTGTAAGCGCCATACAAGATTGTGACTGTAGGGCCTTTTGCATCACATTTTCTATGAAACTCATCTACATTTGCCTCTTGTTTTGCCTTGTACAGCAAAATCAATTTCTTATTTATTCCTGCTTCCTCACTTATCTTTTTTACAATGTCTGCTAAAACTGATTCAGACACGCTCATGTTTGCTGAAATAAAGTATTATAAGGCAAATAATGCGATACGTCTTGTTTTGCAATATGTCAGGTTGTGGTATACAGTCCGGTAGAGCGTTGGACAATAAATCGCGTGATCAAGGTTCGATTCCAGGACGGTATATGTCACTTAAGTTGTAATCGATACTTTAGTTGTAATTGATCATGAAATCCTTCCTATGGTCATTCGCACGGTACCTCTGTTCTGGCATGTACAGACGTTATCAGTTCTTTACAAAAGTGAAGGCAACTAATACTTGTAAACTTCGAGAGAGTTTGCCAAGAAATGATGCGGTGGCTAAACAGTGCTCTGATAAATTCAATGTAGTAAATTGCTGATATCCGGAGAGTAAGCTACCACCACCAACACCATCACATGTTTTGTGCGTCGGCAATCTTATTACGGGAGATGCGCCCTGTGAACGTTGATTTCCATTGTTTTTCTTAACCCTTATATTTAACCTTTGTTCAAATTTTTCAAGGCATGGTTTGGAAAATATTTCTCAAAGGGCCCGATGATAGGTTATTATCAGTCTTGTTGTTCACACAATAACAAGGTATTGTGTTACTTTTTGTCACATTACAGTGTGGTTGATATTTACATTTCAAACGGATTGCAAAAGGGTTTTCTTATTAATTCTAAGTTACATTTATGATATCTTTGAAATCGATATTTTTAAACCTAGATGTAGGAGAAATTTTAAAAGAAATATAGCTGACATCTTTAAACCCGTCCTCAAGATTTTAGTCACAGTATTGTACATGTACCTAATAATTTTAATTTTATTCCTATAATTTTATGGGTCTTGAAGGGTCTTAAAAGGTAAAAATTAAGTAACTGGCTTTTCTCTTTAGGTAGACATTTTGGGCAATGTTGTATTGATCATCATTTAGAAAATTAGGATATGGGTAAATTTGAAGTTTTTGTAATATCAACATGTTTTAGAATTATTCAATAAGAAAGTCACCAGCACATAAGTGCCAATAATACAGAGGAATAAGACCCATTTTAAGTCCCCTTATATATATAATTTGATATAAACAATTATTATGGTATGTTTAAGTGGAAACAGAACTCATTTCATTCTAAACCGTTGCTCCATTCTACCACTTTTATTATTGGGGTGAGTCTGTAAATCTTCATTACTTAAACATGTCTGAAATTTACAATCAACAAGAAATGTCGACCGACACATATCTCCCGTTTATAGCCCTTGACTAATACTATTGGTAATTTTGTTATAGAAACTATTGTGCAAAGTATGAAGCCTTTTTCTATATGTATTTACCTGAGTCTTGAAATTTTAGGTTCGTGTGGACTTGACTTTAAACCAAGTGTACCCAAAATACATGACCTATTAAAATGTGAAATAAGAAGACTTAATGACAAATAGTTTTCAAGCGGAAATAATTTTGACAAATTAAGTCGCTGTGACCTTGACCTTTGACAAAGAAACCCCTTTATCTACAAAGGTCATCTACTAGTCATGACTTATGATCATACAAACTTTGACATTTGTAAGACTTGTCATTCTTTAGTTATTAATCGGAAACCACTTTTATATTTGAGGCTAATGTGATCTTGATCTTTGACCAAGCGACCCTTAAATCAATAAAGGTCACCTCCTAGTTATGACCAATCAATATGTGAAATATTTATGAAGACTTTGTGATTAATAGTTTTTAAGATAATAAGCGGAAACCATTTCGACATTTAAGGCCCCTTTGACCTTGACCTTTGGCATAATGACCCCAAAACAAAAAAAGTCATCTACTAGTAACGACCAAACAATATGTGAAATATGAAGACTTGGTAACAAATTGGTGTCAAGAGAAATCAAATTTAACATTCAAGGTTTTTGTGACCTTGAAATTTAACCTAGTGTCCTCAACATCAAAAGGGGTCATCTACACGTGATGATCAATTAAAATGTGAAACACAAAGACTTGATAACAATCAGTTTTGAAGATATAAAGTGGAAACCATTCTGACATTTAAGGTTCCTGTGACCTTGACCTTTGACCTTAAGACCCCAAAATCAATATGAGTCATCTACTAATTTTAAGCTATCTATTTGGGTAGCATAAGGACTCAGTAATACATAGTTTTCAAAATAATGAGCGTTAACCATTCTAACATTTAAGGTTCCTGTGCCATTGACCTTTTGAAGTAGTGACCCAAAAATGAATAGGGGTCATCTATTATATATGGCTTATCAATATGTGAAACATGAAATTATTATAATAAACAGTTTTCTGGATAATGAACGGAAACAATTCTGACATTTAACGTCCCTGTGACCCAATCTTTGACTTATTGACCTAAATATCAATGAGAGTCATTTAATTATTATGACCAATCAGTATGTGAAATATGAAGACATTGTGTAATAATAGATTTTAATATAATCAGCGAAAACTATGTTGTCTACCGACATATTTAAAGTCCCTGTGACCTTGATCTTTGACCTAAAGACCCAACAATCGATAAGGGTCATTTACTATTTATATCCAATAACTATGTGAAACATTAAGACTAATTGATAAATAGTGTTTAAAATAATGTGCGGAAACCATTCTGATATTTAATGCCCCTGTGACCTTGACCTGTTATCTTGTGACACCAAAAGAGGTTATCTATCAGTTTTGATTAATCAGTATGTGAAATATGAAGACTTTGTGATAAAAAGTGTTTAAGATTATCAGCGGACATCAATAGATCGACCGACCGACTGACCGACTTTTGTTATAAATTTAATATTATGAATTTAGTATGCAACTGTGACCTTGACCTTTGTGCAAAGAACCTGATTCATACCTGCAAAACCTCGTCATTGCGTTAAAGACAGTCAATTTTAAATCAATCCTGGAACGACAGAATTGGTGATCAGGCACGAAGTAAGTAAGTAAGTAAGTAAGAAAGTAAGCAAGCAAGCAAGCAAACAAGCAAACAATCAAGCAAATGTAAAAGATTAAGCTGATCGTACGTACGTACCTATGTAAGTAAGTAAGTAAGTAAGTAAGTAAGTAAGTAAGTAAGTAAGTAAAAGTAAGTAAGTAAGTAAGTAAGTAAGTAAGTAAGTAAGTAAGTAAGTAAGTAAGTAAGTAAGTACCTAAGTACGTAAGTACGTAAGTAAGTAAGTACGTAAGCAAGCAAACAAGCAAGCAATCAAGCAAATGTAAAATATTTGGCTGACCATTAGTAATGGTGAACTACTACAGTATTTGTGATGAATATGATAATAGTAATGATTCAAATGATTCAAAATTACTGTACCATTTATAGGAATTAAAATCAGGAAAAAAAACACAAAGATAAAATGAAAGATGAATTGATAAATTTATAATTTTAATTTCATATTATTGGTAAATTACTAAATTCTAGTGTTAGTATGTTACTTCTTAAACCTTCATAAGTGACATTATGGTCCATTTTTCGCTGTTGACTTGAGTTAAAGTGACTATATATTTAAGAAAATTGACTATTTAATGGCCATTGAAAAGAAATTTGATAATGAAAATTTAATTTAATAGAATATAATAACTGTCTAAACTATTAAAAAACTACCCAACTCTTTTTATCACTTAAACGATAACGATTCATTCCGAAGGATATCTTTAGAATTCATTGTGATTCATGTTGGTTATTGATTATACAAATGGTATTAGCCGTGCCATGACAAAACCAACATAATGGGTTTGCGACCAGCATTGATCCAGACCAGCATGCACATCCGCGCACTCTGATCAGGATCCATGCTGTTCGCTTGATAGCGAACGGCATGGATCCTGATCAGACTGTGCGGATGCGCAGGCTGGTCTGGATCCATGCTGGTTGCAAACACACAATGTTGGTTTTGTCGTGACGCGGCTCAATTATATACTATAAAATTAAACTGATGATGGCAAAATCTAAAACTGTTTTGACTTTGACCTGTACGCCCATCATTTATTCTTGAATTAGCATAATGTCTCTTTATTTATTCAATGTGATTAGACCTCCGTGTAAAATATTTTGGTATATGATAATAGAATAAAGCGCATTATTGGGAACTTATGAATAAAAGATCTAAAATGAAGTGTGAGATTGAGATAGCATGATTGGAAGCGTGGGTATTAAGTGCAGGAGGTAACCTTGGGCATAATTACCTTTACATATAGGATTTCGGTCATATCTATAAGATTCTTGATAATTATTAGGGTGGAGGTCGGATCGGCTCTCGTGACCCTTGGATCATTGGTAAATGAGGGGGGGGGGGGGCAAAAAGGCTGTTTTGTAGTTTGAAAAAACTAATGAAGATGACAAACATCCGCACACATCAATTCAGTAAGAACATGTCTGCACATGTCTGTTTGTTTTTAGTCCCGTCCATCACTGTCATTCTAGGATGGATTTTTAAATAAATTGCACGAATGTTGCACATCGGGACAATGGCACAAGCTAGTCCAAGGTGTAAAGCTCAACGCTTCAAGTAAGATTTGAATGTGCTTGAAAAACCTTATATATATTTATAAGTAACGCAGGAATGTGCAAATAACGTAAAAGTAACGCCGAATAATCTGTGCAATGCTATTGCTAAAACGAATAATACAGTAAGCATACGAACCAAATTATTTATTGATATTCTAAATCAAATTTAAAGAAATGCATTAGCGCATACGGCTGCTACGACATTATACTTTAACCAGCATTACAATCTTTTAAGGAATATGTTTACTTCTTTAGATCATTCATGAGATAGACAACCTGATTACCGTTTTGAAGGTGATTTTTGTGTTTCGTCAAATAAATATGTACAGTTAACGCATTTAAAACATTGTGTTTGTTTTCATATTCTGTATACCTTTGACATTTAACAAACTACAAGTGACCAACAACAATTGAAGGACGCTGATAAAATAAGATTTAGCTACTTTTAATGAGATAACCGCCGTTGTTTCAGTGCTTCATTCACTAATTCGACGTTACCTCGTAAAATGGTCTCAATTACGTTTTATCTGCTAAATTAAGTGTAATATGACACGAGTAGATTGGAAAACGTTTCAGGTATTATAAAAATTCATAAAGTAATATGTACGTTATTGTATTTAAAGACATCAACGAAACTAAAGATCGCCATCAATATGCTAGTCATGTCGTCATTTTTCAATGATTTTGAAAAATAAACATTTTCATAAATATATTTTTGATGAGATTTACAGTATAATGTCTCAGCAACCGTATGCGCTAATTGATTTCTTCCAATTTGGTGTACAATAAAAAATATTGGTACGTTTATTGGTGCTCGTTTTAGCCACTACATTGCACAATCCTGCGTTACTTTTGCACAATTCCTGCGTTATTTGCACATCCCTGCGTTTCTGGATATACACGGTGTTCCTTGAACGACAATAATTTTGTGATAATGTGTAATATGAAAAGGTAAAGACATGAATACACCTATAATATTTCACTCTGTATTATTTATTTACCGTCCGTAGGCTGTTTATTGTTCAACAATAAAAACCGCTGTTAACGAGTCATATTTTCCATAGTGAAAGATAATAAAGCTTAAAATGACATTTGCATTTAAGTTTACTTGTATTTCAAGTAAGATAGATGTCTGATTTTAAACCATGCAGGTGCATAAATCTAGGCATGTTTAGAGTTATTCACTGAAATAAATACGACACTTTATAAAAAAATATAATACATATAAAAGGTAACCAAAAACCGAAATTATGTCTTACTGTTTGCTTAGGTTGACAGAAAGTATGTATAAACACAATTACGGGTGGTTTTAAATTCCAAATTTCATAATTTTTTTAAAAAAATGCATTCTGAACTTAACTTTTGACATTAAAATGATAAAATGATTAAGTGTCCATAAAGGTTTACAAACATGCTTTTCTTTCAACATCAAAGACTAAAACATCTAATGGTAAATTAGATTGTTCAGATTTTGTAAGACATTTGGCATCTCAGATACCTGACATAGATTAATTGCCCATAAAGAATGACCTGAAATAGTTTGAGGGCATGATGAAATTCTGTATACCTACACAATATGCATAATTATATACATATATAAAATTTCACTTAAGGTGACAACAGACACTTTCCGTGGTACTCACATAAATGTCATTTAAACTAAGTTATTTTAGTAATAATTGTTATTTATTTAATCTTTGTGCATTAAATATCGTTGATCATCATAAAAAATAACATATTTGAAAAAAGTGCCTTTGTAAATGATTGATTTTGAATAAAAATCCTAAAATTTTAAATCGTCATATCAAAGTCATTTTTTATTTTTTTGTCATCACACTTTTGGAAAATAACCATACTTATATTATCTGGGGAACCGTGTCTCAAACTTTTTCTATCTTTTCTCAAAAAAATACATGTATTACGTAACGTCAAACAATTTATGCGACTTTTTCACCATACATATTACGTAATTAAAGATAATTAAGTCGCTGATTGAGCAAACAAAAATCCCTGACATGGTTCCCTCCGTAAATGAATTTCCTTTCATGTGCTTTAAACCGCATGTTAATTGCTTGATTATTAAAAAAGTTATGCCGATTTAAGGTTAGTCCGACCCGCATCAAACTAAGTGTCATAAATCGGCTGTTCTCTCTCGGACCCCTACGTTTCACGCTAAATAATTGCATAATACACAAATATCGCACCAGAGAGGGTCACAAGTTGCGGTAACATATTCTAACAACATTTTATGACCCAGTGACATCTGACTAATTAAAAAGCTGCTGATTAATATCAGTTTATAGCCGAAATTTCTTCAATTCTTAACGTGATTTACTGTCCGTCTGGTATCTGTCGCACATGTCACGTGACTATCGGTAAAATTTGAGGCACTCAGTGGGGGGAAATGGAACGCATTGCGCACCGCTAGCGGGTATTTAATTGTTTCCTTTTTGAAGTTTCATTATTATTGTCATCAGCATTATTATTGTATTATACCAGTGTCACTCTGTCTGTTGTATTCGTGTATGAAATTCCGTTAAAATATAAAATAAAATAACAAAAACTGAGCTTCTGACAGTCTTTTAAAGTCCATGGTAGATGTACAAATAAGAACGGGATATTTATATATTTTTTCCACCAATTGATAATGCTTCACATATTTTAATAGAAATAAAAGGTATTACTCGATCATTATGATCTGGCCTTCTTGACTTCTATTATCATGAATATCATCTATGCACGGCATAGAGACCCAGTTTCTACCGGGATAGACAATAAATTTCATACTTTGTCCCAGATTTATTAGAACTGTGTCCGATTTACTGGCGAACAATTTATTTTCACTGAAAATATATTTTAATATCATTTTTTTATTCATAGGGAAATAATCATCCTTAGACAATCTAAAATGGTTAAGAAATTTGTCAGGGACACCTTACCACAAGTCATATAGGCGTTCACATAAAAAATGTTGTCTGTTTTTGTTGTTAATGTTTTACTTGACATTGTTAGAAAACGAGGTTGAATGTAAAGTAAACCCTTGAATCCGTACAAAAGTCTATCAACTCAATATAATATCTATCAGATTAACGGGACAGACAAATTATTCTCACACATTATGGATATTTTAGCAACTACATTTTTAATTAACCCCGTGGTCGTGCGATTTGCCGCTATGCTTAATTATTTATGTTTCATACATTATGTTACGTACATTGGCCGACAATTTTTTAATTTATAAAAAAGGGCTAAATGTTGAGATATTCATAAAAGATGTACGGTAGTTTACGATACATGTATTACGAGTAGTATGGACCAGTATGGACCTGTAATTCACGCATATATGGAACTACCGATTTCCCTCATTGATGCCTCAACAGGGGGCGGAGCGTTATCGATAATCGACAGGTTACGCGACTAGCAGATACAAATAGTATAGGTACCGTTTTAAAACGTTTAAAAACACATTTTTTGGACTAACTGCTTCCAAAATTAAATCACGAATGTGTTCAGAAAAGGTTGATAAATCAACTTAGCATAAAATCTCATTTTAGGTATTTTCAGTGATAATTGACTCCGTTGTCACCTTAAGTGTGGTAACAACCCGCATAGCTCAATCGGTTAGAGCGCGAGACTTGTAATCTCGACATTGTGGGTTCGATTCCCGGGCTGGCCAACTCAAATTACTAATCAGTCTTTCGGATGAGACTTTAAATCGAGGTCCCGTGTATGAGTGCTTTAACACTTGGCAAGTTAAAGAACGGAGAAGCTTCTGGAATTGGGACATCTTTCTGTATTTGTATCTTGCACTATCCTCCAAAAATCTAAAATGACTAATACTCTTCTGGAGGACCCGCCCATATGGGCAACCGGTGGCGAGTATAAATAAATTAAAATACACACAAATGGTAACTATCTAAATTACAACATACAGGATCTTTAAAGGCACTTCACTTACATTTGTTTAGAAAAGGGTATTCATCTTGAAATCAAAGATGGCCACAATTGTAGTCAATAAGTAAATCATGTTACATTATCAGCCAATCATTCATAGAAGACTCTGAAACTTTATTGCATGTGGTTTTACGGAAATAAATTTCGCTAAAAGCCAGAAATAAGAAATTATGTAGTAATTAGTAAAGCTCAATGGGGGCCATTTTTATTTGACCTTTAAAAGGTCAAGGACTTCAAGTTCAGCCGTGGTAGAGCAAAAATGGATTCAGCGTACATGAATTATGTAAAAAGAGTTGACTACCTGCTTATACTAAAAAATGATGTTAGACTCTTAACGGAGTGTCTTTCTGAAAATCAATTTCGTCTAATTCAAAACAGTCTGAAAGCCTTACCGTTATATTATATGATTATTTAACATGTGTAAGGAGCGGGGTAATACTTTTAAATTATACATTTACGTAAATACAACATTTCTTATATAGGACTGTTAAATAATATATCATTGTGATCAGACATTTACAAAACGTAAAAATAATAATAATAATAATAATAATAATAATAATAATAATAATAATGATAATAATAATGATAATAATAAATTGATGTCTCCATGCGCATGTACAACCGGAACGCGAAAATGCGAAAATGTAACAATGCCAAAAATGTAACAATGCCAAAAAGCAAAAATGCAACAATGCGAAAATGTAACTATGCGAAAAAGCGAAAATGCGAAGTATAACTTTGTCGTCTCTTTGTGTTTTCGCATTTTTGTATCTTGAACGCGAAAAAGCGAAAATACGACAGATGGAATGCGAATATACGACAGATTTTATGTGTCATATTTTCGCCCTCCTTCTGTCGTATTCTCGCTTTGTTGCCTCGAAAATGCAAAAAAAAAACGAAAACACGAAGAGACGACAAAGTCCAACTTTGTCGCCCGTTCGTGTTTTCGCATTTATTTTTTTTTGCATTTTGAGGCGAAGAAGCGAAAATACGACATGGCGTAAATCAGCCACCATGTTTTAATAACATTCCATCGCCAATGATTTATCAATTTGCGCTATATCAGAGTCACAGGTCAATTGTATTTTAATTCAGAATGGACCATTCGGTTGTGCTAAATAATATATCAAATTGAATGACGTCCGCTTGTTTACAATTTAATTCAAATTATTAAAAATGTTGTTTGTGAACGGAATGAATATATATGCCAAAATAAGTAAATAAAACTTGTAAAATGTGCTTTTCCTTATAAAAAAGTAAATGTTGTAATGAATTAAATTCATAATTTATTTTCTTACTCAGTATATTGTCCTATGTCCACAGGTGTTTATGTTTTATTCTTCCATTTCCCACACATGTACACTTTAAGATTAACAAATTTCAATTCAGGTCTGTCACTTTTTGATCAATATGTACCTTTTGTGCATGTTTACTTAGCAGAATTTATACTTAAACATTCCAAATAATTCAGACTTGAATTACGTTCAATGAATTTGAAAAAAAACCTGAAATCCCAAGGTTCTCCTTTGCATAATCATGTAATAAGATATATGGTATATAAATCAATTCAAAATTGAAACCTGGGATCATTCAAAATTGTTCACTTAAATTTTCAATCAATTTGTGGATTTGGTGGAAATTTTGAGACGAAAAATAAATATTGGTAGCACATTTATTTATTTATTTATTTATGTTTTGGTTCCTTCTATTTCTAATATCGTTTAACGATTTTGTGTGAAAAATATTTTATTGCCCTTTTTGTACATATCTATAAAAGTATATTTTATAATATTTATACCAAAGTAGCGAAAGGGTTGAACCACGAGTCCTTATAACATCAAAAAAAGGTTCTTTACTGAAATATGAAATTATCTAGAACATGATAAGACAGTTGCAAACCCAATTTAAATGATAGTGGAGCAGTTAAGGAAATCTAAATGGTATATGCACAAAAAGAAAGAATAAAAAGGAGGACAGGTTAAATGATCAATTTGTAGGAATAGCAATTGAAAGTGGCGAGTAATATTAATATATATGTAACAATGTGAAGATATTTTTCCATAAAATCTACAGGACGTCTGAACATATATTTGTACCTTGTCAAAAATGAATGAGTTAATCTTACCAGAAAGAGATTCTTTTCCAAACAAAGGTGGTTTTACGCTCAAATAATTATTAAATCTGCTAGCTGCGCGGAATAACTGCATTCTATTTTCGTTATATTTGTGACATTTTAAAAGTAGTGATCGGCGTCTTTAATACTGGATGTAATGTAGCTACGAAATGAATTATCTCGTAAATTATTTTTTTATGAAGATCCGTATTAAGATAAATATATTTGTTCCTATCACGTGCATGGTAAGCAGGTAAACTTTGATCTCCGAAGAGAAAATATTTAGGAACAGATTGTGGTTTTAAACATTTCTTTGAGTCAAGGTTTAAAAATAAAATATTAAGTGAAGCCGCATGTCTGATATGATCCTCGAAATATTTCCATAACTCAACGGATGAAGGAATGAAAGATTTTGTGAATATTTGTGTTCGTCGTGCGATAGTCACATAGTTGTTTTCATTTCGGAGAAAGTGTGGCGTAAAATAAGCGTCACTTTTGGGCAGAATATCAAGCACGTAGTTTGTCACATTGTTTTGATGGGCTTTGCATACATTTTTTAATTTTTGCATTATTCTTCTATCGGACAAAGATACCTAGCATATTTCTCGAAGTAGACGTTCTATAGATACCGATTGAGTAAGGGATGTGACTACACGCGCTGCTTTGTATTGCTTTTTATTCAAGAGAATGTTTATAATTTTCATTATTATAGCCATCCAAATAGTTGAGTCGTATTGGTCGCTTATATGATGATTTATATGATTTAATCTGTCTCGTTTAAAGTTAGAATTCAATGCTTGCATTGAGCTAAGAATTTTAGAATCTGATGTCATTATATTATTGTTGTGTTCACATGTTACTAACATAATAGTAAATTCATATTTACATATGTTATGCATTTACGAACAGCTCAATTTTATACAAACTTATGAATAGTAAATCATAATCTATTATAAAATAAGCCTCTCCAAACATATATTTGTACAATAAATTTGATAATATTTTGGTGGTTGTTGACGAGGTTAACAAGTTTGTCATTATCGGTCATGTTACTAAATGAATTGCTTGAAATAACATTTCTAAAAAACAGTTTTGTAGCGTTGTAAATAGGACACACAGCAAGGAAACGAGCTTCTTCCTCAATTAAATTTGTTTTGCATAAAGATCTAGCCTTTGATTTTGGCAATTCTCCGCTATATCTGCCGGTTTAAATTTTCAAAGGCAGGATGCCACATCTACACTGTACGTATAATGAGCGTTAATTTCTTTTCAAATTTAACAATAAATAATTTTCACGTGTGAGGGATATCTTATTTAATTTGTAAGTTCTAAGGTTTGGTACATTTTCACAATTTGTATTTGTATACCCCGTTATTAATAACCTGTGTAGTTTCCATATTTACGCTCTATGAACTATCGTCCTCCGATCATTTGCAGGTGCCTGCGTACGCAAGATTGAAAATAATCATAACTGATACCTTGCAAATTCCTTTTTAGTCAATTGCGCATGACATGAGTACATTCTCCAAAATTAGATGATATTAAGAAAATAGAAAAGATTCGACGAATTTTGAGCTTTAAATCTTCGAATGTCGTCTAATAGATAAGCGCTTGTCATTACAACTAAAGGACTATTAAGAGAGCTCCCAAACTTCGGGACTGGTGTACCTTGCAGGTTTCTGTTGTGTGACACAATATGCTCTCTCATTCTCTATAGTCACGTGGGTTTTACTTGACTCTTTGATACCAGTTTGATAGAATGCTTTGACATGTAAACATTATGCATTCATAGTTAGCATAAAACTAATGCATATTCAATGATATTCTGGTGATAAATGGCCATCGGCTATTCAGACAATAGTATATGGTGTCAGAAGTAAAGTAATGAAGCAAATTTACATTAGTAAGAAGTTATAAAAGTTAACTTGGGCTTAAATTAAATTGTTAACAATAAAAGGGATTTCTATAAAATTGTAAAAATAGGACTTATAAGCACTTAAATTGTTAATAGATAAAACACTATTGATTTCATTTACTTTTAGTTACTAGCTGGACTGACTAAACTTAATTTAAGGAACAAAAGCATTAAATTTTAAAAGATACTACAGCGAAATTGCGGAGTTACAAACTCCATAAATCTTTGACTTTTCAAGCCCAAATAAATGGAGATAATGGAAACAACGATTTTTCTATAAAACAGCATTAAAACTTCATAAGAAGATGAAGAAATACAAGTCGCTACACTGGTTTATTTAATGGAAAAGGAAGCTGACAATTTGTTGAAATCTTTGGTGTTATCACAAAGTAATGCGGAGAAATATGACACTGTCTTTAAAAAATGACGAACATTTTAGTCAAAAGAAAAACGTCATTCTCGAACGTGGAAAATTCCATTAGAGAAACCAAATGCCAATGCCAGGTGAAACATTGGAAACTTGCATAAGATCATAACATGAGTAAGTAGACAGTTGTTAATTTGCACCTGATATGAAAAGTGAGAAAATAAGGGATCGAATCGTAGTTGGGATTTTTGATAAAAATAAAAAATAAAAAACAAAACAAATTCGAATACAGCAGGATGTAGCTGTAACAGACGAGGTTCGCGGCTGGCGAAGCCAAAACAAAGTTCAAGGCCGCAACCATACGTTTCTCGACAGCAGTGAGAAGAAACTTTCGAGATCCCAATCTAAACAATCGAACAAAATCGATGATAAAGGCTGGGTTCGTTTAACTGGAGCAAAATATTTTGTTAAAATTGGACGCTAATAGTTCATTCTGGCAATTTAAACTTGCTCAAGATAGTAAATTATTGGCTACATTTATCACATCTTTTGGCAGATATGTGTTTAATCTCTTACAAATGGGATTATCTAGTAGTTCTAAATACTTCCAAATAGGGAAACACAAATACTAGAAGGATTTTTTTTTTGCTACACAGATGATGTCCTGATTTTCGGACTGACAGAGTATTTGACATGTATGCTTTCGTAGTTAGAATAAAATTTATGTATATTCAATGGTGTTCAGGTGATAACTGACTACCCGATGTTCAGACAATAGTATAGTTTGTTTCTTCTATTCTTGTTTATTTAAAGCTTAAGTATGAATTACTGGTATTTGATAAAAAAAAAATGTTTTATATTATTACCCCTCACTTTTTGTAATGTTAATTTCCCATTAGCCAGTGGGAATTATTCTTACTGTTAAGTGTACCATGTGACTAAGAAATTTGTACTGTATCAGTACTTTTAAACAGTATAAAATCTGGTCAAGTGGTTTTGTTTGGCAAGGATAGTTGAGTTATTGTTACTCTTGCTTCAGTTTTATTACAGTTAGATTTAGAAAGTTTCAAATGATTTGTTCAGGGTAATGAAATAATAACACATGGGTTTGTGAGTAACAGTAAAAGTATCATCCCTCATTAACGTACTGTATTTTAGAAGGTAAATAACTGTGTCGTGACTTTAACATTGTTTGTTATATAAAGGGTGAGTTGTCAATAATTGTGGCTTTAGAATATGAATATGAACATTGACTTTTCTAAGTTTGGGATTGAGAGACAGACAAGGACTTGTAAAGGCTGGAGAGCTAGTACTTTGGTTCAGAGAAACAAATGACCTGGATAAGTGGACTTTGATTAGTAATTATGGTTATTAACTTGTGAGAAAGTTGCTGTGGATTTTTCAATGAGCAACGTAGTAGATGTTTATATCGATAATGTAGTGCTTAAACCAGACTTAAAAGATCGATCAATATGAGATTATAACATAGTGTATATTGTGCAGTTTATTCGTTATAAAATGTATTTTTTATAAAAAATGAATAATCTAGAAAAACATTTCAGGCATTTGATAAAAAATGCCATAAATAACGCCTTTGTTGATTTTATCTCTTTGGACACGTCGGTATTAACCGGCATTTATATAATATAAAATATTGTTCAATTTAATGCAGAACAATAGAGGTATCATATGAAAATACACCTTACATAATAGAATGTTTTAGAAATAAAATCTGTATTTGTTAAATATAGAAAAAGTAGTAATATGTTGGAAATTAATTAACGAAACATAATTGATTTTCTTTTCTCGACTGAAATGGTACATGACTAGGTTTTTATTTATTTTTTTTGTTTTGTTTTGTTTTTGTTTGCTTGTTTAATTTCTCCTTTCATTTGTTCAGGTGACTGTATTTAAACGTGCATTAGAGTTCAAACTAAGCCATAAACAGTTTCTGTAATTTAATACTTTATGAGAGTAAGCGATAAAGAACTTTTATTACCAAGATGCCTATAATATTGTGCAGAGGATATTAGTTCCGTTAAGTGATTATTTGGCACTTACTTTTATCTGTTGACCACACTATTAAGTAATAAGCAGGGTTACTTTTCCATTTTTTTGTATGCACTTGTTAATTTCGTTTACTTTATTTGGCATCACAACTGAATATTATGCAAACGTGAATAAATTATTTAGAAAGAAATTAAAATAATTTATATCCAGCCCGAGCAATAAAGTCACTGAAGTCAGCGCATTGAGTGTCATTGTTGACATTTGAGTAAATGTTTGCAATTTATTATTATGTAATTATTTGATATAAAAAATATCAGCGCTTGTAAAAGGTATAAAAAAAAAATTTGTATTGTATATCGAAATGGCTAAACCAGTTTGTTTGAAATTGATTTTCCACACCTGTCATTGTCGAGTGTGCAAAAGGCTTTACATTCCTTTACTTAATTTATAGTATAGAGGGGCACATTTGCCGTTATTTTTTTAATTATTGATAGAATGTCAAGCTTCTGTGCTTTCAGTAAAATTTTGAATGTACGAAAATGGTAGCATGACAAGTTTATTATCAACACATGCTTATTATTGGATTTTGGGGGTATGTGTGTATTCTTGGCAAACAACATCTCTTGTGATTATTAAAGTCTTTAACTTCAAGCACGTTCATATCTTGGAAAATAAGATTTCTCTGACCAATTAGGTAGAGATTATATCAGTTATTTAATCCTTTTCTTCTGTTGCCATTCCTTAATATACCTAAGCTTGCTTTTTTTCGCTTTTCCGTGTCTTTCATGTAAACAATAGTGTTAAGACTTTATTGTTTGTCTATCTTTTTCAGGTATTCATATCTATCTTTTAATAACTCTTTTCCGACTCGACATAATATTCAATTGGTATATTACTGAACACACTTAATAAATTTACTAAAAGGAGTATACCGGTAATGGGTTTTATGTTGTCTTTTCTACTCCTTTTAGCATATTATTTCACTTGTATTATATTTTTGTATATATGTTTATACCTGATGAATGTTTCGAAGCGATGAAAATAAAAAACCAAACCAACCGGAAACCCGGACTAAAAATAGTTTAATTGAAGAAAGATCATTCATAAAAGCGTATAAACTATATAACGGGTAGTAATTTAGCCATCAAACATCAATCAACCAACCACGAAAAGAATCATCTAGATGTATATTGAAAGTGTGAGAAATATGATCTGAGTTAATATCTTTAATTGATAATAAATTGCCCTAGAACAAAACAATATTATTCATCATATAAATGCTCATTCTAAATCACTTAACATCTTATAAATGTTTAAAATAATATCCAATTGATACATTTCTATTGCTTTTATCATTTGTTTCGAAAGTTGAACTTTTTCCCTATACTAACATGGTAAAGATATTTTTTCTGAATGTTTAAGTAAGCGATTGGCTACGTGTTAGTAAGTGTGCCTATTCAATATTTTTCAAAATATAGTTTGTAAATTGTTAATCCAAACAATAATAATTAAACGATGTTTAAAATAGAAAGAAAATGTACTAAGTAAATAAATGTAGTACCTTTATAAATTCTTCGCTTAAAATTTCCAACAAATCCTAAAATCACCACTGCAAATCACTTGAAAATTTAAAGAACTATTTTGATGAATTTTGGATTTATACTTTATATTTGTTAACATAATAAAAGCAAAAAAGTACCTTGGGCCAATTTCTCTTATCAGTATGTTAAATCTGACGTGTCATTCAATGACACTCATGTCTGGATTTTTCTTTTTAGGACTGATAAAATATTCAATTTCCTAAGTAAACAGTTCATGCACAAAATGAATATATTGCGCAGACAATAGCAAACCTGTATAAAATATCGTTTAATATAAGTGTTCATGTGTGAGAACGTGCATATAGGCGTTGGAAGAATGAAACATAGACTACTGCGGACATAGGACAATATACTGAGTAAGAAATTATACTACGATTTTGCACTATTAGAACATTAAATGTTTACGTTTTTCTAGGGAAACCATCATTTTACAAGTTTTATTTTATTAGTTATATACAATTCTTTCGACACATATGTTCATTCCATCTTCTTATAGACCTTTTTACGACGCGGTCCGTTGCTATGAAAAATCGACCGGAATTTTCTCGCGCATGCGCAATCTGCGTAGGACAGAAAATGCTTCGCCCTACATGGAAATATAGTAGAAGTTCATAGACAATACCGAGTTAGTTCAAGGTAAAGGGTAGAAAATTATATGAAATAGCTTTTAACAAATATAGAAAAAATGACTTATTGCTTTGTGGCGAAGAATGTCATAAAAAGGCATGGAAAAGATACTTGTTTAATAATTTACGATCACGGACCTGACACTGAGATCATTTTTTTAATGAAGATGTGGAAATGTATCTATTAGCAAATGAAAAATCAACTTATTTGCTGTTGATATAGTTCATATAAAACAAAATAAATTTTAAAACATGAAATCGAGATTAATTATTATTCTGAAAAAATATCAGAACAAGTGATAATGCATTTTTCAATATGTTCAATATACCTGATTATATTTATCCTTTATCCGTTTTGCCTGTGATGCAAAAAGAAAAAAAATTAAGTCACATAAATAGGTTTTAAATAATTAATATTTTTTTCAAAATCTTGAGAAGTTAAGATGGGTTGTTTGGAAGAGATATAAAACACATTTTATCAGCTTCTTCGTAATACATGATATTTTTAAGAATGCAAGTCACACATTTTTTCTCTTCTCAAATTCCATAAACATTGATCGGTATATTTTAAAGTTACATAAATTACCATTTTAATAAGCGTAACTGATTTACTATATCATGGTATTTAAAAGTCCCGGTTGAATGAACAACCGTTCGCGTGCCAATCTGTTTGACACTTGCCGCCTGACCAATCCAGTTATTCAAAGGAAGTGTACAATACAAATTGTGTAATATTATGTAATACAGGGGTAATAAAGTTTTATCTATAACACCCTGCTGTTTCAATTTAAATTACTGATGAAAAAGTCGTCTAATGATACCTTAAACAAACGACATGTGTGTGCCCTTTTTGACCATTGAATTATTAGCCCCGCACATTTTCGTAGATCAGTTAAAAATAAATTCACGTTTTCAGTACTTACCGCCTTAAGTCATCCGAAAATTAATGTTTTTTGGGTGCCATAACATGAAATCGCATCTATTAAAGCCTTAAAGTATGATAGACTGTAGACATCGTTATTGCGTTTTGCCCTACGCAGAATGCAGAATGCGATTTCGCCACAATGAGGTTGTCGATTTATGGCTTATAAAACTCATTTTAGTTGTCTGGGCACCAAAATAAAAACGGGAGTCGATATGAAACATATTTAATTAACGAAATATAACTAATTCCTTTTTATGAAATTTACTGAATGTAACTTTATAAGAAAGATGTCAAGTAAAATATATACCAAGCAAGTCTTTTAAATCATAAGCTTGAACTTACAATAAAAGCACAATAATGTCATTTGATATATGAAAGAAATTTACATGGAATGAGTAACTGCCTGTTTAAGAAATTTTGTGTAAATCCCCTTCTGGTTTAACTGGATGAGAATTTAGTTTTATACCGCTTCTGTCTGTCGGTCGGCCTGAAAAAGTGTAGGTGACAGTCTGGAAATTACCCACGTCCTTTACTTTTCCTTCTCTCTGTTGACATTTTAAACTGCAATTATTTTCTTACGAAACTTGGAAAATGGAAGAGAGCAGTATAGAGATTATGCAGATAATTCTAAGCTCGATTATAGAGTTTATTGAATGTTTTGCCACTCACCAAGCGTTGACGACCGCTCCCAGATTTCTGATTAAATTTTTTACGCAGTAAAAACTTGTTCACTTAAACTTTTTTTTTCTAATTGCATATACATAAAGCTTCATATATATGTTTCTAATCATCCACCACATCATTAGTGAAAAGCTTCGCACCAAAATTATCAGAATTACGCCCTTAAATTTAGGATTTTCATGAAAAAAAATATTTTCGTTATTTCTTAATGTTTCGACTATCACATTCAAATGTATGTTTCTGGTCATATCCTTCATCATAAAGGACAATGTTCATAACTCTAGCTTCAAAATTATCAGAATTAACACCTTTAACTTAAAATTGTCATGAATAAATGTTGATTTCATAACTTCTTTATTTCTTAATGTATCTACTTCCACCTTCAAATATATGTTTTTGATTATCACCCACATCGTAGGTGGTACATATCTGTAGCACCTTTTATTAGAACTGTCATTCTTAAACAAAGAATTTTTTGGAAATAATGTTTTTTTCTCTTTAGCTTCTTTTTATGTTCCCCGAAAAAATTCGTTGAAACATGTAGTCGCTGCCTTGTCCGTCCGTTCCCCTCCATCTCTCTGTCCGTCCGTCCGCTTTTCTTGTCCGAGAGATAACTTTGAAACAACAAGAGATATCAACATGAAACTTTGTAGGTGAATAGATCTCATTGAGTAGGTGTGCAGTGCATAAGAACCGTGACTCTGCCTTGCTTTTTTGTATTATTGCCCTTTGTTTATTTTTACACTTTGAACATTGTCCGGGACATAACTCTTAAACTATAAGAGTTATCAACATGAAACTTTGTAGGTAGATAGATCTTATTGAGTAGGTGTGCAGTGCACAAGAACAGTAACTCTGCCTTGCCTATGTTTTGAATTATTGCCCTTTGTTTATTTTTACACTTTGAACTTTGTCCGGGACATAACTCTAAAACTCTTAGAGTTATCAACATGAAACTTTGTACGTAGATAGATCACAAGAACTTTAACTCTGCCTTGCCTAATTTTGGAGTTATTGCCCTTTGTTCATTTCGACACTTTGAATTTTGTCCGGGACATTACCCTAAAATTATAAGAGATATCATCACGAAACGTTATAGATAAATAGATCTCATTGGGTAGAAGTGGAGTGCTAAAGAATCATAACCCTGCCTTGCCTTATTTTGAAGTTTTTGCCCTTTGTTCATTTTTTTAAACTTTCCTGTGTCCAAAACCTTGTCTGGGAGCATCACCCGGTTCAACCGGTTCTTGTTTTCCTAAGGTATCTTCCAAATACTTCAAATATGTGTTCCTTATCATGTATGAGATGATTCAATACTTAACTTGACTATTTCTAGAATGATGACCACCTTGAACTTTTTTCTAGAAATTATTTTACTCATACTCCTTCAATTCTTAAAAGATTTAATTCAAAGTCCAACTTCATAATGATTTGACAATGTTTATAGACCGAGCGCCTATATTTCCAGAATTATCTTCGGCTTACTTTTTCATTTTCCTTATACATGTATATTCTATTACGTACTTTTTTCTTCAAGCAGGGATTTGCTTCGTATTGTAGATATAACTATGTTCATTATTAACATCATATTTGAATCGTTTGTAAGTCCCGCGCCTTTGTTTATTATTTCACTTTCCTTTGTTACTTAAACTTTAGTAAATTGTTCTTTGTCATCACTCACATCATGTATCTGACAATGTTCACAAGTCTAGCTTTATTACTTCAAGAGTTTTCACTTTGTTTAAGAAAGTTGCTTAAAAATGTTATATTTTGGTCACAACCAAGTATGTTTAACGATTTGCCTTTCGTCTGTCATTCTGTCTGTTAGTTTGTCCCTAAAAACTGTTTCCTGGTATCACTTTCAAAAACAGAAATAGAGAAAAGTTAACAATGGTTAAACATTTCATCCTGAGAAACTGGATCTTTTAAATCTTCCACAATGACATAATTGAATTTTCGTGACGCTTCAGAATGTTGCTGACATAATTCTTATTGGACTCTAAAAGTAAGGGGATTTTTATTTGATATTTGCTTGTTACTAGTAGTCAATGGTGGGGGCAATTTCAACGGGTTTATTTGAATACTGGTCATGTACCTTCTGTAATTCTGTTGCGATGCTTTTTGTGTTGATTTTTCAAAAATATTTCGAGTAAATTTATTGAGATAATGTTTGTGTGTACATCAACAAATGATTTATACGGAGACATGGCGAAAGTCAGACAAAGCCTAATTAAAAAAGCTTCAGGCTAGGATTGTTCAACCCTGCTTTTATCGACAGTGCAACTGTCCATGCCCATTTGCTTAGCTTTAACATGTAAAGATGAAAATAAATTAATAGGCAATTTCGAAACAACCGCAGATGTGTTCGTAGAACTTGTAATTTTAAATATTCACGTATGTTTTTTCTTCTCAAACGGCAAATTGTCCCCAAGCATAAATTACATGTGCCCTGAACGACACAATCAATGAAGTGAAATTTTGATGGCGGGTCAAAATGTTCTTATTTATCTAAATTGTAAATACTACATAAATAAAGATGTTTTTAAGTGGATTAGATTTAGAAATACTACATTACCTGTGACATTTACATCTTGAAACATACATGATACATACGAGTATATTTCGTATTTTTTCAACTGCAAATATACCTATAATCCTGGCTTAAAATTATGGGACATCAACTTTTTCAATCATTTAAATATTTAAAAAAAATTCAATCGACTTCATAAATTATGAAAACATATTGCTAAATCCAAGTTTTTTTTTTAAGAATGGGTACTGGCAATTCAAAAGACAGTCATACGACAAACTTTGACAGACGAGATTCTAAAAGGAATAGCAAGAAAAAAGCAAAAATGGAAATTCAAGATGAGCAAACGGAGATTAAAGAAAAATGCCTGAGAAATCTAAGAGTAAGTTCACATTTAACAATTATAATGTCTATGTTTTCACTTAACTGAAAGTGTTACCGTTATATAATAAACATTATTATATATAATGTCATAGTTACGATTTATTTCTCGCTTTTGATATATTGACATATTCATATTTATTAGTATTTCAGTCAGAAGGGGGCTTTTATCATTTGCATAAATAAAAACTCTGATACATGTATGTACATGATTGATAATAAATAAGTCATAGGTTTATTCCCAGAGGAATTGTATGCATTCGTTTTATTTACATACATGTAATTGTAAATATATCATTCTTCAAGTTCAAATTCTTCATTAGTCATGTGAAAGGAATGAAAAGGTTTTTGTGGTAAAAGTTTTTTTCTTTGAAAATGATCAAACTTTATTTTCACAGCAAATGTTAGCTCAGCATGTAGATAAACTGGACAATAGTGATAAAACAACAGAGATAAACAGCCTTCTGGACATATTAGAAGGTAAAGATCAAATTCATTAAAACATGCATTGGTGGTAAAACACAAAGTCGTAATAACAAGATACATAAAATGATTATATCGGTTTGACCTAAGTATAATCTATGATAACTTATCATCAACTAGTCTCAAATCATGTTAAACATTTATAGTTAAATTCATTTTACCAGAAACCATGAAATCAGGATCATCTGCAGAACGCCAACGTTTATTTTTAAAAGCAGCTGACATGTAATTTACAAGAGATTCTAAGATCGAGCCTTCTAAAACATTACAAAAAATACCTGAGTAACACGAGAAAGAACATGAAACACCAATAAGTTGATGTCGTCCATACTTGGATACAAGTACTTGAACCATTTAAAGATGTCGTGTCAAAAAAAAGCTTTCATCTTCATTAAAAGTATACAACGGTCTACAGTAGCAAATCCCTTTTGAAATTCCAACAGGATCATACTGACACAATTGCCATGGTCCATTTGAAACACAATTATAACGGAAAAAGGATCAAGACAATATAAGTTGAGAAACCCCGTCCTAAACAAGTCTGAAACTTATACAATGATCATTATTACATCCAAACTGCCATACTTATTACATGTGTTTACATTTTGAATATTCACTGGAATTAAATTAGTTCAGTTTTCCGTTTATATTTTTCATTTTGAGTAGAATCCGAAAATACAAAAATATGGTAAAACGCATATGTGTAATATCTATAACATTGCTTTTATTCAGAACAGAAAACTAAAGGTATCAGTTACGACACGAACGGAGAAGTGACGGAGGCACAGCAATTTAGGGAAACAATAGAACGAATCGAAGTTGTTTTGAAAGAATCTAAGGTACTGATTAAAGTGTATTTCAGGTAAAAAATATGAGGTCCGATTATGATAATGATTATGAGGTTTCGTTACCGGGCCTTTTCTGTTTTTATAGTTCACTCTTTCACTTCCCATGCTTTTTCCGGAGATTGTAACATATTTCTGCACCACTTATCTGTATATTTTGACAGTATACACTATAACGGACAAGGTCACATTGGATTACCCAAAGAAGTGCAATGAATCCATATAAACTAGAAACACGATTTTATTGAAACATTTCAAATTATTAGCAAAAGTGCACCCCACCTGAGCAATGCAAGAATTTAAGTTCTAATTTGATTTCCTTGCCATACTTTTATGATATCGGGAACAACTTTTTCAAGTAATCCGTCAAATTCCTTGACCTGGGCGGTGTTAACATGTTATTGTCCAACAATATTGACCTGGCACTTCATTAATTTCCGTAAAGGTCAGGTGATAAACAGTGGTATCTAACGAATATATCGATATCATTGTTAACTTCACACGTCAATGAGTTGCAGTGTATTAGTATAGATGCCTGAGTACTGATCTGAAGTTCCCTGGTTCGATACCTTACCAACACCACGTTATGAGGACATGCACATTTTTGTGCCCCCACTTTAGTGGCGGGCATTTAGATTTACCCTTGTCCGTCCTTCCGTCCGTCCGTCCGTTCTCTTTTGTGTCGCACGTAACTCAAAAAGTATTTGACTTGGAGTCATGAAACTTTACAGGAATGTTGATCAGCATGTGAAGTTGTGCACCTGGGTATTTTCATCTGGATATTTTTAGTATTTTGAGAGTTATTGCCCTTGACTTAGTAAAATTTTGCAATTTTCAACTTGTGTCGCATGTAACTCAAAAAGTATTTGACTTAGAGTCATGAAACTTTACAGGAATGTTGATCAGCATGTGAAGTTGTGCACCTGGGTATTTTCATCTGGATATTTTGAGTATTTTTAAATTTATTGCCCTTGACTTAGTAAAATTTTGCAATTTTCAACTTGTGTCGCATGTAACTCAAAAAGTATTTGACATAGAGTCATGAAACTTCACAGGAATGTTGATCAGCATGTTTAGTTGTGCATCGGGTATTTTCGTCTGGATTTATTTAGTATTTTAGAGTTATTGCCCTTGACTTTTAAAATTTCTGCAATTTTCAACTTGTGCCGCATGTAATTCATAAAGGATTTGACCTAAAGTCATTAAACCTTACGGGAAGGTTGCTCAGCATATTTAGTTTTGCACCTGGGGTTTCGCTTGTGGATTTATCCAGTATTTGTAGAGTTGTTTCCCTTGACTTAGTAAAAACCGTTTCATTATGTTGTTATTTGTTTCTTGAGTGCTTGAGTTAGACTCAACAAACATTACAGGAATAATTACCAATATCACTAAATTACAGGAATAATGATTCACATCACTGTGAAGCTATGCACCTGGGACTTTGCATGTGGATTTTTTTTCAGTTTTGTTAGAGTTATTGCCCTTGACTTACAGTAGTATAAATTTGCAATTTTGAACTTGTTCAAGCATAGCTCAAAAAGTATTTCACTTGTAGGCCTGAAAGTTTGCAAGAATGTTGGTCAGCATGTGTACTTATGCACCTTGGGGTTTGCTTGTGGATTTATTCAGTATTTGTAAAGTTCTTGCCTTTTACTTAGTAAAAGATTTTTAGTTTTCAAAAAATATTTGACCTAGAGTCATAAGATTGACAGAACAGTGGCGCGGTGGGGGCACCCGTGTCCTATGGATACATTTATCGTTTTATTTTATTTCATTTTGAAATTTACTTTCAAGAATGTATTTGAAATCGTTTTACTACATCTGTTTTTTAGGATACCTTTTAAGTAGTGTTTTTTATACAATTTTAGTTTTTATTTCATTACATTATCTTTAATTAATAAAAAGGACAGCATGTTCATAATACAAATTAAAATACTACACATATAGAATACACACACAAAAATCAAAACGTTCATCACGAGTAAAGAGAGAAATGGCAACTTTAAGATAAGAAAAGAAGAAGTATTAAGTGCTTGAACCAGGATTCGAACGTCTATATTCTTGAAGTGAAAGCCCTTTACGACTGTGCTAAGAGGGATTTGTAATTCAGACCAATTAACTGGTTATAAACATTCATATCGATTTGCAAATAGAGTGTAACGTTTACGAAATTTACCGACTATGGGATCAAATGCAAGAGTGCCAGGTCAATGTTGTTGGACAATAATAATGTATCCTCCTTTTTCAAATAGACAATTTCCCGTTATTATTTATAGCGTGGTTCATGTCCTGGTGCATCGATATCCTGTTTAAGAGTACATATTCTTCGTTTTTGGCTGGCAAGATTTCAATATCATTCATTTGAAATTAAAAGTGATGAGTCTCTCTGATAAGCTTGACCTGCACTCGAGCAGGCTTCAATCAACTCATTACGTATAAATTTGTCAATTGTTATAAAGTGTTGAATATAGAATTATCCTGCCCTAACGATTTGAAATTGTTATATTTTCTAACGAAACTCCAGCCTTCATCAACTTCATAATTCTATTCAAATCAAGCTGTGCTATATCGCTACCACTGAACTTTAAAAAAAGTGCCACATATAGAAATAAATTCAAATATGCTTCATAGAAAAAGTAAGTAGAGCACGCATTTTCAGGTCGGTCATATTGTGTTGTTGCTTTCAATATTGCAGTTACAGTTTTAGACTGTTTAAACCATTTCTTGCATTTTTCCGAATGTGTGGTTGCGACGTTGCTTTAATAAACGGCAAATGTCAAATCCAAGACTATATTGTTTGGTCAGAATTCCTATATGCTCCACACTGCTCCTAAACCAAAACACTTTCCGATTACAGTAGAATATACCATTTTTAATTCAGAAAAAATACCCCATTTTCACAAAGGTTTTTCTTCAACTGGTTCAGCCCTCTATTTTCAACACTCACACCTTGGTAAGAAAGCACACGCATTCTGGAATCAAGAGATTTTCTTAATCCAGCAAGTAGGGGGCAACAAAATTTAAGAAAGTTCACGTGAATGTTTCTTTCATTTCTTAAATAACGTTGCAGCCCAAACGCTCTTCATGTTAAAGTATGTGGTGGGTTTTTTCTTTTTTACGTGTATGAAGCTCAAACCAGTAGTCTATAGCAGGTAACGAGTTAAAGTCTGCAATATCATCCTGATTTTTCATGTAAGGAAGCTTTCCAACTAGCTTACGGAACGTCGGTGGTTCTACTCAGGTGCCCGTCCGTGCCTGAAATAATGCACGGAAGGGCATCTGAGGTCTTCCTCCACCAGTTAAGCTGGAACGTCGCGATATGACCTATACTGTGTCGATGTGACGTAAAACCCAAAACAAACAAACAAACAAATCATCCTGAATTTTGATCCAACTCTGATTCTGCTGTTAGAAATCTATGTTGCTTTTGACATCGTCTTATTCCGCTAAGCTTCCGTATTACATAAACATGAAACGGATCGACGAAAAATGGTGCGGAGTGAACTTTAAGTCGGTGGCTTATGCTTTACTCCTTAGTCTTTCCCTATAGACTCAAGGGTTTTGCTAGGTCTGAATACCAAAAACGCAAAGGCCGGTACAAATATCAATATGCCAAAATGTAATTGCCTGATTAACAATATAATTGACAGGAGCAAAAATGACTTGAATATGAAGCTATAATACCTAATGACATATGTTAATACAATATTCCATTATATTATTCTTAAATTTGTTAATTTTTTGTTTCAGCAATAATGATGATACTGTTTTGTTATATAGCGTAATAATGCTATTAGATTTTTCTTCTTGCAAAAAGACATACCAAGTGTTTGATATATTGTTTTTGAATATAAATTTTGTTAATTTTGGTCGTTCATATGATATTTATATCGCATTTTTTAAATGCATGGTCCTATTCAAACATTGCAAATAAAAATCCGTAACGTGAAATTGTACATAGATGTATAAATTTAATTCATTTATCTTCAGCTAAAGGGAAGGACCGATACGTATAAGATTTTATTGCATTAATATCAATAACAAGTGTTAAAAATGTATCCTCTAATTCAAATAGCATTTAAAATTGTATACTGTTTTATGATTTACAGGGGCGTCCGTGCCCGAGTGTTTAAGGCCGTTGACTTGAAACCACTTGCCCCTCACCGATATTGCATGTGAGGACTATTCAACAAGTTTACGGAAAGTCAGTGGTTCTACTCAAGTGACCGCTCGTGCCTGAATAATGCACGGAGGGGCAAAGAGGTCCGCAAAACGTCGACATATGACCTTTAAACTGTGTTGGTGCGATGTAAAACCCATCCAAACAAAACGGTAGCGTTTACAAATCACTTTTTGTTTTTAAATTAATTTAGTGAATCCATTTCATCGATCAATGAAATATTTTATCCATATGAAAACATTATTGAATATATTTGCAGATGAAATCCTTATAATTATATATCAATTTCATGAAATATTCACTTTCAGCAATGCATATTAATACTCTATTATATAGGAATTCCCTCAGCGATTAAAAGATTCATTTAAAGGTGTGACAAATGATATTTACACGTGTGTAGCAGAAAGTATACAAGAACACAATCAACTGTTTAAAAGGAAGACAAGTATCAGAAGGAAAAATAGTCGAGCAAAAGAACCAAGACATCAAACTGGCGTTTCAGGTTTGTGATTTAACTTTTACCAACACAGCAAAATTAATGTTTTTATTGTAAAGTAATCAAGTATATGCAGATAGAATGTTTAAAGAAATACCACTCGAGTCAAAAAGCATAAAAACATATTTTTTGAATCTTAAGTTTGGCACTTACAACAGAAAGATATGCAAACGAGCATTCAGACATACACTCTGACATAGATTTTCTTTTTTAGATTTTACAAAGAAATATTCCAACTTAATATGTACCAATATTTACCATGTGTACCATGTTATATACATAAACCATAAATTTATCCTAGTTTCACGCAAAAGTGTCAAATGCCCCCGAAAAGGTTTCGTAAGTATGACAGAAAGGAATTATAAAAAGAAAAGAGAATAAAAGTAAATAATTGCTGTATATAGCTCTTGTGAATTAGATATTCATAGCAAACTTATCACCTTGACCTGCACGGCAGGGACATGGATCCTGGACGCGACACCTAATCTTGATGTGGTAGACATATATGCTGGGTTATTTAATCAATGCATGACAAAGTAAAAGTTCGAAGAATTTGTACCTTCAACCTCTAACAGTGACCTTGATCCTAAAGGTAGTGACATGTGCCTTATACGCGACATGTCGTCTCGATGTGGTAGACATTTTTCTTTATTCTTCAATGCACGACAAAGTCACAGTTCGGACATGAAGGAGTACTTTCAAACTCCTCTTGTGATACTGAATACCTTTAAACCATAAATGTGACCTTGACCTTGGAGGTAGAAGCATGGGTTATGGATGCGACACGTCGTCTGGATGTGGAAGACATACATGCTACTTTTCATGTTTGATAAAGTTCGGATACAGATGTGTGTACTTCTGAACACTAATTGTGAGAATGTGAAACTTCTTACTGTAAGTGTGACTTTGACCGTTGAGGTAGGGACATTGGCCTTAGACGATGATAAGGTAGACATTGTGCTAAGTTGCTTTAAAATCCTTTTATGCATGACAGTTACAGTCCAAACCCGAAAGTTGTGTTAGATGAGACGCACATACAGACGAACCGTTCGTTTTAATATACCGCCCTTCGGGAGACAGGAATACTTACCTAAATTTAAACTGAGCCCAGTGATTTGATTTAAGCTATCTTACAGATAATATACTATGAAAAGTTCATAGTTCACTCTGCCCCTTTCTGTGCTTTTCATCCAATCATCGCCGAGAGATTTTCAATTTTTGCTCCAATTATCTGATCTGTATACTTTTGACATTGTGCACAATATTTATTAATTAAAATCATTAAGTGAACTATTATGTGGTCAATATGGTAGTTTCCAAATGTGGCGCCTGCTGGAATGGTCGATTCTCATATTGTTCAAAAAATAAAATATCAGTCAGATATTCATTAATGTTAAAAATCAAAATGCTTACTTTTTTGTTTCGAGTTTGTTTCTAAGTTGTTTTACATCTAGTGTGTGCGTGCGTGACCTAGAAAATGACAATGCCAAAAAGAAAAAGCACATGAAAAAGTTTTAATAAATTAGCTGTAGAAATGTCGGTGTAAGCACAGTGTGGCTCATTTTAACAGATTTCGGGAAACAGTCATAGGCTCTATGTTTTGTCGGCAAAAAGGTAAACCGGTTTTAAAGACTGACATCAGATTTCTATCATGTTTCTGCCTTATGCATGTGGGGGCATAAAGTATCTCTCAGTATATGTTGTAGTTCATATGTTAGAATCATATACAAATTAAGTACAAGGGAGATATAGCTTTTTGGGAAGTGGGTGTCATACAGTTTCTCTGTATATAAAAAGAGCCGTTTGCATACAGTTAGATTAGAAGGGCTAGCAACAGTTTAAGAATTGTTTGTTTTCATGCTTAAAAAATTGTGTCCTGTTAATGTTTATACAAATTATACCATAGCTTATATATAAACAACTGAAGCACGTATGGTGCTTTCCCGCAACATAGCACAATTTTTACAAAATGACCAGCCTCAATAGTTCGACTGCAAACTGATATCAACTAGTATAGATATTTGTTTTCACAAATTATGATAGGCCTAAACAGGGGGTCGAACGTATAGCGGTGCGATACTCCTTTAAGCGAGGTGATTTCATGCGATACGCCCTAATGGCGGATTTACCTATGTAAACACACGTCAGAGTGAGTGTTTTTTATTAAGTATTTCATAAATCTTTGATTACAATTGCATATTTTGTATTGAGGATGTGAAGATAGGACCGACAGACATTTCATCAAAATTACAGAGGCCAACATTCATAACTAAAAATGTTATTGAAGGTAAACTGACGGCAACTAATTTTGGGTCGGTGAATAAAATCGCTTAATGCAAGCTTATATTAATATAGTTAATTTCTTTTTCTTCTTTATTCTATAAGAGTAATCATAATTGAGTTGCATAGCAAGTACCTTTGTGCTCCGATATACATAGACGCTTACTGGTCAAAATATTTAAGTGTACGCTGAATTTTGGTGCGATAAAATAACTGTACGCTGTTAAAGGTTCGATATTTTTCATAATCACATCTGCTGTACATGTTTTCCTATGATTATACTAAAATATCTACCATATATTTGCCCATTTCCGGAATTCTGAAATCTTCTTCTTTCCTTAAAGATTTACTTGAAATAAAAGTTTTGTATAACCATCAATATAGGTGTTTGAATAATTAATAATAATTACCCTGTGATAATTAGGAGTTGGAAAAAAGTAACCTTTACTCTAAGATCTTAGATAAAAAGTAGGAATTTGACCAAAATATGTAAGAATGAATTTAAGAAACCAATTAAGAAATCTTGTATAAATTAACTCACTTTCAAAGCAGAACATTTCAGAAAAATAGCAGTTAATATGTGATATAAGGGCTGTTTTACTTCATGAGGTTCTAAGATCGTTTGTACATGCTGCTGTCAAACTGATAGTTTTTTCATATTGTAAATAGAATTGAACATTTCAAACAACCTATAAAATACATTGAAAGTACATTTCACTGCTGTTCTAGAGATAGAGACTGAGAACCAGGTGGTAAAAATCTTTAGGTGGTAAAATTCTTTTCTAAAATCTTGCTTAGAACAGGCTATTTTTGTAGTGCACATAATTGTGGCCTGTCAGGAAAAAACACAAAACTACAATTTCAAAATTCAGTCTGTCATTGGGCACCAAAAGGTCAGTGTCTTTCTTAGGAACAGCTGATGCTCACATGTGCAAATACACAGTTGTAAATGTTGCAGAGCAATTAAAACATTACAAATTGATTAACGAACAAATCTACTGCCAGATAGGTAAAGTACCACAAGTACAAATGCTGACACATGTGCAAATAAACAAAAAAGCTTTTGAGTATATAATATTAGATTGAGTCACACTGCTTATGGAGTATATAAATAACCATGGGTTTGTGGGTTACAGTTAAAATATCATCCCATGGAAAATACTGTTAGCCAAGGTGTTAGCCGAGGGAAACAGTATTTTTAGGAGGATTGATATTTTTACTGTTACTCACAAACGCTTGTGTGTTATTTATTTTATTTCCCGAACAGATACTGTAATCTATAATACTTTTATTCACATAAAAAAACACTTGCCCAGATTTTATACTGTTAAAAAGTGCTGTTGGCCTGTAACAGTACAAATCTCTTGGTACACTTGCTTTAACAATAAGAGTAACTCCTAGTGGAAATGAATATTTACAAAAAAGTTAGGGGTTATGCTATACATTAAATGTTACAGAGAAAGCCAGTTTTAAAAGTAAAACTACTGGCAGATATGTTAAATCACTAAAAGTATGAATGCTTTCATAAGCAATTACACAAAGCTGTTTGGTATACACTGGTTATGGAGTAGCATAATTATATATTCAAAGCGACAGAGCAAATGACAAACATCAGAATTACTGAAATACAATGGTGTGCTCTGTATATAATATATAACATCCAATCCTTAGAGGAAATCAAACCAGTATTTTTTTTATAAATTTCAAGTTCCATTGTAAAAAAAATGGAAGAAACAAAACGAATATTATCGTGACTATTGATTACTTGATAGAATTTCAAATTTCTGTGCATAACTTATCTCATTTTAATGATTAACCTTTGTGGGAAAAGAATATTTAAATTAACTATACTATAGTATAATACATTAATTGACACTGTTGTTTTAATTGACACTGTGGTTTTCATATGATTAATATACAAACTCAAAACTTGATTTTTCATCAAAATTGAATAAGAATGTACTGTAATGAGGACATGGAGGAAGTTGCTACAGAAAAACATACCAACATTTGTGCGTACAGTTGGTTTATTGGACCAACTATTAGGCGTACAGTAAAAAAACTGGAAATATTTTATATAATTTCGGATAGATATGGAAAACTACTCTTGTATATCGTTTTGTTTTCAAACATAAACATGTTGGGACTTAAACTAATCAAATATCTCGTTTTAAAACGACTGATACATTATTCGTTTGCATGTGCATATCAGGTTGACGATTGAATTTGCAGCAACAAATACCTCAATAACTTCCTCAATTCTATAAAATTTAGTATTTTATTTTGACAATCATGCACAATTATAAGTTTTGATCAGCATGCACAATGCTATTCTTCAAAAAATTACAATAGAAAACAAATATTTGGAAAAAAGAAGCTCATACCCACTTTCGTTTTCGCTCCCGTTCGCCATTAGGGCGTATCGTATGAATTCACCTCGCTTAAAGGAGTATCGCACCGCTATACGTTCGACCCCCTGATAATGTATCAGTCGTTTTAAAACGAGATATTTGATTAGTTTAAGTCCCAACATGTTTATGTTTGAAAACAAAACGATATACAAGAGTAGTTTTCCATATCTATCCGAAATTATATAAAATATTTCCAGTTTTTTTACTGTACGCCTAATAGTTGGTCCAATAAACCAACTGTACGCACAAATGTTGGTATGTTTTTCTGTAGCAACTTCCTCCATGTCCTCATTACAGTACATTCTTATTCAATTTTGATGAAAAATCAAGTTTTGAGTTTGTATGTTAATCATATGAAAACCACAGTGTCAATTAAAACAACAGTGTCAATTAATGTATTATACTATAGTATAGTTAATTTAAATATTCTTTTCCCACAAAGGTTAATCATTAAAATGAGATAAGTTATGCACAGAAATTTGAAATTCTATCAAGTAATCAATAGTCACGATAATATTCGTTTTGTTTCTTCCATTTTTTTTACAATGGAACTTGAAATTTATAAAAAAAAAATACTGGTTTGATTTCCTCTATGGATTGGATGTTATATATTATATACAGAGCACACCATTGTATTTCAGTAATTCTGATGTTTGTCATTTGCTCTGTCGCTTTGAATATATAATTATGCTACTCCATAACCAGTGTATACCAAACAGCTTTGTGTATTTGCTTATGAAAGCATTCATACTTTTAGTGATTTAACATATCTGCCAGTAGTTTTACTTTTAAAACTGGCTTTCTCTGCGAAATTTAATGTATAGCATAACCCCTAACTTTTTTGTAAATATTCATTTCCACTAGGAGTTACTCTTATTGTTAAAGCAAGTGTACCAAGAGATTTGTACTGTTACAGGCCAACAGCACTTTTTAACAGTATAAAATCTGGGCAAGTGTTTTTTTATGTGAATAAAAGTATTATAGATTACAGTATCTGTTCGGGAAGTAAAATAAATAACACACAAGCGTTTGTGAGTAACAGTAAAATATCAACCCTCCTAAAAATACTGTTTCCCTCGGCTAACATCTTGGCTAACAGTATTTTCCATGGGAAGATATTTTAACTGTAACCCACAAACCCATGGTTATTTATATACTCCATAAGCACTGTGACTCAATCTAATATTATATACTCAAAAGCTTTTTTGTTTATTTGCACATGTGTCAGCATTTGTACTTGTGGTACTTTACCTATCTGGCAGTAGATTTGTTCGTTAATCAATTTGTAATGTTTTAATTGCTCTGCAACATTTACAACTGTGTATTTGCACATGTGAGCATCAGCTGTTCCTAAGAAAGACACTGAGCTGTTTGGTGTCCAATGACAGACTGAATTTTGAAATTGTAGTTTTGTGTTTTTTCCTGACAGGCCACAATTATGTGCACTACAAAAATAGCCTGTTCTAAGCAAGATTTTAGAAAAGAATTTTACCACCTAAAGATTTTTACCACCTGGTTCTCAGTCTCTATCTCTAGAACAGCAGTGAAATGTACTTTCAATGTATTTTATAGGTTGTTTGAAATGTTCAATTCTATTTATAATATGAAAAAACTATCAGTTTGACAGCAGCATGTACAAACGATCTTAGAACCTCATGAAGTAAAACAGCCCTTATATCACATATTAACTGCTATTTTTCTGAAATGTTCTGCTTTGAAAGTGAGTTAATTTATACAAGATTTCTTAATTGGTTTCTTAAATTCATTCTTACATATTTTGGTCAAATTCCTACTTTTTATCTAAGATCTTAGAGTAAAGGTTACTTTTTTCCAACTCCTAATTATCACAGGGTAATTATTATTAATTATTCAAACACCTATATAGATGGTTATACAAAACTTTTATTTCAAGTAAATCTTTAAGGAAAGAAGAAGATTTCAGAATTCCGGAAATGGGCAAATATATGGTAGATATTTTAGTATAATCATAGGAAAACATGTACAGCAGATGTGATAATGAAAAATATCGAACCTTTAACAGCGTACAGTTATTTTATCGCACCAAAATTCAGCGTACACTTAAATATTTTGACCAGTAAGCGTCTATGTATATCGGAGCACAAAGGTACTTGCTATGCAACTCAATTATGATTACTCTTATAGAATAAAGAAGAAAAAGAAATTAACTATATTAATATAAGCTTGCATTAAGCGATTTTATTCACCGACCCAAAATTAGTTGCCGTCAGTTTACCTTCAATAACATTTTTAGTTATGAATTTAGGCCTCTGTAATTTTGATGAAATGTCTGTCGGTCCTATCTTCACATCCTCAATACAAAATATGCAATTGTAATCAAAGATTTATGAAATACTTAATAAAAAACACTCACTCTGACGTGTGTTTACATAGGTAAATCCGCCATTAGGGCGTATCGCATGAAATCACCTCGCTTAAAGGAGTATCGCACCGCTATACGTTCGACCCCCTGATTATTCGTTTGCATGTGCATATCAGGTTGACGATTGAATTTGCAGCAACAAATACCTCAATAACTTCCTCAATTCTATAAAATTTAGTATTTTATTTTGACAATCATGCACAATTATAAGTTTTGATCAGCATGCACAATGCTATTCTTCAAAAAATTACAATAGAAAACAAATATTTGGAAAAAAGAAGCTCATACCCACTTTCGTTTTCGCTCCCGTTCGCCATTAGGGCGTATCGTATGAATTCACCTCGCTTAAAGGAGTATCGCACCGCTATACGTTCGACCCCCTGCTAAAGGTGTTCAGTAAAATATAATCGTCCGTTTAGGTGTGAGCAGGTATTAACCAATAGTCACACGTTTACATCGTCCTTCTTAATCTTAATGGCTGCCAATAACCTATCATGGGCGTGGTGTAAGTTACAGGAAATGGATCGACAAAAAGGGACGGAGTCAACTATAAGCCGGTCATAGTTCACATACTAGAATTATATACACATTAATTGGAACCGTCGCTAATGCTCCCTTGCACTTAATTTTTATTTAATTTAGATGTATGAACTACTGTAAAATCATTTTTATTCGTGGGGCACGAATTTTCGTTGTTTTCGTTGGTAGGTCAATCCACGAATTTAAGATCCGACGAACTTTTATCCCAACAAATACTTCTTACCCAGTCTCTGTTCTATATATTACAAACATGCGTCGGCTCTTTTCCGGCCGATATTTTGTGAAATGGATGTAAATACAGACAGATAATCAGGTTAGTGACATATTAAATCCGTTTGCAATATTTAAGAAACTTGAAAGTAAACTCGATTACATAATGTCCTCAATTTACTGTCACAAATGTCGCATATACATACTTGATCGTTGTAGTCTACTTGCTAACAAGAATACTTGACATAATCGAGTAAATATGGGAACCCAGGCAGTGCAATAATTAGCGCTAATAAAAATTGTCAGTTTGCTCTTATTAATTGAAAAAAAGTCATTGATATTAATGTCGTAAGTACACAAAACTATAAAAAAAATACGATCGCTAAAACAGATTTATTGTACATTCTTTTGTCGTTTTTAAATGATCCAGTATAATGAATTTTAATCTGTATTTGTGCGAATGCTATTCCGTAAACATCAGACGCCACCGACTTTTACAAGATCCACATATACTCGTGTTATTTACCGAGATTAATTTACAGTATATGCATTTATTTACACAGTCGCTGTGACGTAGCGTGTAGTAACTGTCAAATATGTTAAGACCAATTAAGGGTGTAAACTTTTAAACTCGCTAGGTGTCGTATAAATTATGCGATGTTTACAATGGCGAATTACAGGGGCAGTGTGTCCAATGGAGGTGCATATCATGTCACATAAATGTGTTAATTGCAGTCAATTATCGGCAGTAACTGTTCTATATTAGACTTATGCCCAGAGGCAAGGATTAAATTTATTGACACGCGCTGTGTGACAAGTAAAGATATGTACATGTTGTAAGTAAAAATGTTCGGCAATATGTTTTAGATTACTTTGCATTAGGTTACTGAACTTTTTTTTAACAAGAAAACGAAAATCCACGAATTTAAGAACCCACGAAAATGCCCATTTTGATAAAATCACAAAATTTCATGTCCACGAATATAAGTGAATTCGCAGTATAACCTATACATGTTTAACAAATGAAAAATATTTTAGCCACAGTTCAGATATTCTACTCGCCAGAAGGAATAATGAATGACATACAAAAGGTTCTGCAAACAACCTTGAGAAGCGAGTCAGGAGCTGTGAAGTTTATTCCTGTATGCGACAAATCCAAAATTGATGACAACATGTTGTTAATCATTACATGCCATGTATCATCAAGGGTTGTTTCGGATGCAGAACATGCTATGAAAGATATCACAAGTAACTTTAAATTTTTATTTTTAAATACTTAGCTTATCGATCAATATCGATTACGTTATCTGTTACCATTTGAAAGTAACCTTTTCTCAAATACTACCGGTAGCATAACATGGTGACACTTATGGTTTATTAAGTGTACATGTTTTGATTATCATATTTGATTTATTTGATTAAATGTTTAATAAGTTTTGCTTGCAAACTTCATTACTTAATTGTATGTCAGCATAATATATATTTCTTTGGAATTTTGTCACATAAAATTTGAAAGTTTAACTGCATATACATTTCTGGCTGTTATTTGCCTGCCAGCTGACAGATGTTGTTTACTTCGATTATGGTATTTCAATGTTTAAGTACAGTTCGTCAAATTAGACGTTAAAATGACAATTAAATATAAAACCAATTTTAATTGTGGTTATAAATAGGCCACCTAAAGTTATGAAGTATAATGGGTATTTTGGAAAAGAAAAACAAAAAAACACAAAGGGGCTTTTTTTAAATTTATTTTTGGGAAAAATTTAATTAAAGGGGCATGGACCTTGAAAGTAAAACCCTTAAAATAAAAAACCTTGGAAACTTGAAATTATGGGGGGGTTAGTTTAAGAGTCCGGGTCCAGGGGAAAAAATTTCGTAATATGATATCGTTTTTTTAATGTTTAATTTTATGGGGGATTGTCTTTTTCTTCTCTGTTAAGATTGGGAAATTTTTTAGCCAGTAGTTTTGGGTTTCTTTAAAAATGGGAATTTTTGCAATAAATTTAATAACAGGTTTTCCCTTTTTTAACTTTTTAAATTTCACTTGTGACAAAAGGCAGCGATTATTACCTTCCACCAACTCAAAAATAATAAGGGCAAAACTTTCCCAAATTGGCATTATTAAAAAAAAACCTTTAAAAATTTAAAATTTAAAAAAGAGGTTCAAAAAAATATTTAAAATCACATAAGCTTATATAAATAAAGAAACTTAATCACTTTAGACATTTTAAAAGCAAAATGTAACATACGTTACATCAATAACATTGACATTATTCTAGCATTTTTTAACTATTGTTGAAAGATTTATGAAAATAAAGAGAACAAACTCGGTTATTTTTCCTAAAATCCGTAGGAACAAACATTGCACCTGGTAATATACTCAACTTCTGAAAGTAACTCATTATATAGTCTTTTGCTGTGTTATTTAACGTATTTGTACGTTACCAAAGTCTCATCCATCCAAATTATGAAATATCACCCATAAATGTTATGCAAACTATCACTTTTAACATAATTTAGTAGAAAAAACTACATTTATCATCGCCAGTATTGTCCAACTATCTATATTGCAAAACACTTAAGTAAATTAAGAATAAATCTTCGTTTATAATGCTGAAAATGAGCTGTAGTAATGTCTATAGTAATGGTTTTATATGTACAAAATGTCAATTTTATGTCATGTATCATTTAGGTTGCTTTAAAAAATATTTCACCTTTGAATGCCATCACATCTTGTTTAACCTATTTATGTTTTCTTCCTTATTATAAAAACAGATATAAGAGTAATTTCCACATCTCTATGTCTCTCATAATGCTCATTAGTTCGACTACACCTAGTCACATTTAAAAAATGTTATCCTTCCAATAACTTTCAAAGTATTGCATAGTGGTTAAAAAGCCTTCTCCTGCTGTTTTCGATGGTCTTTTTCACTAGATTTGCAAGTCGTGTGTTTGCACTTTTCATGAAAAGAACGTCTTGAAATGTTCAACTGTTACTGTTACAACAATGGTGGGTGGTAACGTATTTTAGCTGTCAGGAAGCCATTTACGCCTTTGATTCTTCCTAGGACCTTACTTCACGCTTAAAGTGTATTGTTTTACACAAAGACTTGATTTAAACATGAAAGTCGAAGGTTTCAACTTTGCTGACAACATCGCCACAAAGTTTATGTTCTTTCTGCAACTTTAACAGTTATTGTTTTAAATAAATATACTTTCAACATTTGTTCTTGTGTCTGAACTTCTAATCATATTATGGTCTCTTGTAGTTTTCTCTTCTTGTCGTAATCATAACAATACTCTTTTCTAATATTTCGGCTTTACATCCAGTCATCTAAAATGGAATTAAAAAGAGATAACAAAAAAATAATACTATTCATCATATGAATAAAAAGAAATAAATTTTACTCAAAAAGTGGAGTCCTCTTCAAAGAAATGCATAAATTTGGGTGGCACTATAGAGCAAAACGTATGTTCAACGTCAAATTCAGCTTTCGTGATCACAGACTCAATCAAACCATGTCTGCAAATTTTCAGTAAAATTTGCTGTTTTTAATGCTTCGGAGGGATCACTTTTTTTACCAGATATTTCTACATCACAACCAGCAGATGTGAAGTGCTGTGTGGCAGCCGTAAAAACTGTTTGCCCCGTACTTCTCTTCAGTGTTGTTATATTTTTCTGGTCTTTTCGGGATCATTGAATCCAGCACTTTTAAGTGTTAAGATTTTAAGTACCGCTCAATCCGGTGCTAGGGGCATGAAAAGGGATGTTGCACTTTTTCATTATATTATCGCTAATATACAGACTTCAAAAATTTAAAAGGGGGTCTGGGGAATTTTCATTGGGGAAATTTTCATTTTTTAATGCACTGAGGGGTATTTACCCAAAATTTTAAAATAACATTGTAACTGGGGGATTTGACAAGGGGAAAAAAAAATTAAAAAAAAGGAGGGGGGGATTTTCCCCGTGGGAAAAAGGTTGGGGAGGATGGGGCAAGGGGGTTCATTTTTGGCTTTCAAAACAAAGCACCCGGGAAATATTTTTAAATTTTTTTTAAATCACTCTTTAAAATCCATAAAAAATGGTTTTTGGGTTTTGGGTTTAAAGGCCCCATACTTTCAAAAAGGGTTTACAAAACCCTATGTTTTTAGTTTTTTAAAAAATTCGGGCGGAAAAGCAAAAAGGAAAGGAAAGCAAAAAGATAAGTCATACCCTAAAGAAAAAGCAAAAATTCTACACAAGTTAATTTTGTATCTCAGAATCCCAAGTTTTACAACTATCAAATTTTATTTTTTGGTAAAGACAAAAAACAGAGAGCCAGACTGACAGAAAGGCAGATAGACACATTTTTAAACAGAAAGACAGACGGTGTAGATGGACATACAGATATCCATATTAGGACAAACATCATCATTAAACTCATTACGTTTGTATCGAAACTATCTTATTATCATGTGTTTGTAAAATTGTACAACAAATTTAACACTCAAAAAATGGGGATCTATTACCACTGGATAAGCAACAGTTAACTCCGAATATAGCTCCTCATCAATATTTGGAGCACAATTTAGTTAAACCAGAGACATAGATAACATGTTATCAATGTCTCTGGTTAAACCATTGAGCTCAACAAGTTCAACAATTTGAACTGCTTACTAAGACTGTAAAATATTTTTTCTCCATTTATTGGAATCACAATTTTGAAATTACATAGATCTAATCATTGTACATTCTGTATCTGTTTTTGACTCCCCTGACATCTCATATATCACTAGTATGTAAAACAAGATAATATATAACGCTCAGTATTACCTTTCAATTCTTACCTTCCAAATGTTATTAAAATGAAAACTTAGTATGTATCATACACAATGACATTTTTATACCAAAATCTAATAATCTGTTAATAAATATCATGCAGTTATGATTCTAAAATTACTAACAATTTATTCTGTATTTCGTGCATTGTTTACCCAAACACGCTTCCGTAGTTACATTTTGAAGCTACCCAGGATAAACTTAAAATTGTTTATTTTTTATTTTCCTACTTCATAAACATCTTATTACCAAAACGAATGTTAATATATAGGCTAATGATTACTTATATCTCATGAAAATTGAAAAATCTTTACTGTTTTAAACGACAAACGCCGATTTATAAACACGCGAAAACCCATTACAATTCATTCATTGTATTTGATATTTGGGCATGTACGAGGCTAAAAGTTGTAAAAACAAGTAAATATAATATGAAAATTTATACATACTTCGCACAACAGCTTCTAAATCCAACTCCAGGTAGTAAATGTGTTTATTTTGATTTATTTAAATCACGCGGCCTCATAACTTTTGTTTACTTCGACACCGGTTACAGCATAAAACTCTGTGTATGGTGTACATGCAGAGTCATATAAAAACTCGAAACAAATGTTAAATTTGAATTGCTTTTTTTACTGGTTTGCCATGGTTAGATTTTTTTAGGGTTTTTACCTGTTTTATATGATGTGTATAACAGACTAAAAATGTAAAAAAAGCTTGTGTTGCAATTTGTTTGACGTTAAATTTTACTTTAATCGGACTATAAGTGTTTATCAATATAATATTTAACCAAAAGTCAAATTTGAATATGTAAACATGCTTTTGATTGGTTATAGGTCGTATCAAAAGTTTGTGATTGGCTACTATGGTATGTCATTTAGCTGTCAGAAGCACGTGCAAAGTCATTATAAAAATTAATTAAAAATCATTGCATTGTTTTAGCAGTAGGAGTCTCTCGTAGTTCTGCTTTTAAATAACTTAATTTATGCATCAATGTTAAGTAAAGTATTTGAATAGGTAAAAACACTATACGATCGTTATTTTATTAAATAACGTTACAGCATTGATCAAAGTTTCGGATTAATTAAAGATGATTAAAAAGCAATATACATGTAGCTGCTAACATGTTTGATAATTATTTTGTCTGTAAAAAAGCCAAATATGAGCCTGGTGTGTGATGCAAAAGTAAGACTACAGTCCTGCTTGTCGGTACCCATAAAATACTTGTTATTGTAACCAGAGCCACATTCGTGGTTGCATGGTGCTTGTTTTGTGTTATCTTGCAGACAAATCTATTTTTTCTACATTAATTACCTTCAGAAAAAAAAACTGAATGTTAACATTCTGGTATAATTATAGTTAATATGTTGAGACGCTGTTCGTTGAATGGTGTCTTCATGTCGGATTTATGTCATGTATGTATTCCCAAAGAATACATGGAATACATATATTCTAATGTGAATGTAAATTGAGCATTTCATTTCAGATCCAGCCAATGCGATCCTCTTGTTAATACATGTCGGTGAGGCACACACATTTTCAGATACAAGCAGTTCTTTACATTTGACAGGGAATGAATTTAAGCATCTGCGAGGAATTTATGACATGTTCTTTGTGAAAAATAATAAGGACTTCCTTAGATGTCCTATGAACGAAAACAGTATCAAAGGACTGTGTATATTCTGCAAAGAGCTTCCAGACAGTGCAAATATTGAAATTACGAAATTTTAAAGTTCTAACGAATAATGTATTATGGCCCTGTCACACTAGACTGCGCTTTCACTGCATTTGAACGGCATTGTTAAATGAAACAAAGCGCCGCGAGACCGCAATTAAAATGCATATTTTTGATGACATGGATACTTCACGGCGTCCTCACGGCGATCATGGCGATGCTACGAAGCTTCCACGGCGTTTTAAATGACGATTGTCTGCGTTCGGAATGCGCTTCTACTACGTTCTTTGCGCTTCCACTGCGCTTTTTCGACGCTCACACGGCGCTCATGTTGCGTTATAAGAGATGTTATGGCGCACTTGCTGCTATCCCATTGCGCTCTTATCAGAACGCCGGGTGACGGCGTTTGTTTTTAGCATGTTAAAAATGCGCGCCGTTGATCGGCTTTCTATTCGATGCCACTTCGATGTTGTGGCGATGTTGCGGCGATGTTTGTGATCTAACTGCGCTTATCTCGGCGTTCTGAATTTACTTTTGACGCCGTGAGAACGCCGCCCTAGTGTGACAGGGGGTTAAAATTGGGCAGTCGATCACTCATGTCATATATGAAAGCGTTTTATAACATTTTTTTCGTGCATGTGCACAGTATGGTAAAATGTTATCCAAGTAAAACTACTTGAAAACCTTATGGTGTACAAAGCTACATCTCTGCTTATTACTTTCAGTCATTCCTTATTCGTATTATTTTATCGACAACAACAACATTGCCGCATTCAATCTTTAATTGAAAATGACTTCAAATCATGAAAGGATTAAAAACAATAAAAACAAGTAACTCTTTCAATATTTACCGTTGGCTAATAAGATTGCAAATAAAAAATACAACAATGGTAACTTCTTGTTCTTGATGACTCTCAATTAAGTTTGTAAACCGTTTTTTAAATGTATAAATCATTGTTTAATTACTATTAAATGTATATTAACATCTCCTACACCCTGAGACACCCTACCCTGACTGATTCATCCTTCAGTTAAGTGAAATACATTACATACTTTATCCGTGATGTTGCATTTGATTTTAATTCTAGATTTTTACTCACAAGGTCAAACAAAACTTTCACATATTTTAAAACTGGTTACTTAATTTTATCAATGAGATTCATGTAACTGAAATGCAAAGAAATGTAATTAGCTCTTTTCGTGTACTGTTTGGAGAGATAACTCAGACACTAAATCACATATTTTTTGCAATATCTTAATTACCTCCCTGTATATTCTAAATATGGAACCACCTTAACAAAGTTCAGTTCAAAGACTTAACACTACACTACAAAAATTATGTATGAAAATGGAATCTGGTACTTCTTTAAGGTCCTGAATGAGGAGTCTTTTTACCCTAAAACAGTAGATAAAGTCGACACTTATTTTTTGTCAGTAAAAAGTGACTGGAAAATCTGCATCAATAATATATGTTTTCATCTTAAATGTTTCATCTATTTTTTTGTGAATATTTAAAAGTTTAGGTTATTTGAAAAACGTTAAAACGTTTACCAAATTATAAAAAAAAACCATCCTATTCTCTCCTGCTCCTATACTTTTAGGTGACTATGTGTTTGTTGAAAGACAAACTTATAACAATTATATTTATCAAGTGTCGGGGTTATCTATGCCTCGGAATTATCTCTCCGACCGGTATAAACAATGCCTTAAATAGTTGCCAGGAGAGTATTTCAAAAGACATATAAAAAGATCTACCTACAGTTAAAATAATTCAAGGTATGTTAAGGTTTCAACCATTTCAAGAGATTTACCTTTATATTGTCTGAGTTTACCACCCTTTTCAAAAATCATATTAAAACTTTTGTCTTCGTAAATTAAGATTTAATTAATATATATCAAACATTTTACTTTTCGTAATCCTTCTTTGCTTTCAGGCAAAATCATTTTTAGCTCGACTTTTCTATGAAAAGGGGAGCTATCCTACTCGCCCCGGCGTCGGCGTCGGCGTCGGCGTTGGCGTCACACCTTGGTTAAGTTTTTCGTACCACCCCACTTTATTTCAGAAGTATTACAAGTATGGCTTTGAAACTTACCATACTTGTTCACCATCATAACCTCCATCTACAGACAAGAGTACATAACTCTGTCAAGGTTTTTGACAGAATTATGGCCCTTTTTTGACTTAGAAAGTGTATTGAGCTTGGTTAAGTTTTTTGTACCACCTCACTTTATTTCAAAACCATTGGAGGTATTGCTTTGAAACTGACCATACTTGTTTACCATCACGACCTTCATCAACAGACAAGAGGACATAACTCTGTCAAGGTTTTTGACAGAATTATGCCCCTTTTTGACTTAGAAAATACATTGAATATGGGTAAAATCCACTTATTGCCTTAACCCTTTGAGATATTGCTTTGAAACTTTTAATGCTATTTCACATCATTACCCCCATCTGTACGCAAGAGAAGGTAACTCTGTCAATGATTTGTTTTAAAAATTAAGGCCTTTTATCGACTTAGAATCTTGGTTAAGTTTTTAGTACCAGTCCACTTTTTGACTGAACTGTTTGAGATATTAATTTGAAAGTTGGAATACTTGTTTACAATCATGATTCCCAAACATGTCCAGGAGAAGGTAATTCTGTCAAAGATTTTATTTGAATTATGGCCCTTAACTGTCAATGTTTTGTATTATAGGCAAGCACTAAAAAACTTAAAAAATCTAAAAAAAATTCATTCCTATCCACTTGTTCACTTTACCATAAATTATGTCATATAAACATTGCTGTAATATTCAAGGGTATCAAACAACTAGTTCACTTTAAAAATACAGAGATTCTTGTATTGCCTTTTACTGCAAAAACTTTTTTTATTGGCAAGCAATAAAAAAGTCGAGCGCGCTGTCTTACGGACAGCTCTTGTATTATCTGCTTATAACAGTATAAAAGCTTTAAAATACCCAAAGCAATACATTCTAAGACATTTACCATGAAATATTTACCTTTATCATTTAATGCAGAGAAAATAAAAAGGGTACTAGTGTTCTCCTTGTCCTACTAAATGACATTAAAAATATTCACTATCATAATATTATTACATTTTTGTCATACATCTAACAATATCTAAACTCTGTATTTGTATGGCAACAATTTATGTTTTTTTAAATATAGGTTAGTGTTTAATAATACGTATAAACAAAAATAATTGGTCAAGCCTGCCGCAGGCTTGACAAATTGTTTTTGTTAATACGTATTATTAAACATTAACCTATTTAATGATCAACATTATTTTTTTCAACCAAAAACAAAAAAGGCACTTCTCTAAATCACTGATAGCTCCGCCCTTTCGCTCTACAAGATGTCTACACCTTGTCAAGTTTCTAACATGTCACATTTAGATAAGCTAAATAAATGGCCCTTTCAGCATATAATCAGGCATATTTTTTACTGAAATGCCACAGAATTTATACATTTACATTTTTTACTGAAATGTCACAGAATTTATACCTTTATCTAAAGAAAGAATATCATGTTTCTATAAAATATCTGGGGGAAAAACAGCGAGGAAAACGATGCAATTAGGTAAAAACAATGGAGTTAATGAAAAGTGTACATCCTTTTAAAATAAATAGAAAATGTGAGAAAAATACATTAGAGATAATTAATTGATACAAATTCGTTATTAGCTTCAAGTTATTCACTAACATTTAAAATCCCTATTGATTTGCTCATTTGAAAAACAATTCTTTTTTCTGTGTGTCAATGTAGGTTTACAGGTGGAGGGGGTTCATTGTCAATGAGTTTTCCAGCCAAAAAATGTAATCATTGTATTCTTAATATCAAGGATTGTTAATGCAGTTCATTCCTATCAAGTGAAAGAAAATATTGTTTTAGTTACTCTTTCTAGAAAATATATAGTTTAAAACAGTCAGCAATTTATAACAGACATTTTTCTTAGAGTTAAAATGATATAAAAAAAAGTTACTATGTAATCCATTTGTCTCTGCGTGCCCCACATGTATTATCTATGTAATAAATTAATTGATTGTATCCTCACATTTAGAAACACCTGACATCGCCTAATTTTTTTTACGTTGGCATTGTTTTGCTAACCTAGATATTTTACAATTCAGAGTGCAAACCACACCTCTAACTCCTCCCTAATATAATGCATTATTGAAATTTGTTAGACTGATTAGACGACAGATTAAGTTAACTTTTTTAACCAAAGTTAGACTTAGCAGAAATTTGGAAAATACTACAATGTGATTGGACAAAATATAATGTTGATCATTAATTTATGTAGGTGTCATTTATCTATTATCTTGATATTTGTCTGTTTTTACAAAACGTTTTGTCCTGTAAACATGTGTTATTGTGGATAATTAATTTTGTTAAATAATGTTTGAATACTCTATAGGCTTTTTATGTCTGTATGCATTTTTGTAAAACCAACATGTACATTATATTGTGACTTTAGTTTTTTCCGGGCAAGGAAAATAAACTTACCCCTTTTTGTTTTTTTCCCTTTTTTTAAGTGTTCCCTATTCTGGGTTTTTATCTTTTTAATTTTTTTTTTAAAAAAAAAGCTTTAATTTTTGATAAAGCGTGATAAATCTGATAAATTTATCAGGAATGTACACTGTTAATTTGTAACTAAAGTTAGGAAAAAAAAACAGTAAACTTTTTAAAAAAAAAAAACAAATTTAAAATAAACCCCCGGAGGACATAAAATTTCTTGCGCGAAAGATACATAAGAAAAAAAAGGTTTGAGTAATTTAAAATAAATTGACTTTATTAGGGCATAAAAAATTTAATATTTAAAATTTGGAAAATTTTTGCAAAAAATCTGCACATATCTTTTTACTAGGGGTTTAGTTTCCCCTTTTTTCGGAAAAATTTTCAAAGAGCCAGGCTTTCTAATTGGGGGAAAGTTTAACTCAGTTTTTAAATTTAAACTGCCAATCATATACATTTTTTGTCATATAGTATATATTTGTATATAGTTTATACATGTATAGTAAACGGGTGCGGGATAGTAATTTTGTTCTGGATGATCAAGGGGTGATATTTTCATGATAATTTGATCATTATTGGCAAAGCAAATGTGCCAAACGCCTGTGATCTTACCCACAAATATGTACCTTTAGAGGCAGACAGGAGGTTTTTCGGATAATATATAACTCACCTGAATAAAAGGCAGAATAATCAATTTCATAAATATCTTGTCATCTTACAAATACAATTACAGAGAGTTCTCAAGTATCATTTTTTGTTAGTTTCATCAAAATCTAGATCTTGTTTCAAAGATGTTTCTAATTTTAAAAAGCTCTGACGACCATCTAGTTCACCAGACCTGACAAGATGCATTTGAGTAATATTTGGAGGAGACAATCCAAGTATCATTCCCGTTTCATCACAATTGGTCTAGAAGATGTCGTTTAAGTAAAAATGTTAACATGGTGACAGACGGACACAGGTGTATCACAATTGCTAACCTTGCGCACCTTGTATTTCTCTTCAGTTGGTTTAAAATAAAAACATTCAAAAATGACCTTGAAACAATTTATTTAAAATTTAAGATGGATGATAATATAATATAAACATTATAAATAGCATCTTTCATTACAGCTGTGTGACAAAAGATGTTCGTGGAAAGGTTCATGAAGTCAAATCATATGACAAAATAACACTAAACATCTCTGTGTTGCGTGGAAATCAAAACAGATTCCTACAGTAGTCGTGAAGGTATATACTCGTACAATAAATCTGGTAACAGTAACATGACATATCACTGTTCAAAGGTCAAAAGGTCATCATATCAACACTGACACTTACAAAGTATGTTAGTCTTGTTTCATGAAGAATTACTGCACCAAACTCTCAAAATGCAAACCCAAGTGTTATCTTTGTCTTAGTTCAGTAAGGTGTTAACTCCTTTAAAATTAAATAAGAGTTAGCCCGCACTGCACAAAGATGACAGTTTGTTAATATTGTCATATCAAATTTAACAGCATGTTGTCACTATTTAACACTATAACACTTTCTAATTTTATATTTTAGAACATTAACTCTTGTCCTTCATCAGAGCACTTGTAATATCAAATACCATGGGATTTTACAAATCTGTACATATAAGAAGATAATAAACAATATTCTGTGAAAATAAGCTTTGTACCTTATGATTGAAGTATAAGATATTTAAACATACAAGCAAAACTTCATACAATATGCACTGGAAAGCATTAACATAAATGTCAATTTCTAATTGTCAAAAGATTCCACATGAATGTCAATTTCTAACTGACAAAAGATTCAATTATAAACAATAATAAAAACTTACACAAACAGACATCTGCATAATTCAAGGAGAAAAATACACAATTATAAATATTCACAAAAAAGATAACAATGGCTTGCCCATGTTCGTGTTTTCAAAAGTTGAAATTAACAAGGATTCAAATATGTTTCTGAATATTGTAGTATTAATTAAGTATTTAATTTATTAAGAGACTGTTTTCACTATCATACTTTAAATTTACTCTAGCTTGAGTCCAAATGAGTCAAAGCTTAGATTAAACCTATGCATGTTGAAGTCATTACAATTAATTTACTTATTTTCTTCAAATTGTTGAGAGATACAAGTACACACTTTACCTTACACCATATTCATTTATTTCAAAAAACGAAAATTCAAGTCTTTGATTAGTTCTTATCCAATACTTACTGTAGCACTTCTCATTTTTCTTTTAGACAATTTGACAAATGTTTTCATATCAAACAAGAGTGAATTCATCTAACAGTCATTCTACACAAACTTCCTATTATATCTGTACTATCATCATTTTCAATGATATAAATGGTGAAATTCTATCTGTCAGTAAAGTTAAACATATTTCCCATGCCACCCCCTCCTTTGCCACCTGCTCCTTGCTGGAACTGCCTCATCATGTTCTGTAGGCCCTGCATACCTCCTGAAAATCATTTCATACACATCAATTAACTAACAACTTATATCTGTATACAACCTGGAACACTAAACATCATTTATATCTAATTTTACTTACACAATCATTGTATTATATCTAATTTAAGTCACACCATGATTGTATTATATCCAATTTTAGTCACTAAATCATTGTACTATATGTAATTTTAGTCACACAATCATTGTATAATATCTAATTTTAGTCAAACAATCATTGTATAATATCTAATTTTAGTCACACAATCATTGTATTATATCTAATTTTATCTAATTTTAGTCACACAATTATTGTATTACATGTAATTTTAGTCACACAATCATTGTATGATATCTAATTTTAGTCAATAATCATTGTATAATATCTAATTTTAGTCACACAATCATTGTATTATATCTAATTTTAGTCACACAATCATTGTATTATATGTAATTTTAGTCATATAATCATTGTATTATATCTAATTTTATTAACACAATCATTGTATTATATCTAATTTTAGTCACATAATCATTGTATTATATCTTATTTTAGTCACACAATCACTGTATGATATCTAATTTTAGTCACATAATCATTGTATTATATCTAATATTCTAGTCACACATTCATTGTATTATATCTAATTTAAGTCACACAATCATTGTATTATATCTAATTTTAGTAACACAATCATTGTATTATACTAGTATGTAATTTTAGTCACACAATCATTGTATTATATGTAATTTTAGTCACACAATCATTGTATAATGTCTAATTTTAATCACACAATAATTGTTTTATATCTAATTTTAGTCACACAATCATTGTATTATATCGAATTTTAGTCACACAATCATTGTATAAAATCTAATTTTAGTAACACAATCATTGTATTATATGTAATTTTAGTCACACAATCATTGTATTATATGTAATTCTAGTCACACAATCATAGTTTTATATGTAATTCTAGTCACACAATCATTGTATTATAAGTAATTTTAGTCAAACAATCATTGTATAATATCTAATTTTAGTCACACAAAAATTGTTGAGTAGATAGATACTTTTATTTCCTTCAGAATTGAAGAGCATTTCATACTTTGAAACTTTCTTAAGAATTAGATGTAAGCTGATAAATGAAAACAAAACAACAGACAACTGTGAGACTAAAAAACAGATTGGAGCACCACACTTAATACCGTATTCCAGTATATACCGGACAAGGTGCTTGAATGGTAAAATGCTAAAATCTTGCCTTATTACCCAACGGAATGAACTTTAAAAGGTCTAATTCATCTTTTCACACCGAATTATGCATGATAATTAATGAAAAATGCAAAAATCGGTGAAAAAAACGATATTTGTCTATTTTGAGATCATGATTTCTGCAAGAGTTTAGAGGTACTGCTCCAAATCCTCTATTGAGTTAAATCCCATTACATCAGATTATTATATTTGATATCCAAATATAACCAATTGGATTTCAATAGCCTCTTTATGTACAAGAATTATATTTGTCCCTAATGATATTTAAATCCAGCAGTGACAGCTTAAAATATTGAAGTACACATAAAGGTCTGACACACAACATTCTTAACTACAAGGGGTTTTAGTCACAAAAAATATGTCTCCCAAAACAAGTATGGAACTGATCACTTCTGTCAATTTTGGTAAAAATCCTGCCAGCAAATTGATCTGTGAAAGACATACAAGATAGATCTATTTATAGCTCTGCTTGCCATTTTGTGCACCGAAGCAGAACATGCCAACAATATTCACAACTAGGGATATCACTCCTGTGAAGTTTCATTGAAATCCTGTCAAGCTGTTTCACCTGTGAAAGCCAGACAAGCTGAATGCAAACAGACGGACAGACCAAAATTTTTGGGAGACATAATTATCACAAAACAATACGGGTGTGAATTTCAATACCCAAAATACAATGGTCACAGCAGATAAATGAGATTACTTCCTGCTATTCAAAGAAAGGTACAGTGATCAGAAGTAACAGGTGCTTGTTATCACAAAACAGGGTACACAATGAATTGTATACTCTTACAAACATCGTAAAGTGAATCTGTTTAACAACTGTGATACTATCCATAACATACTTGACAATATTAGTAATCACTTATTTCTTTAAACAATTTAGTTTCATAAATCAAAGTCTACACATACCCATTTGATGTAATACTCTTGGATCCATCATTTTGGCCATCTGTGTGTTCAATTTGGCCATCTGAGCTGGATTGACATTTTTACTCATATCACCACCTGAAAAGTAGAAATGTGATATAAACAACTGCTTCAATCAGATTCTATGTAATATAATCATTATGTATGATATAACAGTGTAAAAGATCCTGTAACTCAACTTTTTTTTTTAGTTTTATATCATAAATCTGATACTAAAATGAAGATTTATCAATATTGTAAGTTCAAAAAAGCATTTATTTGTAAAGATATTACCGAATTTACATTTCATGTTAATAAAGGGAGATAATTAGAAATTTATTTTTGATAAAGTCTACGCCAAAATTTTTCAATAAGAAATGAATGCATATATTTTAATGATAACTTATAATGCAAATAAACATTTGCAGTACATATCTAACATATTCTTGGATGTTTGAAAACTGTTTTAGAAGAATAATTATATACATACATAAAATTTTATTTTTACATCCGTAATAACAAAATACAGGATCTTAGTGAAACCAATTTAATAACCGGGCCCTGTGTTCACTAAGAAATAATCAGGATGAAATGATCCTGATTTTATTTTCATTGTTTTATAAATCTAAAATTGATAATATTTCACTACATATTCAAAATGTAAAAAATTGCTGATTTGCCAAGAAACAAACCCATTTTTGGATGAAATCGATGAATAACAAGACAAATACAGAAATAATCTGATCAAAATAAGAATCGATTTAGGATCAAGATCAATATCTGGATCAACTGAAAAATGTCCGTTTCTTGCATATTTGTACAAGTAACTGACTTCTGGCCCCATATGATTTCTACATTTGTAAATCACCAGTGAAAGACAAATGACTATTAGACTCCAAGAAAATTTGTCTGTTACTGAGAAATTATGCTCTGCCCTAGGATTCAGATTACTAATCCGATACTCTCCCTACTGAGCTTAACCAGCGACCTAATTTTTGGACAGCATTCTAGGATAATTAATTTCAACTTGAAAATATGATGACAAAAAATTGTATAAGTTCTTGCTTTTAAAGGAAATTATGCCAGATTTCTAAGTTTACAGGAACATAAATCTTTCCTACGATGCCTCCATGATAGTCACCTGAAGGCATGCATGCTAAGTCTACAAAAAATATGTAATAATATGTCAGAGATGCACAAAGAAATGTAACAATAGTAATACTTACCCTTGAACAGCCCCTTGATTCCTCCCATCTTTTTCACCATCTGAGCAAACTTCTTGTATTGTGTGAGTAATTCATTCACTTCTCTCACGGAGACGCCTGCGCCTCGTGCCACACGCTGTGTGCGTCCAGCTTGCTTTGTGAACAATCTCTCACCATCCAAACTGTCCAGTTCTGCCATGTAAAATATATATAAAATATAATTAGTCATTTGGTATAGTAATATACAGAACATCTTATAAATCATTCAGAAAGAAAAAACTATGATTTGTCACTACCACTGTGTTGGAACACATCTATTTGCTGTGATTGCAAGCAATGATTCATTAAAAGGTATTAAGGTATAAAAAAATATCTAAATGGTCTCTGCTCAGTGAATAAAATGAAATACAAATATATACCTTCATCGCTCATGCTGTCCATGATGGTCATGAGTTTCTTTAATCTTGCCATAGATTCTTGTTCCCCTCCTTTAGTAAGGAAATCTGAGCTGAAGCCAGGAATCATGTTCTGGAAAAGATAGGAAGTAAAATATCAATGATGTATTGTTTAGCAATAGTACCTGCTGCTTATGTTAGTTTTGAAAAAGGATATTTCTTTACCTTGAAAGTGATTAAAGCTTGAGGCTTACACTAACCAATCTAAAGGCTGCTTCCTAAAACTAACCAGAACCAGAAAAGGTAGCATGGCCGAGAACTGCCTTGGATTTGAACCTGTAAGAGGTACTGAGGTAGACATCTGAACCAGTCCACTAGGACCTTGCTTCTCTTTTGTGTAGTAAGATATCCCATTTTCATAACTCTCATAATGAATTAAATAGAAAAGGTATTATTTCTAATTATGTAACAGTATGACCCTTTATGCAGAAATATTTACCAGTTTGTTACCAGTTTGAACTAATAGAATGTCAAATCTATGTGTTACTTAGATTCAAAATTTAATACAGATAATTTATAGTTTAAAAGCATACAAGTTACAAGGCTCTGCTACAGTTTTCACAAAATATTGCTCACAGAGCTATATATGCCTGTCCATACAGCCTGTCTTTTATTTTTTATTTGTACTTTAACTTATGATATATATCATTAATTGTTTAAAAGAGATAACGAATACATGTATTTTCATAAGGTTATGTGCATGAATTTTACATCATTTAAAACTTGTGACACATCTGGCACCTCTGGGGGTGTTAAAAAGGTATCATTTTCCAGTATTTATGAAAACAGTAACAAATAAACATTAGCAAATCCACTCTAAATGCAAGAATATTCTGATTCAGGATGTCAAACACTCTCCTAATTATGGTACAATGATTCAGAATCACTGCCTTACCATTCAGCAACAACGGCTCATAACTTAGTTCTATGAAATCTCCTGCTTTTCTTATGCATAATTATCATTCAAAAGATTTCAAACCAAAACAAGGGTTAGTGTCCAGCTAATTTATGCCATTGATAGATCCCTACTCTGAACTTTTATTTGAATAACAATAGATTAAACCACAAACATTTACATGTGCTCTCTTGTTAACAAATGTGTTGTGGTGAAATTCTTATTGTAATCCATTAATCTGATAATTAGAATTAGACAGGTTAAGGATCTAACTGCATTTCACAAAAGAACTTACCATAATCTGACCAAATGGTCCCATCTTCATGATGTTTTGAAACTGCTCATACATGTCTCGCAATGTGAAATGACCTAAAATACACGTTACATAATATATCAATAATCCTACATGTTCACAAACTGACTAACTCTCATAAAAGCTTTACCCTGTTATTAAAAAAACATGATTTTGTAGTGATTTTGTAAGACATTAAAACAATGGAATGATAAAGAGAAAATAATAATTTGTTGACAACATTAGTGCAGAGAATAAATAATTAGAATATTTGGAATTTTGTTAAAACAACATTTTTTTTTTACTTTCTCTTGACAAGTAAAAGTATCATACTATGATCATTGAATTTTGAAAAATTAATGTAACCTTCAAGGGAAAAGTCATTTAAGGGCCAAGATTACGCCTCATTGCATCAATATAAAACTATCATTGCCCAAGTGATGAAGACTCTCCCTTACAGAATATAAAAGTCATCAACAAATACTGAACAATACAATAAATACATCCCCAATGTCAAAAGCATAAAAAACTACAAATCTTTTTTACAGTGAAAATGGTCCTACCTACAAAAGCAATTATCATAGATTTACAATAACGTACCTTGTTTGATTTTCTTCATCAACTCTTCATTATCATCTAACTTCAGTTCGTTCACTTTGTCAATAAGCCCTTCAATATCTCCCATACCTGTAGAAAACATACAAAAACGGGCAATCAATTTCAATGCAATCATCAACGAATGTCATCAAAAACTATATTTATACCTTACACTATTGCTAAATAATAAATTTACCAGGTATGTAAAAAGCCAAATACTGACACAATTCTGATTTAATTCTAACCTTTAGTCCACTGGTGGCAACTCATATTACCAATGCAACCAGTTAAAGGTTGCATAAAGTGATGACATATTTCGTTCTTTATGCGGTAGTTTTTAAGGTATCCTATCATTTCTTGTAATTCATCCTCAATTTATTAAATAATTATGATTTGCTCTGTTTGCAATGCAGTTGGTATATAATTTGAAAATTTCTCTTAAACAGAATGGTTTTGTCTTGATTGAAAGATAGATAAGTCTATTCCAAATATTTAGCATGGTAAGGGTCAGCTAGTTTGGTTATAGTATGGTTAGTAGACTTTGTATCCATAAAGGCATCACAAAGTGACAATCAAATTTAAACAGACTTCCAGATTGAAATATGTATAAGTCTATTTAATATATTTAGGGCAGTGAGGGTTAACTAGTTTTGTTGCTGTAGACTTGGGAAGCATACAGACATCACAAAGTGACAAACAAATTTACACTGCCTTCCTAGATATAAGTGTGTACCAGCAATATCAATATTTTTGGAAAGAATAGCATATGTGCTTCTTATTGATATTTTTATCAATTGTAAAGACAATTCATTTTTACTGTAAACACTTTTTTCATTGTAAAATTTTAAGTTTACAGCAACACTATTAAGGACACATAGCAACTTTCCAACTTTACTGGAGGAGGAAAACCTCTGGATTTCATATGTACATTATTTAAGGCACATGGGTTAATGTAAGTAGTATATTGATTTGCATGTAATGGTTACATTACTAAGTTAATCATGGCAACTTTCAAACAAATAACGTACTGTATTAAAGAAGGAAAGGCACAGTGTATGGTGGCATAGTGGGGTGATTTATACTTAGACTATTAATCCAAGGATTGCTGGCTGCGTGGGTTCAAACCCTGTCAGGGGCATGCCGTTGTTTCCATGAGCATTGCTTAGTACTGGTTGGTTCCAGGAACGGATTCCAGAGTGTTTCAATAAGCTTATAGCTTCCAACACAATCAAACTAAGATAAATTTGTATAAACTCAGAGGGCAAAGAAACAGACAATGTAAATGACAGTAAGCATTACATACCCAGAAGTTTGCTAACAAAAGGTTGCACTTTAAAGGGTTCAAAATCATCTGTATGCTCTCCTGTTCCTATAAATATCACAGGACTTTTTGTAGCTGCCACACTGTAAAAGCAAAGTAAATTTTAGAACTTTACAGACATATAGACATTTTATATTATTTAAAAAAACATTCCTACTGAATTTATACAAAGGACCATCTGGAATTGTCCTTTTCTCTACTTCAAGAATTTTCAAATCGAAACACTACGATTATATAGTTAGCAATAAAGTTATTTCTTTTATCAATACTATACATCAATTACTATAAATATAGCCTTGAAAATGAGTTAGGGAATTGATTCCATAGCTCAATGTTCTTACACACACCATTCTAGATTTGACAAAGCAATCATAACAAAGTTGAAGTCATAGAGAGATTGGTCTTACTTCAGAAGGGGTTTATTTGATATCAGCATAATATTAATAAAACTGGAAGACAGTGTTTATGCAATTCTACAAACTTATAAAATGTAATCCAAGGTTTCATTTCCCCCCTTTAAGAACACTGAACAATGTTCCGTAGAACCATATAATACATCGGATCTAACACAAAAGATGTTTTTCACATACACTATAAGGTATAAGAAATAAAAAAACTGTTAGTTTCAACTTACGCGCTCAGTGCTCCACCACCTTTAGCATGACTGTCTAACTTTGTAATGATAACAGAACCTACATCAACTTTCTCCTTGAACGCCTTGGCTTGAGCCTCACAAGCTTGTCCTATAGACGCATCCATGACAAATATAACATTGTCCGGGTTCTGAAATGTAATTTGGAATATTAAAAGGTTACAAAATAATCAATGTAACTTTTATTTTAAATATGTAACTTATATTTTATAAACATAAATTTGCTGGGTTTTAACACAGGCAATCGGTGCGTGGCTTGGAAAGTATACATGTACATGACCACGCCCACTTATTTTTTATACATATTTTTTTTTGCACTAATAAAATATTTTTCATTCAAAATGTTTTTAAAAGATCTTATTTTCAATAAATCAACAAAGAAAATTTGTTTTTAAAAATTTCATCCATATACATGTATACTATAAATATAGTAAAGGTAGAAAGGTTCGCCAGCAGACCTACCACCAGGCCTTATGTTACCTCCCAGATCTTTGTTAATTGTCAACCAATTTTCACCAAATAAAGTGCAATCTATGCAGAAATGATTTCTCTTTCGAAAAATGTACAATATTAGACCAGTTGGTACGACAAAAGATGGAATTTTAAAGCGAAAATGCACTTTTTGTCTAGGTCGGCCATCGCTTGACCGAGCCGAAAGTAGACGATTTTGACCATAAATCGATCTTTTTCTTAATAACAAACTAATGTCAGTGCATGCAAACAGTTGAAACAAAAAAGGCAGCTATAATACTATCGCTTACCTGTCCAAAGTTGATCCAAAACGTCTGCAGGTACGCACTTTCAGTAGTTATTTGCACTAACTTTTTAAATTTCCTGACATTACATGTATACAAATGCTGACCCGGATGTACCTGATGCGTACCCCTTTTCGCATAATAAAAATTGAGCGAAGCTGGGTACCTGCGGGAACCGAGCATGCGTACTTTGAATATCCGGATCAGGATTTGTATACATGTACAATGTCGGGAAATTTAAAAACTTAGTGCAAATAACTACTGAAAGTGCGTACCTGCAGACATTTTGGATTAACTTTGGACCGGTAAGCGATAGTATTATAGCTGCCTTTTTTGTTTCAACTGTTTGCATGCACTGACATTAGTTTGTTATTAAGAAAAAGATCGATTTATATTCAAAATCGTCTACTTTCGGCTCGGTCAAGCGATGGCCGACCTAGACAAAAAGTGCATTTTCGCTTTAAAATTCCATCTTTTGTCGTACCAACTGGTCTAATATTGTACATTTTTCGAAAGAGAAATCATTTCTGCATAGATTGCACTTTATTTGGTGAAAATTGGTTGACAATTAACAAAGATCTGGGAGGTAACATAAGGCCTGGTGGTAGGTCCGCTGGTGAACCTTTCTACCTTTACTATATTTATAGTATATATGGATGAAATTTTTAAAAACAAATTTTCTTTGTTGATTTATTGAAAATAAAATATTTTAAAAAATTTTGAATGAAAAATATTTTATTAGTGAAAAAAAAAATGTATAAAAAATAAGTGGGCGTGGTCATGTATACTATCCAAGCCACGCACCGATTGCCTGTGGGGTTTAAACTACTCAAGCACTGTTAGGGTGCTTTGCCAAATTTCTAGCTACAGTCATGCACACTGGTGGGAAAATACTTTGAATGCCTCTCTATTTTCTGCGTAGTGACAATCATCTTTCATAAGATAGCTTGGAAGGATTATCTCTGTAAAAAATCACCTTAAACCACATTTATTGCAAATTTTATGACAACTTAGCTGAAAACTCAACAAATCAAAATTCTAATCACAATCTTGAGTGAAAACTTTCATAATTAAGATAGTGGTTTAGTTAACTATCATTGCAGAACAGATTCTATCCATAGAACCAATAAAGACCAACATCAGCCAGCACATTTGTACCACCTGATCATTGTATGCACTTTCTCTATTTAATCAGTATATGTTTAGAAATTTTCCATATAAATAAATAATGGTTTTGTCCAGATTGAAAAATGGGCAAGTCCATTTACAATATTGAGCATTACGATATTGAGCTAGGTAAGGAACCAATCACTAATAGATATTGGGAACTTGGCAAATGTGGGTTTTTCCATGCTAACCCACAACTACAAACTTTTGCCGTTATAGCTTTATGGTGCACTAACCGTCACAATAGATTAGTCAACCTGTTGAGCTTTATTTCGACTATGAACTGTAAAAGTTTGTTTGTGCCTCTGAATTAGCTCAGAAAAACCCAAATATTTTTAATTCCGGAGTAAGTCTATTATACAAGACTATTTATAGAAATAGATACATACAACAGTATTATAAACTTGCAACATTTCCTCAAATAAAGAATCTTCCTGCTTGTGACGTCCACTAGTGTCTACAATTATAATCTCAAAATTCTCCGACTTGAATTTGTCTACACCATCTTTTGCTATCTCTACTGGATCTATTTCTGTGTAGCTGTAATGTAAATCAATCCGATTTTAAATTCATATATACAAACTTTATATGGAAGAAATAGACAATCCGAATCAGGGAAATAGATCTTCTGATTAGTTTGTAAGAATAGTTTAAACTGTACATCTACAGTCAGGAAAGAAACATAAAATTAAAACAAACTTCAAATAGTGAGAAAGTAATAGAAATACATTACAAGCTGAAAAATTTTATTTATATAAAGTTCATTCAGTAGAACCACCGTCAACCTCATGTATATGAGTTGTATTTCCATGAAGGCATTAAATGTCCCTAGTCAGGAATTCCAACCTAAAGTAGTATGTTTAAAGTGATTTAGCCACCTACGCCCAACATTAGTCAATGTCAGATGTTCCCTACCTTAATATAAACCTAACAAAAAAGAGCCTTTCTAGCAAGAATTTATTTCATTTTTTTTCTTTCTAAAAAGCAATGGATGCCTTTTTAACACCACTCAACACACATATTACCTTCCATAATAGGGTATTCTAGCTTTTGTTGCATTCTGTTTCAGCTGATCAAAAGCTCCTGCACGGAAAGTATCCGCACAAATCAAACAAGTTTTCCAGCCTTTCTTCTGGTAGTAGTAGGCAAGCTGTAATAAATGTTGTAACACAAAAATTTTTAAAAACTGTTGATTTTTACATTTTTTCTTTCTTTTTTGGGCGAAAAAAATCAAACTAAGAATGGATGGGCAGAAAAATAACATGTGACTTCCTGTTTATTTACACGTGGACATTATCATTTCTATAACCAATTTCTTTTCCATTCTGATCCTTTATTATTTTTGTGTGAAAATGTACTGTTTGAATACATTATTTAGCAACTACAAAGAAACAACCCATTGATAATTTTAATTTATAAACATTGAATAAATCAATTTATTCTTACATGTATGTCACATAATACAGTAAACTCCACTTGTCACCATATCGCTTAAAATGATATACTGCTTATAACAATACTGTGGCTGCGGTCCTGACTCTTGTTTTCAAACTGGTTGCCTCTCAGAAATAGCATTACCTCGATATAACGATATTAATTTTGCGGTCCCTTAATATCATTATAAGCGGAGTTTACTGTGCATGCAAACTTAATTAGTTAATACATGCTCCACTTGACTTCATTGGAACACACTTGCTAATATGCATCTGCTCTTTAATATGAATCTGCTCTTTAAACTTTTATGCTTCATGATTAAATGTTTTAACTATTCATACAAAACTACCTGATAATAATTATGTGAAAAAGAAATTAATAAAAGATGTCAGTTTTTTTAGCATTCAACGAACTTATGGTTTTGCTGTGTTCAGGGAAGTTTGGGAGTCATTTACTCCTGATTTTGGCTCGTCACTTCCAGTCTATAATGCTTTTCCTTCTTGACCTATATCATGTGACTTTCAGTGTCAAAGGTTAAGCCACCTCTGACTTCCAAATTTTGAAACTTAATGAAAGCACTGGCTGTGTCTAACAAATACTACTATACATGTAATGATATGATAACTTCAAAGCTATATTGGTGAATAAATATTATTACATGCTTTTCGATGGATTATAGAAATATATCAGTGATTTATAAACTGGTAATTTCACTGTTTGAAACAGTGAAATTATCAAACTGGTAATTTCACTGTTTGAAACAGTGAAATTATCAATTTGATAATTTCACTGTCTCAGAGAAATACCAGCGTGCACAGTACTGGAAACCAGCTTAATGAGGTGACGTTGTAAATGACGTCACGTTGTATTAGAAGATGGGGCGCTTTTCATTTAGTACTAGGATAAAATGTCTTTTTAAACGTTTCTTAGCATGTAATAAAAAGAAAATTTGTTTGGTTTAGTGTAAGATCGAAATATATTTCACCTAGTGAGCACCAAAAGTTCATATTTCACTCTCGTGAACTATACCTTTTGATGCTCACTCGGTGAAATATATTCCTATCTTACACTGAACTTAACAAATATCCTCTATACCCTAACCAGTGCCACAAACTTAATAAATTTTTGTGTATTTAAAACATGAGACACAGAACTTTTACAAAACAAAGGTTCCAACACAATGGTGATCATTTGTATAACCCTACCTTAAAAATATTCAAGGTGATATAAATAAAGAGATAAAGAAGTCTTTTTCATGGCTCCAAAATCTTACCTTTGTACATGTAGTTGTTTTACCACTTCCTTGAAGACCTACAAACATAATGACATTGTTTCTGCCTTTTGTTGGCTGCCATGCTTTCACTCCTGGATCAACAAGCTGAAAAAATGTTTCAAATTACTTTTACATTTGCTACCACTACAATGCTGAATTCTGCCCAATTCAGTGCTAAGGGAGTATGGACAGAAGCATAGAGGGTGAGGACAGTAGCATAAAGGGTGTGCACAGTAGCATAGAGGGTGTAGATGGTAGCACAGAGTGTGGACAGTAGCATAGAGGGTGTAGATGGTAGCACAGAGGGTATGGGCAGTAGCAAAGAGGGTGTGGACAGTGGCATGCAGATGGTAGCATACAATAATCACTGCTGTCCATGAACAGACACAATCAAGCTTGCAACATTTTCAATATGGCTGTTTTGGATGAACTCCAGTGTTCCATCTTTTTTTACTGTATTCAATAGTACAAATTTGCTGCTGTTCTGAAGCCTACTTCTATAAGGTATACAATTCTTCCATTAAACCAAGTTACCAACCATTAAGATGCCTTTGGTTACCAACCATTAAGATGCCCTTGAAATTATAAATTTATTTTGTATCACCTTTTTCGTTATTCCTCTGATTTTGATGTATGGGTTAAATTTTTGCTATAGATGGATGTATGTACTGGACTTCTGATATTTTTTTATGCTAGAAAAACACTGTAAAACTGCATTTCACAGTTAGGCACTAAATTATTAATTGTAAATATACAAATGTATACATATCTTTAACATATGTTTCTAAGCCATATTTAACATGGCTGTTTTACGAACATATGGTTACATTTTTCAGCCCAGGTTTTATGACTGGTTTATGTACATATGGTTACATTATTCAGGAGTTTTTTAACCACCTCTCATACCTTGACAAGTTCTTTGTACACTGCTGACTGAATCATTCTCCTCTTGTTAAGACCACCAGCCATCTCATCAAAGTCAATGATAGACCTGCATAATAAAAAATGATTACTGATAACAGTGAACTTTAAGATATTTTCCTTCCATTAAAAGAAAGTGGCTACAACCCTGACAAAATGGACAGTCAGGTCTGTTGATCCCTTAATTTACCTTATCAAAAAAAAACAACACTTAAGCATACACATCAAGTACGGCTTTAAACAGGAAAACATCCAAAGCTGTCTACAGCTTGATTACCTGGTGAGTATTTATATATTTCTAATATTTTAAACTTTCAAACCAAATAAGTGATTCATACCTAAATGTTATAATATTTACCCTGAAAATTGAAGTTCATGTCAATGATAACAGGACATAATTTGCAAAAATATGTAGTTAATATAAAAATATGTAGTATATTAACCCTATAGAAAATCATATAAAATATATACCTGACATTTTCCCTCAGCTGTTTTACAAGACGAACATTTACGTCTGCCTCTAACAATGCTGAGCATATCTCTTTTAGCATGCCATTTAACACCTGAAAAATATAAATATTTCAGCAATGTCAAACTACCATACATACTCAGGGCTCTCGATTGACACGGGGATCCGGGTTTTGACTCGTGAAAATCAAGAAATGCACAAATTTGACACGTGATAAAATCTGCTCAAGAGTCAATTTGCCACGTGGGATTTTCAGCTATGCAATAATAATTACCTTAAATCCACACCTAATTACCTATCAAATCCTACACATGTTCAATCACACTAAAAAAATGTCACCGTGTGTAATACACAGCATTGTTTATAGCCTGTGCACTGAAGCGTGACATCATTGGATGCAATTTGACAGCGCTAAAAATAGCTCTACACACCTGATAAGAATAACATACTTGAGGTGTCAATTATTGATTGCTTTTAAAGGTTTATAATATGTCTTTGATTTACTTGGAGTGCCTGTACATTTGTTATTTTCCATTAAATATTCCTAGTGCATTTTGGTATTTAAAATTAATTATAATATGATATATATATATATAGCATACCAGTAAAGATATTTCTTTATATTTTAAACTTTTTAATCAAAAAGCTGCTGCTTAATTTATTCTTTCACAGTAAAGATGCTATTCATTTTTTTTATATTTGTTTGTTTTTTTGTCTTTTTTTTTCTTCTTTTTTTGGGGGGGGGGGGTATATACATTATAACAAGGCTTTTTTTCCATGTTAAATATTATCAATTTAGACTTGAGAATCTACACAAAATGACCTCCAAAACAGTAATTTTTGTTACATAAAAATGATTCATGTAGTCAAATGACATTAGAAAAAAATTATTTGACTCATGAAAATTTTGGCCAAAGAGTCTTTGACTCGTGAAATTCTGACCCTACTGAGAGCCCTGCATACTAACAGTAACTAGGAAAGTTTGTAAAATGACTCAATTGTTAATTGCCAATGCCCTCAATCTACTAAAGCTGCCGAATATCAGCTGTAGTTCCCGACCAAAATAGTATGTTTTTTTCCCCTCGAGTAAAACCCCGGAAAACATTAAAAGCACGGAAAAAAAAAATTTAGGGTTTTTTAAATTAATCTGTTTTACAAACATTTTTTTCAAGTAAAACAGTATTCGCATTTTTCAATTTACATGGGTGATTTTGTTGGATCACCGTGAAAAATTTTTGTCCTTAAATGTTCCAAAATTCGCCCAATTGATTGAAATAAACTGATATTTAAAAGTAAATTTATGAAATTTTACCAAAAGAGAAATGAAAAATTTTTTCCTCATCCCGAGGTAGCGGGACACTTTCCCCAAAAGGACTGAGGCCTGATCAATTTAATAATAATATTCTGAAAGGCGGATGGACCTTGATTAAGCCTAGAATACATACATATAGACCCCAATTCAATAGCATTACTCGGCTACGAAAGATTCACATAATTTGAGACATACCCTGATATGCAGATTGTTTCCAAAATTGTATCGAATCTTTACTAGCTGTTACAGATTCAAAATGTAATAAACACTGATAAAAGTAAATTTACCTCTTCATTTATGATAGTAGCATTGCTCAGTCCTCTAAGAGCAGACGTTATTTTTCTTCCTAAATCTGCTAAAACCATCCTGCTGTATTATCTTGACCGGTCAAATTAAAAAATAAACGGAAATAAACCGGTCGAAAAAAAAACAGATGTTGAGACACTTCCAACTTCTAAAAATAGAAGCACGCAAGACAAAACGTGGAGGGAGAGTTTGTATCCTGAAAAGTTTCTTATTATCTATTTGTTTTACGATACAAACTACTAAAAAGAATAATTAATAGTGGTAAGTATGATACTTTATACACATTTTCAGAAAAATAATATTGACAGCTGCCACATTTTAACGGTGCAAGAGTAACTTTTATCACGTTAACATTATCCGGAGGAACCCAATTAATTTTTATTCTGCAAAAGAGTATTTATGGAGTATGTCATTGATTCTCCGCTATTCTCGTGCAAATTTGAAAATATTTTATCCTTTAGTATATTTTCTAGCACTTAACCAGCAAATAGCTGTTTTGCATTTTCTTGCCGTCTCAACATTGTTCTGTAAAAATATGTCAAGTATTTAAATAAATGATTTAATACGAAAATATCAGCATGTTAAGGTGCTTTGTACATAACTAGCTTTAGGTCGTCAGCTTACCCGTTCATAAACCATGACATGACGTGATGAAAAACAAAAATGTAAAAAAAACGGCTTATAAAATTTTGGAAGCCAGAACTACTTTGTAACCCACTGTTTTACATTTTTTTACAAATATGGGATGAAAAAACTCTTAGTCATTCGGTTATAGTTTAAATGTGAATAAGATAGAGATGCTTTTCTTAATCATTTTTGTAAAAAAGCCTAAAAAGAATCTCCCTCAAACATTTAACAGACACATTATCAAGTGATATCTATATCTTATTTATTCTTTGTTATTAAATTAAATAAATATAACAGTTTACCAGTCAAAAATAATTTTGACTACAATTTAAACCACAAAATTTTATTAATAACTTCTGCAAGCCAAGCCAATGTGCATGGATTATACTGAAACAGATGCGTTAGCATAAGTTCTGATTGAATATCGTATATATACCCTAGACAGTGTATCATGTTATTTAATGTTGGGAGTACTTAAATCGTTTCAAAACTTAAGAGCAACAAAGGGATTTTGGTATATCAAAACTTGGGTTTACAAGGTTTTTTATAAATGGTGTTTGACAAGATATGTGCATCTTTTTTAATTCTACCCTCTGGTTAATTATTACATTATTGTTAAATAAAAATAAATTTACTTATATAAGTATAGCTAGGTTCCATTACCATATCAGAGATTATGGTAGAATCAAGGAAAGAGATACAAGCTAGCCTGGATATATTACAGAAAAAATACAACAGTTTAGCAGCATATAACTTGAGTATGAAACAGAACGACAAAGGTCATTCAGAGCGCTACCATGCATTTTAAAGCGCTCAATTAACCTGAACGCGTAACCGTGAATGAACTGTTGGTAACATGTATTCACTGGGGGAAAATCCAGGATCGCCCTTAATTCGTTTTAATATTTTGTAAACCTAGACCTAACATAATTAATTAGAACTGTGTATTTATTTTTGTTTGTAACAAAAAGGGACCATTTATCTATCTCATGTGATCGGACTTTGTTCCTTTAGTTGATATCTGGTATTGAAACCATCACACTTACAATGTTCTTTTTCTTCTTTTCTTTACCGTATAAAAGATTACAATCAACTATAGCGTTCGTATGCTTAAAATAGCTCGTTAAGCCATCTCAAATAATTAAAAAACAAAAAATTCTGTTAAATATGGTTTATTTACACTTATATTTTATCTTTACATCTATTTCGTACAATGCAAAATATATAACAACTGCAGGACGGTTTATTGCGTGACTGAATTCATAATTATTGCGAGAACAAAAGGCGACCGAATAATACTAGTATCGGATGGGATCAATAAAGCCCTTCAAATTTTACCGTATAGTATCAGAATTCATCTAAATCTTTTGTTTTAGTTGGCAGATATATAAAAGAAATCTTAATATATTTGTTCAATATTCTACCAACAGCGGTTAGGTCAAACTTATTGGTCATGCGATTGTGGTATCCATGTTTGAAAATTGCACCCTAGTTAGAATTAAAATGGAGAACTAACCAGAAGGGCGTGTGACGCTCGTTGGATTTGGGATGTGTTTAAAGATTTATTGTTATATTCGTAAAACATCACTTTTACTCCATACAAGATAACATCGTTATTACTCGTTGTCCGCTTTGTTGATCATAGAGAAATGAATCCCGAGGACGAAAATAAAATCCGGCGGAACTGGGAGCTCATCAAACAAGAAATAAATACGGACGATTTTGTGACAAAATTTATAAATCTAGGAGTTTTTACTCCTGTCGAAGGTCAGGACATTTTAAATGGCGGTCCTGGTAACCTCGAAAGTAAAGGACAACGGTTTCTTGAGAAGGTTTTAAAAGGAGGCAATAAATCTTATCAGACTCTGTGCAATATCCTATTGGAAAACAATAATAGCCCTAGATACAAGACACTGGCGAAAATTCTCGGCATCGACCAAGATTGTTCGAGTGAGTATTGATTTGTATTTTTTTTAAGTTCGGATGTTTATGAAAAACATTTAACTACATTTTTTGTACCTTCCTAAATTGTCCTAATCATTTCATTATCACCATCTTCATTTTGATTATCAAGCTAATCATTTTACTTCTGCACCTCCTCCTTCCCCACATCATCCTTATCATCCTTATCATCATCATCATCATCATCATCATCATCATCATCATCATTATCATCATCATCAAAGACCTTATCATTTTGTAAATATACTTTGTTAATATAATTTGATGCATATTATGTAAAATTGTTTTTACTTTTTTTCTGTTTTATTTCACCTTTTAAAAATGATGCATATTGGTATTCCTATTTATTCATGTATTTTTGCTGGTGGGTGTGTTTTGGTGTATACTTTTAATGTCGTTTATAATTCAACCATTCTTGCCTACTGCGTGTAGAAATGATATTTTAAAAATATAAAGCATACGTACTCGTTCTTTTCTATTAGGGAACACTTCGTTTATGTCCTTGAATTGTTCTACTTATACAGGTGCTCGCTCGGGCCCGACATAATTTGGTTTTCCTCCACCAGTCGCCATGTCTATGTTTCTAGTTTAGGAACAAACTCATTCTTTTACTTATACATGTCACATTGAAGGTTCTATGATAACCGCCGTATGTACACATCTGCGGATGTTTCTTAGACAAAATTTCGCCCTTTTCAAATACAACTACCATCCACGAACAGGCTCAATCAAACCGAGCCTGCAACATTTTCAATTTTGCTGTTTTGGATGTTCTTTAGGAATTCCGATTTGTTTTTTTTTTCTATTTTATAGACTTAAGAAAAGAAACAAACTAAAAATCAATTGGTATTTGTGATTTGTTTACTCTTAGATTTTGGGTATGAATGTAATCCTTAAAGTTTGTCCTTTCTGTTAGGTAATCGTTATGATTGATTCGTTTGCATCATATCTCATTTATTTTACATTGAATCATTTTTAATAAACAATTATCTTAAATAAATGAAACAATAGATTTGTATTACATTAACATTTATAAAGTTATAGTTATTTGGGAGCCGGATTCTCGTGAAAATGAACCAGTACTCATTTTCATAAGAGAAATTCGGACTGTGACCCGCATTGTTTTATAAATTTGTTTCGATTTTGATCATCTTTAATCATGCACATATTAAAGTATTTTATTCTTTAGTTTGATTTTCTCCTTTGCCTTTGTAAAATTTAACTGTTGATAGATAGAAGTGATAGATAGACAAATGGCTTATACATATAAAATGGACAATGGAATACATGAACACTTAAAATTGATAACTATAAAATGTCAACAAATGTGTCATACGTTTTTTAACGTTCAGATTGCATGATTAGTCGTATTCATTTAATAATTGTTTTAAAACAACCTTACTTTACTTTAGGTACCTCGGCAGGTGGCTCCCAACGACCTGCGACGTCGGTGTCTGTTGCAGTAAGTATAATTAACATTAACTTTATAATTATGACATTGTGTCTATCTTCGACTATTCTCACATGTTTTTACAGATTTTGTGATCTTCTTTTTCATGTTTTTTCGGGCGAAGGCCGTCTGATTTCACTTTGACTTCCGCTGAAATTAAATATAGGCAGAATTTTCATTGGTCATTTTAACACTAATAGCCTCTTCGATTGATACTTAAGAATATCAAGCTTCCGTTATAGGTAGCGGTCTGTTCGATAACGCGATGGCAAGACGTGTTGGAAAATGATATAAGTCAGAATAAATATAAAAACACAATAATGATATTTCCTAGATGTTTCTAACAGTTTTTCAATAAATATATGAAGTTAAATATGATAGATCGCCTTTTTGATACTTTTGCGTTCGATTTGGTTTCTCTTCTAATCTGTTCTAGTCATTATATTCTCTACTCGAACTGGGCATAAGACGATTGAAACGAGCTTTCGACTAATTTACAGTTGCAATATTCTCCATGTTATTAGCTAGTGTACAGTATCTACCAAATCTTTGTTTTATTATAAATTCCTATTCAAATCAAATTCCATTTTGATTAAAATCAAATAATGTAAGTAATATTGTTTAAATCTAAGATAACAATTAATGGGAAAAAACATTGCGGGTAAAAATGAACTTAAATAAAACTATTGAGGACGAATAAATTGTTCTGTTTGCGGTTAGCATGGTTAGTAGTAGTTTATCCTATGCAAGTTAACAAGTTTGACTTCGGCCGAGTATCTTTTTAAAGATACTTCTTGTTTTTTATTGATTTTGTTTGAAATGAAAATTTCATCATCTTTCAATAATTTATCTAACTTCTCAATTATATAAATTGTTATAAAATCTTTTGACTTGTGCGATAGATTATTTACATGTGTATGCAAAAGAAACGATTTATTTTTGTCAAGTCTTATTTGATCATACATACACTATAAGACTTTTAGGATTTATATAAGTATGACTTGACAGATAGACGTTAAAGAAACATCAATTTTTAATTGTTTCACTGGCTAGAATAATGCAGTTGAATACATGTACTATAAATAAAACAATCCTTTGTTAGTTTTTGTAGAGTTCTCCAACAATTATAATTAAATTTTGAAAATTGTGGATTTTATAAAGATATCATAAAGAAAACATGCTTTTTTTTAAAATGTGTCTGTATAAATCAATTGTCTCTGGATAACTGTAGATTTTAAAATGTAAGATATACTGTATTGGTAAGTTCTTTCATATTTTACTCCACAGAGCTCAGTCAGTCTTAACTTAGGTGCGTGTGCTGAAAACATACATGGAGATCGCATGGAGAGGATGGTCTCTGCTCGAGCTCCATGGCGGGAAGAGTTACCAAGGCATGAGGAAACTATGGACTCAACGGAAGAGGATCAAGAGGAAAATAGGCCGAGTACACCAGCTGACGCGGTACAGTTGGCTGTGAAGAAAGCAAGTGATGGTAAAAGTGGCAATCTGGATATGGAAACGTTAGAAAAAGAGCTTATAAAAATTGCGCCAACCATAGCCGACTTGTTCAGTAAAATTCATACCCAGACAACAACGGTAACTGCTACATCAGATGACGAACTGCAGAAGATAAAAGATGATAATGATAGATTACGTAAAACGAACAGAAGTCTTGTTGAAAAATTGAATTCATTTCAGCAAAAGATCATTCAGCTTCAACTAGAAAACAAAAAGCTGAGAGAAGTTAGTGACAATGAGAAAGTTAAGCAAACACAGCTTGACGAAAAATCATCAGAGTTAGAAAAATTAAAGGATAAACTGATTGAACAGAAAAAGGCTCTCGAAGATAAAGAACGGGAATTAGATTCTCAAATGAGCAAGTTACAGAGCGTCATTATCGATAACGAAGAACAGAAATTCAAACTCGCAAATCTTGAGCAGCTGCATGAAGAAGGCTTGAGAGAATATGGAGAACAGCAACAACAAATAGAAGAACTTCAGAAAGATAAAGATAAACAGAGGGCACAAATACAATTACTTGAAGATAAACAAAGTATGAGCGAGCAACTGTTATACCGTATGGAAGAAAGATTACTCATGTTGGAGCGGGGACCACCGAAAAAGTCTCGACCACGATTTGGACCTAGCAGACCTTGGATGAATGGAATGATCGATAAGTCTCATCACGCAAATGTCAAACTTCAGCCACAGTTCCCCACTGATTTCACATCCAATGGTAAAGGCGGTAAGGGGTGGTCGTTTTAAAATATGGAGACTACTACTTATTATACAGCTTAAATATGCATTTAAAGGCAAAAATACATATCAAAAAAGGCATTTTAAAGGAATGAAAATGTAAAACATAGCATGAAACTTTTGTAGGGAAAATTAATCGTTTGCTACATGAACCTGTAGTTTCTATGTTTTCGGCGGGAAAAGACAATAACATTGCAGATACAAATAACAAATAATAAAGAAATAAAAGGTGGTAAAGTTGTTATTCTTGAATTTGAACATAAATGGCGAATGATAGAAACAATATAGGTGTATGGTATGAATGAATTGTTTATTTTTAAAGATTGTGTAAAATAGGTTTGGTTGTTTGGCAAATTGTGTCGTAAATATAATTTTGGTGTATGTTTATATTCTATGTTAAATTAATGCTTTGTTTTTAAATAATTTACACAGCATGTGCGAAAAGTTATAAATGATATATTGCATGTTTGCAAATCACTTTGAGTATATCTGATGTTAAATATTTGATTTAAAAAAACTTGAACTCTCGACTGACAGTTCAATTACTGCCTAAAACATTGATTATATCACAAATCATCCGGAACAATCTATCATATCATTTATCCATTAAAGACAATACGACGCGGTATATATGCATGTAATTTAAAACAAGCCAAACCTCAATTATCGATCGAATCGTGTTTGAAAAGGTATGTAAATCATGCAAATATTTTCATATTGTCAAAAATATCACTAATTGTTCAGCGATAACAAAGAAGTTTAAAATCAGAGGAAGCATTGTTTTTTGAAGCCTGCGTCACGTAATTTATGACTATTTTAATGCCAAGTATAGCTGAGGATCAGTTAAATAAGATAACTCTTTTTTTTCAACTAATCCAAACGTAAATGCCCATCATTGCCTTTATTGTACAGAACAGAAATCTTTAAACTATTCCATTAGGGCAACTTAAGTTACAGTCGCATAGTCACCTGTGTCGTAGCATATTAATTATCAAGACTGAATAAACATATATTTTTTATCAAATTTGGTGTCATAATTGTGCATACACACGGTCAGTCCAGTTTTAATATCATTTTACCATTATGCTAAAACACATTTGCCTTCTCATATACATGCTGATTTATCTTCTCATGCATTATTTGTATAAATCAAATATTTTTATCATTGAAAGGATTAAGTAATGTTATACTTTTTTCCTTAACATTATTTGCGGTTGAGACATATGTATCAATGATTTTGTTGGAAATAAATCTAAATGATAACTAGTAGATGCATTGTTTTTATTTATGTACTCTTAGCAAAATGTGAGTCTGATATCCAAGAATACAGAATCATTTTTCCCTTCCTAAGTATGAAATGAGTGCTTATGCACCCTCGTCAAGAATAGTGTCTACTTATAATTATTGACTGTTACGTCCGTAGCAGAGTTGTTTGAAGAGCGTTGACTGAGAATCTTTTGCCCCTCATCGCTGTGAGTTCGAATTACGCCAAGAAATTCCTATTTACATGTGAGTAAGCTATCCAGCTCGCTTGCGGGTCGGCGGTGGTTATACCCAAATAACGGCAAGTGCCTGAAATAATGAAATGTGTACCTTTTACTTCAACTTTTAAGCTGGAGAGTCGCCATATCACCCTTAACCCTACGTCCCGCACAAAAAATAGATAACATGGGACATGCTTATAAACTTCAAATGAAAAGTACATTCTATGTTATATGAAATAATTGAAGAACAAACTAGTACCACTGTACTTGAAATCAAATAAATGACATCGAAATATACGGTTAAAAGGTAATAATAAAACACTTGAAATCATGATATATAATATAATGAGTATATTAATTGCATGTAGGTATATTTAGTTTTAATGTAAAAATATTTAATTTTCATTTGCGAATGTATTTGATTTAGAGGCAGATGTATTTCAAAATGGTATCATCTAGTATTATGTAGATTATAGACTTGGTGTGTTTGAAGTGTTTAAACCTTGTCTTGATGATAAACCGTTAGAATAATAATATTAATATTAGTTTACTGTGCCAAATTACCATTGCGGAAGAATGAAAACATATATTATTCTTGTGGCCATGTTTTATGTATACGATTAATCTTCGATGCATATAACTACATAATGCAGTGTTATGAAATTGCTTTTTTATGAGTATGATTACGTTTAAGAAGATTTTGACAAGAGTTGACATTATAATTGTAGTGAAATGTTAGCAATTATCATGATATTATATAAGTTAAATGCATCAGCTTTATTCAAACATAAAAAATATTTGTGTTAAAACAGTTTTGAATGGTTAATTTTATAAAAGGAATACTGAAAAAGTTATATAAATGATTTTAACATGATAAAATAAACTGTTATAGAGGGAAACAATTGATATCTGGAGGACTAATGAGTCTTTTAAGTTATGATTATAAAACGTTCATAAGTAACATTATGCTCATCTTTTCGCTATCAAGTTCAGGTGATTTAGCTATATTTATATAAAAAGTTCGACTAACATAACCGGGATTGACCAATAACTGATAATTACAATTTAAATGATTAGGATAAAACACAAAACTGCCTAAAATATAAAAGATTGCCCAATTATTTTTAAAAAATGAACGTTACCGAAAATATGTATGTGTTGCATGCATGCTTCATGAGGGACCGGACCCCGGACATGATTGTCTCCAGCCATGCCTTTAAAGAGATAATTTTGCAGCACAAAGTGTCAATTTTGTCATTCTGATAAACCCAGACTTTTAAGTCAAGAAAAGAAAGGACTAAAAACAAAGAAGCATGATAATATAAATACTTTTACTGAGGGGATCAGACACGTCAAAAATATAACAATCAGAAATGATAATATGACTAAGAATGCAACAAAGTATACAATAGAAAGTAAGTCATATATTAATGAGCAAAGCATAAGTTAATACAACAATTCTGCCAAACTCAGCCAAACACAAACAAAGCAACAAAAAAGGTATAAAGCTAGCAAGAAAGGCAAAAAATACTATATTATAAGAAATAACAATAGGTTTTGTTTGCGAAGGTTTTATCAGAACTAGTGACGTTGCTTGAAATTTTGATTTGTTATTAATAAATTTGCCATGGAGAATGTTGTACTTGAGTTTGTAACTGAACGGGTGTATATAAAGGCCCTACCTAGGTCTAGCTATTTTGTCGAACTATACATTTACTTCTGAGCAGGGTCTTTCACTATTTGAAATACCCTATTCTAAGCCAGTTTTGTCTTTTTACATTGATTAATATTAAACATATCGTTTTTCATTCAAATAAACACTAAAACCCAACTTAATTCCATTCGCGCATATACGAAGCTCAATCATTGGCGCGAAATGACTGAACATATTCTCATCGATTAAACCGGAAGTTATACTAATCAAAACCACCAGAAAAAAAACGAGAATCATGGCTGCTGGTTACGACGGTCATTACATGAAAAGACAGAAAACTGACGATGGTGTACGTGGTGTAAGTATTTTCTTTACCTTTCTGTACGTTCGTTTGTATATCTTGCATATTATAATTATAGTAATTGCGTCTTGGGTCGGTACGATACTTGGTTAAAATGGCATTGTTTGTAAAGGGAGATAACTCAAAATGATTTTCATAAAAAATTTAAAATGTAAACCAAATAAAATTTCTACTTGTCGCATTGTATATAATACAATATCTTTAATGTAACTTTTAAACAAGAAGCATTCATATAATACACCCAGGTAACGTAAAATATATAAGAGGTATCGTAAATCTTACAAGGTATACTCGAACCCCATGATACCGGTGACTCCACGGTATATTCACAAATCTCGCGATATTTTTGTCAACAGCACCTGCCGAGTGTTTATATTGACATGTTCCCAGTAATATTGGCTATTTCAAAGTTTTTAAACATTTTCAAGAGTTTTTGAAGGAAATATTTCACATATCCTACCTTATTTTTATTTTACTATCCTATTTTTCCATTGCATAAATTAGTCTCTCTACAAAACACATTTTTTTTCCAAGAAAATAAAAAATCACAGGTGCTGACGTCATTTAACCTCCATTACATGTCACTTGACCTTTTGACATCATTTTTGGCGGGAAAAAATTAATCTATGGAAAGCCATTAGTGTATATAAAATAGTTTATGAAAACTAAAAAGTCAGTTTCATTCAGTCTTTTAAGGGAGCCTGTGTAAAGTGCCATATCGATATTTTATCTTCATCATATAGAAATAAAATTGATTCAATGATACAAAAGGACCAGGCAATCACAACAACACTAAAATTAAGTGAAGGGGAATTTTTTAATCCAGCCACATGGTATAATATACACCTGTAATTCAACTAATTGGGAGGAAAAGGTTCTGAAACAGAGACCCCTTGGGAGTCATAAAAGATGAACAATAAATTATTGAAAAACACGTTTTTATGTTATTTTTAAGCGTTTTTTTTTCAGATATGAATACAAGAATGCTAAAATGATATATTTGCTATTAAAACTGCAATGGCTTTCCATATAAATAACATTTTTACCAGTGCACCGGTAGCATGAAGTCTGTTTAACAACGTCATACAAAATGGTCGACCATTGTTTACATTCGCAATGAGCGAGAATTTCAGAGTAACAGAACTCTGTAATGTAATTTCAAGAGGATTAAATGTTAATGAAGTTGTTTATTCCTTCTTTTTTTCAAGTCAGTAAATTTTTATATGAAAAACACCTTGTATAAAATATGTACACCGGTATCGTGGAGACCCGGGCTACTTGGAAATTGGCGTTCCACTTCATGAAAATTGTCATTTATGATTATTATAACTATGAAATTTTAATATACCGGTTTAAAACACAGTACTTAGTGATTATTCTAGACTTGAAAAAGGGGCAGGGAGGCATCAAAAAGGGCAGGGTGGAACATGTGTCAAAGGGAAACGCTTCACATTTAATACATGATTTTTAAAGACTCAGAATTTTTAGATGATAGGTATATAGCACAGACAAAGACAAAGCAAAAGAACACTTTTTATTTCAAATCATTTTAAATACATGTATTTAACAACTCATAGCATCACAATTGACCAAAATAATATGACAGTCACATAAAACATTTTTAAGGATGAATAAAAATAATATCTTGTTTGGTGGAATATAAAATTTTATGTAGTCCTGAGACAAATATATTTCTTCTTTCACTAATAAAGTTATATGATAATGTAATTTCTATGAACTGTAAATAAAAGGTTTAAGAAAAATTTAACATGAATCTTGTACAGAATGCATAAAATATGACATCTGGTGTTGTGTTTGCAGCTATATAAATGATGCCCTGCAATAAATTCATTGACATAAATATATACAGTCATAATCTCATTATATTAAGAATTTATAGTACTGTTATGCAAGTTTTTAACATGAAACCTTAAAATATACATAAAATGTGACAATGTAAATGTAGCCCTGCAATAAAGTAATTGATACAAATATATACAGACAGTACAAATCTTTCATTGAAATATAATTTCCATGTGCTTTAAATCTATAAAAATAGGACAGAAGACAGTCATGAGAAAAATGAACATGAAACCTTCAAAAATACACATGAACAAACAAATATGACATTTTCTTTAAAATTGTTCACAATATTTTAGCACACACAGAATTAAGCTGTTCATTGTAACACAATTAATTGTCTAATCACTTTTTTGCCAGGGTGGCATACAGAACTATACACCTTCTTGAGGTACATACAGCTACTATTTCAGTCACAAACAGTTCTTAGTTTATCCGTCTTGGTTTTAAGCTGTGCCACTTTTTAACAGTTCTCTCAATGTCAAGGTATTTATCATTTCTGTGAATCATAAGAAGCTGATGCACACTATTGACACTCAACCTGTTTCTGATTTCAGTCTTTGTTCTAGCTACATCTGAAAACACTCTTTCAACCTCAGCAGTACTAATAGGTAGAAACTGCTGCAGTTGCACACAGTTTTTCAATGTGTGGACAGTAATTTCCCGTCACATGTTTAACAGAGTTCAAGATTTTAATCATGTTCATTGCACCAGCAATGTCTTTGGACTCAATATTGGCTAGAGAACTTTTTACAGTTTCCCATTCTTGCAAAGTTTCATCTACATCCATTCTGAAATGTTCAGCCAAATACATGATCTCATCATTACCATAGAATGTAGACTGATCTGCCATATTAAAAACACTCATACAATCTACAACATCTGATGAATCTAGTCTTCTCTCAATGTGGTCAACCAAATTATCAATGAACAAATGTTCTGCTTTCTTAACAGACTCAATCTTCTGCTCTGTAACATTTATGTTATGTTCACTTACAATTTTTGCTGCTCTTTTGGTGCTTAGCCCTTCACTCTGCTTCAGTTTTTTCAACGAACTAATAGTAGATTCCATTCGTGGTTTCACCAAGGACAGATCAATGTCATTTCTTTCAAACGTTAAGGCCAATGTTGTAAGGGGTTTAAGGGCATCACACAGAAAGTGTACAATATGCACTGATTCATATGTTTTAAGCTTCTTTGCTAAGCCATTAGCAGATGGACCACTACCCAATCTAACCTTATCATTACCAGACTCAACAGCATTTTCCAAATCACTTATAACTGCTGAATAACTGTCCCTTAAAGAAGACACGGCATCTAAATGAGATAACCATCTTGTGTGGGCGGCCTGCTTAATTTTTTTATTCCCACTATCATCCAGCAACTTCTGAAGTTTCCCTAAAGAAGCGGTTCTATTAGCAGGAGCATGGTAGTATTTGAAGGTATGACTTAATAAATCGTCTGTGTCTCTCATCACTTTAATTGATTCAAAACTATCCTTAGCTGCTAACGCAAGGCGATGATTGTGGCAATGAATCGTAACAATTTCAGGTTTCATTGCTTTAAGACGTGTAGCCACCCCTGTTTTCTTTCCAATCATTGTATTACACCCATCAGACCCAAAAGCGACAAAGTTGTCTACATTTAATTCCTCAATAACAGACTTGGTCTCACAAAATATTGTCTCAGCTTTGCCATCATCCACCTTAACATCCTTTATATAGTCTACACAAACATCACCACTATCAACATCAACATACTTTACACAGAATGCCAAATGCTTATCATTAGTTACATCTGTTGTTTCATCAGTCATAACAGCATAGCCAGGACTTCTCTCTACTCTATCTTTTAATGTACTCTCAATGTCATCAACCATACAATTTACCAATTCATTTACTACTGTGTTGCTGGTGTACATGGCATTTTTACCTTTTTCTAGGTGCTGTAATGCAGGGCATTTTAGTTCTGTTGTTGCGAAGTTAATGAAATCTTTAAACACTGTTGTATGGGGAATGTTATGTTTTATTAAGAAATGTAGGATTTTTGTAGCACATGTTACTGCTTCAAACTCTTTTTCACCCATAGGAAGGCGTTTTTCACTGAAGGCTGAATGAATACCAAGTTGTTCCTCAGTCTCAAGCCTTAAAGAGAACTTGTGCATTTCAGAATTTTCATGATCAGTTACTTTATCTTTCCTGATTGTCACACAACCTTTTTCAGTCCAAGTAACACTACCATTCATGCCTCGGCTTTTGTGTTTTTGGCAAAGTTTACAAAACATTGCATTTGTTTGTCCATTGTCTGATTTTTCTACAAACAGCCATGGTCTGTTTTCGGTCCACTTTTGATCAAATCCAACTTTATGTTTACCTTTAACCATTTTTCGAGCTGACGTGACCTCAGTACTAGAAGTTGAAGACTGATTCTCTCTGATTGGAGAAGTTTCTGGTAACTTGGAATTGGTTTCATTATTTGAATCTGTACTTTGAGCAGTGATAATTGGTTCGTTACTTTGGGTCACTCTGTAATAATATAAAAAGACTGGTTAATTTTCTAAATAAATTTGGGTTAAAAAACAATTTCAAGTTATTGAAATTACTTCAGTCATCTTTTATATTTCACAATAACAGTCACATTTAGCTAAAATCAACGTATGTGTAAATTTATCATGTACTGTACTCTGTAGAGATGTTCAAAGAAAAACCAACGATTTTATCTTTTTAAAAGTAAATCTAATTTCGAATTGATTAAAATTGATTACAAATTGTCATTATCTTGCAATTTATTATGATATTTCACATATGATTTTAGGTAACTAATAGATTCTAACTGTAGTTGTTACTGTACTGTACTATTTCATAAAAAAAAAAAAATCTCCCGACTTTCAACCTCAGAAAAACGGTTAATCTGTAGCTCAATAATTCATTCAATTCATTAAAATGTCTTACAGCTAGAGACAAATATTCGCTTATTCATAATTGTCTTTGTTTATTTTCTGTAAAATTGCCGTACGATTAGTCTAAACAGTCTATGTAACGAACGGCTTGCAGTACAGGACCGTACTTCAGTCCAGGGCCGTACTGCTAGTGTAGTGGCTTCGTACACAAATTGTTTCAGTCGCCTCCTTTTATATAAATGTTGAATTGCAAGTGAGAAACACATTTAAAATCGATTCATAGCAAATGTGAATAACTTTTATCGTACCTTTCTTTAGCTCCAAAAAAGGAGGAAATACTGTGGTTTGTTTTGCGAATTTTCGCACGCTCTTTTTCAATTTCTGCAAATTTCCTTTTCGCAGACGGCATTTTGTTTCTCAAAGGAACAACTAACTAATGAAAACCATAACACCCATCCTTATGACTTAAAAGATTCTTTACGCAATTATAGAGATTAATATGTGTAAACAATTAATTGTAATTACCTGTACTTTTATCCCAATGAGCGGCATGTTTCAAAAGTATACGAATTTTTACTGACATTCATCAAACAATCGTGTGAAAAACAAATTAGCGAATGCATTACAATTTGATTGTCTCCGTAAATCATTGCCATTTTAATCAGTTAATGACCACGGATTATCAATCAGTCGGTAATGTTCCTTACTAATCATTTCAAACTGTAGCAAACATATTTTGATTGAAACCTCTTCACACGGGGCCGCTTCACACGGCCCACTTCACATCGGTCAGACAATTGTTATCGCCGTGGGGCACCCGGTTTGTATATTGGAGCGTGTCAACATCATAATCTTATCTTATAGATAAGTGATTGGCAGTTTTTAGCTCACCTGAGCTTGCTCAGGGTGAGCTTTTAGGATCGGTGAATGTCCGTCGTCCGTCCGGCCGTCCACAATTGCTTGTGAACACTCTAGCGGTCGCATTTTTGCCTCAATCATCATCAAACTTGGTCAGGATGCTTATCTAGTTGAAAGCTCGGATGAGTTCGAACATGGGTCATCTCGGATGAAAAACTAGGTCACAAGAGCTAAAAATAGAAAAACCTTGTGAACACTCTAGGGGTCACATTTTTGACCCAATCATCATCAAACTTGGTCAGGATGTTTGTCTAGGTGATAGCTCGGATGAGTTCGAACATGGGTCATCTCGGATGAAAAAGTAGGTCACAGGAGCTATAAATAGAAAAACCTTGTGAACACTCTAGTGGTCACATTTTTGAACCAATCATCATCAAACTTGGTCAGAATGCTTGTCTAGTCAATTGCTTGGATGAGTTCGAACATGGGTCATCTCTGATGAAAAACTAGGTCACAGGAGCTAAAAATAGAAAAACCTTGTGAACACTCTAGTGGTCACATTTTTGACCCAATCATCATCAAACTTTGTCAGGATGCTTGTTTAGATAATAGCTCAGATGAGTTCGAATATGGGTCATCTCGGATGAAAAACTAGGTCACCGGAGCTATAAATAGAAAAACCTTGTTAACACTTTAGCGGTCACATTTTTGCATCAATCATCATCAAACTTGATCAAAATGCTTGTCTAGGTGATAGCTCGGATGAGTTCGAACATGGGTCATCTCGGATGAAAAAACTAGGTCACAGGAGCTAAAAATAGAAAAACCTTGTTAACACTCTAGTGGTCACAATTTTGACTCAATTGTCATCAAACTTGGTCAGGAAACTTGAATAGGTCATTGCTTGGAATAAATCGAACATGGGACATCTCGGATGAAAAACTAGGTCACATGAGCTAAAAATAGAAAAATCTTGTTAACACTCTAGTGGCTACTGTTGTGATCCAAATATTCTGTTAATTGGTCTGAAAGTTTTTTTTGATGATTTCTAAGTCAAGATCAAACATGGGTCATCTTGGATGAAAAACTAGGTCACACCGCCCAAATATGGAAAAACCTTGTTAACATTCTAGTGGTCACATTTTCGACTCGATTATCATCAAACTTGGTCAGGATGCTTGTCTAGGTAATTGCTTGGATTAGTTAGAAATCGCATGTGAAACTAGGTCACCGGAGCTAAAAATAGAAAAATCTTGTTAACACTCTAGTTGCTACTGTTTTGATCCAAGTATCCTGGAAATTGGTCTGAAAGTTTGTTTTGATGATTTCTAGGTCAAGTTTGAATATGTGTCACCTGGGTAAAAAACTAGGTCGCACTGCTCAAATATGGATAATCCTTGTTAACACTGTAGTGGTCACATTTTTGACTCACCTGTCATGAGACTTGGTCAGAATGCTTGTCTAGGTAATTGTTTGGATGAGTTTGATAATTCAGGTGAGCGATCTAGGGCCATCATGGCCCTCTTGTTTATGTATCTTATACATATTGATTGGGCAGCGGGGCGCATTTAAGTATACGGGGCGGTGTTTTAGAGGCAAAAGGGCGGACTTAAAAAGGGGCAGGGCGGAGCGCCCTGTCATTCTGCGCTAGAATAATCACTAGTACTTATTCTGGGGCCAATTTGGTAAAGGGCCGAAACGTCTTGGGTAATTTGGGGCCGAAACGTCTCGAAATCATCTCAATTATCACTCAAAATCACATCCTGAACAATTAAGCTGTAACAACATAGGTCATGTCAAACAAGTATACTGATTTAGATTAATCTCTACAGTATATAATATATGACAAAAAAGTAGCCGATATGTCTAGGAGGTGAAATCTCCAGGGTCAAAACGTCCGGGAGTTGAAAAGACCAAGGCAGAAACGTACAGGAGGTGAAAAGTCCTGAAATAGACTTGATGTGTGGTATTTTGCTGTTTGCTTCTGTTAATACTTTTTTTTCAGTTATTTTCAAATAAAAAAAATCAGTGATGTAATTCTTATGAGAAATTAATATTTGTTATATTCATCTTTCTCAATGGTTTGTAACTTTCAGTATGAAGAGTCATATGAAAGGCAGGATCAAAGGACCGAAGAAAGACACCGACCGGATAGACACAGTCCAGATGTTTCCCCAGTAGTTCATATTCGTGGTTTACCAGATCGTGTCATAGAAGACGATATTGTTGCAGCTGTTCAACATTTTGGATCTGTTGCGTAAGCATACTAGCTTATTGTATTGAAGTAATATTTGAGCCTCGCCTTGACAAAACCAACATAGTGAGTTTGCGACCAGCATGGATCCAGACCAGCCTGCGCATCCGCCCAGTCTGATCTGGATCCATGCTGTTCGCTATCAGCTTCTCTACTTGTTTTAGGGTTTGTAAGTGAACAGCATGGAATCTGATCAGACTGCGCAAATGCGCAGGCTGGTCTGGATCCATGCTGGTCTGGATCCATGCTGGTCGCAAACCCACTATGTTGGTTTTGTTGTGACGCGGCTCATTTATTGTCATTTTCAGTAATAAATCGTGGCACAGGTATAGAGAAAACTATATTAGAGATGACTAACACTTAGGAGCATTATATTCAGTCTTCATTTTGGTATTATCTCAAAGAAAAGCTTTGTTTATAAAATGCTTCATATTATGAATAATATCAGATGGAATGGCTTCCAGTTTTTACATTACAAGTTATAGAAATAAACCAGAATCAAATGAAAAATAATGTGATCTGGATGCATGAAATCAGAATCTAGTAAAGATTTGCTGGGAATCATTGCAGCCCTAATGTGTGTAGTAATTTCTATTGGCAGTGATTTTCCAACTTATGTAACAGACTGATATAAGGTCTCTAAGACTCTTCCCAATTGAAATTTTCTTTAAAATCATGCAGTTTTCTCAAAAATCTGGACTTAAACCTGCTTTTTTACTTCCCAAATTAGCAATTATAGCGATAATTTTTCCCCAAATCAAGTGGCTATGGCCTCTTCCCAATTAAGTGAGAAAAATCACTGATTGGTCATTGTGAAGATTTAGAATGGGTAAAATATCACTGAAATCTAATATGAAAGAAATTTTATATTTACCATGTTTTTTGTTTGTAGATATGTCATTCTTATTCCAAGACGCAATCAAGCTCTCGTTGAGTTTACAGTACGTACATAACTAGATATAATCACATTATATTTATTATCTGATAAATGGTAGTTAACTTACTATTACAACAATCATATGAGACTTGTATAAATAAACTTATCATTCTTGTAGGATCCTTCTTAAACTTATATATTGTATTTACTAAAAAAAGTTGAAGTTAGTTAAGATTGTAAACTTCTATAAAAATTTTTGGGGCAAATGAGTTTTCTTCTCAAGACTCATTATAATGTAAAGTGTCTTCACAAATATTTTAAGACATGTATGTTCCATGGATGATGATAATGTAGGTACATTGTTTAAACTTAATTATTCTTTTTTTCAGGATGTGAAAGGATCTTCAGCATGTGTAAACTTTGCTAATGTAAGTTCTTGATGTTAACAATGCTTTATTTCAAAATGTAGTGATATTTTAAATAAGTTTTAGTACAACTGTTCAATAATTGTAATACATGTATGACTTATCTTAGCCTCTTTTCTTGGTTCTAGAATGAGTGTTCTGTTTGTTTAAATGAGCCGTTGTAAAACTTTATATTTTAATCCTTTACAAGTGCTTTTTATGGCTAATTTCAGCTCCATTTTCCACTTCAAAATAAAAATAAATAATATTCCTCTAATGCTGGAAAATAAGATTCACTCCAAAAATTAAAAAAAAAGAAGATATTTGGACAGCATAATTTGAAATGATAATGGTTTCAAACTACAATTTAACAAAATGATTTATATTTGTTTTTAAATTTTTCTTTATTCCAATTTTCCCCCCTCTCCATGGAGCTTACCACCATTCCCTTCAAAGTGAAAAACAGCTCAAGTTGATATGTCAAATTGCATAACTTCCTTAAATTGATACTGTAACTGGTACAAAAAAGGCTGTGTGTTTGTCCAAGCAGGGTTTGGTGCTGTTCTTTTTGCACAAAAATATTTACTTGTATGGCAAATTGAAGGATACAAAATTGATTTTTCTTTCAATTTGGAGCATAACTTTGTCTTGCATAAGAAATGTATATGAATTAAGCAACAATCATAATTTTTACAGGCTAATCAACTGTTGATACGGGGGCAGCCGGCATACTTCAACTACTCGACCAGTCAGAGAATCCAGAGACCAAAGTTTGTATCATACAATTACAAATAACACATGTACTATCTTAACGTTTATAAACACACACAAATACATGTGCTTATATTTGTATGAACTAATTTGTATTATCCATTACCCTGCTGCATTCCTGAAATGAATTTGTCTAGCTTTGAAGTTAGAACAGTAGGCCTATATTTGAAATCTAAAGGATTTCATTATCAAAATACTAAAATTTAGCTATCAACAGTGAAAAGCCTGATCAGACTGCATGGATGTGGTAACTATTGTAACTACATGTAGCTTGACTCTTCTGCTGGCAAGGGGTAGTAACTTCCATTTCCAGCAGGCAAAAGGGGTAAAGGAATCACATAAACTTTAAGAGGTTCTCAATTTGTTAAGAAATGATACATATCTTGCTTACACCTTTAAACAGCTGAGTGACACAATATTTTTTACCACAGCCCGGTGGTAAAATGATGCAAGAATCCAAGCTTTTCAAGCAATGAGATTTTCAATGTTCTGTAAATGATCTTTGAGTTTGAAAAGTTACGTTACATAAAGGGAAAAAATCTTATCCATATTTTTTTCCTGTTGTAAATTAGTGTTATTCTTAAAAGTTTGTAGTGTCAATACATAAAATATACTGTTAGTATAAAATTACTCTGTCATTAAAGGTTTTATTCAAGATTATACATGTATGCTCATTAAATATACATGTTTATTCCAGTGATGTTGAGACAGGTGGTCAGCCATTTGCTCCGGCCAACAAGATACTTCTCTTCACAATCCTTAATGCTAAATATCCAATAACAGTGGTAAGTCGAATGATTGAAAAAGATTTATAATCTGTCAAGCAGTGTTAGATGGTAAATGGTCTCATGTCATTAACCCATACCTTGATAAAATATTAAATGGACAAAAACATTCATAATTTTAAGAGTCATAATATGTACTTGGCGAATAAGGAATATTGCAGTCTAGACAGCATGGACATGCCAGCTGTCTTCTGTCTGCACTGGTTGCAGGGGTTGCCACAAGCAGGCTAAAGGGTTATGCAAAAACCTTAAATATTATTAACTGCTGTAAGAAGTTTTCTTGCATAGCAGAGTGGCGTTTCCATGGGTTTTACCCATGCCGGAAATTTCATCTGGCATGGGGGGTGCCAGATGAGTCGCGTGCTGTACAATGGCACGCTTGGGATGACGTCATTTTACCGTTATGAATGAAGTTGCAATTTCATACGCTGTTGTAAGAAAATAGTTACGGCTGTAATGATATAAATTTCCGTTGAAAATAAAGATTAAAGAATTTAATTTATAATGGAATATTGTAGAATATGCCAGAAAAAATATCTGTCATATGTTTGCGGTCCGAACCGTAACATATGACAGATATTATTAGTCAAATTTTCCTGAAAATGTTTTTTTCTGAATACCAAGAGGAATGAAATTTGATGACTTTGGAACTTGTTTTTTTGCAATGATATCTTTAATTTTAATATGGTATAACTGTCTAGATTAATAATAATAGTTATTTGTCTATACAGGTAGAAAAGTTTGAGCAGTTTTCTATTCAACACTTGACTATTTAACAAATGATATTTTCTGAAATTCCCTCCGTACAGATCCTTGGTATGTTGGTTCTACCTAAAACATATGAATATAATATGTAAAAGGAATTTCATATATAATCAAAGAAATGCAGAAATACTGAACGCCGGCAATTGTATTAAACCCTAAAGTGCTAATGAACAAGATAGTTTGTACATTAATTTTTGTTTTATGAGAAGATTGTTTTTGGTTTTTGTTATGAAAGTTTCTTATTGTTTTACAGGATGTTATGCACACAATTTGCTCTCCACATGGACGTGTTGAGAAAATTGTCATCTTCAAGAAACAGGCTGTACAATCTATGGTCCAGTATCCTTGATGTAAATCTTACTGAAAATTCAGTATTCATAGTTAAATATGTGAAGCATTTGTCTTTTGTCCACAGATGACAAAAAAGTTATATCAATATGATTACATGGTCTTTGATAAAAATATCTGTAGGATTACAAAAAAATATCTGTATGATTATATGGTCTTTGATAAAAGTATCTGAATGATTTCATGGTTTTTGATAAAGTTTGATTATTAAGACAGTGTATGGCTTTAGGACCTTTGATTCATGAGCAAAGTCATGGGACATGACACATTATGGGTTATAACTTGGTTAAAACAGGTCCATCAAACAAAAGAAAGAATACTAAGTAGGAAAGTTTAGCAATGTTTCTGCAGGATTTGTGATAACCTGCTATTTTTTTCTCAAGCACTACATCTGTACTTAATTGTAAAAGAATGTATGCATTTGCTTCAAATTATCATTTTCAATGAATAGCAAAAAGATTGCATTATCATTTGTACATGAAAGAAAGAATTAAACTTATTAATTTTGAAAGACAGTTTATGCAGGGTTTAAATGATAAAAATGAAAACCCTTGTTTATGTATAAATTACTCTGAATATATGATAAGCTCATAAAAAATAAATGCCCTTCACCATAATATTAGATTTGAAAATGCTGATTCAGCGAAGAATGCTAGAGAACAACTGAATGACTGCGACATTTACTCTGGTTGCTGTACTCTCAGAATTGAGTATGCAAAGGTATGTCACTCTAATTATCACCCTTCTATACATGAAATTGATTAGTCTTTGATAGTACTAAAGAGCCAGGTGGGCCTGCTTGCAGTCTGACCGAGTTGACTGAATAACTCAAAATTTCATCTTGATAAAACTGATAATGAATTGTTCCGAAAATGAAAGCTAGACAAGTTCATTTTAGAATTTCGGCAAGTTAAGGGGGTTTTCTTGCAAAGATAATGATGCCAGAGTGGTATTAATTAGATTTTTTAAATTTTTTCATTGAGTTGAATTGAAAGGAACAAAAGATTCAAAATATAGGAAATCATGCTGAACAAAACATGATTGTCTACTGTTATGAATTCATTCTAGTAGGGTTGAATAAGAATTTTTCTTTTCTTTTTATGCCCCCACAATGTGGGAGCATATAGCGTTGCACTTGTCAGTCCGTCCGTCCGTCAGTCCCGAAATCTTGTGAACGCAACTCCTCTTAAACCGCATGGCAGATTTTGCTTAAACTTACAGGGATGAACAACCTTAATGTGTAGCTGGTAGTAAAGGAAGGAATTTTTGCTGCGACCAAATTTAACAGAATTATGGCCCTTTGTTGATTTTTTCACTAGATACTATGTAGAAATTTTGTGAACGCAACTCCTCTTAAACCGCATGGCAGATTTTGCTTAAACTTACAGGGATGAACAACCTTAATGTGTAGATGGTAGTAAAGGAAGGAATTTTTGCTGCGACCAAATTTAACAGAATTATGGCCCTTTGTTGATTTTTTCACTATATACTATGAAGAAATTTTGTGAACGCAACTCCTCTTAAACCTGATGGCAGATTTTGCTTAAACTTACAGGAATGAACAACCTTAAGGTGTAGATGGTAGTAAAGGAAGGAATTTTTGCTGCGACCAAATTTAACAGAATTATGGCCCTTTGTTGATTTTTTCACTATATACTATGTAGAAATTTTGTGAACGCAACTCCTCTTAAACCGGATGGCAGATTTTGCTTAAACTTCCAGGGATGAACAACCTTAATGTGTAGATGGCAGTTAAGGAAGGAATTTTTGCTGCAACCAAATTTAACTGAATTATGGCCCTTTGTTGATTTTTTCATTATATACTATGTAGAAATTTTGTGAACGCAACTCCTCTTAAACCGGATGGCAGATTTTGCTTAAACTTCCAGGGATGAACAACCTTAATGTGTAGATGGTAGTAAAGGAAGGAATTTTTGCTGCGACCAAATTTAACAGAATTATGGCCCTTTGTTGATTTTTAGTTTTCAACTTGTGGCACATGTAGTCCAATAAATATTTGACCCAGACTCAGTAGAGTCATAAGATTGACAGAACAGTGGCGTGTGGGGGCATCCGTGTCCTATGGACACATTTCTAGTTATTCTCTCCCATCCATTATAACTACATTTTAATCATATACTTAAAGGTTATTAGATTAAAAATATTTCTTCTTTTCATGTAGTGCAATCTTTTAAAATAAAAAGTAGCTGTTTATCCGGCTGAAGTCCATTTCATGCTGTCTTAAGGTATAAGTGTTGGTGATTCATTACGACAGCTATTTTATCCACTTTTGTCATTATCTTTTTTCCAGACTGATGAGTTACATGTTAGAGCCAATAACAATGAGAGTTGGGATTACACTGTTGGTATGTACATGTATATATTATGTCATTTATTTATAGAATCTGGCATATTTTCATTAATTATTTTCAATTTATTGAAGCATTGTTCTGAATATTTTAATTAACTTTTGAGAAAAAAAATGTGATGTACGTTTTAATAAATTTGAAAATATTTAAATATTTATTATTTATATTATCAATATATTACTTTCTTTGAGATTTGTAAAGATTTTTATAAATTTAACATTTTCGTGATAAATATTGTACTAATATTTTTATTGATATTTTTCAATGTAACATTGCAACACAATATTTATATTTTCATGCCTGTTTCACATGCAGTATTATTATATATACATATCTATTTTGCATTGACAGAATCTCTTTTACTTACCAAGAAATACATAATTACATAATACATATTGCCTTTTCAGTTTATTCTATTCTAACAACATTTTTATTACCAAGTAAAATTATCATAACATTACGATAAAAATATCTCCAAAAAGAACATTTTTCTACAGTTAATTAACTACTACTTAAGCATACAAAACAAATTTGCTATTCAAAGAGCTTTGTTTCAGGACTCTTTCTGTCATTTATCTCCCTTTATAATTACATCTGAGTTTTCAAGATGATTGGGTTAACTCCCTTTATCTAACTTATTCATTACAATACATTATATATATAGAAGATAACAACGAAACAAAATCAAGAAAATTTATATATTTTAGGACATACTATGTTTTGAATACACAGTTACCTTGAAGTTTTTTTTTATGTCACTTAATTTTATCATAGTTGTAAGAGTCAACACTGATGCAAGACTTACAAGATGTGAAAATAAATTCTCCCGTTTTGTAATTTGCATGATTATATAGAAACATTCTGTAATGATACATGTAAAAAATACTTTAAACTATCCACCATCAGCTACTGTAAGAGCATGCTATATGTATCAAACAATAGTTACTCACATAGGTTCATTCAGTCATGTGTAGTTATGCCAAGAAATTTTTTTCATAACAGGGTCTCTGTAGCCAGAATTTAGGTCTCCAACTTCAAATCACATACCCTTCAATGATGTTGGTCCAAATCTTATCAAGGACTTTTGGTTGTTTTGTTTTTTTTAGTGAGAAAGTTATCCAGCAATCTAACATAAGGTCGTTGGTTGTACTCAGGTGCCCGCTTGTGCCTGAAATAATGCACAAATTTGCACCTGAGGTCTTTCTCTACCAGCAGATGACCCTAACTGACTATGCTACTTGAAACCCAACAATACCAAACATTCCTTCATAACAGAAATCTATCACTTTTATTGATTGTTTGAAATACTTTGTATGTCCCTGATGAAAATTTCCTCTTATTGAAATATTTTCAATTTGCCATGTTTGGAATCATTCTTAGAATTTTATCTCAACTTTACAAGAGAGGCTGTTATATTGTTTGAAGACCAGCCAGTCTTTTTTTATCTGTATAGCCAAATCATTTGCCATCAAATGATTTATTGCAACAGTATATCTAAAAAGCAGCTCAAAGCCTGTACTGTTTTCTATGCTTGACCAACTGAGTTACTCAGCCATCTGCATTATTGATTACCAGTAGTTTGTAGAAACTGTCAAAATTATTTACTGCTTGATTTGTCTCGTAGTTTGGCTGATAATGATTATACAGTAGTTTATTTCTCTCATTCTTCATTGAGGAACATTTTGATTTGTATAATATAGAATAATGCTGACTCTATTAGAAAGTAAACATCCATTGTGCAAAATTAAAATAATGCTAATGTTATTGGTTAACACTATGGTTTTCCACATGGAATTTATATTTCCTTTTGGTATGCCAATGTCTATTTTTATATCAAAAGGAGCTTTTGAAGTTCTGTTTACCTGTTTTGCTTTTCTTTGCCTTCTTATTGCCAAGGCAGTATTTGTCTCTTTATCTCTATTTTTACACCGAGTGTTTATTTTTAACATTATGACAGTTGTGTTGTATTTTCTGTATAGCTTTGTGCTTGTTGCACCTATTTTACATTAGTGTTTCAAAAATAACTTACACTATTCACATATACTAACACTGATTAGATTGCGTCATGTCTCGTAATCTATTGTAAATCACAAATAAAAACGTAACATTTAATTAAAGTAAATAATACATGTTTTTACTTCACTAATGATATAATGAATATGAAATACGGGTCATAATTCACACGATTTATTCAAACTTCTGGAAAATAGTAGATCCCTTGCAAGCAGTTAAGGGATTTAAAAAAAGATGAAAGTTGTTATTGTCATAATGTATGAACTTACTGTTATTAAACAGCACCTGCATTCATGATTGGTCAAATATCAGTTCCAGTCAATAAATTGTTACGTAGTTTTCACATAATCTACACTTTTAGTGAGCCGTGTTTTATGAAATAACATATAGCTGCTTGAATCTGTTATGATACCACTGTCTTACTGGACTGTAAGGCCAAACAGTTTCAGTAAAATAAAATTGTAACAAAAAATATACATTATCTTTATTTGGATTGGTTGACTTTGTGTGAGTTTGCCTGTAGTCATGGTAACTTAACCTTTTAAGTGCTGGACCCGAAAGCATTAAGTCTTTGCCACCAGTATAGAGCCAGGCCAGCCTGCACATCCGTGCAGTCTGACCAGGCTCTATACTGTTGGCTGCCAAATTTTAAATATTCAAATTGATATCTTTAAAATTGATAATGGACAGGCCCAAAAATGGAAGTGGGACAAGTCCATTTAAGATATTCAGCATGTTCAGGGTTAATGTTTGTTTCACTTACTACTTACTTGCACATTTACACTGGAAATGGTTAAAGGTAGTTCATATTTGGCAGCTGGTAACCCTGAAACCATTAATAACCACTGTATGACTGACTTGCAGATTCAATTACAATGTATTGAAAATTCTAGATATTTTAATGTTACTTGGATAGATATGAACACATTTTCTTCAAGCGTGGACACAGCTAACCAGTCCTCTGGACAAGAGAATCAGTATTGTGTGCCATAAAAGACATTGATCTTTACTGTCATATGTTCAAAACTCTCTATTTTAATCTTTGTACATGTGTAAAAAATAAGTTTCTTTGTTTCTGTGGGTGTTTGAAGGTACATGGGCATTTGTGTTATACTAACACATCTTGGTCATATTTTGACAGTTAACATAATGTCTTTAATACTTGTAATTAAATGTGTAAGTTTGAATATTTGAAATTCAAGGTGATTTCTTTCTTTAACACTTATGTTAGATAATACATTGTAAACAACTCATGTTTTATGTACAGTGGCCGGACATATCAATTCTGTATATAAAACATTCAAGACTTTACATGCAATGCTACAATAAATATATTTAATTTTCTTGGAACAATCACATTGGTAAAATTTGACCATATACAGAAGATCAAAACATAAGCATACTGTCTTGCCAAAAAATAAAAAAAAAGCTGCATGGTAAACAAGGAAAATTTCAGTTCAAATATGTATAATATCATATTTTTTTCATGATAAATCATATGTTTTTAAACTGAATAGATAGAAGCACTTTTTTAAATACTAAAAATGATTTGTTCTTCACATATACAAGTGTAATTATTGATTCAAATGATTTGTACAGAACAGTTTTACATACAAGTATTACATGTGTCGTAATTCACATAATTGTTGGTAACTTTAAGAATGTGTTGTGCAGTTGGGCAATTTCTTTTACCTGATACACATTGCAAGTTTACACATCATCTGTTATGAAGGAAAATTGTCATTTGTACGAAGAAAATACATACGTTATATCTCATCTATGCATTTCATCCATTTCAAATGACATTTTTTGTTGTTTATTATTTTATTATTCAAAAACTAGTTGTTTACCATTATTTTACATTGTACATTGTTTACACATAACAGACTTTTACATAATTTGATGCATGTACAAAATGAACTTACATAATTATACATATTGTTGAAGCATATGATATATAATTAATAAATTAATTCTTGTGTTTGATTCATGTTCAAGCAAATTGTGTGCTCTTAATTTGATTCATGTAATTTCTATGAACACATTGTCCCTGCAAAAATTTTCTTTTCGAAGTTTTGCATATCGTGATACAAAAGTCATGTATATTAATGAGCCTGGACAATGTTAATTATGAATAAAAGTACCTTCCCATTACACATCATTCAGGAAAATATCAATGATAAATAAAAGAAATCGAGTATTTGACTAAATACCAGTTCTATATTGTAATGCTGATTCCCATCCTAGGATTCTCAACTCTTTGGGAAAAATTCTAATCTGTAGGGACAGCTAGCTAAATCCCCTTTGCCTTGCCTATAGGAGATATTGTCTGCTTTTTTTGTCGCCAAAAGTAACCTACTACAGTGACACTATCAACAGCATTGGCTAAGGGGAAGGGATAGTTAGAGTTACAATTTACTTGTGCATTACACAAAAATTTGGCACACGGTTTTCACAATTCCATTCTTATATATTGTACATGATTTATTTTCAAGATTCATATTGTTAAAGGTATAAAAAATGGTCATCTATTTGCATTGTTACGAGATATATATGAAGTAATTTAGCTGCCAGACTGTCGTTGATTACATAAAAATATTTGTAATACAGTGTCCACAGTGCTCCATTAACCTGAAATTGTTAAAATGGAAAAAAAAAACTCTTAATAAGCAATCATTTGCAAGCCATCAAATACCACTTTGAATAATTATACATGTATTTGCAATCATGCATTATTATAATTTTGAAACTTGATATATTATAATTTGGAAAAGACAGTAAAGATTAGAAAACTTTGCTGCAGTTAATAGTGAATCATAAATATTTTGATTGTTAAACAAACTATGTAAAGACATTTTATCATTACACTCTTAAAATAAAATAAATTGTTTGCCCTGACTTCAAGATGCAACAGAAAATTTTCTTATACAATCATGCACATGTACAGTTAGCCTTTTTCACACACAAAAAAAGTGGTTATGCGGCAGTTACAAAAAGTGGTATGGCGTTTTGGGAAAAAAAGTTACAAAAAAAATACATAAACAAATCCAAGAGATGAAAATAAAATGCCTGACGACTCGAGGACACAGAGATCAACTCGGAATATTTCAAGACTTCTTTGAAGTTATATACTCACTTTATCCAGTTATAAAACATATCAATATTGATGAGCCCATGACAGATTTTTGTCATCAGTTCAGCTGGTGTTACATTACTTTGAATATGAAAGGCTACATGTGTGATTCTACATGACTGTGGTGTAAAAGTATTACATTACCCACACAGAACTTTCTCGATGTTGTATCTATTTGTATACATCAGTCTTGGAAATTGTCCAAGATTACACTACGTGTATTTCTGATATTTCTGACTGAAATATTACAATGTCTTTAAACTCTTTTATCAATCCTAGGTGTTTCATCACAAATACAGAATTGTATAGTGACATAAAAAACTTAGAAAAACATCTACAATCAATACTGTAGTCATTAATTTCAATCAAAGAGTGTCCACTACACTATGCATATGAAAGTGTTTTATGCAAAGATCATGATGATTTACAGATATGTACATCTGTTATGATACATCTACGAATGAAGAGCAACAGAGGGGTTCCATACAAACATATAATTTCTACTTTTTAGTTTCTACTTAACTGGTTAGTTTCTACCGGACTGGTTTTCTGGAACAAAAAATACTGAATTACTGTCAAACTTACAATTATGGAAAAGCTACAATCAACAGCAATTTGTTTCACTTGATGTCTATAATTAATGTTTATTCAACAATTACCCAAATATGGGAAAATTTTTAGTATACCATAATAACAAATTGTATTTTGTACCATATTTCTAAAGGGAAATATAATGCAAAAATTATTCATATTTTTGGTTGATCAATACATTACTACTGAACATCAAAAAAAAACAATAACAAACAAACTAATACTTTGCTGTCACTGATTGAAACAACTACTAAAGATTACATGCAGCATTGCTTTCTCTATGTGATAGTTACAACTATCTTTATATGACAATTTAATATTGTCATTGTCAATTATCTTTAAGTAAAAACATATATTCAAGTCATATTAACTAATCAGAATCATTTGTACATAGACGACAAATCCAGTATCAACCAATCAGATTCATTCTTACAAAAAGAAGACATATCCAGTATCAACCAATCAGAATCATTCTTACAAAAGAAGACATATCCAGTATCAGCCAATCAGATTCATTCTTGCAAAAGAAGACAAACCTAGAAAGCAGAAGTGAAATATATCCACAGAAAAATCATCCAAGCATCAAATACAAAACCTATTCAAACACAATTTACTGACAGAAAATGATTGAAATTGTATTTGATTGTTGTTCCACAGTTTATAACAGCAAGGCTACTTCTCATCTGTCAGTACATGTACAACTCTTGCGTCTCACGTATGTTAAACTGACAACGCAAACTGAGCATGCATTGGACATTGAGGAGAAGGGATTTACTACATCATACTGCCACTTCCTCGAGCTTTTGAAAAAAATGGACAACAATACAAAAGGCTGATTGGAAGTGTCATGGATATTCAATGGTTTGAGCAATGAGAGGACTGTAAGAATTTGTCTGACACTTTGTACAGTTTGTAACCAGTTTTGGTTTGATTCATGCATAGAATTATGAAATTATTATTGTATATTGTATAAAATTTCTAATTTTATTTGAATCATTGCTAACAGAAATATTTTTTACTCTCAGTTTGAAATATTGAAATTTGTGATAGCAATTTATTGTCTGAAGTTTTATTGTTATAAAATTGTAATAAAAATGTTGAATATAAATCCACACTGTGTACAATAGTATGCAAATGTAGAGCAAATGAAAGCTTTTGAGCAGAGTTGAAACTACTGGACAAAGTATTGTCCCTCCCTGACTTGCACTGCAAGGAAAGATTCTATGATTAAGCCTATTTATGACATAATGTATGTGTCTGTTTATAAAATAGCTGTGTTATTATATATTTCAGCACAGCAGACACCTCCCCGCAAAAATCCACCTCTTCTGGCAGATCCAAGATTTACAGCTGCTCCAACACCATATGATGGTGAGTTTATTTATCACATAAACCACGGCACAGGAGTGTGATAAACCCATATAATGAAAACGATATTATTCTAGTTAATAACACTTAGATTTGATGTTATTTGTGTTACAAGCATTAAAAAGTGCTAATGTTAATGTTACAATATAGGCTTGTCAGTAGAAATGACTTAGATGTAAACCATTCTTAATTAAAATATGTCAAGTAAATTCAATGCTAATTTGAATGAACTCTTTCAATAAAACGATATTATGCTCACCAGAGGCTGACATGAATAATAATAATAATATGTTTTTATTCAACTTGTTAAGTAAATTAAGTATTAAATTATTCTACACTCATTCAATATCCTCTATGTAATTTATTTTTTTAAGGTTAATGAGCTCTGTGACAATAAATAGGTAATGCCATACTTCTAGCACAAAGCTTAACTAATAATGCATTACAGAAATGACTAGAAGCAAAAATGGTTTACTGAAACAGTTTAATTGGGAAGTTTTTTTCATATTGTATATTAAGTACTGAATATTGCTGTTGTAGAGTTTGAGGATTTTCCACAACAAGGTCAGAGTGCCCAGGCAAGACAAGGTTATGGAGGGCAGTATGTGGAGGGTGAACCTGGGTTTGACCAAGGCGGATACGCCCAGCAAGCAGGGCGTGGCATGGGCAGAGGCATGGCACCAGGACAAAGAATGGCACCACAGCAGTTTGGACAAGAGGTAGTGAGTTGGAAAAGGAACAGAAATAGATTACAAATTTAAATAATTTGAAAAAGATTAAAAAAATATGATAGAAAATTTCTTAAATTTTGAAGTGATAAAAATTATTTCTGAAAGTTTTCAAAGATTGTCTTATTCATTATAAATACATATTTATTCATGCTTGTATATCTTTAGGTTTTTAGTGTGACTGAAAAGTTGCTTAAGCATGTATTAATATAGAATTTATCACATGGGATAATCCTAATGTGTATTCATATAGTTGATACTAAGTAAAGCTAAGAGCTTTATAACATACTTTCGTTTTCCTAACTTGAATTTTTATTCAATAGGCGCAGGTAGGATTTGGACGTGGAAGAGGACCACCAATGAGGCAAGATCAAGGTGGCTATGGCATGCAGCAACAGGGAGGCTACTCTGATCAGCCTCAGATGATGCAAGGAACTGGGCCGCAGACTGGTTCAGTATTGATGATTTATGGACTGGATGGACAGATGAACTGCGACAGGGTCTTCAATATACTCTGTTTGTACGGCAATGTTTTAAGGGTAAGCTTGATGTGATTTTGTAGAGGTTTTTTTTCAGTGGAAGGTTTTATGTACGATTGTTATCTTTGTAGATACATATTACATTCCATTTGTTAACCATCATTGATTGAAATTGTACATCTTCTTACTTAGAATCATTTGCCTTTGAAAGCTTTGTTTTCATGTCAGGGGTCTGGACATTAAAGATTTTTCATAAAAGAAAGCTACTTGGCTATTATGCAGAAGAAATAATGTTCATCAATTTAAGTATTTGCTTATGCCTTGTACAATTATATTTAAGGCCGTCCATGTCAAAGTGGTTATGGTTGTTAACCTCAAACCAGTTGCCCCTCACAACTGTTTTTTGTAATCCCTGTCATTGTGTTAATGTGAGGAAGCTATTCATTTAGTTTACGGAATGTTGGTGCATGTTTCTGCCAGAAATAATGCATGGAAGGGAACATGCAGTCTTCCTATCAAATGACTCAATATGAGCTATAATGTATTAGTGTGATGTAAAACCCAACTGAAAAAAAAAACACTATTTGTCATCATTTTTTCATGCATAAAGAAGAACGATCCTGGTTATATTTTGCATATATTTAAGAGTTTTATAGTTCTCCTAGGAAAGAAATTACATAGCATCTCTTTGCTGTTTAGTCATTTTGTATGTGAACTATTGATAAGTGTGATAATAGAAGTCGTTGCTTAAAACTTTTTTGTATTCAGATAAAGTTCCTGAAGTCTAAGGAAGGGGCGGCTATGGTACAGATGGGTGATGGAATGGCAGTTGAGAGAGCAATGTATAACCTGAATGGTGTAGAGTTGTTCGGAAAGAAGTTGAATCTCACGTATGTCTGTGTTAAATCTTTCGAAACATATCAAATTCTTAATAATCACTAACCATTGAACCGGAGAACATGCAAATGCTAATTATTATGCCTCCACTTCAAAGAAGAGGGGGTATATTGCTTTGCATTTGTCTGTCTGTCAGTCCATCTGTCCGTAGACAAATTGGTTTCCGAGTGATAACTAAAGAATGCTTAGGCCTAGGAACTTCAAACTTGGTATGATGATTGGTCATGACCAGCAGATGACCCCTAATGATTTTGGGGTCAAGGGCTCAAAGGTCAAGGTCACATTGACATTGTACGTGAAAACAGTTTCCGATCAATAACTAAAGAATGCTTAGGCCTAGGGACTTCAAAATTGGTATAATGATTGGTCATGACCAGCAGATGACCCCTATTGATTTTGGGGTCAAGGGTCAAATTGACCTTGTAGGCAAAAACGGTTTCCAATCATTAACTAAAGAAAGCTTAGACCTAGGGACTTCAAACTTGGTATGATGAGTGGTCATGACCAGCAGATGACCCCTATTGATTTTGGGGTCAAGGGGTCAAAGGTCAAGGTCACATTGACCTTGTAGGTAAAACGGTTTCCGATCAATAACTAAAGAATGCTTAGGCCTAGGGACTTCAAACTTGGTATAATGATTGGTCATGACCAGCAGATGACCCCTTTTGATTTTGGGGTCAAGAGGTCAAAGGTCAAGGTCACGTTGACCTTGTAGGTAAAAACGGTTTCTGATTAAGAGCGAAAGAAGGCTTAGGCCTAGAATTTTCAAACTTGGTATGATGATTGTTCATGACCAGCAGATGAACCTTGTTGATTTTGGGGTCAAGGGGTCAAGGTCACATTGACTTGAAGTTAAAAACAGTTTCCTTTCAATACCTAATGGACACTTAGGCCTAGGAACTTCAAACTTTGTATGATGATTCTTCATGACCAGCAGATGAACCCTATTGATTTTGGGGTCAAAGGTCAAGGTCATATTGACCTTGTCATTAAAAACAGTTTCCGCACAATAACTTAGAAGGCTTAGGCCTAGGAACTTCAAACTTTATATGATGATTGGTCATGACCAGTAGATGACCCCTATTGATTTTGGGGTCAAGGGGTCAGTGTTATATTGACCTTGTAGTTAAAGACGGTTTCTGACCAATAACTCAACAACTCAAGTTGCTTTGGTTGATATTTTTATATTAAACTAAAAATGCTTACACATTTGAAGGTCTTATGTAATATAACAACTTGGTTGTCATTATTGAGGCCTACATGATTCTTAAAATTTATTCACTTATTATTTGGTAAGATTTGTAATAACTTATATTGCTGCACACAACCTATGGGGTCACAATAATTATTACCTTGTGTCTAGTCATGACCAGTAGATACTAGATAACCCTTATTCATTTTTTGTTCACTGGGTCAGAAGTCCTGCATAATAACCTGATCACATGACTGATTGGCTGCCGATAGGGGGCATACATGTTTTACAAACATATCTTGTTTGTTATTTTGATTGGCAAATGAATGTGAATACCGTTAAAGTGATTTTGATATTTGAAGTTTTTGGAATGGAAGTCACATATGAAAGTGTTTTGTTTGATTGGCAGTTGATTTTGCTTATCAGTATGACCTGATGCTTTAGAAGTACTCATTACTTTGTTTATTCATAGGAATTGCCTTTCTTGTTTGTTACTTACACATCATTTGAGTCAAAAGTATAAAAAAAAAAGGTTGAAGACATGTCGTCTTCAACTAGATAGTCAAGGAAAACATGTGAAACTAAATTTGATGGTGTCTTAAAATTGTTATCTAAGTCTTCTGTCTGTAGGGGTATAGGGAATTAAACTTACTGAAATTTGAATAATAGAGCTTACAGTAAACTTTTTCAGATGTTCAATTATTAATAATAGAGTGTGCTTTCATCTTTCTGTTTACTTCTTCAAAAGAGATATAAAAAGATGTGAGTTTTGTAATTGACATGTTCATTCAACACATTTGTTAATTTTCGCTACATCTTACAGGGTATCGAAGCAGCCATACTTACAGGAAGTTAACAACCCGCATGATTTAAGTGATGGCTCCTCCTCCTACAAAGATTGCCAGGGTAACCGGAACAACAGGTTCTCCACACCCGAACAAGCGAACAAAAATCATATCCTTTTACTTTTTGTTATAAAATGTGTTCATGCATATCAGATTGGTGTTTTTGTGGTTTTCCTAGTTTTATCCATGCTTGAAATTTCATATGCCAGATGGCTGGAGTGCTTTAATATTGCATCATTTTGGCGAATTTTAGAATGACACTGTATGTAGATGATGACTTCCAATGTTTTAATGAGCTTAATTGTTTATCCCATAGATACATGTACAAGGAAAATGTCATCAAATATGTAGACAGCTTTCTTAAAGCTTAAAATACATAAAAAACAATGAGCATGTTGTGTTTCCCTTAACCTCTATCAAGTATCACAGGCCCTTCAGAAACACTGCATTATTTCAATGCTCCGCCCAAGATTGGGGAAGATGATATGAGACAGGTATGTGTTCTTATTTCCACAGATTTCATAAGGCATATTGATTTTCGCTTGTTTGTCTATCATGCTGTCACTCTGTCAGTTCTGTAGACTGGCTTAAACAGTGCAATGTGAGGGTTATGGAACATTTCTAGTTGGTATTATTTGATTGCCGGCATTATTAACATGTTAGTGTATTATGAAATATTTGTGAATATTAAGAAATGGTTTGTTATTACAGGTGTTCACAGATGGTGGTGCAGAAGAGTTTAGCAAGATCATGCAGTTTCCTAGTAAATGTAAGATGTTCTTTCACTCTTTTATTTAACCCTTTACCTACTTGAGTTGCGATGATGATTAGCATTTACCACCAGTATTGAGCCGGGCCAGCCAGCACTACCCTGTACAGTCTGATCATTCTCTATATAATACCAATTATAGCTCATTTTTGCATTTCGGTATTGAAATTCCTTCAACTCTGATTAACTGCTCCAAATTCGGAGCAGGCCAAATCCATTACTGCACACAAATTCAAAAGGTTATGGGTTTATGGTCATTTAGGAATGTGATTCGACACTGGGTTTTCTGATTTCTCGGACAAGCTAAAGTAATTTTTTCGTTTGTCTGTGATTGATAAAATGTTAATGATCAGTTGTATGTACTGATACAATGTTTAATCATATTGAACTCTATAATTATTCACAGCTGAGAGAAGTTCTACAGGCTTGTTGGAATGGAATTCAAAATCAACGGCAATGGAAGCCTTGGCTCTGGCCAATCATTCCATGGTACCAAACCCTGCAGGTAAACTTTCATTTTATTTGGCTTGTTAGTTTGTTCTTTGACAGCAGCTATTGTTTTCATAAATGATTTTGAAAGACATTGATTTATTAGTAATCATGTCTGGCAAAAATTTTGGGAAACCAATTGGTTTTGCCTTCTGTTTGTCCACATTCAGTTGGTCTTGCTTTCACAGGTCAAACTGCTGGTGGGTTTTTAACCAAACTTTACAGGAGTGATCAGCACTATACCTAGTTGCAGGTTCTGCTTTGCTGCACAAAATGGTCACCAGAGCTAAAGTTAGACAAATCTTGTCAGGCTTTCACAGGTCAAACTGCTGTCACAATTTTAACTAAACTTCATACGAGTGATCATACCTAGTTGTGCATATCACGGCACGTTCTGCTTTGGGGCACAAAATGGCTGCCAGAGCTATAGATAGAAAAATCTTGTCAGGCTTTCATATTTCAAACTGCTTGCGGGATTTCAATGAAACATCACAGAAGTGATCAGTACCATCCAGTTGTGCATATCGCTGGCACGTTCCGCTTCTTTAACAACATGGCTGCCAGAGTTATAAATAGAAAAATTTTGTTCGGCTTTCACTGGTCAAACTGCTGGCGAGATTTCTTCAATATTTCATAGGAGCGATCAGTACCATACCTAGTTGTGCATATCACTGGCACATTTTGCTTTGCTGCACAATATGTCTGCCGAAGCTATAATTAGAAAAATTTGGTACGGCTTTCACAGGCCAAACTTCTGACGGGATTTCAACAAGACTTCACAGGAGTAATCAATACCATATCTAGTTTTGGAAACATGTTTTTGTGACAAAAACCCCTTCTAGTTCAACATGCTTTTGTGTTTTTTGCAGGTGGAAGACCATATTCACTGAAGCTGTGTTTCTCTCCAGGGAATATCCGAGACAGCCAGTAAACAGTATGATCTAAACCAGCAATCTTTACAGAATCAATCTTATGTTGTAGTTACAACCATTGATGTTGGTGTACATCATTGATAGACTTAATAGTTTGAATTTCTCTCATTTCACACACATTGTAATTGTATTGATATGCTACCATCAAAAGTTGTATACTCCTGAAAGTGTATTGATTTAATATACTGAAAATCATCTATGGAATTTACAGCTTCTTTGTAAAGATATAATTATTACTCTTTTAGAATTTTCTATATGAACAAAAAAAAATGTCTTATGTTGATATTTTATTTTGAAGAATTTGCAAAGGAATCAATTAGTCTGTTATAATTGAAGAACTTTATAATCAGATCTAGTTCTTGAAACAATGGAGTGGTATTCATTTTACAGAAACAAATGCATGATTGAATTTGGAAAGATTTTATCTTCTTTCTTTAAAAAAATGCTTATGATATATTTTTTAATTTTCTTGTTTTTCTTAAAGGTAAAGCATAAAGAAAAAAAATGTTAAGATTTCTTGTCATTGATTTTTATTCTTATAATCATGTTTGTTAAAACAGTAAATTTTTGTATTTTTAGCTCCAATTTTCAAACAAAAGTTGTTGTGACTCTCTTGAATGTGGTGTTTGTTAAATTTTTTTGGTTATTGTTAAGGTTTTAATTTAAGGTCATTAACTTTAAAGCGGCATTCAGCTTTTCTAGAAGTTAGATATGTTTTTTTAGATAAATCATTCAAAAAATAAATGTCAAATCAGAGGAATGTAGATGGAAAATGAAATTTAATGCCGATAAAATACATAAACACTGGTACCTATAATAGCAAAACATAAAATTAGTCATTAAATCAAAGTGCAGCTCACTATCCCATACTAAGATTAGTGTAGGGCGCTACTCCTTGGACAGCACTTGTTTAAATTGATACCTGAATTATTAAGGACTAAGTGCTTTGAACAAAACATTTGAAAATTACTTGAATCTGTGAAAATGACCTTTGAAACAATTAAGCATAATATTTTCATTTTGTATTTTTTTTTTACCGGAATTTTTTTCGAGAAAAAAGGCAATATGCCAAAAAAAAAGGAGAAGGAAAGCAGGGTTTATATGGCAAATATTTTGAATGTTTCAAAGACAATAAAATTGATTTGATTATGAAATGAAATAAAAATGAAAGTACCAATGTGAAAATTATAATTTGTAATCTTAAATGTGTAAGTCAGTTAAGATGAAAAGTAGTTTTCTGTTGTTTGTGTCACCCTTTACATGTAGAATATTGTCACAAATTATAAACTGAACCAAACTTTTCTAAATTGTTTTTTCTTTCTTTTTCATATTAGATTGTTAATAGTGTCTTTAAGAATCATGGATCATTATCATTGTTGTTGATTTTTATGTTGTTTGATAAAATTTGACGTCATCTTTGAACATTGTAGTACATTTTGTCAGCTCTAGTAAAATAAAATTTCTGTCTTAAGATTATAATTTTGTGTGGTTTTATTTTCGAATTTGGTTATTAGCTCCACTTTTCAAAGAAAAAAATTCTGTCCCTCTAATCAGCGTTGGCATTGGTTTACCTTTTAGTTTTGTTAAGGTCTATTTTCTCAGAAACTATAAAAGCAATTTACTTTTTAATTGTCATAAAAGGGCACCTTGGTTAACCTTTTTTGTTGAGGTCCATTTTCTGAGAAAGTATCGGTTATTAACTTTAAACTTAATATATATGATATATATTCTAGTTTAATGATTTTTGTCAGAGTTATGACCCTTTAATGATTTTTGATTCTTGACTACAACTCTTGATACTACTAGTGAGTTATGGCTCTTGCATACAAAAATGGTTTGGCCTGTTAACTATTTGTGTGTCTCCAGCTTGTAGATGAATAAATAATCCAGATATTTCATGTGCATTAGTACTCAATTTTAATAGCTTGATAAGATAGCTGCATGAATAGAAAAACAACAATTTATGAAGATAAAATATTTTAATTACATACTTCATAATAGAGAACATACATAAACAATGATATGCGCATGAGAATGATTCATTTAAAATTCATAACTGGCAAAATTTTTATCATCATGGGGAAAAAAATGTTCATCAGATCAATATGGCCTAGTCACAAGACAGTGATGTTTGCTGATAGGATTTAATTACACTACTTTAAACAACATCAAAGCTTTCGAATAAATAAAGGAATTTCAATTTTCTAATTTCATATGTAGCTAAACTATATTCCAATGACATAGCAAGGTTGCAATCAAATTTTAAAACATTGATGGCATAGATGAGGACATATGAAACAAAAAGTTTGTATGTGGTCGTTCACGTTTCTTCGATGCTCATGATGGAAACGTACTCCTTGTATTGTATGGATCCTTTATCTGGATCTACAGCCGCAGACAGCATTTCCTCTAATTCCTCCTGGTTAAAAGGTTCACCTGGAAATTACAAAATAATGCATGAATTCCTTCTTATTTTAAATTCGTAATAAAACCATCAATGTTAAACAGTTATTAGGTAGCCTCCCAGCATTGTAAGTTAGCATAATCATAATAGATTATAAGACACCTTTAAGGATGAACAGGTCCATAGGTAAAATGTATTTTCTACTAGTGATCAGCTAGATGTGCAAGTTCTCTTCTGTTTTTACAATCTAAAGTTCAAATAAATCAAACTGATTTTAATGGTTATATCTTAAAGTACATACATGGCAGTAGTTTTTAAGCAACAAACTTGAATGAAAAAACTCAACCAAAGTGCGACACAGAAGCCTAGATCTTTGAATTGTCAAGCTAAAAATATACTTTTTTCACAATAATTGAAAAATTGCACCTAAAAATTAGTTTATTATGTTTACCTTCTTCTGTCATTAATTTTGTAAGTTCTTCCTGAGTAAGAAATCCTTTGTTCTCATTATCTAACACTTGAAATGCTTTCAGTAACTGGTCCTCTGGTACAGGTTTATATCTAAACAAACAAACACAGCATGTGGTATTTATAGATTTCATGGCAACTTGTCAACTGATCTTTTTTTGAGCTTACTAATTTTTTTTTAATTTACTCTGTCACAGATGAAAAACTTATAAATTACCTGATCATTTAAGATGCTAAGGCATTTTTCTTTGTGAACAGACTAAATCAAACTACTGAGTAAATTTAGAACACTTAAAGGAACTTTATTTAGGTCCAACAGCCATATTTGAGGACAAAGCCTTGCAACATTTTTAAAATTTGGGTCATTTTTCGCTTGACTTTTTTTGAAAAAAACAAAAAAAAACAACAACAAATAGAGGTATTGTTACAGTCATATCGGTGTTGCTGTTGTTGTTGTCTGGAAACTTGTACCTTGATCATAACTTTTTAAGTTCTTGTTTACAATTAGAATAACTATTCTGGGAAAACCGAGGGAGTCGATGTTTGACAAAATTTAATAAACCTTTTTGAAGATGAAATATGTAAGATGTAATCAATTAAGTTGCAATACCATGGATGTATGTTTTAAAATATTGTTCATACTGACCTCCTTTCCATGAGTACTTTAGTCATCATTGGCAGAAATTTTTCAAATCTTATATACCCTGTTGGCTCCTCTTCTTCAATCTGAAGTTGCAAAAATTTAAAGAACATTTTGAAATGTTATGAGTTTATTTAAAAACAAGAGCACCGCTAAGCGGAGCATTATATGCCCAAAAGTGTTGTTTTTTTTTGTAAAGATGAAGCATTTGTAAGACATGGGAATGAGCTGTTCATCCTATAAAATTTTACAGCTGTAGGTTGATTAATACTTAAGTTATTAATAATGACCTTAACCTTTGACCTTGTGACCCCAAAATCAATAGGGGTCTTCTACCTTATATGGACAATCATCCTAAGAAGTTTGAATATTGTGGGCCAATTGGAACATTAATTATGCTCTAGAAACTGTTTTCAGTATTAAGGTAAAAGTGACTTCGACCTTTGACCTTGTGACCCCCAAAATTAATAGGGGTCTTCTACCAAATATTGACAATCATCCTATAAAGTTTGAATATAGTGGGCCAAATGGAACTTACGTTATGCTCCAGAAACTGTTTTGGGTTTTAAGGTAATTGTGACCTTGACCTTTGACCTAGTGACCCCAAAATCAATAGGGGTCTTTTGCCCAATATGGACAATCATCCTATGAAGTTTGAATATTGTGGGCCAAATGGAACTTAAGTTATGCTCCGGAAACTGTTTTCAGTTTTAAGGATATAGGGACCTTGACCTTTTGACCCCAAAATCAATAGGGGTCTTCTACCCAATACGGACAATCGTTTTATGAAGTTTGAACATTGTGGGCCAAATGGAACTTAAGTAATGCTCCGGAAACAGTTTTCAGTAACAAGGTAATAGTGACTTTGACCTTGTGACCCCAAAATCAATAGGGGTCTTCTACCCAATATGGACAATCATCCTATGAAGTTTGAACATTGTGGGTCAAATGAAACTTAAGTTATGCTCCGAAAACTGTTTTCAGTTTTAAGGTTATAGTGACCTTGACCTTTGACCTTTTGACCCCATATTCAATAGGGGTCTTCTACCTAATATGGACAATCATCCTATGAAGTTTGAACATTGTGGGCCAATTGGAACTTAAGTTATGCTCCGGAAACTGTTTTCAGTATCAAGGTAATAGTGACCTTGACCTTTGACCTTGTGACTTCAAAATCAATAGGGGTCTTCTACCCAATATGGACAATCATCCTATGAAGTTTGAACATTGTGGGTTGAATGGAACTTAAGTTATGCTCCGGAAACTGTTTTCAGTTTTTAGGTAATAGTGATCTTGACCTTTGACCTTTTGACCCCAAAATCAATAGGGGTCTTCTACCCAATATGGACAATCATCCTATGAAGTTTGAACATCGTGGGCCAAATGGAACTTAAGTTATGCTCCGGAAACCAAATTGCTAACGGACAGACGGATGCCAGGGGTTATAACATAATTTGCCCTTTCGGGCATATAAAAAGGCATCTTAATAAAATAAATAAGACATTTTGAAATGTTAAGTCTGACGTCACCTTAGTGCAATAACTGGTTAACTTTTATTAAATTTAGAAGGACTTGAACCATTACTCCAACAAGGTGACAAAGAGTTATTTTAAAAAATAACTGGCATTTTTAAACATAAAGAGTTAAGTAAATATAAGCTAATACCAACTAAATGCCATAAGGATAGTACAAAAATGTTACTTTTTAATTTATATTTTTAAAAGAAATGCATATAACAAATCAAGACTTAAGCTTTAAGAAAAACTTTTGAATTAAAATCAACCAGCAGTTAGTTATCTAGATATTCATGGATTCTGTACCAAAGCCACCCTGTCTTCCAACAAATATTATCTTTTAATTGTAACAGCACATTATTCCTCAGAAAGAAATGACTGTTTTAATTCTTTAGAAAGGTCACATGAATTTTATAATGTAAATAAATATTTTAGAGCATGTTTGATGTCTGTTACTTGATAAAAGTACTGCTTAATGTGAAATACTTGTCATAAATAGCAAAATGTTAACAAAGTAGTATTTTTACTTCCATATAAAAAACTAAATCACTATAACTGCATGCATTGCCAAAAAGCAACTGAAGAAATTGATAGTTCAGCTAATTCAAATTGCCCAATGAGTGCTTTTTTCTTTGAAACTATGAAAGTACACGAAAAATAAAAAACTTTTGAGATATAAAATTAGAAGCATTTCTGGGACAGAATGGGCCTTTAACAGTGGTGGATGACTAATGACATAAGACAACCATCACAGAAAAGCAGGCTGTAGGATTATACTACATTGAAAAATTCAAGATCACTTGTGAAAATTCTTCTTTGCAAAGCATGTATATGAACAATGTATTGTTGAACCTGTGCTTGAATCATATATAAAGAAGATATATATCTAGCTTGAGAATTTTTCTCTGAATTAAAATGAAACTGTTTAAATCTTACCATGTTTAACATATCATGTAACTCTGCTTCACTTGGACAACACCCAAGGGATCGAATAATTGTTCCAACTTCTCTGAAATATAGAAAAGCAATATATTAAGCAACAAAAATCAAAGTATCAAGAAATTTTACATATAAAATCCGGTGACGAAGTACAATATTCACTTAAATATGCAAATTATGCTCTTTTTTTCTGTCAAACTGTTGTGAAATAGATATATATATTTCAATTGACAATTTTAATGGTGATTGACCAATAATTGATGATAACAAATGTTAAGGATAAAATATAACAAGTTGAAACTGCCTTAAATACAAAAAGACTGCCCAACCTTTTTTCATCAACTCAGTGTTTACCTGGTAGCTATACATTATATGAAAGATATTTACTGAAAATTCTGTGTTTAATAATTATATCAATTAAAAATCGGACAGAAATATAATAAATGCAAAGTGTAAACTTATCTGACATATAATACCTGTCCTCTCAACATTTTCATTTTGATGAGTATAATGTGACTTTAAGAAAATAGTTGCAGAGGTAGCTTTGATGATATAATATCGGGGAAAAGAATGTTTAAGACTCCAGTACAAAATAATTAATTAATAAATGTACAATGTGCAGATTAAAGCAGGGAGATTTTAGGTAATTGGTATGAGAAGCCAGAAGGTAACTCTGGTAGGGGGGATGAGAGCAACAACAAGCCATTGCCAACAACCAACCATTGATGATCTCTGGTAAATTCATTATATGTGATATTTAACAACGTCTTACCTTACATCAACTGTTTTATTAGATTCATGATCAAACATATCAAATGCTTCTGTAATTCTTTTTTGAATATCTGCTATAAGAGAATCTGAAATAAAAATACAATGCATTAACACAGTTTAAATATTTCAATATAGCTAAATAATCTTTCTAAATTATATTCGTATTATTACTAATTAGGTACCTACTATACAGGTTAGTGATTGTTAGTCGCGGCAAAAATTAATCTGTCTGTCACTGTGCAGCAGCACAATTGACAGATTTAATGGAATAAGTCACTAACCTATAGGTCTACTGTACTAAAATAATATGAACTGTAGTCGGAAATAAAAAAAAATTCATTTCCGTCTTGTCCCATCCTTTGACTTTCCACTACAATTTCAACCACTAACATATAAATCAATTTAACTTTTTAACAACAGGTACAATGAAATTCAATGTGAATGGAATGTGTCATATGACATTTAAAGTTTAGCCTTAATTCATAATACACTGGTCGATCAGCTGTTCACATGTCAAAGTTTAATGTTATATTCATATCGTGTATCATTGATAGGGATCACTTTTAGAATCTGTATGCAGCAAATCCATGCTTTAAAATCCTAACCCATAACCCCTTTAACCCATAACGCTAGAAGTAGATTTCTCTACCAAGATAATCTAAGTGATTTGTAGAGAAACATGAAAGTCATGAAATAAAGAAATCACAATGTAAAAAATAGTTGCGGACAGATTCTAAAGTCTAGCTACATTGTCGAATCAATTAAAACGATGACTGAAATACAAAAAAAAAGAATGAACTTTCAAGAATAGCTGGCTAAATAAGTGAAAATACCAGTATTATCTTTTTGCTCGTCTGCACCCGCCATGTTGTTTATGATTCGTTGCTAGTGCGTTTAATGATCCTGAGTAAAACACCTGTTTCAAGCGTTCGCGTGATCTTCAATATCTCAGGACACTATGCTATTTTTCTCTCAACACATCCCAGAAGACGCTAGCAAAATGTTTATTTTTTTTGTGTCGCCTCTACGGAGTATTGGCGACATAAAGGGATCATATCTTCGTCGTCTGTCCGTCCGTCCGTCCGTCAAAAAACTTGTCCGGACTACTCATAAACTACTGGTGTAATTTGAATGTCAGACGTTTCACTCCCAAGACGTTTCACTATTGAGACGTTTCACTCCCAAGACAGTTCACACCTAGACGTTTCACTCCCATTTTGTCAATTGTATGGACGTTTCACTCCCAATTTTTAGAGATGTTTACTAGGAAAGTTAACAAAATTTTAATTTCATTAATATCGAGCAGTGTAAAAAGGAAATTCAATTTAATGTTTCATTTTGTTGATTTCAATGGTATTGTTAATACGAAGAAGATTACTCATTTAATTATGGGTTGAGTGATAAGATGTGTAAATGAAAGACAAATTTCTGAAATATCACTTTTATTATAAGTGTAACAACGTGAGAAAATTCTGTTTATAGTAAATTAAAAAAATAGAATAACATAGAAAGAACAACAAACACATATTATAAGTATCAGTTTAAATACCAGTAAAGTAATTAATATATTGTTCAAATAATAAAAAATATCAAAATATATTAATATATTGACTATACTTTTAAATTAAAGAATTGCCTATTGAGTCCATGTTTACAAAAGATCTGAAATGATAGAACTTAAAGTACTAAGTTTTAAGTCATTGACAAAAAAGTGAAATTCACCTTTTTAATTTATTTTTATTAAATTTAACATCTATTTTTTTAGTTCAATTCAAATCAATATTTTAGGTCTATTTTAGTATATCATAAGTATCAAATTAATTTTGGTATAAAAAGGGAGTGAAACGTCTTCAAGACGTTTCACTCCCATTTGGGAGTGAAACGTCTTGGTGTGAACCGTCTTGGTGTGAACCGTCTCAATAGTGAAACGTCTGTCTACCGTGTAATTTAATCCGAACTACAGTATGATCAGTACCTAGTCAAAATATATTGACGCGCCAAAGCTTGATCCTGAGATATTTTCGTTCTTGGGCAGAATCGAGGCGAGATATTGCCCAGACACGAAAATAGCACAATATCTCGTCGCGCAGTACAATTAGTTGGACTAGATCAGTACCAAGTCTAAGTGTGCATATCGTCAGCATCATCCGGTTCAATGATTTTTGTCCGAGTTATGTGGATAAAACACAAGTTTTTCGCTTGAATGATTTTTGGCTGAGTTATTGCCCTTGAATAAAAAGGCGATTTTTTTTTTGTTTTGCTGATCAATAGCTCAAATTCTTGTGCTAATTACACAGATTTTGAGGTTGAATAATTTTTTGCCAAGTTATGGCTATCATGAGGCGACACATGTCGTCACTAATGGCCCTTGTTTTAAAACTACATCAAAATTCAGAATAACATTTACAGTAGAAAGAGAATAAAAGCATACAGTCATGCAGTAGAAACCAAATTGTTGAAAGATAGTTTATATCCCCGAAATTTTTCACGAAATTAGAGGTGAAATCACAGGAACTTGAAATTCTATCAATATTAATGATAATATCCAAAATATACCCCCTATACAGTATAAATAAACAGATAAGTAAAATAAATATAAAATAAAAAGTGTTTATTTATACTGTATAGGGGGTATATTTTGGATATTATCATTAATATTGTTCCTGTGGTGAAATAATATATTTTAATGTTTAAATATAAATATAGGCTGAATTAGAGCATAAGTTCCAAGGCTTCATTTGCATTAAATACAAATTTAAATAATAAATATTTTCAATAAAACAGTGAGAAAACCACGGATTTTATTACAGCCGTGAAAAAACATAGTAGTAGGCTGTGAATTATATCGGTCTACTATGTATAAACTATAAAAGAAATAGTTTCACGAGTTATTTCTAACTTTATTTCCGGTTTACTTCCGTCTTCCGGTTTGAAACTGAAAGTAGAAATGGTGAGTCTGGCATTTATTTTACTTATTTTCGATTGTTCATTGATGCAGATACGACTTCCTTTTCAGTTATTATTTGCATAATTTATTCTTTAATGACTATAAGGAATGAAGATATGCATTGTGAATGAGATGAATTTGTAAATTATGTGATAAACTCTTGTAGCAGTCAAAACCTTTTCAATACATGCAATAAGACGCCCCTATAATCATTATTTAGTGACAAACATATAACATCTCTTTATTTTGCTGAATTAAATTTCAAGTTTATGTACCTTTCACATTGTCAAGTTGGTTTTACTTTTTTGTCATAACCGATTGATAAGTTTATATAATTGGTTATATTGTTCAAAGCAAAGGTTATAAGACTTAATAAACCAGCTTGACAACAAGAAAGGTACATAAACTTTCTATTCAATTAGGCTAAATAAAGAGATGTTAGGTAATGAAGTCCAAATAATTAGACTTGTCAAAGAGACATTGAGATAATTTTGGATGGCCGATTATGTCTTTTTGCAACAGTTTTACAGTACTAGGAAAGAACAGTCTGTAAAATGGGTAAAACTGTTCACGCCAAATTAGTTAAAGACTACTGTCTAACTCTTTGGACCTTAGATTAATTGTAATCATGTATCATCAATTCCGAACAAAAGGCACTCTTGCCTAGACCTATTGAAATTTTAAGGAACCATATTTCATAGTACATGTATATGTTAATACTCAATGTTAACAACTTATTTTTGAAGAATTTCGTTTAAATGATAATGATATCCTGTTATTTGAAATTTCAGGCTCAAAATGTAAAAGTGTGTGATATAAGTGAGGAAGTCAAAGAAAAATTGAAGAAATTTCGCTTCAGGAAAGACAAAAATGTTGCAGCATTATTGAGTAATATATTTTTCATTTGATTAAGATATACAGCAAGTACAATGTATAATGAATGGTAAATTCAGTTCAAGGTAAATTATCATCAACATGAAACAGTATCATTGTTGTCAATGCATTTATTGATTATCATAAGCCATAGCTTTTGTTTGCACTGTCAGATATTGAGCTTTGTTCAGTGTCATTCTCATAAATTATTTAAAAACAGGCATGCATGCGAATAAATATATGTAATAAAAATGATATGTTTTTCAGCTGAAAAATTAATTTTAGTTGTACCAGTGTACGCTACAATAGGATAAGTGGGTATAATGAATTATAATCTTTGTTATAATCTTGGTCTTGTCTGTCTCTAGAGAGAAAGAGATCGTCTAGATGGCGGCGCCCATGAGCTTATTCTCAAGTAATAAATATTGTCTTAAAATACGAATTTCTGTGTTATATGGTTGATTTCAACAGAAAAACTGCCATGGAAGATCTTTTTAAAGGAAAAATATTGATATAAGACAATATATCAATGTATCCATTCCTATTCCTTTTAAAGTAATGCATACTCTCTAACTTTTTTTATGCCCCCACAAAGTGGGAGCATATAGCGTTGCACTTGTCCGTTCCGTCCGTACGTCCGTCCGTACGTCCCGAAATCTTGTGAACGCAACTCCTCTTAAACCGGATGGCAGATTTTGCTTAAACTTTCAGGGATGAACAACCTTAATGTGTAGATGGTAGTAAAGGAAGGAATTTTCGCTGCGACCAAATTCAACAGAATTATGGCCCTTTGTTGATTTTTTCAATATATACTATGTAGAAATTTTGTGAACGCAACTCCTCTTAAACCGGATGGCAGATTTTGCTTAAACCTTTGGGGATGAACAGCCTTAATGTGTAGATGGTAGTAAAGGAAGGAATTTTTGCTGCGACTAAATTTAACAGAATTATGGCCCTTTGTTGATTTTTAGCTCGACTATTCGATAAGAATAAGTAGAGCTATTGCAGTCACCCGAGCGTCGGCGTCGGCGTAACCACTTATGTTAAAGTTTTTGTAATAGTTCAAATATTTTCAAAGTCCATTGACATTTGGCTTTGAAACTTTGCACACTTGTTCACCATCATGACCCCAACCTGTAGACAGGAGGAGGTAACTCTATCAAGCATTTTGACAGAATTATGCCCCTTTTTCGACTTAGAATTTACGTTAAAGTTTTTGTAATAGTTCAAATATTTTCAAAGTCCATTGACATATGGCTTTGAAACTTTGCACACTTGTTCACCATCATGACCCCAACCTGTAGACAGGAGGAGGTAACTCTATCAAGCATTTTGACAGAATTATGCCCCTTTTTCGACTTAGAATTTACGTTAAAGTTTTTGTAATAGTTCAAATATTTTCAAAATCAATTGACATATGGCTTTGAAACTTTGCACACTTGTTCACCATCATGACCCCAACCTGTAGACAGGAGGAGGTAACTCTATCAAGCATTTTGACAGAATTATGCCCCTTTTTCGACTTAGAATTTACGTTAAAGTTTTTGTAATAGTTCAAATATTTTCAAAGTCCATTGACATATGGCTTTGAAACTTTGCACACTTGTTCAACATCATGACCCCAATCTGTAAACAGTAGGAGGTAACTCTATCAAGCATTTTGACAGAATTATGCCCCTTTTTCGACTTAGAATTTACGTTAAAGTTTTTGTAATAGTTCAAATATTTTCAAAGTCCATTGACATATGGCTTTGAAACTTTGCACACTTGTTCACCATCATGACCCCAACCTGTAAACAGGAGGAGGTAACTGTATCAAGCATTTTTTTTACTATCAAGCACTAAGAATAGTCGAGCGTTGCTGTCCTACCGACAGCTCTTGTTTCACTATAATATACTATGTAAAAATTTTGTGAACGCAACTCCTTTTAAACCGGATGGCAGATTTTGCTTAAACTTCCAGGGATGAACAACCTTAATGTGTAGATGGCAGTAAAGGAAGAAATTTTTGCTGCGACCAAATTTACCAGAATTATGGCCCTTTTTATCTCACCTGTCACAAAGTGACAGGGTGAGCTTTTGTGATCGCTTTTCGTCCAGCGTCCGTGTCCGTCCGTCGTCCGTCCGTAAACTTTTACTTTAAATGACATATCTCCTCATAAACCACTAAGCCAATTTCATCCAAACTTCACAGGAATGTTCCTTTGGTGGTCACCTTTAAAAATTGTTCAAAGAATTTAATTCCATGCAGAACCCTGGTTGCCATGGCAACCGAAAGAAAAAACTTTAAATATCTTCTTTTAAAAAACCATAAGAGCTAGAGCTTAGATATTTGGCATGAAACATCTTCTAGTGAGTGTCTACCAAGTTTGATCAATTAAAAGCCCTGGGGTCAAAATTGGCCCCGCCCCGGGGGGTCATAGATTTTCCCTATATGCATATAGTAAAAACTTAAAAAATCTTCTTTTAAAGAACCCAAAGAGCTAGAGCTAAGATATTTAGCATGAAATATGTTCTAATGGGTGTCTACCAAGTTTGTTCAAATAAAAGCCCTGGGGTCAATATTGGCCCCGCCCCGGGGGGTCATTGATTTTCCCTATATGCATATAGTAAAAACTTAAAAAATCTTCTTTTAAAGAACTCAAAGAGCTATGGCTAAGATATTGAGCATCAAACATGTTCTAATAGGTGTCTACAAAGTTTGTTCAAATAAAAGCCCTGGGGTCAAAATTGGCCCCGCCCCAGGGGGTCATTGATTTTCCCTATATGCATATAGTAAAAACTTAAAAAATCTTCTTTTAAAGAACCAAAAGAGTTAGAGCTAAGATATTTAGCATGAAACATGTTTTAATAAGTGTCTACCAAGTTTGTTCAAATAAAAGTCCTGGGGTCAAAATTGGCCCGGCCCCGGGGGGTCATTGATTTTCCCTATATGCATATATTAAAAACTTAAAAAATCTTTTTTTAAAGAACTCAAATGGCTATGGCTAAGATATTTAGCATCAAACATGTTCTAATAGGTGTCTACCAAGTTTGTTCAAATAAAAGCCCTGGGGTCAAAATTGGCACCGCCCCGGGGGTCATTGATTTTCCTTATATGTGTATAGCAAAAACTTAAAAAATCTTCTTTGAAAAAACCCAAATAGCTAGAGTTAAGATATTAAGCATGAAACATCTTTTAGTGAGTGTCTACAAAGTTTGTTCAAATAAAAGACCTGGGGTCAAAATTGGCCCGGCCCCGGGGGTCATTGATTTTCTTTATATGTGTATAGCAAAAATTTAAAATCTTCTTTGAAAAAACCCAAATAGCTAGAGTTTAGATATTAAGCATGAAACATCTTCTAATAAGTGTCTACAAAGTTTGTTCAAATAAAAGCCCTGGCCCAGCCCCCGGGGTGTCATTGTTTTTAACTATATGTGTATAGTAAAAACTTTAAAAAAATCTTCTTTTAAAAAGCCCAATGAGCTAGAGCTTAGATGTTTAGCATGAAACATCTTCTTATGGGTGTCTACCAAGTTTGTGCAAATAAAAGCCCTTGGATTAAATTGGCCCTGCAACGTTTGGGGGGGTGGGGGTGGGGATGCCTATATACAGGTGAGCGACCTCAGGGCCATCATGGCCCTCTTGTTTGATTTTTTCACTATATACCATATAGAAATTTTGTGAACGCAACCTTTAAACCAGATGGCAGATTTTAATAAAAAGTTCCACATAAAAATCTTACATACAGATATGCATGCTCTTGTTTACGAGCACATCTGCACAGTGGGGGCATCCGTGTCCTTTGGACACAGTTCTAGTTTACATTGTTATTACATTATGACTGTGATTTTATTTTCTTGTTAACAGTGAAAGTTGATACAGCTTCACAGACTATTGTAATGGATGGGGAAGAACATACAGTAAGTCCTTGCCATTAGTCTTTTGCCCTACTTAAATTTGACCAATGAGAACATTTACAATAAACATTTTTTGAGTACACACAGAAAAAAAAAAAAGAGCTGCGTCATGACAAAACCAACAGAATGGATTTGCGACCAGCATGGATCCAGACCAGCCTGCGCATCCGTGCAGTCTGGTCAGGAACCATGCTGTTCGCTCTCAGTTTCTCTACTTGTAATAGGGTTTGTAAGTGAACAGCATGGATCCTGATCAGACTGCGGGGATGCGCAGGCTGGTCTGGATCCATGCTGGTCGCATATGCACTATGTTGGTTTTGTCGTGACGCGGCTCAAATGTTACCTTTTAAACTCTACCCACTATAGGTTAAGTTTGAAAAACAGTAGAATGAAGTATTTAAGAATCTACTTCTCAGAAACTACAATGACCAGAGCTTAGATATTTTGCATGTCACATCATCTTGTGGTCCTCTACAGAAGTTATTAGATCATGCCACTGGGGTCAAAATGACCTGCCCCAGGGGTCACTTAGTTTACATTAAAGGCTTATATATTAGGGAAATACATTTGTTTTCTTTTATGAAACTGCTATACCAAGATCCTTGATATTTGGCATGTAGCATAACCAAGTTGTATAAATTATTCCTCTAGGGTCAGAATTTGCCCAGCCATGGGGTCATTTTGTACATTGTATAGGAAATACATTTGTCTTCTTTTGTGAAACTACTTAGTTATTTGTCATTATGAATTTTGTTGCAGACATCTACAAACATGATTAGTATCCTTGAGATTTGTTCTGGAGATGTTTCCTATATTCTAATGTATACTTAATACTGAGCATGTAGGTCCACCTATGCCTCTACTTTCTTTTTCATTTGACTATGATATAAGAAAGAAATGAGCCACGCCATGACCAAACCAACATAATGGGTTTGCAACCAGCATGGATCCAGACCAGCCTGCGCATCCGGGCAGTCTGATCAGGATCCATGCTGTTTGCTATCAGTTTCTCTACTTGTTACAGAGTTTGTAAGTGAACAGCATGGATCCTGATCAGACTGCGCGGATGCGCAGGCTGGTCTGGATCCATGCTTGTCGCAAACACATTATGTTGGTTTTGTCATGGTGCGGCTCATATATTTTCTTGAGATATCATTACATTTTAACACTTTAAAAGTATGAACCTCCATGTTAGTTTAGTGTACCTTATATTGTATAAACTTCTTCTTGGGTGACAAATTATTAATATATAGATTGCAATTTTTCAATGTTTTCTGTTGATATTTAATTAATAGTTATGTGTGTGACTTATAAAGTACTGTACTTGCGTGTATTACACATATTTATTACATGCTTTGCAGTTAACAGTGAAATTATATTTGATAAATTTCACTGTAGCGGGATTATATTTAAATGCAGATGAAAATAATATTTTATAACTAATTGGAATAATCGACAGAAATAAATTCCGTCATATATAAATTTTGCTTGTTTAGGAGAAGCAAGTAATTAACTGCATACATTGTGTTAAAAATGTAACAAAGTCGGGAAATTTCAACATTGGTATAGTGACGTCATGATGTGATGACGTCATGAAGAAGAACACATGATGTTACAAGGCAAGAGAAGGAAAATTGACTTAAAATCACTAAAAAAGCATGAAATAAATCGCAAATTTATTTATTTAGCATGTAAGATTAAAATATATTTCACCTGTGAACACCTGAGCTATTATGTTTTCAGTCATGGCTATGCCACGCATGAAAATATTGCATCCGGTGTCCACTCATTGAAATATATTTCGATCTTGCATGCAAAACAAACAAATATCTTCTATTATTAAAATATACTAGTCCATCTTGTTGATAAATGAATGGTGAACGTCTGTGTGATGCCAGTCTGACCAAAACTATATTAGTCAAAAGTCAGCATCATATTGCTTATATGTGTAATTTACTTGTTACTGTTCTTTTTGTTTTCTATTTACTAGTATGTATTTAATACATACTACATCACTATTTTTTATAATTACTCATATATACATATATCAACTACAGGACATCAGTATTGAAGAGTTGCAAGAAGAGTTACCTGAACATCAACCAAGATTTCTTGTTATAAGTTATGTCCGAGACCACGGGGATGGAAGAATATCATACCCATTGATTTTCATTTATATTTGTCCAAGTGGTAAGTTGTCAGTTTTACCTTTTAGCTGTTGTTTCCCATTGACCAGGCTCAATACTTTTGTAGGCTAAAAATTGTATTTTGATGTTGAAATACCTGAATTTTCAAATGGATTGTTCCAAATTTAAATCAGGGCAAACCAATTACAAAATGTCAGAAAGTGAAGGGTTTAAGAACATTTTTGAAGCATTATGCCAAATTTTTCCATAAAAGAGTACACTATTACACTGTTTACTGATTTAAAGTTTTTGGACCTTTTGATTTAAAATTTTTGAAAAAGAAGCTTTATAGCTGTTTTAAAAAGCATATGTAATTAAGTTTGATAAGTTCAATATAATATGGCATTGTTTTCAAAAATCAACTCTGTTTTAATTTTTATATGGCACATCATGCATGTATTGTATTTAATACATGTAATTACTCTATAAACCCACATTTGGGTTACCTGATTTTCACTTGTAAACATATATTGTGCATGTAGTATTGCAGCAGTACTAAACTGTTTTTCTATTAGAAATTATGAACTTCTATTCATATACAGTCATCAAATTTAGCACTGGCCTGGTAGCCCATGACCAGTGAAAATTACTTTGGGCCAGTGTAAATTTTAAGAAAATTTAGTTAAATATATAGCAGAATAAATTCAAAACTGGAATTCGGGCCAATAAATTCAAAATCTTCAATTCAATGACTGCATATAGAACAATTTTAAAACATGGTGGATGGCAATTGCAATATCTCTATTACCAAATTGTCACTTAAAAGATAAACATTAAATTGCCAGTTACCCAGTCTCACTAAACCCAAAATGCTCTCCATGCTTAAATGTTTGGACAGAGTATGTGACTTGAAGAATGAGGCACAGAGTCACTTTAAACATGGTTGACAACATATTTTGTTATATTAAAGGAATCAAAACAGAGTTATGTATGATGTATGCTGGATCAAGAAACCTTCTACAGAAAGAACTCGGCCTAACAAAGGTAATTATTTGTTATCATGTGGCAACATTTGACAAATTTTTATGTTTCATTCAAGTAGAGAGTTAAAAAGATATCTTAAAAGTTGTACTTTTAATATCCCTGGAAGATTGTCAGGTTAAAGAGCAGTTTCCATATGCTTAAGGTTTAAAGATTTCATGCTTCAGATACCAATACTGTGAAATACATGTTTATGATTTTTTGCTCAATACTTGATGACCTTTCTGGCAACATTTTCTATTTCTTTTAAGTTTTAACATTAACCCTGATTGTAACAGAATTTACCCATGCAGTCCCTGCACAGCAAGATCAGCAAGTATGTATCTCAGGAACGTAAGCCTATTTGCAGCATTATAAGACTTAATGAAAGAATCCTCTGCAAGCCTTTTTGCTAATTTTCTAAGCACCTAGTTATTTACATGGGACAATTACGGTACCCCCAGGTATATTATGTTTTTATGATTGAAGTGTTTCTATTTCAGGTGTTTGAGATTAGAGATTTAGAAGATTTCACAGAAGAATGGCTAAATGACAAGCTCAGTTTCTTCAAATAGTGCAATATTATGTGCTTTTATTTCCTCCTTTTACAGAGAATACATTGTCATAATTTATTAACCTATGTTGCATTAGAATAAGTGTAACATAGCTTCCATTATTTGATAAGAAAGTGTCCCTCTTTTTCTAATATTTTTATACCGGTAGTTTAAAGCATTCCTATTTTCTTTAAATTGATATCCACAAATTTAACTTACCAGTTTTTTTATATAAGACATGATGTATAATTAGTTACCAAAGATTTTGACAGGTTATATGGCTGGCTCAGTATAACAAATCTATGATTTATACCTGGCCATAAAACTTGTGAAAAGTATAATAAAATTAATAATACTGCCTAATTCTTTTCCTTGATTGAGGTAGAGTTTCAAGCATAAATTCACAGTTGCCGTAGGTGATATCAATATCAAAACTGTCCAATGAAAATGATGGTTATAAACTTGCAGTTTTAAAAGACAATATATGATATAAGCATATAGTGAATAGTCTGTGGTTGAGTAGTTAGGGTCGTTGACCTTAAACTTCTTGCCCTTTACTGCAGTGGTCTCAAATCTCGACAGGGACATTGGATTCTTTCATGTAAGGAAGCTAGCCAGCTTGCTTATGGAACGTTGGTGGTTCTACTCATGTGCCCGTTTGTGCCTGAAATAATGCACGGAAAGGCACCTGAGGTGGTCTTCCTCCACCAGTAAAGCTTGAAAGTCACCATATGACTTACACCTTGTCAGTGCGACATAAATCCCAACAAAACAAAAAAAATCAGCTCTTAACTCTTTCTGTATATCTGAAAATTCAGACCAGACACTAATACTGAAGGAAGCTGCATTTGACCACCTTACCTGCTGAATTTTTGTACTGAATTTTTTCAACTTTGAATTTGGAACAGACCATTTGAAAATTCGGGGATTTTAATTTCAAAATACAAAATCTGAGACAGCAGCGTTAAGAACGTGATCAAACTGAAGAAATGTGTAAGTTGTCCTGGCTTTATGCTGGTGGCAAAGGCATTAACTTTTGATTCCAGCAGGTTAAAGTACGGAAATCCTAGACCAGGCTATGGACTGTTAGCAACTCATTACTTTTTGTAAGCATTTTGATAATGAAATAACTAAACATTCACTTGGATAGTCCCAGATGCAATATAGGGCAACTTTATGATACAATCTTGTTAGAAGGTTAATTATATGTTGTTCCTTTATCATGTTTTTATTGTTTGAGATAAAAAACACATAGTGCCTTTTTTAAAAGTGTATGTCCTTGGTCTAAAGGTATGTTTTTAGTTACATTTCAGTGCCTCGGTGGATAATTGTTATCTTTGCTTATAACAATTAGCAGATACAATATTTTTGCATTCAGTTATCAATGTTTTAATGTTCAGCTGATTTTTGTCATTAAAGAGTATTGTATATCCTTTATTATTTTTTAGATCTACTGTTTTATATAAATTTAAACTTTATATTTATTATTTTGTTTGAAAATTTCAGTTTTTGACATATATAAATGTATTTTCCCTCTTTGATGAATGAATTTCTGTTATAAGGTAACATATAGCATTTGTGAAAAGCACTCATTGATTAAACTATGTTATATGATATCATATTTTGCATTTAGTCAAGGAGAATAATTCTTTAAAGGGACTCCACTGAAATGTTTTGACAGATCAAGATTGATTTTTCCTCCAAGATTTTTTATACCATTTGATGTAGGTATATATCAATTACATGCGTGTAAAATTCAAGATCATTTGTATACTCCCATTTTTCAAGAGTAATCAATTTTATTATGTCAAATGACCTACAAATTAAAAGCACTTATCGATTTTTAATATAATTCTTAGGATATTTCTCAACTATTTTTTTCATATTTTCCTGTTCAATTGCTCCAGATGATCTTTTTAAGATCTTCAAATTTTAAGTTTTTAGTCTCTTGAATAAATAATGTTGGTATCGGTCTAAAATTGCATTCTCCTATTGGTTCCTTTTTAAATCACGATTTAAAACTGACCAATCGCAGACTTGTAATATAAGACTGGTCACCAAATGTTACTTTTTTCCCCTCAAAAATCAAACAATATCCCTGCATTCCATTTTACACAGAATACTTGTATTTGTCATAGATCAAACACAAAATTATTTCATTTTTTGTTCATGATTGGTATGCATTTACATGATTCCACATTGTATCATTTCGATAATTTTTCAGATTTCCAGGTACTTTGTTCAAGCTTTATTGTTACTATTACCTCTAAAATGTCGGGACCATGTGACATATATTTGCTTCGTAAAAAAACAGTTTAGAAAAAACTTTTGCTATTATTTTAAGCCATGTTTTATTGTTCAAATTGATTAATAAATGTCTTTTAAGTAACAAATTTTGTACTACTTTTCACACAACTTCTCCAACTAAACTTCTAAGACTTAAGTCCTAATCTTGTAAGACTTTGGCTATCTTGTCAAAATGATCTGCACCTAACTGATACTTAACATTACAGAGTACACACGGGGAAGCCGGGTTATAAGGTGTTCAGAAATAAGGATTTTTTTATGTTCTCCCTCTCAGCTGATTTACAAACCATAGATGAATTTTTTCTTCTTTGTTCAAACGTACATGTATTTAATCTAGAACCGATTTACTGTTTGCGTATTTTTTCTAAAATCAGTGGAATATATTTTTAATTATTTTATTGTTGTAAACAAACTTGCTTTGATGAATTATGGACAAAAGAACTTATCGCATTCTGTTTATATTTATTTTCAAACAAGGTAAAAGGTCTTTTAAACTAAACTTGTTACCTCCCTTTAATCAATCCAAAATTATATGTTGGAAGACAAATGAAGTCTTCACGTGCGTTCTTGTTGTCTCCTCTTATTTACTTTTTGGGATCACCCTTTCTCCAGATCTTTATTCATCACAACAGGTATCAAATGCCGTGTGGCTGATGTATATAAAGTTGCTCCACTCTTCACTTTAGTGTTGTTATATTTTCCTGGTCCTTCGGGATCATTGATTCAAGCACTTTTAAGTGTTGAAAATTGAGTACCGCTCAAGCCGATGCTAGAGGACGTGTAGGATGTTGCACTTTTTGTACAGACTCAATCAAACCGAGTCTGCAATTTTCAGATAATTTCGTTGTGAGTAATGCTTAAAGGGAATCCCCCTTTCTCCAATTCTGTAACGCTAAGCTTGCTGGCGGAAACAGAATTTAGCCATGCGGCCATTCAGACCAAGAAGATATTATGATTTGTATAATTGTGTACAGATTGAAATATGGACAATTCCACTTTAGAAATGAAGTAGAATCATGAGAATGTTAACGGTTATTTGCAATTAGAGTCGTAATTGCCTTCACAAATATTCTTACACCATTTCAGGAAAGTCAGACTATAAAATAGCAAAATAAACGCATTTGAGCAAACCAATATATTATCAATATTATTTTGAGCTGTAAAATACAAACTTGAAATTGTTTCTGAAAAGAAAGAGCTTCACTAAATATACAATATATATATTCAACAATATTTTAAAAACATGTATATGAACAGGGTATTTCAAATTTGAAAGACCCTGATTGAAATATGTTTAGAATTATTTGTAAGACACTGTAACGTATTTTTAAAGTGACTATTTGCCTATCCAAGGGCATATAGTGAAAGTAAAAATAAGATTACATTTTGGCATAATTCCTTAAAACTTTGAAATTTACATGAACGGATAAATAACTCACGTGGCCGAAGGAAGAAATTGTAAATATCCATCGGAATTTATTTCATAAAAAGATTGGGGCAGTCTTTATATTTTAAGCAGATTTATGTTTTATCTTAAACATATTCTAATATCAACTGTTGGTCAAACCACTCTTATAACCGTCAATCTTTTGAAATATAGAGCCAATTCAACTCAACTTGACAATGAAAAAATATGAGAATAATATCACTTTGAGGCATATACAGTTCTGTTGGCGTCAGTTTCTTAATGGAATGGCTGGCCCACATAAAACTATTGAGAACTCATAGATTGTGTTCTACAAAAGTAAGTGTTTATGCTCCCTATGAATTTTCTATGCACAAGTGTAACAGTAGCCTGGGGCAGGGCGGTGTAATAACTGAGGCAAAAAGCCAAGATTTAACCCACATTCTGTCACGCACTGCCATGATAGAAAGCTGTATAATATGTTCAACTTGTAGTCTGATTCTCCCCAATTGGGCAGAGACTTTACAGTGGGTATTACACTGTTCGCTTCTCCTTTGTAGTAGCTTGCGTGGTGTTATATACAAATGACCGATGCTTTAAACCACAACGCAATATGTTAAAATATTGTATTGATTTCCTTCAACTATTCCTTGAATTTTGATACTATCAAAGAAGTGTTTAATTTCAGAAACTTTGTAGTATTTAACAGCATTCTTGGTGTTGCCCTATTAACAAACTTTTGTCTCCACGATTCTAACAGTTTATAAACTGTCTCCCGTAGCGCACGCTCATTATCTGTTCGTTTGATTTCAATGTCTCGAAATTTAAGTCCCAGTTCTAACATCACAAAAGCGTATTTGGCACCAATACAGTCGCTCACCAGTAACAAGTCTTTACACTCTTCATCCAGAAAGTTTGAATCCAGTCCTGTAACGAAAAACATATTTTTTCACGCACATCCAATTCATAAACACATACAAGTATTTTTGTATTCACGTACATAAGTGAGATGTTTTGTCTGTGTCTTTCTTATAGCCATGCGGAATGATCAGATCATAATTCAGTCAGTTAACGGAAAGCATTCGCGCTGCCCAGTTCCCTGTTCTCATGAATTAAAAGAAATTAATATTTGAATTAGAAAGATTTTACATAATATGAAGCTATGTATTGTTAAATGTACATATACTTTAAATATATATCGAAAAACGCGAAACAGTATAAGATTCACTGCTATGAATAAGAAATATGAATTCTAAGATTGAAAGGAAATTTTTCATTTTCGCAATCATCATCATCATCTATTTCATTAAAACGACATAACAATTTTTCATTTGTTTATTTTTTGTCATTGAATTGTGAAGTTGACTCGGAAGGTTACATGTGTTTAACAGTGCACTCTTCGGTTTGGAATAAGGGTTTTCGATTTTTGAGACCTGGTCGTACTTTTGTATTGAATGAAGAACCAAAATGCATTTCTTACCATAGTCTTCCGTATGGCTAATCTCATTTTCTATGACATTCTGCAACTCCCCTACATCATAATTTCTCTGTTCGGCGAGCATATTCAGCAGGGTGTCTGTGGCATGTTCAGGAAAAACTTCCTTCCATCTGCACAGTAATTTAAGGCGCTGCATGTCAGCATCACTCCAGTCACTGATAGCAGCATCAGCTTCAATGTTTCCCTGTGGTAATCTCAGTTTAGATGCCAGCGACGTTGCATTTTCTCCCGATAGATGCCGAGCTAAGCGGCCAAGAATTCTGTCGCTTGGTCGCCCACTGCTCATTTCAATGCGGCGTCCACATTGCTAAAATATACATATCGATACTTCAGTTATTTCCCCGGCACAGTTCTGACACATTGGCATCCAGGGATAATATTTCTAACCGATTACATTTAAACAAACAGAAACTTAATAATTATTGTTTTGTATATACATGTATCTTGCACATTTCAAATATAAACAAAATTAGCTGCCTGAACAGGTTACGATCAAAACGCCTAACATTTTGCCACTGACTGGGAAATGATATCATTTTAGAATGGAAATCTGTGAAATTATAACAATCACCAGTTCTAAGTTCAAAAAGGCAGTTAAATGACCTACACATTTAGCGGATCTTTGGCGTATCGTGCAATATTTGTACTATGAAGATGACCAATTTCCCCATATGAAGTGTTCAGTAGAACATCTGCTTGTAAGATAATGGTGGTCGTAATATTTATTGTAATGAACATTTCAAATAGTTCTTGTAACTTCTTCCCAAAGACTTTCTGAGTATAGTTTGTGTCTTTATGGGGTATAATGACACATTACCTCTCATACAGTAGATGTATGTATGCATGTATGTATGTACATTTGTATGTATGTATGTATGTATGTATGTATGTATGTATGTATGTATTCCACTAAAGCAAATATTCGATATTGAACCATATTCCAATCTTTTCTATCATTAATCTATTTTTTATTCTTTGAATATCGACTGTGAAAGTAGGGTTCTTATAATGTCAGTATTGTTTAAAAGTATGTTATATTGTTCAGCCAATACTGCACAGTTTAAAAAGTAGACACCATTCCATAGCAGAAAAACCAGAATTGTCGGAGCTATATATACACCATAATTACAAATATTCATTCAATATTCAGAAGGATCAAAGTCTTTTTAAGCAATTTCCATCTTTTTCATTCGCATTGAAAAGACACTTACAGAAGTGACTTTGCTTAAATTAAAAAAAAAAGAAACTTAACTTGTGTAAGCAACTTTGTAAAAACATCACTTACTGAATATGGGCTCCAAGGCAAGATCTTGCTAATTTCATCCCACGTGATAGCATGGTCCTTTTCGCCATCAGTACACATCACTACCCCTTTATCACGAACTTTCTGCAAATTTACAAATACTCCTTTTTGGTCATTTCCGTGTTTCCTGCACTCGATTTCTACTACGTACGAACGTTATTCTTGCCTATAAACACGGAGAATGTGATCCAATCTTTGACTGAATAATACACAAAATCACTTCTGTTAACCCTTGTTGCAACCAAGGTTCATCTAATTTTTCAAATATCCACTTGCAATTTTTCAGTTTCAAAGTATAACACAACATTCACCAGCCAAACTTCCAAGCCCCATAATGTCCTCTCTTTGAAAAGTAAAACAATGCAAATAGGTTGAATATCCGTGGAGTGTCAGCTTTCTTGTAGATAATGAAGGGATGGATCCTCGTTCAAAGCGGCAATTCAAGCAAATGATTAGAAAAGCCGGCGGGTACGTTATGCATCAGCAAAAGAAAGCCCTTCAGAATTGGGGGGGCCTTTTCCAGATAAATGACTTTTTCTTTAATCTGCCTGGTGCGGTTTTAAAAACAAGGGATAAAGTATTTGTTTTCCCTTCGGAAGAAGTGCATAAAATGTGGGAATACGTCAATTCGTAAAGTAATGCCCGTTGGGAAAGAGTTTCCTCACATTTTTTTAAAACCTTTTGATCAAAAAGGTTTCGAGCGTCAAAAAAATTAAAATCTTTGTTTGTGCAACCCCACTTTTTCAAAAGGGCCCCACGAAGGAGGAAAAATGCCCCCCTTTTTTTTGGGCGAAAATTTTAGCCCCATTAAAAATAAGTGTAGTAGGGGGGGTTTGGGGAAATAGAAAATTTTTGAAAATTTATCTTTCAATTTCATCGGGCAAAGTGCATCACCTTTCCTTTCGGTGTTCGTTTCCAAGGAAAGCCTAAACTTTTCCGGGGTTTTTTTTTGGAAATATCTAAATTTTTTCATCAAAGCTCTCGAAATTCTCTTTTAATTTCAAAAATCTCCCTCCCCTTTTCTCCCTGAAGAAACAATTTTTAAAGAATTGATTCCATTGAGCTGGTATTTCTTCAATCGAGTGACCCAAGGGTCCCAAAAAATGAGGAAGCAAGGATTTTATTTTTCAAGGCCTCCAGGTCTTTTAAATCATCTTTGATTTGGATGTATTATCAAATTAAACAAATTCAAACCTGGTCAGATTTTCCCAGTACAACTCGTTCGAAAGAATCTGAGAAAAATTTTTATTCCACTAAAGTTTCACACTATTTGAACATACCTTGTCCCTTTAGGTGGAACCGACAATAATGAAAAGGTTGCCCACGACCGTTTTTGTTCATTATCAAGGCCCCTTTATGGAATAGTAGCTTTGATATGGGGATTTCCAAAACTTAAAGTTTTTTCAGAAATAAAAAAAAATAGAATATATTGCTAACAAATCAGGGCAAGTCCAAATAACGGTACACAAAAACATGCGCTCTGCTTTATTTCAAAAAGAAAAAGTTTCAAAGCGAATCATTTTACATATCATTTTAAATTAAGATATTTTTACATTAGTATTTTAGAAATGGATCAATTTTCAAAATGGTGTGAAACAGATACAACACCTATTTCATTCCCACGATTTTGAAGTACATAGAACTAATGATGTTTTTTAAAAGTTATTAAAATAACAATTTTTTGTAAATATAAATGAATTACCTTCCACTGTGAACTGTTTCAATGTTTTAGTTTCTAAATTTCAGGAAGTATCTTCAAAGAGTTTGTCTAAGTCCATGAGGTCAAAATTCAATAAGCAAGAACATAGACAGCTGACGGTTGCCCCATAAAATTGCTTGGTGTTGTACAGTAAATAAGTTGTTTGACCCAGCAAAGTCCGCAGTAGGATACATAACATCTTTCTTCTCTTGCAATTTCCTTTCCAACGTTTTCACCTTTCTGAAGATATCTCCTCTTTTTGCTTTTACGTCCAAAAGATCTTGAGTATGTTTTTGTTCTGTACGTACTTCTTTCCTCAACCACTTCTTCTGATCCCCAATTTCAAGCTCCTCTATATCAGCATGTGAAGTGTTTTCTAACTTCCGTTTCTGCTGCTTTCCTCCTTGCTTATTACGAATCTTTGGGCATGTTTGCAAGAGCAAATGCCAATTCTCTGGAGATTTATTCTTTTTCATAATCCTGGCAATATTAAATAGGAAAGAAGTAACTTTGCAAAATTAAATAAATGAATGGATAACAGTCATATTTTAAGTAATAAAGTAAGTTACATAATGCATTAAAATGAACACATTGTTATTCGAATATTAGAAAGTAGTAAAACAAATTATATAGAACGTTTATGATATGCATTTTACAAAAGATAAAAAAGAAAAGTTATTTGTCTTAAAGATAAAACAATATATTTAAAAGGTCTAAGGTTTAACAATACATATGTGCTGGAGTAGGTTTAGGTTTAACGGCACACGAACACATAAATGGTCATTCCGCGCCGAAACATGTTAGGTCTTAAAGGTAAGAACATGTACAATGTATGGTAATATATATCAAAGATAAAAATACAATGTTAAAAATCTGGCTTGTGTATGAAAGCTAATGACAAATTGGAAACAAAATAGGAAAATTCTAAAAGAAACACATACAGCTTATGACTTTTAACTAATGTAATTTAGAATTTCGGACTCCAACACGGTGCGATTAAATGGGAATGGTTCCAGTAATTCTCAATTATAAATTTAAATGTTCCTTGATTAATAAGGATAGTTTAAGTTTTGTAAGGTGTATGCTAAAAGGTGATTCGGCTATGTGTATCCTTACCTTTTCGAGATATTTAGAGTAGTGTTACTAAAAGAAAATGGTCTTTATGTCATCTTATTGACTACAGTGCAGTACTATATAAAAGCTCAACTCATATTCAAATTTGAAACTTAACGAGATAGTATAAACGAAGGTCACAATGATACTGTAAAGGTATTCACATAATTGTGTCTTAACCTGAAGGTTTTCGTTTTATATGTTAGCCAAAATGCGCAAAATACGGTAATCGGTCGCAAAATAAGTCAAACATCTTAGATTAGTTGGTTAAGCCAGTAAGGATGTGTAAACAATCATTATAAAGTCACACACTTTTAATGTACTATTTTGTAGTTTAGTATAACAACGAACCATGCAAGCTTATCATTAGGGCAATAATTTACCGATAATTAATATGTCATGGAGCATGGGAACTGTTATAGACTTACCGTTTCGTTGGTTTCCCAAATATCTTTGACCGTACTCTCTCAATGCATCTCGTAAGTAAACTTGGTTTATTTCAAAGACGCTTCAGTAGGCCTTCTGATTCAGGTCCGAACATTTTTACATCCACACCTTGAAGACGCTTAAACCAGACTTGTTTTTTTTCCAGCTCCCTTTGGTTACCAACAATATTCACCCTCACGTGGTTAGATCTAGCTCTGCCTAATTCAATGTTCTACGGTATAACTTCCAGTCATTTTCATCAAGACATGGGAGCCCCAAGCTGGCAAAGTCGTCTTCCTGCAAAGCGGTCCTGAATAAATAATAGATAATATACTAAAAATTTTAATATGGCAACTTTTCTAAAAAGCCGGTAAAAACAAAAAAAAACAGACTAAAATGTTAGAATCGGTTTGATTTGTACTGTTTATAAAAGGCAATGAAATGTACAACTTCTCTCTATGGCTTCATTGTACCGGCTGTGTTAAGTGTTTAATCTTCAACATTAAAATACTAACTATTCATGGACAGTATTTACACAAAAATATTAAAATGAAATATTGGCTGATATTTACACATGACTCAGTAAATGTTAAAAATCTGTGAAAAGGATCTTAGGTTTGTCAAGCATACATATTTGCAAAGAAACACTTTATCAACATGAACACTATACATACCAGGATCGTCACTAATAGGCACAGCTCCGAGATCACCGTCATCTCCTCCTGTGTCCGAATCCTGACTACTCGATGGCTCGCACAAGCTCCTTTGAACCTGTCCTTTCTTATCATCAAACTGCCATTGGACCTTTATTTACGAATTTTAACAGGTGTAACAGACTCCAAACATTCTTCAATCAACTTCATAATTTTTTCGGCCTTTTTGTACTTTATTTGGGAAAATCATCCCTTTTCCGAATGATGACCTGATCGTTAGGCGTTTCATGTTTCTAAACTGTCTTCTGTGAAAACTATCTAAGGACGTGTTACTGTCCTCTCTCTAGGAAGTTTCGTGTTATACTTAACACACACAACTTTCTCTGTAAACAGAGTTTGCAAAGTTTCAATCAAACCCAGCATCATCACTGTCTATACAATCAATTATCTTGTACATATAAAAAGACCCTCGTTTTAAACTTGAACGGGGATTTCAGCTCTTTCTCAAAATGTTCCAACGCTGGTGTTTCAATATCTGGCGTTGTCATTATATAAAGATTCTTTCCTTTGACGGTTTTTCGAGACCTTACAAAAATTTTCTTCCGACATGAAAACGTTTGAAATATTTTCTCCTGACATACTAGAGCATTGGCAACATCGCATTTTGCTTCCAGGTTGTGTCCAACAACGATCACGTAAAGACCAGAATCTAGAGGAAATATTTATAACAGGATTAACATGTGGATTGGTTTAATATATTTACATTCCAAAATAAAGTTTTTTTGATAATATAATCGAACATAAAACTGAACGTGATATACATCGACTTAATATATATGTACAATAGAAGTTTTTTTGTTACATAATAATAGAGAGTGGAACCTTTCATGTCCATTTTTTTAAATAAAAGTCGAGCATGCTTACATTTGGCATCCGGCGAAGTGAGTCAATTTAACACTTTACCTGATGGTTGTTTTATTTGGTCCAGCTCTTCCATTTTTTTTAATTTGGCACTGTCCATTTTGTGCCATTTCCCTGAATTTTAGGGATATCAAAAGCTTGGGTAGACTGCCGGAAGTACGGGGCTGGCATGGCTCTACACTTGTGGCAAAGGTTAGCATTTACAGTTCCATCGGTTTTTTTTTTTTTCAAAGCAGTAATAGTCTAATTATGATAATGTGTTGTTAACTCTATGATTATGTATTTTGTTGAGTTTAAATCATTTTCTTTTAAAAAGATTGTTGAATTTTGTTGTAATGTCTTTGATTATTATTTTGTTTCAAATTGATAAAAGACACATTTCTGTCATGTAGATCAATAATTTGTTTTTCTTCTCCGAAATGTTCCTTTTTTCCGATGTGGAAAAAATAAGGTTGGCCTAAATCAGTATATATCATATAATTATAACATGTAGTTAAGTTTAAACATTTGTTAAAGCTCGATTGCGGAAAAACTTATTTTAATAATCACTTCCTGTAACTAATCATTAGTGGTGTCAATGAGGAAACATGCTCCGTGTATGGCTCGAACCCAAGATCCCTGGATTGAGAGACAGCTAGCTAGTATACACTAGGTCACCGTTTCTCTTAACATAAGATTTAAACTGTGTTTGAAACTTACAGACAACATTGAAAACACAATTAAAAGCGATAAACAATGTAATAATTAACTGTAAGTTTATTTACTAGGGTTGTAGATTCTGTATTGTTTCTTTGATTTTTCTTCATGTTTTTGATTGGCTTAAAATTGTTGACCTGTCTTATACAAAAGGTTTGGTCGCTATATCTAGAAAAAGGTCTAAAGATGGTGACCGCCTGCTTTATTAGCTCAGTTGGGATAATACACTGAACGACTTTTCTAACGCAACACTTGTGCTTTTTAGTGTATTTTGGATTATAAAAGAATGGTTATTAGTGAAATTAAGAGTATAGATTAATGAACACTTCACACATGTATTGTAAAAAATTTATTGTAGTCGATGAATGGAAAAGTATAAAATTTAACAGAAATAAAACATGAGTAACAGAGAATAAATCGCAAAATTCACAACACAACGATGTGAAATGATTGTTTTATCACAGCTGTTATCAAAGAATGAGTAAAACATAATATCAATTAGATAATATCCAATATGTCCTCCCTGAGCTTGTATCACTTTCATACACCTCTGTCTCATGGACATCACAAAATTCCTCAGAAATCGCTGTGGAATGTTCCTCCATTCCTGCACCAGGGCCTGTTCCAGCTCTGGTAGGTTCCGGGGTTGTACCGCTCGCCTGCGCACTCGCTTATTCAACTCATCCCACAGGTGTTCAATAACATTCAAATCTGGAGACTTGGACGGCCATGGTAGCTGCTGAATGTTTTGCTGTTGAAGTAGGTTCCGGGTGGCATGTGCTGTGTGTGCCGGTGCTCCGTCGTGCATAAGTATCATACCCCGTCCACCAGCTTGAAGATGAGGAATAGTGACAGGAATAAGAACGTCCTGTTGATATTTTACAGCAGTCAGATTTCCTCGTATGATGATCAAGTCGGTTTTGGTATGTAGAAACACACCAGCCCAAACCATTACGGAACCACCGCCATACCGGTCACGTTGAATGATGCAGGCGTCGTTCAACCGTTCCCCACGCTGTCGTTAAACTCGAACCCGACCATCACTATGGAACAAATTAAAGCGGCTTTCATCCGTGAAGAGGACATTTGCCCACTCTGCACGTGTCATGCGCTGATGCCGGCGGGCCCACTGTTCCCTTTGTTGACGATGACGTGCAGTCAGGACAAGGCCACGATATGGTCGTCTTGCTCGAATGTTCTGGTCGCGGAGACGCCTGATAACGGTCTTGCTACTAATATGTCTGCCATGTGTACTAACTGTTGTTAATGCAGTCGATTCGGCGGTCTTAAATCGGTTTTGAAGATGACTTGCAATAATCTGGGCATCTTGTACAGGTGTTGTAACCCTGCCACGAGGCTGCCGCCGCTCGTTCTCAACTCGACCGGTGCGTTGGTACTTTAACAGAAGTCTGGCTATGACAGACACATTTCTGCCAAAAACTCGCGCCACCTGAAAATAAACAAACAAGAGTGATGTTTTTTCCCTTCTAATTATAGGAAAGTAAATATAAAGTTTTGAGCAAATTATGTATCATATCAGAAATATCATAAATAAAGCAGTATTAACTTGGCATTGTTAGTGTTTAAAAATATATCACAAACTTACCTGTCTGGCTGAATGACCTGCCTGAAGCATGCCGATTGCGCGTGCGAGCTCTTGTATTTGCATGCGAACCATTTAATGTTTTACCGGATATCTATGTTTTTTCAATGTTGCTGACACAAAAGTATAGTTATATTGAAATGAAATCTAAAAGGTTTGCGAAAATCGTTTTCCTCGTGCAAAAAGTTGATTTCATACCTATAGAACGTGCGGAACCGATAATCCGTCATGGATGAATGATTTCGTTGAAAATATTTGCAAAAGGTAGTCAAACCGGTTCTGGTAAAATATAAGTAAGATATCTTGTAGTGTTTTTGTGAAATACGAATTTAAAAAGTGTTGCGTTAGAAAAGTCTTTCAGTGTATAACATCGGATTAATAATCATTGAATCGCTGGTTCAGTCCTCGGGCGAGACGAAACTCCTACTTGATAATGAATCTCAGACATTGAGTTTAGACTCCCACGGCTGATTAAACACTAGCGGAGAAGTTAGTGCCGGTTAGACGGACTGACCGCTGAGGCATGACTAAAATGTGCTTAAGAAACGGCGTTAAAAATTATCCAACTAACCAAACAAACAAACTAAAGATGTTATATATGTACAGTGAAAGTTGAGAAAACCGGACGTCTTTCGGACCTAGGGTTTTGTCCGGTTTTCTCAGCGGTCCTGTATTCTCAATGGCCCCTTCGGCTGTTCAGAATCCTATGTACCGAGCAACGATGCTGTATATTTACATTTTCATGATATCATGTGTACGTATATTGCTAAATAAAGAAATGATAAAAAAATGTTTTAACTTTTGTCGTCACATCATTGCATCCAAATACAATAAGTTAGGATTTAAAACGAACAGCAGTTACCTTATAACAATTAAGTCCGATTACATCCGCATGTGTTTACATTTGGGTAATTGAAAATGATTTAACGAACATAGTTTACTTTGTATTAAATAATGCCCCTATTGCAGATATTGCTGAAACCATTGTCAGATAAAGATTTTAAATTAGGTTTCGGCAAAGTTTCACTGCCTTTAATTAATTTAAGAATCCCACACAATCCCCCTCCCGGACGATTCCCCTTCCATATTATTTTCACAACCCGGACATTTCCCCTCTCGTTATTTTAAAAGGGCGGACATTTCCCCTCCCGTTAATGTTATGGGCGGACAATTCCCCTCCCGTTATTTTAGCAGAGCGGACAATTCCCCTCCCGTTTTTTTATACGGCCCTTAATCAAAGCCGCCACTGTGTATAAAAAATTCTATAACCATTCTTATTAAAGATGACAGTTTTTACTTGTGAAATGAAGGAGAATAATTCCTACACATGTGTTCAATTAAATATAAAATGAAAATGATGACTGATATTTTGTGTACTGATTCAATATTGTGAATGTGATTTTCTAATCATAATGACGATGATGACAGTTCAATTTACTATAACATGTGCATAATATATTCTTTGCAAGAATCTACAGCTTAATTGCTTTTTTGTTTTTATCAATTGTTCTTTTATTGATTTGCCGCTGCAAAAATGTATTGACGAAATAAACATTATTTTAAAAAATGCGTTTTGTTTTGTGAAAATTGGGGATATACCATTCGCACGTCTGCCCGAGAGACAAGATAATAGTATCAAATGTAAATTAAATTCAATCTAGACAAGCAAAATGTATTTAAAGTCGATTAAAAATACCTTTCAAATAAACAATATTATATAATATATATGTTCAACAGCCACGGGAGGGAATTGTCCGCTCTGACAACAGCGAGAGGGGAATTGTCCGGGTCGTTACAACAACGGGAGGGGAATGGTCCGGGTTGATAAAAGAACGGGAGGGGAATTGTCCGCAGTAAAACATAACCGGAGAAGAAATGTCCGGGTTGTGAAAAAACGTTCAAATTTACTGGGAGGGGAATCGTCCGGGAGGGGAATTGTCCGGATACCTTAATTTAACTTTGTAATTTATAGACTCGTTTTGACCATGGAATAGAACGTACTTGGCGCCGATAAATGCGTTAACATTTTGGGAAATGAATATACAAAAAGCAACGCAGTATAAAAATACTTTATTATTATTCATATGTAGTTGATTTTAACTTACCAACTCCGCGTGCATTATAACGGTAACATCTAATAAATCAAACTGTGAAAAGAGACACAATCAAAAAATCAGATAATCGGTGTTCCGTTACCACTCGGGTAGATTTTTAGACGTAAGCAATTGGCAAGTACAGTGAGTTAGCCAATAGCGGATCATAGCCAATAACGGGTCAGTCAGTTATGTAATAAATTATTTTACTAAATGTTTTGAACTTAAAAGTGTTATAACCTAACAGTCATGTGCATTAGGATGTTAGCTCCTCTACAGCGAAAAAAAATGTAAACATCCGGATAATTCTAATCAGATTCATTCAGATGCTTTACCAAGCGTTTCCGTTTGTCGCGAAATATTGCGCCAGTAACAACACAAATTTGCAGTCGCTGCTTTATTGCTGAAAAACCCCAAAAGATATTAGATCAAACCTGGTAGGTATTTGATGCCCAATATGTTAACTATATGCAGCAGCAGCCGTTTAAAAAATGCATGAGGAATTATAGTGATAGCGCTGGTCAATTAAATTGCATCACGTTGTCCAATAGCGGGTCATGCAATTTTCCAGGAAGGGACCGCCTCAAAGTTATTAAACAGGTTTTAGAAACTATTTTTTAAAGCAAATTTTGGTTTGTATACAAAGAAATATAAAATTTAATTTATTTGTGTTATTATTACAGGTGAATTAATTATGCAGTCCATGCTAAAATATGGTGTTTTATGTAGTATAAACTGCAGCAACATTAAAATATTATTGTTCTAGATTCTAAAATATTATTTTTAACTGTACAGTAACTTCTTTATTTTTAAGTTATCCACTTAAAACTTCAAATACATGGTTTTTCATCACCCACAGGATGTGTGACAAAATTTATTACTTTAGCACACATTTGTTTTACAGAATTATTTCCCCATTGAACTAAGAATTTTGTTTAAAATTTAATAATTTTTCTTCTTATTTTTATTTTATTATTATTCCTACTTCTTCATTTCTTGAGGTATCTCCTTTTATCTTCAAATGTTTGTTACTTATTATCACACACATCACATGTGATAGATTTATCACTCTAGCATGAACATTTTTGTAATCACCCCCACCCCGGACTTTTGGTTATTGTTCTTTGTCATTACTCACATCATGACATGACAAGCTCATTTGTTTACTTGTTTTTTTGTTTCAGATTCTAATGCCTAAGGGAAAGAGAAAAAGTATTCAATGTAGTCCAGCCCAGAATGCAGTCTTCTCAGTGGTAAAAAAAAAGAATAATAGTTTTAAACATGGCTAGCACATAAAAAATAAATGAATGCTTTAATGCTATGCTGTTATTTATTCTTATTACTAACTTATTCTCATTAAGATTACTTTTTTATATAAATAAAGCTATTGTTAAATCTAATTTTCCTTTAATAATGAAATAATTTTTATTTTTCAGGAAACTTCAGAACAATCCATGGTCCTTAAAAAGTCAGTTATCAAAGGGTATCATGCTTTTCAAATAAGACCACCATCAATTACACCCCCAACACGTCTAACTGTAGAGCCTGAATATACAAATATCCATGATACTGATGCCTGCTTGGTGTGGTTGCCGCCACTTGACTCATTCCAAACATTGTTACATGATAGTGTCACTGACCAAAAACGCCAGCTACGGTTGCGAGATGTAGCAGGACTTCCAATTGGCCATGTTCCACGAGGGATAGCTGGCTTTTTTCGTACCATTATGGACAAAGGACATATCGAAGCTGAAGTTACTGGTGAGCCCACTCAGAGTTTCCCACCATGGCCGGCTCCAAGTTCTGAAGGTGGTGGGGTTGTGTTGCCATGCAACTATATTATATTTCACCCAGATATTGAGAGTAATTTTCAAAAACTTTCTGTAATATTAGATAAAATCCCAGAAGGCCCTGCCATGACACTGAACAAGGAATAAACATATGTAAATTTTCAACTCTGTAAAAGCCAATTAAGCCTAACAATGCTATCATTATTTTTTTCAAAGTCTTGTTATTTTAAGGCTATCACTTTATTTTTTCAAAGCTTTGTTATTTTTAATGTCCATTTTGCAGTTTCCAGAAGTTACTTATTGGTCATATTTCTGAACCATTTTTAGTTTCCTTTGTGCTTAGGTTTAGTACAGTTAAAGTTAATTAGTATTTTGTATTAATTTACTTGCTTTATCACAAATGATTTTATATTCAAAGGTATTTTTATCAGATGATAAGCATCTCACATGATATAAATCCATATTACAACATATTTAAACTCATTTTTGCACTTTCGACAGAATTATTAATCTTTCTTACACATAATGTGCCTTTAAGTGACTGAAAATTCATAATGTTTTTAACCAAGCAAGTATTGTTTAAAGATCTAGTCAATATTGTTTTACATCATTACATGTATTTTTTTAGGTTTGACGTTGAACCAAGTCAATATTGTTTAATGATATTAAGTCATTATTGTTTTACATAATTAATTTTTTTTTAGGTTTGACGTTAAACCAAGTCAGTATTGTTTAATAATCGAGTCAATTTTGTTTTACATAATTACATGGGTTTTTCTTTAGGTTTGACGTTGAACCAAGCCAGTATTGTTAAATGATGTAGTTAATATTGTTTTACATCATTACATGTATTTTGTTATGATTTTGTTTGTTTATATCACAGAGTTTACTCAATAAGAGAAAATCAGTTGACAATTTTGTTTGTTATTCTTATAAAGTGTATCCTCATAATGACCACATAGAAGAACATGCACATTTCTTGAGACTTCATTTTAAGCTTTTGATTCACAACAAGACACTTGTGTTACAGTTAATTTAACGGAATTTTACATAGAATGTGCAAAAAATTGCTTCGATGAGCTGCTTTGTCCCCTGTAACCCTGAAAATAAAATAAATATGTTATCTACACAATTTACAATTCATTGAGCAGATATATCTAGATATCTAGATCAGCATTATTACAATCATTATTGTTTTTACCACAATCATGCAGCTGGTTGCCATTTTGGATTCTGATACCTGTGTGTTATACGCGATCTGATTGGACGTCCAATTTGGCTCGTCCAATCAGATCGCGTATTTCAACCCAGGTATCAGACTGCAAAATGGCTACGACAAGTAAAAAAAATACCGTGAAACAGAAAAAATCGGAATGATATAGTGATATTCGTTGGACTTGAATTAGATAAGCTGTGGAATTCTAGTTCTTTTTATTGATGTTAATGAATGATGCAGCGAAATCGCGCCGGAATGCGCCTCAGTCGCCGAAACGACGATTTCCCGTGTTCCACATTGTTTGGCAAATGAACATATAGTAGGCTTTCACCTTTCTATAATTATAATTTTGATAGTGGAAATTTTTTTTTATATAATTTCATCGGTGGTTTTGTATTTGGTACCTTATAGTAAGCCTTAGAGTGTTGAATTATTTTTTTTTTCAGGGTTGTAGTAGGGGTCCAGGGGCAGATAGGGATGGGGTGTCCAAACACTGATACTGCCACCTGTGGTATTGTCAGGTAATTATCTATATTATAGACCTTGTAGTCCCCTACCAACCGTCCGATATTCGGTTTCTACAGATTCCGGTATTGTCAATGTTTTTTTAACTGAATTCTTCGTCCGGTATTTAGAGCGTTCCGATTTTCTCAGCGTCTGGATTTCTCAGCTTTCACTGTACTATATAATATGTGTACTACATTATGATACATTATTATGTCGGACCGTTGACCTATATATCAATAACTACAACCCATGAATATCTTTAAATATATATAACAGTGAAAGCAACTGACAGTGATATTAGAGACAAATTAAGTTAACATATTGATTGTTAATATTGATTGATTGTATAGATTTACGTGTCAGAACCTGCATTCCTTATCAAAGCTAGCAAACAAAGTGGTACAGTATACAGGTATATATTATATATATTTAATATGAACGGATTACTGATATTTGAATGACAAAATAATTGCTTTCTTGATGTTTATAAAGCTGGAAATATCCAGAGGTAAATACAGCTTTAAATTGAAGAAAACAATAGACAGGTCATAGTACCAGGAAGTGGCATGAAACCGAAACCAGTTAAAGCAAAAATATCAAAATTTATCTGTCGTGGAATCCCTAGGAATGCTTCCAATATGTTAAAAATAGAAATTGTAACAATATTTACCTGGCATTTTGCCGGGAAACAAAGAAGGTTCCAAAATCACGCAGGAAACATTTCACAAAACTCCGAGCATTTAAACGCTATTTTAAGTTAAAATACTTGATATTTGTGGTATTGTGTGTAGGTAGTCACCTGTGAGGTAGTGACTTCCCCTGTTTTAAGTGTGCACAGCGTATCTATTATAAACGAAAATAAGAATAAATAAAATAAAACTACAATAAGGAATATTTTCGTTTCTTTATTCAATGTCCTAAACGTTTTTCATGTCTTTATTTGAGGGGATGTAACTCATGTTTTGTACTTTTAACTATACATAACAGACTATAGATAAAGTTTGTCGTACTGTCTTGATAGTCAAATTTTGCTCTTTTTAATAGAATATTTTGCGTTAACTTACTGTGATTGCATGATTATCTATGCATGGTATATCTGTCACATAGGCCTATTTTTGTTCCTACTAAAACTCGTATGTACATTATCGGACCTAGCTTGGACTATTAGCAAGTCACTCACGTATTTATACAATTCAATTCATATTTATTTCGTATTTATACCTATTTACAGACCTCCCTCGTTCAATTAATAGAATATATAGTTTTCGAATTGTTGGACATTGCATAACGGCACATTTATAGCATTAATATTATGATAGTACATTATATTTTTGTTACATTGTATTAATTAACAAATGACTGTGAAATGAAAACAATTACATTAAACACATAAGAAAATTTCTTACAAGGACACTCAGCTATAAAGGTAACACGACTGAAGATTCACTTTAAAACACATACGTTCGGCACATTTGTCTTGCCAATACTGGTCAAATCATCATAATTTCCACTTGCATAATCATGAACAAAGTTACTTTCCAGCATCCATTTACTAAATTCATAATACATATAACATGAATTTATTATTAAAGTAATTTTGTTCTTGCATTGATCAAGGGAAATTATTTTATGATATTCTGACCGTTATAGCTAGACAAATGTGTCGCATACATGCGCATTAAAGTCCTGTTTGCATTTATTGATTACATATATATGTTCTACTTCATGTGTACATGCTGTCTTTCTATAAAGGAATGTTTGCTTAATATAATTGTATGCCATTTTAAAAACAATTTTAATTTTAATTACATTTATTTGTTCTCGTACGGCTGATGCATATAAGTTTTGTAGATTTTACGCCCGGTGATATAACCGCATAAGCTGACCACGCGTGTAAACATTCTACACCCCAGCTCATGTGCTACTTTCAATATCAATTCAATGAAATATGTTATATATAAAATAGCAAGTTATTACCTCTCTTGCACCATAAATCAAAACAACATGCATAATTTATGAATGAATGAATGAATGAATGAATGAATAATTATCAAATCAGTTAATTAACAGATAATACATAAATGATTGTATCATAGTTTGGGGACCTTTCTGTTGAAAATGTGTCAGAGTTAAATCGTATACATATACATGCACAGTGCGTTAATATTAGTTACCCGCCCATTGATTGGTTCATTTTTGCTGGGGTTTACTTATTGTGACGGAAGCGACATAAATATCATATTCAGACGCACGTTCATTGGTTACTTTTTTCTCGGGGAAACAGGGAACGTGTTTTTATGTTTGACTGAAAGAACATCAAAACACTCGGCAATCTGATTAATACTCGGGGGCTACGCCCCCTCGTACAAATTAGATAGCCTCGTGTTTCGATGCTCTTTCTATTACTTATACTACATGTATATGTATCATTTTTAGAATTTAGAAATGAAGGATATTAAACCAAATGTAATCATAAAATAAAACGCATTTTACATAAAAATAATGCGGTGTATCTAGAGGTCTGGGGTGGGTGTACTTAATTTCTGACCTGGTTACCCGCCGCACACCTGTGTTTTGAAGTGGGAACTTGGGATATTGACCAATCAACGCACCGAACAACTGTTATTTAGCCTATTTATGGGTTTAGTTTAAGCTACGCCCCTTATGACATGTCTACAGTATTTAGTATGCCATTGATTTTCATTTATATGTGTCCAAGTGGTAAGTTGTCAGTTTTACCTTTTAACTGTTGTTTCCAATATAGAGCTCAGCTAGCCTGCACCACCATGCAGTCTGACCTGTACGGTGTTCCGTTTTGACAGTAGTGATTTTTAATTCAGTCTGTTACCGCGATGCACGATGGTGAAAATTCGATGGTACGATGGTGGAAACGCGATGGCACGATGGTGAAAACGCGATGGAACGATGGTGAAAACGCGATGGTACGATGGTGAAAACGCGATGGCACGATGATGAAAACGCGATAGTACGATGGTGAAAACGCGATGGTACGATGGTGAAAGCGCGATGGTACGATGGTGAAAACGCGATGGCACGATGATGAAAACGCGATGGTACGATGGTGAAAACACGATGGTGCGATGGTGAAAACGCGATGGTACGATGGTAAAAATCGCGATGGAACGATGGTGAAAACGCGATGTAACATCGCGTTTTCACCATTGTACCGTCGCGTTTTCATCATCGTACCATCGTGTTTTTACCATCGTACCATCGTGCCATCGCGTTTTCACCATCGTACCATCGTGCATCGCGGGCACAGACTAAATAAAAAGTCACGATTGTCCAAACGGAAGACCGTACCCAGAACACTAAGTTTATGAGATAGTGCAATTCCAGAGGCACTTTTGAACGAGCAGTTATTAATGATACCTTTAGAAGAAAAGAAAAATATGCCCTCAAATTCTGTTATCTTTACTTTCAGTTATCCAATCCCGGGCACTTAACACAATTTTTACCACTTTTAAATACATGTATTTACATATGTTTAAATTATTTGTGAAACACTGTAACGTATTATTATAACGCACTTTCGGACTGAAAATCAACATTAAAATTAAAAAGCCAATATTTATTTGAACACAACTTTATTTTAAAGCAAGATGGATGGTGAATGATGACCATAGAAATTCTACCAAGTTTTTATAAAGAAAATTGCCGAAATCTGTGAAATACAGGAAGCCATTTCCATTAATTGGTAAACATGGTAAACATTGGTTATTAACGAATCACCTTTTATTATTTGTATTTGTGAAAAGGTTTCACCCTGGCTTCCTTTGTTCGTATAATAAACAACTTAATTGGCCTGGCTAAAGCCTTTGAAGTTAAGTATAACAAATTAGTGTAAAAGTTAAGCAGACAAACTTAAAATGCCATATTGTATTTAAAAATCTTGCTTAAAGGTGTTTTATTACAATAGAAATTTTTGAAATTTAAAATAATTTTTTAGAAAAAAAATACCGTAATTAATGTTTCTAACAAAAATCTATAAAAACAGATGATCATTTTGATACTAAATATGACTATATTTTCTTTAAAGAAAAATATAAAAATAATTACATAATTACACATAAAATATATGCATATAGTTGAAATCACACGAACATAAAATGCATGGGTATATTTACATCACTAATCAATAAAGTTTCATCATAAAATTTACATTATAACAATTGCATGAACTCCTAAAAAGTTGAAATGACTGAGAACATACATTAATAAAATTGCATTAGAAAATTTTCATTATAACATTATTTTGTAAGTGACATTATGCCTATCCAAGGGCATATGGTGAGTGAAAAGGTGAACGTGAAAATAAGATTACATGATGAAATAATTCCTTAACATTTTTAAATTTACATGAACGGATAAATAAGTCACGTGGTCACGTGGCCCAAGCAAGAAATTGTAAATATCAATCGGAATTTACTTGTAACGTTCAATTTATAAAAAGAGTGGGACAGTCTTTTTATATTTCAAGCAGATTATGATTTTATCTTAAACATATTCGAATATCAACTGTTGGTCAACCACCTTTATAACCGTCAATCTTTTGAAATATATAGTCAATTCAGCTCAACTTGACAATGCAAAGCAAATGAGAATAATATCACTTTAAGGAATATGTAGTTCTGTTGGTGTCTAGTCAAGCCATGAATAACTTTCTTAATGGAATGACTGGCCGACAGAAAACTATTGAGAGCTCGTAGTTTTTGTTCCACAAAAGTAAGAGTATATATTCCCTAAACTAGAAATGTGTCCATAGGACACGGATGCCCCCACACGCCACTGTTCTGTCAATCTTATGACTCTAGGTCAAATATTTTTTGGACTACATGTGCCACAAGTTGAAAACTAAAAATCAACAAAGGGCCATAATTTATTCTGTTAAATTTGGTCGCAGCAAAAATTCCTTCCTTTGCTACCATCTACACATTAAGGTTGTTCATCCCGGGAAGTTTAAGCAAAATCTGCCATCCGGTTTAAGAGGAGTTGCATTCACAAAATTTCTACATAGTATATAATGAAAAAATCAACAAAGGGCCATAATTCTGTTAAATTTGGTTGCAGCAAAAATCCCTTCCTTTACTGCCATCTACACATTAAGGTTGTTCATCCCTGTAAGTTTAAGCAAAATCTGCCATCCAGTTTAAGAGGAGTTGCATTCACAAAATTTCTACATAGTATATAGTGAAAAAATCAACAAAGGGCCATAATTCTGTTAAATTTGGTCGCAGCAAAAATTCCTTCCTTTACTACCATCTACACCTTAAGGTTGTTCATCCCTGTAAGTTTAAGCAAAATCTGCCATCCAGTTTAAGAGGAGTTGCGTTCACAAAATTTCTACATAGTATATAATGAAAAAATCAACAAAGGGCCATAATTCTGTTAAATTTGGTTGCAGCAAAAATTCCTTCCTTTACTACCATCTACACATTAAGGTTGTTCATCCCTGTAAGTTTAAGCAAAATCTGCCATCCGGTTTAAGAGGAGTTGCATTCACAAAATTTCTACATAGTATCTAGTGAAAAAATCAACAAAGGGCCATAATTCTGTTAAATTTGGTCGCAGCGAAAATTCCTTTCTTTACTACCATCTACACCTTAAGGTTGTTCATCCCTGTAAGTTTAAGCAAACTCTATCATCCGGTTTAAGAGGAGTTGCGTTCACAAGATTTCGGGACGTACGGACGGACGGACTGACGGACGGACAAGTGCAACGCTATATGCTCCCACATTGTGGGGGCATAAAAATTGTTAATAAATTTTATATGCACAAGTGAATTGTAATAACAGCCTTTGGTAACGGAGATTAAACCCCAAGATTCTACCCATAATCTTTCCTGCACTGCCACCGCCAAAATAAAAGGCGGTATAATATGTTTAACTTGAAGATCGGAAGCGTCATCTGGTTGTCTTCACCGGGCGGAGACTTTACAGTGTGTTCTAAACTGTTTGCTACTTCTTTGTGGAAGTTTGGGCGGTGTTACAATTGACTAGTGCTTTAAATTACGGACACATTATGTTCAGGTTATCCATTTCCTACTTCCAGTTTTCTGCAAATTTTCCCCTGAATTTTGATACAATCCAAGAAGTGTTTAATTTCAGAAACTTTGTAGTACTTAACAGCATTCTTGGTGTTGCCCTATCGAACCTTTGTCTCCACGATTCTAACAGTTCATAAATTGTCTTCCGTAGCGCACGCTCATTATCAGTTCGTTTAATTTCAATGTCTCGAAATTTAAGTCCCAGTTCTAACATCACAAAAGCGTATTTGGCACCAATACAGTCGCTCACCAGAACCAAGTCCTCATTTCCTGGACACACTGCATCCAGAAAGTTTGAATCCAGTCCTGTTACGAAAAACATATTATTTCAATCGCCTTCAATTCATAAAGACATATAAGTATTTTTGTATTCCTGTAAATAAGTGAGATATTTTGTCCGTGTTTTTCTTATAGCCACTTATAGCCTTGCGTAATGATCTGAACATAATTCAGTCTGTTAACTGAAAGCACACACGCTGCCCAGTTCCATGTTCTCATAAATTAAAAGAAATTAATATTTGAATTTAAAAGATTTTACATAAAACTTAAAGCATCATATGTATTGTGTTGAATAAGAAAGATTTTACATTAAACTTAAAACATCATATGTATTGTTAAATGTACATTATACTTTAGATATATTATATGTACAAACGCTGACAGTATTTGTACTTTTGTATTTAATGAAGAACTAAAATGCTTTTTTACCAAAGTCTTCCGTATGATCAATCTCATTTTCTATGACTGTCTGCAACTCCCCTTCATCATAATTTCTCTGTTCGGCGAGCATTTTCAGCAGGGTGTCTGTGGTATGTTCAGGATAAACTTCTTTCCATCTGCACAGTAATTTAAGGCGCTGCATGTCAGCATCACTCCAGTCACTGATAGCAGAGTCAGCTTCAATGTTTCCCTGTGGTAATCTCAGTTTAGATGACAGCGACGTTGCATTTTCTCCCGATAGATGCCGAGCTAAGCGGCCAAGAATTCTGTCGCTTGGTCGCCCACTGCTCATTTCAACGCGGCGTCCACATTGCTAAAATATACATATAGATAAAGTTCTGACACATTGGCATCAAGGGTTTATATTTCTAACCGATTACATTTAAACAAACAGAAACTTAATAATTATTGTTTTGTATATTTCTTGCACATTTCAAATATAAACAAATTAGCTGACTGAACAGGTTACGATCAAAACGCCTAACATTTTGCCACTGGCTGTAAAATGGTATCATTTTAGGATGGAAAACTGTGTCATTATAACAATCACCAGTTCTTAGTTCAAAAAGGCAATTTAATGACCTACACATTTAGCGGATCTTTGGCGTATCGTGCAATATTTGTACTATGAAGATGACCAGTTTCCCATAAGAAGTGTTCAGTAGAACATCTGCTTGTAAGATAATGGTGGTCGTAATATTTATTGTAATAAACATTTTAAATAGTTCTTGTAATTACTTCCGAAAGTCTTGCAGTTCAGTGTGAGTATAGTTTGTGTCTTTATGGGGTATAATGACACAATACGTATACGACGTAATAACTCATTATGTAGATAGGAGGCTATACTTCACTAAAGCAGATCTTTTCTATCATTAATTACATTTAACATAAAACTGTGATTCTTTGAATGTAGGGCTGTTATAATGTCAGTTTTGTTTAAAGGTATGTTATAGTGTTCAGCCTATATTGTTTGCTATTTTACTCACGGTTAAAAGTAGTAACCATTTCCCATAGGAGAGAACAAATATTGTCGGAACTATAAACACCATAATTACAAATATACATTCAATAAAATTAAGAAGAATCAGTCTTTATAAGCAATTTCCATCTTTTTCATTCGCATTAAAAAGACACTTATAAAAGTGACTTTGCTTAAATTAAAAAAAAAGAAACTTGTGCAAGCAACTTTGTAAAATCATCACTTACTGAATTTGGACTCCAAGGCAATATCTTGCTTATTTCATCCCATGTTATAGCATGGTCCTCTTCTCCATCAGTACACATCACTTCCCCTTTATCACGAATTTTCTGCAAATTTACAAATACTCCTTTTTGGTCCTTTTCGTGTTTCGTGCACTCGATTTCTACTACGTATCGAACGTTATTCTGCCTATAAACACGGAGTATGTGATCAATCTTTGACTGAATGATGACAATCACTTCTTTCAACTTGTTGCAACCGGGTTCATTAATCTTTGTATCGACTGCATAATTTTTCAGTTCAAAGTATACACAACATTCATGCCAGTAAACTTCAAGCCATAATGTCTCTCTTTGAAAAGTAAAACATGCAAATAGGTTGAAAATCCGTGGTGCGTCAGATTTCTTGTAGATATTAAGGGATTGATCTTCGTTCAAAGCAGCGATCAACAAATGATAGAAAGCCGGCGGTACGTATGCATCAGCAAAAGATAGCTTCAGAATTGGGGCTTTTTCCCGATGAAGACTTTTCTTAAAACTGTCTTTCTCTGTCTGGTGCGGTAATAAACAAGGGATAAAGTATTTGTTTTCTTCGAAGAAGTGCATAATGTGGAGATGTGTCAATATCTTAGTAAACGTAGAAAGAGTTTCCTCACATTTTCGCACATTGAATACATGGATCGCAGCGTCAAAGATAAAATCTGTATGTGCAATCCCATTTTCAACAAGGCCTGAGGACGGAATGTCCCAGTTTGGGCGTAATAGCACATTAAAATAACGTGCTAGTAGGTCCGGATCTAGTATGATAATATCTTTCAAGTCATCATGGCAGAAGTGCATCAGCCAACCTCTTCGGTGTTCGTGTTCCAGGAAAGCCTCAATTCGTTCCAGATTTTTCATTGGCATATCTGACTTTTCATCAAGCTCTTGTATCTCTTTTAACTTCAACAAACTCTTCCCTGCACCTTTCTTCTGAAGAACAATATTTTCAAGATTGATCCATTGAGCTGGTATTTCTTCATCGATGACGCCAAGTCCTAAATCAAGGATTTTATTCTTCAAGGCCTCCAGGCTTTTATCATCTTTGATTTGAAGTGTATTATCAATAGCAACAAATTCAACCTGGGTCAGATGTTTCAGTACTCGTCGAAGACTGCCAAATTTTTCACGAATTTCTTCTTTTGACACCTTGTCCTTGTGGGTACCGACAATAATGAAAGGTGCGTGACCGTTTTGCTCATCTCGAGTGTAGGCCTTAATGGAAGATATCCAAAACTTAACAGTTTCTGAAATCAAAAATAGATATATTGTTATGAAGAATTGGACAGTCACATAACGGTAAACAATTATATAAATGCTATGAAATTTCAATTGTGTATACATATACTACATTCTTTCAGAACCAATGTATCCTTTTGAAGGTTATTAAAAGTAATGTTGTTTTCATGTTTTCATTGTTAAGTTGAGCTGAAATGACTATATATTTCAAAACAGTGACTGCTAAAATTACGATTAAACAACATTTGATATTAGAAAATGTTACGGGTAGAATATAAATCTGTCTAAAATATTTACTGTCCCACTCATTTTATAAATTGTATGTAACTGATATTAAAATAAATTTCTACGGGCTACTAATTTCCACTTATGCTTCCGAGGGATCACACTTTTTCAACATTTAATTTTTGTTTATCGTTAATGCGAAGTGAATTTTAAAATTGAAAGGAATTATGGCATAATGTAACTTCATTTTGACTTTCACTACTTCCCTCATCATTATTTGCACTTGGATAAGCATAATGTCACTTTACTATCAATTTGTTATATGAATAAATTACCTTCCACTGTGAACTGTTTCAATACTTTCGTTCTAAATTTCAGAGTATCTTCAAGATGTTTGTCTAAGTCCATAGTCAAATCAATAACAAGTACATAGACAGCTGACGGTGCCATAAATGCTTGGTGTGTAGAGTAATAAGTTGTTTGACCAGCAAAGTCCCAGTAGGATACATACATCCTTTCTTCTCTTGCAATTTCTTTCCAAAGTTTCACCTTCTGAAGGTATCTCTCTTTTGCTTTTACGTCCAAAAGATCTTGTATGTTATGTTCTGTACGTACTTCTTCCTCGAACACTTCTTCTGACCCTTTTTCAAGCTCCTCTATATCAACGGTAGGTGTTTCTACTTCCGTTCTGCTGCATTTCTCCTTGCTGATACGATCTTGGGCATGTTGCAAAGCAAATGCCATTCTCTGGAGATTTAATTCTTGTTCATATCCTGCAATATTATAGAAATTATAGAAAGAGTAACTTTGCAAATTAAATAATGATGGATAACAGTAGTCATGTTTAAGTAATGAAGTAAGTACCATATGCATTAAATGAACACATGTATTTGAATATTAGAAACTAGTGAAACAATATATAGAACGTTTATGATATGCGTTTTACAAAAGAAAAAAGAAAGAAAAGAAAAGAAAATCAGCTCAAATTGAATTCAACAAAACACCATCCAAAGATGTATTGATATCAAAGAAACAACAACAGCGAACAACACGAATTACTACATCATACGATCAATCATTACATCGAATAAGGTCTTTAAATTACACAGTAACTCATACTAAGTCTTAATGATAAAACAATATATTTGAAAGGTCTAACACGTGTGTTTGAGTAGGTTTAGGGTTAACGGCACACGAACACATAAATGGTCATTACGCGCCAAAACATGTAATAGGCCTTAAAGGTAAGACATGTACAATGTATGTAATATATATAAAAGATAAAAAATACACGTTATATGTCTTGTGTATGAAACAATACATTCAAACAATAAATAGGATAAATCTAAAAGATAACACAATACAGCTTATAGATCTTTAACTAAATTATGTAATTTAGTTCGACTCCAACACGGTGCGATTAAATGGAATGGTTCAGTAATTCTCAATATAAATTCAAATGTTACTTAATTAATAAGGATTGTTTAAGTTTTGTAAGATGTATGCTAACAGCTGATTCGGCTATGTGTATCGTTACTTTTTCGAGATATTAAAATTACAGTAGTGTTACTAAAAGAAAATGGTCTTTATGTCATCTAATTGACCCTCAGTGCAGTAATATATAAAAGCTCAATTGAAACTTAACGAGGTAGTATATACGAAGGTCACATTGATACTGTAAAGGTATTCGCATAATTGTATCTTTACCTGAAGGTTTTCGTTTTATATGTTAGCAAACATTCGCAAAATAACCGGTTGCAAAATAAGTCAAACATCTCAGGTCAGTTGGTTAAGCCAGTAAGGACGTGAAAACAATCATTATAAAATCACACACTTTTAATGTACTATTTTGTAGTTTAGTATAACAACGACCCATGCAAGCTTATCATTACGGCAATAATTTACCGATAATTAATATTTCATGGAGCATGGGACTGTTATAGAACTTACCGTTTTCGTTGGCTTCCCAATATCTTTGACCGTCTCTCTCAATGCATCTCGTAGTAACTTGGTTTATTTCAAGACCTTCAGTAGGCCTCTGATTCAGGTCCGAACATTTTACATCCACGCCTTGAAGACGCTTAACCAAGCTTGTTTTTCCAGCTCCTTGGTTACCAACAATATTCACCCTCACGTGGTTAGATCTAGCTCTGCCTAATTCCAATGTTCTACGGTATAACTTCCAGTCATTTTCATCAAGACATGGGAGCCCCAAGCTGGAAAAATCGTCTTCTCCAAAGCGTCCTGAATAAATAATAGATAATATACTAAAATCTTTAATATGGCAACTTTTCTAACAAGCGGTAAAACAAAATAAAAACAGACTTAAATGTTAGAATCGGTTTGATTTGTACTGTTTATAAAAGTCAATGAAATGTACAACTTCTCTCTATGGCTTCATTGTACCGGCTGTGTAAAGTGTTCAATCTTCAACATTAAAATACTACTATTCATGGACAGTATTTACACAAAAATATTGAAATGAAATATTGGCTGATATTACACATGACTCAGTAAATGTTAAAAATCTGTGAAGGATCTTAGGTTTGTCAATCATAGATATTCGCAAGAAACACTTTATCAACATGAACACTTTACATACCAGGATCGTCACTAATAGGCACAGCTCCGAGATCACCGTCATCTCCTCCTGTTTCCGAATCCTGACTACTCGATGGCTCGCACAAGCTCCTTTGAACCTGTCCTTTCTTATCATCAACTGCCATTGGACCTTTATTTACGAATTTGACAGGTGTACCAGACTCCAAACATTCTTCAATCAACTTCATAATTTTTCGGCCTTTTTGTACTTTATTTGGAAAATCATCCCATTTCCGAATGATGACCTGATCGTTAGGCGTTTCATGTTCTAAACTGTCTTCTGTGAAACTATCTAAGGACGTGTTACTGTCCTCTCTAGGAAGTTTCGTGTTATACTTAACACACACAACTTTCTCTGTAAACAGAGTTTGCAAAGTTTCAATCGACCCAGCATCATCACTGTCTATACAATCATTATCTTGTACATATAAAAAGACCCTCGTTTTAAACTTGAACGGGGATTTCAGCTCTTTCTCAAAATGTTTCCACGCTGGTGTTTCAATATCTGGCGTTGTCATTATATAAAGATTCTTTCCTTTGACGGTTTTTCGAGACCTTACAAAAATTTTCTTCCGACATGAAAACGTTTGAAACATTTTCTCCTGACATACTAGAGCATTGGCAACATCGCATTTTGCTTCCAGGTTGTGTCCGACAACGATAACGTAAAGACCAGAATCTAGAGGAAATATTTATAACAGGATTAACATGTGGATTGGTTTAATATATTTACATTCCAAAATAAAGTTTTTTGATAATATAATCGAACATAAAACTGCACGTGATATACATCGACTTAATATATACGTACAATAGAAGTTTTTTAGATATAGAAAGTGGAGTCTTGCATGTCCATTATTTTTCTAAAAGTCTCGCATGCTTACATTTCGCATCCGGCGAAATGAGTCAATTTAACACTATACCTAATGGCTGTTTTACTTGGTCCAGCTCTTCCATGTCATAATCTTATGATAGAGAAAGGTAGACATATTGGAATAGATAGAGATTTAAGATATTGCTTTCATTGCCTAAAGACAATTATTTATGTTATTGAGGTTGAATATCATTTTTTCTCTGAATGTTCACTATATAACAATATCAGAGCTGTCTATTTTAAAGATACATGGTTACATCATCATTCCCACCATTTATTTTATTCTCTCATGTCATCAACAATAATAAATGAAGTAATATCTATTGCTAAATATATATATTATGCAATGAATGTAAGAAAGTAAGAGCTAAATACTGTATAATTATTTACAAATTCAATTCATTACATCTAGTAACAAATATAATTGCAATTTATCACTCTACTGTTTGATGTATTGTTGTACTTTGTATTTTGGGCCTGATGCCTATATTACTAGAAATAAACTGAAACTGAAATTAAAAAAAAATTGGCACTGTCCATTTTGTGCCATTTCCCTGAATTTTAGGGATATCAAAAGCTTGGGTAGAGTGCCGGAAGTACAGGGCTGGCATGGCTCTACACTTGTGGCAAAGGTTAGCATTTACAGTTCCATCGGTGTAAGCAGTAATAGTCTAATTATGATAAATGTGTGTTAACTCTATGATTATGTATTTGTTGAGTTTAATCATTTCTTTTAAAAAGATTGTTGAATTTGTTGTAATGTCTTTGATTATCTATTTTGTTTCAAATTGATAAAAGACACATTTTCTGTCATGTAGATCAATAATTTGTTTTTCTTTCGAAATGTTTTTTTTCCGATGTGGAAAATAAGGTTGGCCTAAATCAGTATATATAATTATACATGTAGTTAAGTTTAAACATTTTGTTAAAGCTCGATTGCGGAAACTTATTTTAATCACTTCCTGGAACTAATCATTAGTGGTGTCAATGAGGAAACATGGTCCGTGTATGGCTCGAACCCAAGATCCCTGGATTGAGAGACAGCTAGTATACACTAGGTCACCGTTTCCCTTAACATAAGATTAAAACTCGTGTGCAGTCGTGACGTTAAAGAGGCGCATATACTACTCTCGTGTTTGAAACTTACAAACAACATAGAAAGCATAATCGTGTTTACTTGATTAAAAGAGGAAGATAAACAAAGTAATAACTGTATACATGTAAATTAATTTACTTGGGTTGTAGATTCTGTATTGTTTCTTTGATTTTTCTTCATGTTTTTGATTGGCTTAAAATTGGTCAAAAGGTTTGATCGATATATCTAGAAAAAGGTCTAAAGATGGTGTCCGCCTGCTTTAATAGCTCAGTTGGGATAACATCCTATTTGTAATCCGTTTAGTCCTCGGGCAAGACGAAACTCCTACTTGATAATGAATCTCAGGCCATCCTTAAAAAATGTTTGTTTGCAGTAACGCGGCCGACTCACAAAATTTGCCCCTACTCAATTTTTTTTTCGTGGTCTGGATAAAAAATTATTTTTTTTTAAATCAGAAAATTATGCCTTGTGCTTTAAGGTTAATAGAAGAAATAAAATGTAGTTCTTATTAAATTAGAATTCAGTTATCAATTTATTAATTGTTACCAGATTATCAAAGCATAAATTGTCCAGCATTTTGAAATTCCATGTTTATTTGGGAGAACAATTCAATAAAAAAAAATCGACCTACCTACCCACCTTGAAAATTCAGGGTCGGGTTACTGCAAACAAACATTTTTTTAGGACGGCCTCAGACATTGAGTTTAATAATCATTTGTCTCTCACGACTGATCGATTAAGGTATCAAGTTGGACACTAGCGGAGAAATTAGTGCCGGTTAGACGGACTGACCGCTGAGACATGACTAAAATGTGCTAAAGAATCGGCGTTAAAATTATCTCCAACTAACCAAACAAACAAACTAACTAAAAATGTAATATATGTACTATATAATATGTGTACTACATTATGGTACAATATCATGTCGGCTCGTTGACCTATATATCAATTACTAGAACCAATTGAACTATAAGTGAATATCTTTAAATACATATGTTTGTTTCATTGGTTTGATTGGGTTTTACTTCACATCGACACAGTATAGGTCATATCGCGACGTTCCAGCTTTACTGGTGGAGGAAGACCTCAGGTGCCCCTCCGTGCATTATTTCAGTGAGTAGAACCACCGACGTTCCGTAAGCTAGCTGGACAGCTTCCTCACGTGAAAGAATCCAAAGCCCCTGTCGGGATTCGAACCCACAGCGGTGAGGGGCAAGTTGTTTGAAGTCAACGACCTTAACCACTCGGCCACGGACGCCCCTTAAATACATATAACAGTATTAGCAACTGGCAGTGATATAAGAGACAAATTTAGTTAACATATTGATTCTTAATATTGATTGATTGTGTAGATTTGCGTGTCAGAATCTGTTTTCCTTATCAAAGCTAGCAAACAAAGTGGTACAGTATACAGATATTATCACGCCCGTTTAACTCACAACGAGTGAAAAATGTCCATCGGTAAAAATGTTGTGAGCAACTTCCGTTCCTCGTTGTGAGCACCCATCTTTGACGTGTGACACGATAAACAAGGTGAGTTTTTCATAATTTTTGAAGATTACAGACATTTATGTAAAAATATCGAAATGCAGTTAGCTAGCGATGTGTTTTCCGAGTATGCATATGTAAAGATATTGCCTGTTGGTGGACAATTTGATGGAAATACCGTGCGACGCAGTCACTCGGGGTAGCTGGAAAACTGGAGACAACTTCTCTTATGACCTAATTTAACATTGAAAACGTCGATTCTGGTGACGTTTTGTGCATTCTAACCTGAAACAGATGCCCACAAGTCTTCAGCGTAAATTATTATCTGAAAGTCTTCATCAGGGCTGGGAATCAAAACTGCGTCGTATCCTACAAAATGTAAACAAACGCCGCCATCTTGGAACGACAAATGTATGTTTTTGTTTATAACTCTTTTTGTTAGAAATGACTGAAAACCAGATATATGTATTAACACGCTACACTATTTTCCGCTTCGTTCGGTATATGTTGCTTGCACAACTATTTTGTAAAACAAAAGTTATAGCGAACTTGCAACTCGAAGCGGAGCAGAATTTTTATAAAAATGTGTGGATACGACGCAGTTCATATTGCTTTATCTATCGTTTCTCCTTCAAATCAATTATATACTCGTTTTCAGAGTCCACCATAAACTTCAAAACATAATTTTGCATCAATTACTAAATTTCCATTAAAAAGAGATGTTTATTTTCCAAGAAAATAATGATTTTTACGAAATGATACGACGCAGTTGAAAATAAAATATGATACGACGCAGTTGTATTTTCATTGCAGGCTGCATATTGGTTTTAAACTATTTAAATTATGTGCTAGGTATGCTAATAACGTCCAACAACATTTCTTGTTTACAACTTAAGTCAAAAGCAGAGGTCACGAGGTCACTCATTGGTTCCATAAAAATGGAAATGTAATACAATTCTATTAAGGCTGCATTTTTCAGTCGCATTTAAGAACCTATCATAAGCATCTACAAATTCCGAAAGGCTCTATCAAATGCAATATACATTGAAACACGTGATCGCACACCCATATGGCAACGTGTTCCAGTGTTGCCTTAGCATGCTTCTAAAATTGTTCACGTGAGTTCGAAATGGGATCAAGTGATTACTATTTTTGATTCCAGTGTAACCTCTCCTTGACCCTGTACTAGTATTAATCAGGAATGACCTTTTTTAAAAAAGAGAGAAAAAAAAGAAAGAATTACAAAATTTGAAAAGGTCTCTTGTTATCGAAAGAGAGCTATGCGCAAATTGCATGACTACCTTTGTTACTTGTAATTAGCAATAATTTCCGTCAATTCCGTTATTACTTATGTCTTTTACGTGCCGATTTTATTGTATTCATTTTCTTAATAATCGGTGAGAACAGATGAGCTTTATCATTTAAAACTGAACATTAAATTTTTAAAATTATATTATAAATGGTTAAGCTACAATATATTTTTGCAAGTAAGTTATGCGTTCCGTTTTCAGCGCCGCGAAACTTTACTTCTGATTTTGTCGTATTGCATTTCTTTATCGCCGATGAGGAAAGGTCTACGGAATGTTTTTTCTATATTTGCACTTTAGTATCATTCTTCTCCATTAAAAAACTTTAAATTTTCAAAATCGAGTTACATATGATACAACTACAGATTATTTTGTAAAGAAGGTGTCCGTTTTGCAAAGGTATTTTACGCTGTGCACCGATAAATTTGATAAGATATAGGCAGGCATGATCTTTCAACAGTATTAAAGAAGTTTTCACAATATTGAACAGAAAATTTAGGTCAGATTATCGCATCGAATTTTCAACAGACTAGAGACATGGCATCTTAACATACCTTCATACTAAAGTGTGATTTTTATTTGATAATGAATTGCCTGAAAACTTAAACAAAGGTTTTCAGAAAATGACTTCACAGAGGATTACCTCCTGTTTACATTGAAAATTTCTCTGCTAGTCATACCGAAATAAGAAATAAAAATGATATTCTCTTTATACTTAATTCAAATATTTATAATCTTAAAACTTCACGCCAGAAGTTAATAAAATTATTTGTACAGCTGACGTTAACAAATTTTGTTGAAAAAAAAAACAAATCAGACAGGTGTGTCCGACCGTGGCCGAGCTGTTTATGTTTACTGAATTCAAATCACTTGAACTGAACTGCTATGAATTCGAAAACCACCAGGTTCTTTTTATTCTTTCGTGTGGAAAACCTATCAAGCTAGTTTCAAAATGTCGATGGTTCTCTGCAGGTGCAACATTTTGCCTGAAATAATACACAAAGGCGCACCTGAGGTCCTCGCCCTTAGTAAAGCTAATGTGTAGAGTGAAAGTTTGAAAGCAAACCACAAAAAAGCAGTCATTACCCAGAACATGCAGAACCACAGTTAACTTAGAGCGTAGCTAGCCAACATGAATTCAAGTTAATAGATTTCTATATTTTTTGCGAAAAATTTAGGGATAATATTAAACCTGCAGGAAAATATAAGAAATTATTTCAGATATTATGATCAATTAGGTAACATGTTCATGTTTAACTGAAAAGTAGCTTCCGCAATGTAAACTTTCAAATTAAATGTTATATTGGACATGACACAATGTATTCTAAATAATCAAAAGCAACAGAACATTGCTATACACCGCAAATGATCTGGGGTTTTTTATCTAGCGCAAGTGATTATTCCATAAAATAGAAATATTTTGCCAAAATTATCCCTGTTGAAAAGACTGCCAAAAATACAACTGCGTCGTATCATATTTTATTTTCAACTGCGTCGTATCATTTCGTAAAAATCATTTTTTTTAAAGAAAATAAACATCTCTTTTTAATGAAATTTTAGTAAATGATGCAAAATTATATTTCGAAGTTTATGGTGAACTCTGAAACAAATATATAATTGATTTGAAGGAAAAAACAATAGATAAAGCAATATGAACTGCGTCGTATCCACACATTTTCATAAAAATTCTGCCCCGCTTCGAGATGCAAGTTCGCTATAACTTTTGTTTTACAAAATAGTTGTGCAAGCAACATATACCGAACGAAGCGGAAAATAGTGTAAAGTGTTAATACATATATCTGGTTTTCAGTCATTTCCAACAAAAAAAGTTATAAACAAAAACATACGTTTTTCGTTCCAAGATGGCGTCGTTTGTTTACATTTTGTAGGATACGACGCAGTTTTGATTCCCAGCCCTGTTCATAGAAACGAAGATATACCCTTTTTTGCTTTAATCCTCGTTGTGAGCACCATAACCTCGTTGTGAGCAAGACGAGCGGTGCGTGTATGGTTTTAATATGTAATTCAGATGGTGAAAATATAATTTTCAATCTACCACAGCAATTAAAACGTTTTTGCACAGCAGCATTTCTTTGCAAGACGTTGTGCATACCCCAAAGGGAGGCATATTAGTTTTGAACTGTCCGTCTGTCAGTCCGTCAATCTGTCCGAAAACTTTAACATTGGCCATAACTTCCTTATTAGTAAACGGATTTGATTCATATTTGAACACAACATCCCTTAGCACCTTCCTACGGACCTGTATTTTTTTACCTTGACCCCTGAATGGCCTTTACCTTGAAGGTCAAATTGTCCAAAAACATTTAAGATTGGCCATAATGTCCTGGCATAATGTTTAGGCACAACACATCTTTGGACAAGGCCTTTCAACTATCCTATATTCTTTTGACCTTGACCCCTGAATGACCTTCACCTTGAAGGTCAAATTGTCCAAAAACTTAAAAATTGGTCATAACTTCCTTATTAGTATACGGATTCTACTCATATTTTGAAACAACACCCCTTTAGGCAAGACCTTCAAACTGATCTGTATTTTTTTACCTTGTACCGTGAATGACCTTCTAGAACATCCAAAAACTTTAACATTGGTCATAACTTCTTTATAAGTAAGTGGAATTAATTCATATTTGGACACAATGCCACTTTGGACAAGACCTTCCAACTGACCTATATTTATTTCACCTTGACCTTGAATAACCTTCACATTGAAGATCTAATTGTCCAAAAGCAAATAATCATTCTGGTCCATAAATCAAAGGACAAAGCACCACTTCAGGGGCATTGTCAACTTACCGTGATAGTTCTTGTTTTACATAACTTGGTCAGTCTTCAGCTCAGGATAAACACATGTATGTGTGTATCACACAGATTGTGAAATTGTTGGAATATTCATAAACACCCCGTGATGTTCACTCGTGCCACACTAGAGTATACGAAATAAAATACCTGATTTACCTCCACTGATTAGTTCTTCTGTTAATCTGATGACTTGTGAATATGAAGAATAATTTTCAAAAAAAAAATAAAGAAAAAGAAGAACTATTCCAAAGAAAAAGCTATTGTACAAAAACGTTTTGATTGCTTTTGGTAGATTGAAAATTGTATTCATGTCGTTTGAATTACATATCAAAACCAGACAAGCACTGCGCTTGTCTTGCTCACAACGAGGTTATGGTGCTCACAACGAGGATTAAAGCAAAAAAGAGTACATCTTCGTTTCTACGAAGACTTTCAGATAATAATTTACGCTGAAGACTTGTGGGCATCTGTTTTAGGTTAGAATGCACAAAACGTCACCAGAATCGACGTTTTCAATGTTAAATTAGGTCATAAGAGAAGTTGTCTCCAGTTTTCCAGCTACCCCGAGTGACTGCGTCGCACGGTATTTCCATCAAATTGTCCACCAACAGGCAATATCTTTACATGTGCATACTCGGAAAACACATCGCTAGCTAACTGCATTCAGATATTTTTACATAAATGTCTGTAATCTTCAAAAATTATGAAAAACTCACCTTGTTTATCGTGTCACTCGTCATAGATGGGTGCTCACAACGAGGAACGGAAGTTGCTCACAACATTTTTACCGACTCGTTGTGAGTTAAACGGGCGTGTATTGTATATATTTAATATGAACGGATTACTGATATTTGAATGACAAAATAATTGTTTTCTTGATGTTTATAAAGCTGGAAATAGCCAGAAGTAAATACAGCTTTAAATTGAAGAAAACAATAGACAGGTCATAGTACCAGGAAGTGGAATGAAACCGAAACCAGTTAAAGCAAAAATATCAAAATTTATCTGTCGTGGAATCCCTAGGAATGCTTCCAATATGCTAAAAATAGAAATTGTAACAATATTTACCTGGCATTTTGCCGGGAAACAAAGAAAGTTCCAAAATCACGCAGGAAACATTTCACAAAACTCCGATCATTTAAACGCTTAATTGGTATTTGTGGTAGTGTGTGTAGGTAGTGACCTCCCCTGTTTTAAGTGTGCACAGCGTATCTATATTATAAACTAAAACATCAAGTCGCCGGATAAAGATATGATTGTATTATCATAAATATAAGTAAATATCAGTTAAATGATTCGAATATAAAGAAAAGAGGAACAATAAGCTGAGAAATGATTATTCATAATAAAACATCATATTTGAAGCAAACTGGCTTAGCAATATTGTCAAGGAACTGTTATCATTATTTAATAAGGAAGTATTGTTTGGCAATATTGACCTGAGAGTTATTAATTTTCGGGAGGTGTTTCGTAAGTTTCCGTAACTTATTATGATTAATGTTAAAGATTTTATTGTAAGTATAATTATATATCAATTGATAATGCTCGATGGCCTAGTGGTAAGTATGACGAAGTTGTGACCTAGTAGGCACAAGTTCGAATCTTATAAAATCCTGTTTATAATTTTCATAAATTAATTCTTATTATATTTTTTAACTATATAAAACATAAGTTGGTAAATCGTGTGTTTCATTTCTAGCACTATTTTTATTTCATAATTTTGATAAATTTGTATTGCCATGCGTACGACTTTAAATACGTTCTGATTTGCAGGCATAACACATAATGGTCAAGTTTTACGAAGTACAAAAAAAATCACTTTATCGAACCTACACTCTTCAATTTGAAACTTACTGAAAATTTAACACCTTGTCATCAACTTGTAAGGCAAGTGATATGCTGGTAATTCTACTTGTAATTCTACTTTATACATATACCGTTGTACCATACATTGAAATCCGTATTGTTTACTTCAGAATCCGATAATTACCGACAAATAATTACCGTTCATCGAATATTTACAAAGCGACTTTGAAAATATATATGCTTAATTATTGCATAAAACAATGCAATTCTTTTGTAAAAGTGGTGTTTGCATAAAAAATTATTCTTATGCGCTATCGAAAATATATATAATTTAATTGAAATCAATATTCCCGTCGTTACATACGATATAGTTAACGTTAAATTGCCTTTCAGTGCCAAAAACTTTCAACACAAAGATAGATTATTAGTTTTCTCTATGTTCCGGCACCCTACCGGCATACCGTTTTGGAAACCTGCGCGACGGAAATCGACGGAATGTACTTTGTGATGTCCAACCTAAACTAAACTCTCGCACGATCTTGTCAGAAATTTGACAGAAAGGGCCAAGTATAGCCCTTTACCAAGATAAAAGGAAAAGGTTTTGAAAATCTATTTTAAAATATGAGTATACAGACCTTTCTTATGGTATAAGATATGAAACTGATTAATGTAAAATAACTTTGTAATTATTCATACATCATTACGTTGATTTGCACTTTATTAGCTTCTCTAACTTGTGCCAACCATTCACAAGTTACCTGTATATCTGTCTTATCAGTCATTTAATTGTTACTATTACAACAACATAACGTGTAATCACGTGATTCTTACAACAGAACAGGGAGGAACTGTTTATAACTGTCTTGATAATCAAATTTTGCTCTTTTCAATAGAATATTTTGCGTTAACTTATTGTGATTGCATGATAATCTATGCATGGTATATATCAGACACATAGGCCGATTTTTGTTCCAACTAAAAACTCTACCTTGGATATTAGCAAGTCACTCACGAAGTCGTACCTATACCTTCGTACAGACCTCCCTCGTACAAATAATAAAACATATAGTTTTCAAATGGTTGAACATGCGTTGCAATATTATGGTAATTACAATATATTTTTTCTTACCCAGAATTAAGTAACAAATGACCGTGAAATGAAAACAATTACATTATTTAACACATAAGAATGGTTTCTTCCAAGGACACTCACGAATTCATGCTGTCTTTGTATTTGCTGTTTGCCATTTGAAAAACAATTTTTAATTACATTTATTTGTTCTCTTACGTCTGATGAATACAAGTTTTGTAGATTCAACGCCCCGTGATATAACCGCAGAGCTGACCACGCGTGTACACCCCAGCTCATGTTCTACTTTCAATATTAATTCAATGAAATATGCTATATATAGATAAAACAGCTCGTTATTTATTATCTCCCTTACACCATTAATCAAAACAACATTGCTGTGTGCTGTCAACTCAAAGTCTATTTATGGATTTAATTTAAACTACGCCCCTTAGAGGTATTTAGTCGGTAGTGATAATATTATGTCTACTTCGTTAATCTGGGATCCCATCGTAAACATACATTTATGTGTTTTACACAACGTAAATAATATATGAAACGAAAGTAGGAATAGGGAATGTTAGGGTAATCACCGAAATTTTCATATCTATAATAGGCCAACAAAGCCATTTTACAATCGATTATTTCCCTTTACCTGCACTGATTTTTTTAATTAAAGGTTAAATTACACATACTTAAGAGAAAGAGATTATGGGTAATATTTATATAGAGCCTAATAAGAGTAATATGCTTGTTATTTATTTGAAAGACTTAACTATGAACATTTTCTACTGTAAACAATTTTCTACCTAAAGCTCTCATTTTTATGCTGAAAACTGAAATCAAATATGTGTTGATAAAATAGCCCGACTCGATTCATTTGCAGAGGTAGGTCCTATTTAAATCTTGCATATTAATATCTCCCAATACTTTAAGAATAAGCCAAACATGATCAAAATAAAAACAATGAGCCGCGCCATGACCAAACCAACATAATGTGTTTGCGACCAGCATGGATCTAGACCAGCCTGCGCATCCGCGCAGTCAGATCAGGATCCATGCTGTTCGCTTACAGATCCTATAACAAGTAAAGAAACTGATAGCGTACAGCATGGATCCTGATCTGACTGCGCGGGCGCGCAGGCTGGTCTGGATCCATGCTGGTCGCAATCCCATGATGTTGGTCTTGTCGTGGCAAGGCTCAAATAATCTTTCAAGGATTCAGTTTTATACCATTTTCAGATAATTGTTTACCAATTAAGCTTTATTTTCTTATTTCTTCTGCTTAAAAATAAAATTCCTTTAGATTTTTTACTCAAAGTGACCATTTGCAAATCTTCCTGTATGTCTTTATAACATGAAAAAATAAAACAAAATAAAAAAATTCTGAAGAAGACTAAGAAAAGCGTTTGTTTTCATTGAACTTAATTATTATATATTTTATTCCATGAAATATACCAAAAATGCAAAAGTAATTATATTCAGGAAAGGAGAGATCTGGCCACAGTTCCGAGTTATTTCCTGGATATTGTGATTATTCTGTATTTAAGTCACTAATTGTCTTTAAAATGTTTTTTTCAGCATCAAATTTGTTTTTGTAACTTCAAACATGAACTCTGTCAAATTCGAAAACATTGCTGTTGATTATAAATGTCACGGACGCCGTTTTTGCATGACTGAATGCTCGGTAAAATAAAGTCATTTTACATGGGGGTACAAACATATAGCAATAGCAAAATAATCTGCAAGGTGAAGCACCTATTTCTTTGTGACATTTTGCATTGACAGGATGTTGCTAAAGCAGAGCGTTTTTTGTAGCCACTATATTTGCACTTTGCAGGTTTGATTTGCCAGAGAGACAAATGTGTTGTTTCAGACCTCGGACAAGGTGGTTGTCATTCGTGATTCACTGTCATTGATCTTTGATTTGGTACAAATGCAACGAATAGTCAAAAAATAAAACTTAAGATAAAATCTTTCTTGTTTTATTATAATATTATTTTCAACAATTATCAAAATGTTCATACACATATTTGTAAATTGTAACTCTGATTGCACATAAATCATTATCGATTACTTCTAAACTTTATTGATATTATCAATATATTAAACTGACTAGAACTCATTGATCCACAAACGCTTATCAATACATCACGAATATTCAAAGTATATATGTGTACAATTGAGGGTCTGTCATATGGTGAATAGTTATGGTGATATTATTTCGTATAATATATAGGTGATAGTAAAACCATACAAAAATGTATATGGATGTTGTAGGTAAGTTCGGTAACCCAGACTATTTACCGTGTACCAGTATCGGTATTATAAATGTAGTATATACCGTGGTTTTCGACGATGGTGTCATACACAAAACGATCCAACATATCTGTATATAGCACACAGTAAATTGTTCTACGACAAGATATAATTCTACATCATATTTATAAATGTCCATACTAAACCACTTACAACGCTCTCAACATGTTTTTTTTCGGGAAATATATATGAAAGTTCACACCTTTTTAATAATACGTGTCTAACATTTGCTTTTCAATATTTGAAAAACTTCTGGAAAATATGCCAATTGTAGACCAATTCTTTTTAACAATTGGTTTTTAATTTCTCGTAATTTGATTTCTTAAGGCACATTATGCCCGCAGAAATCCACATTTTTAAATATATCAGAAATGTCAACCATCGGTTTAACATTATTTACATAATGGAACAAGAGCATGTTTTACAACTTTAAAAATAACTTTGAACATGCAGTTATGCCTTAAAGATGAAAGTAGTATTTTGACTCCCTTATAAAATACTTATTCACTATAATTACACCAATTGTCAATAGAGCTAACGATGCAAAAGATAGATAAAGTATATAGCAAAACAAATGAGTATGTTTCGTAAATTGCAATAAAATACATGTATCAAAAAGTAAACATTTTTTTGAGAAATAAGAATTACAGAATGTCTGAGGCCTTTAAAGAAAGCAGTACAATACAATGATAACAAACATACACCTTTGGCAGATAAAGACAGAACCAAATATTTGATTTTTCATTATCTGCAAGTGATTTTTGAAGTTTTCCTTAATAGCAAGTTATTTAAATACAGTAATGATAATTTTCATACGCTGCATACAGCAATAAACTTGATAACATTTGCTATATTATTTTCGTTCATTTCACAAGGATAAATTCCCTTGTCGACGTGAAATGCCACGTCGTATATACCGCCAATGCCTTTAAACTCTGGGCCACTCAACACACGGTCACTAGATTGAGCTGGAAGAGCATGCTCGTCCTTATGATGACATACCAACACGGCCATCTTCTTTGATGAGACTGAAATAAACAAAGTAATACATTTGTTTTTATTTTATATCATATATTAATCTGATTTATAAAACGAAATTGAATCTGATTAAAAAGATAAATAAAAGATATAAGAGGCTTAGTCATTTTTTTCTTGATAACTATCGTCAATGTAAGTGTCAGCAATATCTGGTGAGGCGCGACGCAGGTCACACGACAGATTCAATTAATGCAACTTATGCTGCCTGATCAACCATCTTTGTGGTTAAATTATAGTTCGAACCTTTACACAGCGGAAGTATGATACGCTGATTTAATGGGTTAGTATTAATTGACAAGTACGATATTAAATGTTCAGAAAATTTGGAAAAAAAGAACAATCTCATTGAATAAAAACACAATTTCAACAATTAAATGAAAATTTACCTTTAAATTTTTTAACCAATGTCGAAGCATCTGTGCCAAGTCTTGATGCATTTATACACAGCAAGAGAAGCGGCTTATCAGCTTCAACGTTGCTAGTGTCTTGACATTTGACGAATTTCACTTCTTTTCCTTTGTTATTCAACCGACTTCTAAGCTCTGTCATCAACTTTTCTTCAATAGTCTTAATGAGACCAGTTTCGGTTTGACAAAACAACTGCACTATGAAATCAAATAAAAAAAGTCAAGTGATCTGCTTGAAAAGTTGTTCATTCAGCATATAAATAATGGCCGGTCATTACCTCTCTATCTCTCTCTTATCCCGTATCTTTAAATGAGCCGCGCCACGACAAAACCAACATAGTGGGTTTGCGACCAGCATGGATCCAGACCAGCCTGCGCATCCGCGCAGTCTGGTCAGGATCCATGCTGTTCGCTTACAGACCCTATAACAAGTAGAGAAACTGATAGCGAACAGCATGGATCCTGATCAGACTGCGCGGATGCGCAGGCTGGTCTGGATCCATGCTGGTCGCAAACCCATTATGTTGGTTTTGTCATGACGCGGCTCAAATATATTAACATTACAAACACTTAAACTGTATCCTTAATTACTTCCGAATAAAAAAAGATCTAAAATCAACTTTTAATTATCTTATACAGCGAACATGCCAATACATATCTTTAAGATTTACGAAATACCAGTATATTAAAGGCCCATTATGCTCCAGAATTGCTTTATACTTTATACTCAAAATAATTTATATCCTGCTTTAGTTTCCCAAAAAAATATCATTGCCACCTTTGCACATGATGTTTTTTAACAATCAGTACAGTTATAGTGATTTAGTATGTTGTTAGATAGTAAAAATACAGCAATTGTGCTTTGTTTACATATTGCTTGTTTGATGACAAATAATTTCAGCACTACTTTCTTCCGGGGATAAGCATGTAATATGATATGTTATAAAACTCATGTTTACCATTTCTTAAAAAAGAAAATGTTATTAGTTTCAGAGGCATAATGTGCCATTAACAATACATAAGAATACATTTTTTGTTAATTTCATTACCTTCATAAGCCGACTTCTTTTTAAGTATTTCCAATTCAAGCTTAATCTCTTCATTTTCCTTCTGAAGAAGCATTCTAGCATTTTCAAATTCCCTCTGCATCGATTCTGATTTTACTGCAAATACTTTTGAAATATTTTCCTTATCTAACATCTCTTTGTTCAACTTTGCAATTGTGATTTTATGCTCTTCCGTTTGCCTTTCAAGTTCTTCAACTTGTTTGCGCAGCAGATCCCTCTCGGTTTTAAGCTGTTCTAATGCTCCAGATTCAGTGTCGCCTTCTGTTTCAACATTTACTTGATTTTGTATTTGTTCAATTTTTTGGCCAAAGATGTCCAATTTATGTAAATCTCTTTCTGTATTCTGTGCTTTCAGCTCATCTATCATTTCTTTCACATTTCTAAATTCATCTTCTAAGTTCTGGACATTCTTTAGAATGTTAGTTATCACTGACTGAGATGAGTTTTCCACTGTTTTTCTCATTTGACTGACAATGTCACCCTGGGCATTTGCGGGTGAATCAGCGGATGTGACCACGTGTGCTTCCAGATATGAGCCTGGACGAAGCCTAGGCTGACCTTTATACTTCGTCTTTAATACCTGTTCGAGTTTTGCCGTTATAGAATCTAGATCCTTGTTGACTTGATTGATGAAACACTCCTTCTTTTGACTAGCAGCCTTAAAGTTTGTTAAAAGGAAAGTGACTTATAACAGCATATACAACGTAACCGAAAATGATTAAGTTCAAATTTATACAAAACATACAAATTACATAAAAACTTAACATTAAAAGGAAGAATTGATTTTTGATTCACGATAAAGAAAGAAAGAACAAATGTTTTAATGGTTTCGTTAAATTTTACACAACAATGTAATTTGTAGTAGTGTGTCACTACGCCTATCTGTCTCTCGGTGCATTTTGACTTTTTCATTAATTGTTTAAACTTTAGTAATTCATATAACTTATTCTCAGTTACGTTCTGACATATCATAAAAATTTAAAGAGTCATGGGCAGCATTATGGTTGAACTGTCTGCCGCTCACCCATGGATTTTTTATTCGAGCCCAGGTTACGACTATGTTTCCTTACATGCCATCAGTGCATGTTACTTTCAGTAGACCGGAAGGTTATAAAGATTACTAAGTATTAAGACATTTTCCTCAATTGAGATAAAGATATAATATGCTCGTCTTTGAGTCAAATATTTTATTGTAGACATTTTATTAAAATCTTTAAATTTTTTTTACTAAAAGTGTCTGAATCTGCGTTCCTTATTATGAACCAGATTAAGATGGATCTTTCTTTTTAAAAAAAATGCTAGTTTTTTTATGACACTATATGTTCATAGGGTGTCCACTTATAGTGTGTAGGATTAAAGCATAACATATTTTCTTTGTGTGAAGTCAAAACATTTTTATTTTATACTAATTTTACAAAAAGTCTGTGTAGTAATTATCAATATTTTCAAATATCATATCTGAGTATAGTTTATCTTTTACAGGGGCGTCCATGGCCGAGTGGTTAAAGTCATTGACTTCAAAACACCTGCCCCTCACCTCTGTGGGTTCGAATCCCGAAAGGGACTTTGGAATCTCTCATGTGAGGATGCTTTCCAGCTAGCTTACGGAACGTCGGTGGTTCTACTCAGGTTCCCGTTCGTGCCTGAAATAATGTACGGAAGGGCACCTGAGGTCTTCCTTCACCAGTAAAGCTGGAACGTCGCCATAAGACCTTTACTGTGTCGATGTGACGTAAAAACCAATAAATGACTGTGTTTAAAGTATTTCAAGGATCAAGGATAAATAACGTTATAAAATGTTAGGGTACCCACCTGTATTGACACCATAAGTTGAATAGCTGTTGCATACAAATTCATCAGTTTTGTATATAGCTGCTCAAAATTTGAAGACCTTGTATCTACAAAATCAACACTCATATTACAAACATGGAAACTTATTATGACTATAAATGTAAACATGAAAATTTACTACAATTTGATATAATATATAAAATATGTAGTTTAAACAAATTTATTTTAGTTCAGTCGAAGCTGTAAGCTTATTGAAACTCTCTCGAATCCGTTCCTGGAATAAACCTGTACAAAGCAATAAATGTAATGTTTCTTGCCGTAGGAATCACCGGCTTGCCCCTGACAGGGTTTGAACCCACGCGATCAGCAATCCTGATATTAATAGTCCGACGCGTTAACCACTCCGGCATATTGAAAGATAATAAAACAATTTACCAGTAAAGTGATTTTCTTTATCCTCAAGTTGAGATATAAATGTTTTTGCAATGTTGGAAACAGAATCCAGAGCCTGAGCAATATCAGTACATCTGGCTTCAATGTCCCGAATAACTTCCTGAAATAAAGTTGAACAATGGTCATCATCGTATAAAAACCTTAAGTATGAGCAGTGGTAAATAATTATAAAGACAGAAACGCTAAAAAGACAACAACAACAACGACGACGAAAAATAAATTAATTAAGGTGCATATATGTGTACCTACATGACAGGTTAGTGCTAGTGTACGTAATTAGACATGTGACGTTTTATGTTGTAGATAAAGAGATTCAGACAAAATAATCAATTTGAAAAATACTAAATCATTATCCAAGTTTTAATGCTTTCTCCGCAAAAACAACATCAGCATAATTATGGTTATCTAGAAATTAGGCTAATGCGTAATCGTATTTTTTGTTGTTCTTCTTTTATGATTGGAAATAAAAGAACATGCACTGTCGTTTTTTTTTCAGTTTCTGCCACTCTGCTATTAAAAGTTAATCACATTTTGTGTCAGTCATTAACTATGTAAGTTAATCTAAACAGAATAAAATAGGGAATTCACTCGGCTGACTTGAACACGCTTTCTTTAACTAGTAATTGTTTACAAATTATATATTCCCCTCATTGAAAGAGATAAATACTATTTGTTACGCTGACTTTGAATGTAATAAAACTAAGTACTGTACGGTTCAGATTAATATTGTACTGAAAGTACAAACATATATAGGTCTACATAATATTATAATTTTACTGAATCTTATTTATTAACATAATTATCTTTTACCTGAAAGTCATTCATATCTCTTTGTCGTTTTGATGAAAAACAACCCATTGTATATTTTGAAAGCTTATAAGCCTAAGTCCAAAGGTTTCTTATAATATTGAGTACGATACACGGGTGGAGCGAATATCAACTGAACGCCACCAAATTGCTGAAACTTTTCTTAATAAAGTAGGCTTCTTTTGTTAAAAAGTAGGCTACTTTCGATTTTGAATTGTGGTTTTCCACTTCGAATGACCTCGACATTACTAACTTAGTCATGTCATCTATCTGATAAAGGCTTATTTTGTGTCATTTTAAAATATATCTTTATCGTCTGCAATTAAACGATAAAGAAATTTAACAGGTATGTACAATATATAAGCTTTTAAAACTAATATCAAGCTTAGTTTATTCGTGTAAGATAGCAACAAGGTGATTTACGGTTCTGCTTTCGATTTAAAAGCTAAGATACGCATTGAGGTATTGAAAACGAAAGTAGACGCATGTTATTTGATTTTAAATAGCTTAATTATCTTTCTGTCCTTTTCTATTTTGATAAGTAATATTGCATGAGGTGACTTACATAGGTGATCTATCTAAGTGGAAACATGATAAAAAAGAAACCGAAAGTAGTGATAACCACTATAGAGTAATTTTAATGTAAATTTATGAGATGACATTGAGGCTATACGATACATTATGTATATTACAATTTAATTCGTATTTCTGTTATTTAAGAAGCCATTAAAACATTTTTTTCATGTAATTTTAGTTACTATCACATCAGTTAAGCAACAATTAAATTAAAGAACTGGAGCAATAGCAAAAGAAAATTTCAGGAAGTTTAAGGTGAGCATTTAAATTTTATTGCTCATTAAATTTTATTGCCATTTTTAGACTGATTGTATCCTTTATGGTAATATTTTGATTTTAACTTAAGAAAAATGTACTGACATATTAAGAGAAGTGATAAGGTAATTATTTACATGTTTACAGTATTATTACCATATTTCCACTGCGTAACTAACGCAGTAACGGCTTTTTTTGCATACATGTATTTTGACTCTTAATTTACGCGGATTGTAAATGCCGTTTTCACCGTGTTAACTTCTTTCTTTGTTCACGACGAGTTACTTAGTCGTGCACAAGAGATAATTTAGTGGTGCGCACGACATAGTATCTCGTGTCCACGACTTAATTATCTTGTGCGCACGACCTAGCAACTCGTGGCCACGACAAAGTATCTCGTGCGCATCACTTAATTATCTCATGCGCTGGACTCAGTACATGTAACTCGTGGCCACGACATAGTATCTCGTGCGCACCACTTGATTATCTCCTGCGCACAATGTAGTAACTCGTGACCACGACATAATATCTCGTTCGCACGAGATAAATAAAAACACACACATGTCACCTTTGTGCCACTGTACTTATATTACTTACTTATTCTAAATATCTACAAATGTAACAGGATTCCATATTATATGTATTATCCATCTTCTAGTAAACGACATGTTTGCCTTCATGCTGTCGTGTATGTTGACGAAATGAATTTATGCTTGACTTGTTATTCAGGTGTTGGAGGTTCTATACCCTGTCTCCTTCTTATAATTGTTATGGTCTTTCAAATACAAGTGACCATACGAATGGTGTAAATCAATGCTCTTACCAGTCAGCTATTAAGGTAACAAAACTAGAGAAAGTAGTTTGATATTCACATTAATTCATCGAAGTCCAAAAGTCTTAAAACATGAAATTTGACTTTTAACATTCATCGGCTGGGGCACTTAAAACAGAAAGATTTGCAAACGATTATGTAGCTAAAGCTACTTCAGCGAACAGGTTTTACTGTCGCAACGTCAAAATAAAAGCGACATATAAAGTTATGGAAGCCAGAACTAACGATTATGAAGAAAAATAAATAGATTGCAAATCGTGTGTATGAGTGAGTCTTAGTATACCGTCGCAACGCTACTCAAATTTAGAATGTAGGTCATTTTTCAACAATTAGGAAAACGATGTTAACTAGCCAATCACACAAGTGAAATATTGATCTAGACCTACCAGGGCTGGGAATCAAAACTGCGTCGTATCCTACAAAATGTAAACAAACGCCGCCATCTTGGAACGAAAAACGTATGTTTTTGTTTATAACTCTTTTTGTTGGAAATGACTGAAAACAAGATATATGTATTAACACGCTACACTATTTTCCGCTTCGTTCGGTATATATTGCTTGCACAACTATTTTGTAAAACAAAAGTTATAGCGAACTTGCAACTCGAAGCGAGGCAGAATTTTTAATGAAAATGTGTGGATACGAACGCAGTTCATATTGCTTTAATCTATCGTTTTTTCCTTCAAATCAATTATATATCTGTTTCAGAGTTTCACCATAAACTTCGAAATATAATTTTGCATCATTTACTAAAATTTATTAAAAGAGAGATGTTTATTTTCTAAGAAAATAATGATTTTTTTACGAAATGATACGACGCAGTTGAAAATAAAATATGATACGACGCAGTTGTAATTTTTGGCAGTCCTTTTCAACAGGGATAATTTTGGCAATATATTTCTTATTTTATGGAATAATCACTTGCGCTAGATAAAAAACCCAGATTATTTGCGGTGTAAAGCAATATTCTGTTGATTATTTTAGAATACAATGTGTCATGTCCAATATAACATTTAATTTGAAAGTTTACATTGCGGAAGCTATTTTTCTGTAAAACATGAACATGTTACCTTATTGATCATAATATCTGAATAATTTCTTATATTTTTTCCTGTATGTTCAATATTAATACTTATTTTTTTTTCGCAAAAAAATGTAGAAATCTATTAACTTAAATTCATTTTGGCTAGCTACGCTCTAAGTTAACTGTGGTTCTGCATGTTCTGGGTAATGACTGCTTTTTTGTGGTTTCTTTTCAAACTTTCACTCTACACATAGCTTTACTAGGGGCGAGGACCTCAGGTGCGCCTTTGTGCATAATTTCAGGCAAAATGTTGTACCTGCAGAGAACCGTCGACATTTTGAAACTAGCTTGATTGGTTTTCCACACAAAAGAATAAAAAGTCCCTGGTGGTTTTCGAATTCATAGCAGTTCAGTTCAAGTGATTTGAATTCAGTAAACATAAACAGCTCGGCCTCGGTCGGACACACATGTCTGATTTGTTTTTTTCAACAAAATTTGTTACCGTCAGCTGTACAAATAAGCAGCTTTTTTATTAACTTCTGACGTGAAGTTTTAAGATTATAAATATTTGAAATAATTATAAAGAGAATAAAATTTAAATTTCTTATTTCGGTATTAATAGCAGAGAAATTTTCAATGTAAACAGGGGGTAATCCTCTGTGAAGTCATTTTCTACTAAAAAACTTTTGTTTCATGTTTTCAGGCAATTCATTATCAAAAATAAAGAATCACACTTTCGTATGAAGGTATGTTAAGATGTCATGTCTCTAGTCTGTTGGAAATTCGATACGATAATCTGACATTTTCTGTTCAATATTGTGAAAACTTAATAATTCTTCAATACTGTTGTAAGATCATGTCTGCCTATATCTGTATCAAAATTTATCGGTGCAATAGCGTAAAAATACCTTTGCAAAACGGACACCTTTTTTACAAAATAATTTGTAGTTGTATCAATTGTAACTCGATTTTGAAAAGTTTTTGATGGAGAAGAATGATACTTAGGTGCAAATATAGAAAAATACATTCCGTAGACATTTCCTCATCGGCGATAAAGAAACGCAGGGGTAAATGTTCCGCGGCGCTGAAATCATAAAATGACTAAACGGAACGCATAACCTACTTGCAAAAATATATTGTAGCTTAACCATTTAATAATATTATTTTAAAAAATTTAATGTTAGGTTTCAAACAATAAAGCTCATCTGTCCTCCGTCGATTATTAAGAAAATGAATACATAATAAATTGGCACGTAAAAAGACAAAAGTAATAACGGAATTGACGGAAATAATTGCTCATTAATTACAAGTAACAACGGTAGGCATGCAATTTGCGCATTCCCGATAGCGAAAGACCTTTTCAAAATTTGTAATTTTTTTTCTCTTTTTTTTTTAGAAAAAAGTCATTCCTGATTAATACAGGGTCCAGTGGAGGTTACACTGGAATATTGAATTTTGTATCATAAAATAGTAATCACTCCCATTTTCGAACTCACGTGAACAAGTTAATAAGCATGCTAAGGCAATACTTAGAAACATCGTTGTTCATATGGGTGTGCGATCACGTGTTTCAATGTATATTGCATTTGATACATGCTTTTCGGAATTTGTAGATGCTTATGATTTAGTACTAAAATGCGACCGAAAAATGCAGCCTTAAATAGAATTGTATTACATTTCCATTTTTAAATGAAACCAATGAGTGACCTAAGTTGTAAACAAGAAATGTTGTAGGACGTTATTGGCATACCTAGCACATAATTTTAAAATAGTTTAACCAATATTCAGCCTGCAATGAAAATACAACTGCGTCGTATCATATTTTTATTTTCAACTGCGTCGTATCATTTTTCGTAAAATCTTTATTTTCTTGGAAAATAAACATCTCTTTTAAATGAAAGTTTAGTAAATGATGCAAAATTATGTTTTGAGTTTATGGTGAACTCTGAAAACGAGTATATAATTGATTTTAAGGAAAAACGATAGATAAAGCAATATGAACTGCGTCGTATCCACACATTTTCATAAAAATTCTGCCTCGCTCGAGTTGCAAGTTCGCTATAACTTTTGTTTTACAAAAATAGTTGTGCAAGCAACATATACCGAACGAAGCGGAAAATAGTGTTGCGTGTTAATACATATATCTTGTTTTCAGTCGTTTCCAACAAAAAGAGTTATAAACAAAAACATACGTTTTTCGTTCCAAGATGGCGGCGTTTGTTTACATTTTGTAGGATACGACGCAGTTTTGATTCCCAGCCCTGCCTACATACATTTGTAAATCTCGGAAAAATTATTTCGAGTCCCGTCATGTCACAAACTTTAAGAGAGTCCCTTTAAAACATATGTTTCATTATTGTTTATTGCAATTGATTACGACAACAATTTTAATTACAAATAAATGTTGAATGTCTTGTAGATTGCTTACTAGCGTAAACATTCCACATCTCAGGCAATGTTCTATTTTCAATTTCAAAGTCGACATCGTTATACACCGCGCATTTTTACCTCCCTTTCATCATAAATGCAGATTTATGTTATAAATGAATGAATAGATAAATAAATAAATAAATTAATAGATAAAGTATTTATTTTTAATTAATTATCACTCTTTACCTAATGATTAATTAATTAGTTAAAAATGATACATCTATGTAATAATATTATACCATAAATAAATATGTACTTTTTTTAGATTTATTTTTTTATTTCTTTGGCGGGGGGGGGGATGAAATTGAACCACAGTTTTATTACAAACATTTACACATATTTTACATCTGGGGTGGGGGTAGTAGATATTGACCTGGCTACGCGCCGTGTGTTGTACATAGTGGGAACTGGGGATAATGGCCAATCAACGCTCCGAACACCTGCAATTTTGCCTACTGTATGAATTCAATTTAAGCTACGCCCCTTAGATGTATTTAGTCCAAAGTGATAATATTATGTCTACTTAATACATGTTATGTTAAGCTGGAATCCCATCGTAAACATACAGTAGACATATTTATATCTGAAACGAAAGTAGGAAAGTTAGGGTAATCACCGAAATTTTTATGTAGCCTTTAGAATCGATTATGTCCCTTTACCTGTAAGTCAAATAACGCATTTAAGATAGTAACACTACTGTCTGACCCTGGACTTGAAATAAATAGATTGTATTTATAGTACATTAAGATATTATAATTTGCCCAAACCTTGAAGATTTACCTTGAAGCAAGGCTACATGGGAACAGTGAAATCGAAACTAGAATCGTAATATATTTACAGAAATTAGGGAGTAGAAAAGCAAGGACTTTGTGATTGTGGCTGTAAGACGTTTATGAATTTTATTTTTTAGTAATCTTTCAATATTTTTCTTATTGTCATTAACGTTATTAAAACACTTTTCTTCTTACACATTTACCAGCATATCACTATCATTCTATTTTTCTAACTGCATGCCAAAATTAACTAAACTTATTCATAATTAGACACACTGTGTACTTGTGTGAGAGAGAACTTAATCTTGCATAGTAAAATATGCCTTACTTTTTTCAAATTCAGACAATTTAACCTTGAAATTTTGTAACTTAGAAACATATCTATACAAGTATATAGTCTCTTTACAAATTTAGTGCTTTCATTTTGCATATTGAAATATGATATTGTCGCCAAAAGGATATATTTAGTGTTTTAAAAATTCGTTTCAGTTCACACTTATCTTAAAAAATATATAATATATTAAAAACACCAGTCATTTTGTAATCCCGGTCCCGACTCCGAGAGATAGCGTGGTAGGCCCAGGGGTGATTGGGAGGCTAGCGAAGGCCCAGAATAGTGTAGACAAGCAGATGCTTAATGCCCCTGTACTGAACGAGCGTATGGCATCATCCGCTATATAGTGGCATTTTAAATGGAACTGAATGACATTAGCTATTCACCTCACTCCCTTGTGATGTGATAAGCGCCTATCGCATTGCATGTATATTTATTTCAAAGCTAACAACGAGGCGCTACTTTCGTTTTTAAATGAAAAGGACACACATCAGAGATACCTCTCTACAGATATGCACTATGTTTTTTTTATCTTGCATTTTGTTAATGGCAGGTTTTCTTGTTTTGCACATATATTTTACTTGAAATTGAATGACATTAATGATGAAATTTACAGAGTATGTGATGTAGTGTACGAAGGGGAAGTGTGACAATATAGTCTACAGACATTTCTTTCGGTAAGTATTTTTGTTAAATTAATTAGCATTTATCTTAATACTTATTTTGATAAGAAGATAAACTGTAATATTGAATCTATACGGCATCACAGTGCTTAAATTTAATCGCTGACATTTTTTGTCTACTCGTAATCAATTTCGAGCTATTCTTTTATATTTTTTTTGCGGGGGGGGGGGGGGGGGATGGGTGGGTGATTTCCATATATAAAACAACAGTTTTACAACATACTATACAGCTATAATGATATTTAAATCAAAATCTTTCATTGTATACTAATTTGAAAATAAAATGATTATGTTATTCGTTTTCCAATATTATCATACATAATTTATCAAAAATCACTGAAAATAAAAGAAATGAAAGAGTAGAATATGAAAATTGTTATATGAGGAAGATGTTGTTTAGCGAAATGAACTTCCCTTTCTTCTCAGATTGGGTGGGGCGTAGGTTTATTAAGGTGCCCGCTCGTGCCAGAAACAATGTTCTTGCATATCAGACTGGCGTTTCCGTTAGTTTTACCCATGCCGGAAATTTCATCTGGCATGGGGGGGGGGGGGGTCCAGATGAGTCGCGTGCTGTACAATGGCACGTTAAAGATGACGTCATTTTACCGTTATGAATGATTTTGTAATTCATACGCTGTTGAATGAAAGTAGGTACGGTTGTAATGATATAAATTTTCATTGAAAATAAAGATAAAGAATTTAAAATATAATGGAATATGGTAGAATATGCAAGAAAAAATATCTGACATATGTTTGCGGTTCGGATCGGAATATCCGTCCCTCGGTCACCCGCCCATGGGCGGTTACTCGGCAAGCCTCGTTACCGCCCAATGGGCGGATCACCTGGCGACGGATATTCCGGTCCGAACCGCAAAATATGACAGATATTATTACTGTGATGAGGACACCGGATTACCCCATTCTTCCGTAAAATTGGATGCAAAACATCTATTTTACTTTTTGTAAAGCTGAAACTTCCTTGTATGGGCTTTTAGCTTTAAATCTTTTTACTAGCTTTAAATGTCAATTATGCTCCAGAAATGCTTTTATTTCTATTTCGTCTAAACCTTTTACTGTTGTTTTGTTGTAAAACTTTCCAAAAGGTTTCTCATTCAACAGTTTTCTGAAAGATATTCTTTTGGCAATTAGTACGAGTACAGTTATACTGATTAAGTATTGTGTGTTTTAACATTATAAAACTCATGTTTTCTCTTGTTACTGAAGAATTATGTACTCATTTTTTAGGCAAAATGTGCCTTTAAAGCGTTGATGAATGTCTAACTAGCAGATATTTTGCAGATCTATTCAAGGTTAACAGCAAACCAAGGACAATGGGGAACGTGCCTTCTGTGAAGTTGAAGGAAGAAAATGCACACCTGGAAATAAATGAAAAACTGGTTCAAGATTTCCAAGTATTGACATTTTACAAGTTGCATTATATATATGCATGTACCATTACATAATTTCATGCTTTCAAAAAGTATTTCTATTTTAGTTTTTTTGCATGCCCGATAAGATTAAAGATAAAAGTAAGTAGAAATTTATTTAAACTTAATCGAATAATACGTGGGAAACTATAATAGTTAAATTTCAATATTAGAAAACTGCTCCCGTTATAAATCAATTTTTACTTTTGATTTACAGTATCATATTAAACTAGTTGACCATTCAATGGCGGCTTTTGCAAGGACAACAAATTCGTTAAGGGAATCTTCTGCAACTGTCAAACAAAATAAAACTGACGGTAACGGCGATTCTAGTGTGAAAGGTATGTAGCCATTTTCATATTCTACAATATATAGGAGTGTTTGAACATTTTCAACATGATTCATGATATCATATTTAACCAGGAAAACATTCTCTATACAGAAATGAAATATTTATAGAAAAATCACGTTTAAAAGTGAATTGTTTCAAAAGGAAAATTGTTCATTTTCAACAGATTGGTGATGTAATTTCATCACTGGCTTTGTCAAAACATTTGAAGTTCTTCTACGTTTATTTATTGTGTCTTAAGTCCTGAAACATTAACTTAATATAAATGAAATGCACCTATTGGTTCATTGTTTTTGCTCACTGAGTTGTTAGATCTACATGTTTGTGTCTACAGCTCCATTATGATCCCCAGTTTGATAAAGGTTCAACTAAGGTCAAAACAGCCTAAATCATTAAATTTAAATATCTTACATAAATAGAATGGGACACTTAGAGCAAGATTAAATTGAAAATTGATGTTTTGAAGCGATTAATTTATACCCCAATTTATTTAGGCTAAAAACTTTAAAAGTTTTTCAGTTTAGGTCATTTTTTGTACAATAAATTGACTAATATCCAAAAACGAAGTGAGCAAATGATTTGAAATTGTGCCGCCAGTTATTTGTATAGACCTTCATTAAACAGTATAAATTCTCGAAAAAATATTTCCAGTGCCGTCATGTAAAAAAATCTCAGTCGAGTCCCTTTAACATGGTCTTGTAATAATCTTAAGTGAGTGATATAAGGCCATCTCACGATTCTGAATCTAGTTGAGTCTGACATATTAGTGATATTACTATCAATACTTAGTTTTGTTATGTGTAACCAAATTATGTACAGTTACTTAGTAGTTGGTTAATAATACGGTTAACAATTGACCAATATAAAGCAATACTAAACATACACAACAAAATGATTACAGCCCTTTAAATTGTTAACATTGTTTTCTTTCTTTCTCACAAAGGTGTAGAGGATAAGAAAGAGCTGGGTAATAAACCCACGTTTATGACGATTCTCGAAACAATTGATGTAAGTTATTTCAAATACATTTTGATTTTCAATTTAACACATATTGACTCTTTATAGTATTGACAAGGACACATTGAAAAGAACACTCCAGTATGGACCTCTTTCAACAACCCATACTACAAGTGTATATCGAACCACAGTCGGAGGCTGAGGTCCGATATGCCTGATGATTTCAATGCCCTTTACACTTGCCGTTTGATATGTTTTCTAATCTTGTGCACTTACTTTTAAGACAACTCAAACAATAAAATATATTCAACATGTTCAAAAACACAGTAAGATTAATTTTGGTGGCATATGATATGACGTAATGTCTATTTGAGCGAATTATATTCATCGGAGGATCAACTGTTTCAGTGACGGTTCAGTTTTTAATGACTTTTTTTTAAAAAATGTGCAGCTTTGAAAAATCAATGTTTCAAAGTGTTTATGTATAGGATGTCGACTGAGTACGAGTTCTTTCTGTAAAAGATCAGAGTATACCGGTTTGATGAAATTGGACAAATTGAAATGTTTTTTCATCAGTTATTTGCTGCTTTAATAAATTCAAATGTGGGTAAATTTCGACTGAAGATGTAACCCTTGACCATCGGCCCTAAACAGTAACGTCTGTAAAGTGAAAGAAATATTCAACAATGATGCACGATACACCACTAAGCAAAAACGATTACCGTAGGTGTCTCATTAGAAGCCACTCATACCACTCTCAAACTTGATTTGAAAATGAGAAAGATCTGTGCAGAATGGATTTTCCATTTGCTGAGAGATGAGCAGAAAAAGACTCTCGTGTAATGTGCGTAGTTGTTGCTTAAGGCGTATCCGAGATACAATACACGGTCTTTTGCAAATGTCGTCACTGGTGACGAAACATAGGTTAAAAACGAACACACCAAAAAAAAATATGTGGGAAACAAAGTCTGGCAAAAGACCATGCATTGCAAAATGACTATTAGTATAAAGAAGGTAATGTATACCGTTTTTTTAAACTTCAGGGTCCCGCCATTCAGGTTGCTTTTCCTTAATACAAATCTGCTATTGTGACATTTAAAAAGACAAAAGTTATTTGAAAACCAAACAAATACTTTCGAAACCATGGCACGCAACAGATTTGACCGGTGTCAGATTATTGCATGACAACGCGTCAACGCACAAAGAGTCGTGGACGTCTTTCTGAAGCACACATATTGATATATAGTTAAGCTCAAACCACACTTATTGTATTCATCTGTCTTTGTCCCGTGTGAATTTATTTTGTTTCCCATGCTACAGCATACCTTTCAGGTCTAAAACATTCGTCTTGTTCAGCTCAAACACATCGGTTCTACAATATTTCAGTGTCATAAATGCCTAAAAGACTATGAAAATACCTTAAAAGACTGGAGACTGAAACTGTGTATATATGAGTTGAATAAATAGAGGGAACAAACTAAACAAAAATCAGTGAAACCTATGAAGCATGAAACTTTACGAGCTTGTTGATACATAATTGAAGACTCCACCTATCATTTTACACCAGTATAATATGATATAGTTTTCTTTTAAGTTTTGTAAACTTGTTCTCCTGTGTATAAGTCAGCTTAGGTGATCACGACGAACCGACTATCAAACGTTTAGTTCAAAATCAGATATTTTATAAAATGAAACAAACTGAGAAGAGAACATTTCTATTTTACTGAATTTGTTGTAATAAATGTCTAGGTATAGATAATGTATTGTTTAAAGAATACCAATAAATACAAACCACTGTTTTGCTAGCTAATGTTTCTGGGCGTTGTTAGCTAGGAGCCAATTACAAATAAATATATTAAATATACTTTAGGTTTGTTTGGGTGATTCATGTAACATATTTATTTTGATAGTTTTTGTCATTGTTTGATCAGGAAAGATAACTTCACTGGGATCACAAATAAAAGTAATTTTCCTTACATCCTTACATGATATTTTAGATCATTACGGGTGAAATCTTCAAACTATGACCACGATGTCATCATTTTATGAAAATACAATGACGTCCTAATGGATCGACATAAGGAGTGCATGCTTATCACTTATCTTAAGTAAAATGGCACGTAAATGTTTTGTTTAAAACGGTAATTATTCCATATATAGAAATACTGACATATAGACTCACTTTTATAGATCTACCTGTCAGACCTGAAATATCATGAAATGAAATAGAACATATTCGCTGGGTATTGTTGGCAACATTTTTAGATAATTATTTTTATCATATTTAGTTTTCATTAGAATAAATTCCTTAATGAAACGCCAACCGATTGCGATCAACCGATTTCTTGCATCAAATTGCCGAACAACACAGATGGAAATAAGGAATACCCTACATTAAAAACAACGGGAATCGGTCTTGTCGCAAACGAACAACGCTGTCAGATAATGGATGCACGTAGGGCATTCCATGCATACGACTGCGTTGCTTGTTAAAAGGACGCGGTTACTAACTAAAGAACCAAGCTTGCAGCGTTCTTTTCATCACAATATTTGATTTTTCATCAAGGAAATCATCAAAATGAAAATTAAATTCTACTAATAATAATAAAAATTGCGAAAAAATATATTGAATCACATCGTTTGCTGGCTCAATTATTGCACAGGTAGAAAACAGGGTAACAGTTTAACAAACAAAACATGTCCTCGGGCATGAATACAAAACAAAGAAATAAGGGCAAATTCTGTAAAAGTGCTTACTGCTTAGCAGACTTACCTACCCCTGTTAGTTAACAAATACATGTATGTAAAAAGGCAATGAAATAATTTGACAAAATTGACTTCAGAATTTTCAGGCCTTAGCCATTTGATAATAAACAAACACTTTGAGTTAAACGTGAATTTCATTGAAAGACATTGAGCAATGCAACAATGCAAACCATGACGTTGTAAGATAAATATTGCAAGCTTGGTGAGATTATATAGAGAATGTATCCCGGGGTAGTGGCGATCAATTTAGTTTAACAGAGACTAATGCACGCTCCTAACGGTCCCGGGTGGATTAGCACTACCTGCAGAGGAAAGGTATTGACTGGCCAACTCGAACTTTCTACCTTTATACAATTAAGCACATATTGATTGAGCTGCAAGTACAGATATAAGGTAACCATGTACAACCTAGAGGCATCCAGAAGCTGGATGCTTTGCTGGTGCCATACCAGCTAGGACTTTCACAAACCTTATAGGGAGCATGATTATGCTTTGCCAAGCATTTGACTTTAGCAATATGTCACACACACGATACGGAGTCTAAACTTGTAAATACATGTATAAATTTGTGATTTGGAGAGCAAATTTGGAGAGCCATCCACATAAAAGTTTGGATATATAATATACTTATTTTCGGCCTCATAAATAATGTTAAATCAGTAACAGAATTTAAAATTTGAAACTGACATTAAAAAAGGTTTGCACGACGTTTATGAAAACATTGCCGGAAATGTTCACACTAAAATAACAGGTGCTTAGCAAAAGAAAACAAGTATATTTTGAAAGTGAATATGTATACCAAGTTTAAAGTAAACAACTGATGTTTCGGAGAAAATGGACTTATCAGGGAAAGGCTTAGGTTGGAAAAGAGGCAATAACACTTTTATTTTTTTAAGGATTTCTTACTCTTTTAAAGGGTGTCATCTTATTTATTTATTTGTAGTGTATAATGATGATAACAAAAATGCTTAAAAACTTGAAAATGATCTTGACCTGCATTCAGGTTTTTTATTCATTTATAAAGTCCTACTGTAATAACAGTAAACACTTTTTCTTAAAATATACTGAAACTGACATGTCGCTGAAACAGGGTATATTTAAATAAAAATATGATTTACTAGATATAAAATTCTAGCTTATGCTATGCAATATCATGTGTCACAATAAATTTGGGCGGGTTCCAATAGCGACTTACGCACACGTCGACGGGTGATGCAGATGCAATAGTACACACGAATATTAGGGCTTATTTGAATTCCATGGGACTAGTGAACTAGCGAATGGAACGAAACCATAATCTTTTTATTTACTTGCACTAGCATCTTCGAAAAAAACTCTTTAAAAATCTCGATGTATAATGTAAGATAACACATTACTTATTTTAGGAAGCCCTGTCAGATCAAAGCTTCATCTTTATGGATTCGCTGAGCAGACTGCTGAGTTTCATCATAGAAATAGGTAAAGGCTGTGGTATTATCACACCAGACGACGCAGAGCTATTCACCAACAAATACAAGTCGGGAACCTTTGCAGATGTTTCAAACAACGACTTACAATATCATGATGCACTAATTGAATCAATGCGAAAGAAATTGAAAAGAATGAAGGAATCACTGCTTTTGACCAAAAGCAAATTAGACAATTTAAATGACAGAGAATGCCACTATCAAGAAGAAATTAAACTTTTAAAACGCCAAGAGAGCACTCTTGATACTCGTGTTTTTCAACTGAAACAGGAGCTTGAAAACATTAGAAGTGAAAAAAATTCATTAGAAATGGACATTAATAATTTGAAAGAAGAGCTAAGTGACCTGAAAATAAAAAATGAAACACTTATGTCTAAAAATGATGAATGCTTACGAAACGTTGGTGCACTTGGTAAAGATAAAGAAGAATTACAAAAGATACTTAACGAAAAGCAAAGCGAAGCCGAATCACTTAAAAACAATCTCATTGATGACAGAAAGAATACAGCGACACTCCAAGAAAATAATGCCATTAAGATTAAGTCCTTGGAGGAAGAAAAACAAAAGTTGGAAGATTACTTTGGACACATCAAGACGTTACACAGTCTTGGTCAAAAACGATTAGAAGAACTAATGGAAGAAGAAAAGGCTATTCACGCGACCGGGAACGAACAACTGTTGGATTCTATAAAGCAAGCATTGATAGAGTATCAGACTGAAAACCAAAAAGAGTCAAGACATGAAACGCTTGTTTCAGAGGAGGGTTCTAAAATTAATGAGAAATTATGTGAAGTATCAAAGTGCTTGCGATTACTTGACGAAAAAATAACGAAAATGAATGAGTTTAACAATTTACAGTCAGCTGAAATAAAACGCCTTTCTAATGCGTTAACCCAGTCAAAATTAGAAGAAGATAAATTAATTAGGGCATTGAACAACGTAAAAGAACAGTATCTTCGTTGTGAAGAGGAAAGGGCATATTTAAAGAAAAAGGTCAATGATTTGGAAACAAACAACACAGCTTTAGAAGAGGTTAATCAATTTGAAAGGTGTTTGAAAATAAAAGAAGAGGAACTGAAAACACTAAAACTACTAAATGAAGATCAGATTAAAAGAATTGCGGGATTGGACAAATGCTTATCTAACTCATACAAATTGATTTTTATGAATTTAAAGCTGTTGTCAGATTACAAAAAGAGAGTGTCAATCGAGGACGGAAAACTTTTAATACATGAATTATTCAAAGCTGAAATCACTAGGATGAAACAGCAATCAACCGACATTAAACTGATCGAGGATAAAACAGACGTACTGCAGACACAAATAGAAGAGAAAGATAGGACGATACAAGGTCTCCAAACAAAATTAACCGGCCTTAGCGATGAAAATAAAGAATTGACAGCTAATTCAGATGCTCTTGTATTAAAACTACATCTTGCTCAGAAACAACCATTTGTCGGTTTGTATTAAGATTTTTGTTATTGTCAACAAATACTTAACTTCTATTTTCATTATTGAAACAATTGCAAGTAGCTTCAGTATTAAATGGACCATTCCAGTATTTGTAATTTCATGCAAGCTCGTTGACTGGCTTTCTAATTGCTTCACAGGGATAATATGTAGTCACTGGTTGAAATGTTTTGCACAGAAACGCACACATTGTTGCTTTTTTGACACTGCTTGAGACCATGGTAGCCGATAATTTTTTTATGGCTATAAAAGAGATTTTAGGTTGAGTCTCTCTGACGATACACAACAAGATTTTATAGTAGCAATTAATAATACTTCCCGATACTTTGATTATAATTCTGATCAATTTGTGTCTAATATCTATTCGAACGAACGTAACTGAATAAAGCGTTTTCTTTAAATTTTACTGCATCATTTTTGGATCTTCATATTACTATCAACAACAATACTATTCACTTAAAACTGACTTTGATATAGGTAAAGTAAAATAATTATTCACATTAAGATGGAGACGTACCCCATGCAAAATCTTACGTATATGTATTTCACTTAATTAGATTCGCCAGAGCTTGTAGCCACGTTAACGGTTTTAACGAGCGGAACATTTTCATAATTGCTTTCTAATTGCTTCATAGGGATAATAATTATGTAGTCACTGGTTGAAATGTTTTGCACAGAAACACACACATTGTTGCTTTTTTGACTCTGCTTGAGACCATTATTCACTTAAAAACTGACTTTGATATAGGTAAAGTAAAATAATTATCCTCATTTAGATGGAGACGTACCCCATGCAAAATCTTACGTATATGTATCTCACTTAATTAGATTCGCCAGAGCTTGTAGCCACGTTAACGGTTTTAACGAGCGGAACATTTTCATAATTGCTTTCTAATTGCTTCATAGGGATAATAATTATGTAGTCACTGGTTGAAATGTTTTGCACAGAAACACACACATTGTTGCTTTTTTGACACTGCTTGAGACCATTATTCACTTAAAAACTGACTTTGATATAGGTAAAGTAAAATAATTATCCTCATTTAGATGGAGACGTACCCCATGCAAAATCTTACGTATATGTATCTCACTTAATTAGATTCGCCAGAGCTTGTAGCCACGTTAACGGTTTTAACGAGCGGAACATTTTCATAATTGCTTTCTAATTGCTTCATAGGGATAATAATTATGTAGTCACTGGTTGAAATGTTTTGCACAGAAACACACACATTGTTGCTTTTTTGACTCTGCTTGAGACCATTATTCACTTAAAAACTGACTTTGATATAGGTAAAGTAAAATAATTATCCTCATTTAGATGGAGACGTACCCCATGCAAAATCTTACGTATATGTATTTCACTTAATTAGATTCGCCAGAGCTTGTAGCCACGTTAACGGTTTTAACGAGCGGAACATTTTCATAACTAGAAAGCTTCTCAACAGGGCTACCGCTATCATAAATTACGGAACTATTCTACAAAATTTTATTTTGCTCCCGGAAGGGAGAGCATATAGTCGGCACTTTGTCCGGTTGTCTGTCCGGGCTATGTAAGAGAAGTAGGGGGTCATCTAACTGTAAACAGAACAAAAGAGAACAATAGAGTTCATTCCGTAACAACAGAATAAGGGGCCATGGCCCTCTATTTAACAAAAGAAAATAACAAAAGAAATGGCCCCTTAGTCCATTTAAGTGGCACGTCCGTCCCATTTTCTTGTCCGGGACATAACTCTGACACAACTAGAGGTATCCACAAGAAACTTTTTAGGTAGATAGATCTCATTTTTAGAAGTGCAGTGTAGAAGAATCGTTAATCTGCCTTGCCTAATTATGGAGTAATTGCCCTTTGTTCATTTTTACCTATGAACTTTGTCCGGGACATGACTCTGAAACTGTAATAGATATCAACAAGAAACTTTGTAGGTAGATAGATCTTATTGGGTAAATGTACATTGCAAAAGAACTGTTACTCTGCCTTGCCCAATGTTTGAGTTATTGCCCTTTTACGATTTGACAGCATGAACTTTGTCCGGACCATAGAGAGATATTCACTTTAGAATCTTTGTAGGTAAATAGATCTTATTGAAACGTAATGCAAAGAACAGTTACTCTGCTTTGCCTAATTTTGGAGTTACAATGTATTGCCTTTTGTTCATTTTACACTTTGAACTTTGGCCAGAACATAACTCTGAAACTACAATAGGTATACTTTACTTCGACCGGCTGGCTCTTGTTATCGTTATTTTGAACTAATTTCAAAATTCAATACTGGCTTAAAAACATTTTTGCAACTAGGGATTAGGAAGCCTGACTTTTATGGGGAGGTGATTTCAAAACTTCTTAGGATCTTAGGTTATGGTATTTTTTCTGCTGTTTTTATTAAAGTTATTAGATGTTTTGTTAAAAGAGGATATGAGCCTACTAATTAAACTAACTAAATTCGGGGGAGCATATAGTCGCCGGGTTGTCCGTCCGTCCGTCAGTCCCGAATTCATGTCCGGTCCATAACTTATTTGAAGTCGGATTTTACAACTATTTTACAACCAGATTGAGACGACGTGTCGCGCGCAACATTTGGGTCGCTATCTTGAAAAGCAGAAAAATTGTGTCCGGCCCATAATTTCGCTATTTGAAGTCCGATTTTACAACTATTTCACAGAAATGATCACCATGTTTAGACGACGTGTCGCGCACAACATGTAGGTCGCTCTCTTGAAGGTCAAGGTCACAGCATCACCTTGCAGCAAAATAGTGTCCGGCCCACAACTTCATATTTGAAGTCGGATTTTACAACTATTTCACAGAAATGATAACCATATTGAGACGACGTGTAGCGCGCAACATTTGGTCACGACCTTGAAGGTCAAGGTCACATTATGACCTTGTTTTAAAGAATGAACATACCTACTAATATCTACCATGTTAAGACCACCTTCTTTGTATTTTTTAATGATTACATATTGTTTTATTTTTGCCTTACCTTCCCATATAAAATCATAAAATAAGTCATTAAGGGTTTTCAAAAAAGCAGTATTAGGTGTAGGTAGGCTTGTAAAACAATGAGTAAATAAAGGAAGCAATATTGACTTAACAACTTACAGTTATTTTTCCTAGTGGAGTTTTTTTCCAATGACTATAATACTATTTTTTACTTTCTGCAGCTTTGAACTTTGTACGGGACATAAATCTGAAACCATTAGAGGTATCAACATGAAACTTTGTAGGTAGATTGATCTCATTAAATAGAAGTGCAGTGTAAAAGAACATTTACTCTGCCTTGTTTATTTTATGAGTTATTGTCCTTTGTTCATTTCTAAACTTTGAATTTGTCTGTGACATAACTCTGATACTACAATAGGTATACTTTCCTGTGTCCAAAACCTATTCGGGAAGCATCACCCGGTTTAACCGGTTCGAGTTTTTATTTTATTCTGAGTCTAGTAGACATCTGCAGAAGTGCATACTTAAACACAGTTATGTCTGCGGGTGTGAAATTACAATGCCAAGAAGCTTTAGAGCTTCAGATATTTTGTATGCAGCATTTCGTACTGGATATCTACAAATATTTTGAAAATTATTTAGTTTGAATTAAAATTACAACCCAGTGCGAAATATTTTCTGACTTGTATTGAAGAATTGTGACTTTTTCTGGAAATTTATCTCAAAACAGCGGTCCAGGGTCATCATGGCCCATCAGTCTTGTTAATCTTTATGGATTTAGAAATGTTTTCTATAGCATGCTATACACCGCCTCCGTGGTCGAGGGGTTAGAGTCGATGACTTCTAATCCAGTTACCTCTCTGGCGTGGGTTCGATCCCCGGGAGATGCTTTGGTAGTTTAGCGCGGAAGAAGGTTGTTTAGTACTGGTGTAACTCTCCAGGAACGATGGTTAGGAAACTACCCGCCTATATGACTGAAATAATGTTGGGAAAAGGCGTAAAATGAAACAAACAAACAAACAAACTATAGCATGCTATAAAGTCAATATTTATTCTCCTGTTTTGTTTGTCAGTTCAAGTGCATCACCATCCTAAATTCAAGGCAAGCAGGGCTGAGAAGGAGGTTTATCATAAACTACAGCTGCGATTCAACGGAGAGAACATTGCTGTACATTTTACACCTATCGAATATATCATGAAGTCTGACACTCCTGTGATTGTTCTTTGCCAAAGACAATTCGGAATGAATCGAGATAAAGACTTAGCAAACGTTACACTATCTTATATAGGTAGTACAATTTTTTTGTTGACATTTTAGTTATAAAAACTTAACTTGAAATAAAAGATCGATAAATGGACAGATTGTATACGCTGTTCCCGTTGTTATTTGCTCTCCTTTAACTTCATGAGCTGAAATTCTAGGAAACCATTAAAATAATTGGCACGAAGGTCAGTTTATAACAAAATAATACAAGTATTATGTAGTCATATTTCATCATGATAATTGTTTTTAAGACGGAGGCTGTCTGTTTTCATATTTACATCCTGTGACATAGGAGGTCACTTAATAAAAGAAAAAAATATATAAATCGTTTTAACACTTCTTCCTCACACACAAAGAAATGTTGTTGATGTTTTGGTTTTTATTTATACAACTTCTTTACTCTTAATGTATCTACTTCAAACTTTAGATATATGTTTCTTATCATAACCGCCATCATATGTAGTAAGGTTTATAGCTCTAGCACCTATACAACCAGGAATGTTCAAAGATTTACCCTCTGTCTGTCAGTAAGAATGTCCGTCCCTAAAACCGTTTCTTGAGATCACTTTTAAAGAACTTTGAACTTTTCCAACAAATTTAATAAACTAGTGAACAGATGAAACATTAGTTATACAAATTATCCTGAGAAAATTGAATATTTTGATTATCTGTTGCATAATCACACTTTTCTTATTAGGCAGTGAAACTTAATACATTACTATGATACAATCAGATAACACAAAATATTTTAGTTCATTCATACAAAGTTCTTCCAAAATGGCAAAATCAAATGGCCACGGCCCTTCAGAACGTTGCTTGGGTTCTATCCGGTAGGGGACTTTAGTATTGCTTGCAAAACTTAGATATTGCTTGTCCTTTCTGCGACTTCTGTAAACCATAACAGGCAATTTAAACTTTCGTGTGAGGTAAAAAGGTTAAACTGAACGTTACAATTTTATTTTCTTAATAAGATATTTGTATTTTATTTTAGATACAAAGATGAACAAGTTTACAGCTTTGATACTTTTTCACAACAAAGATCATAGGTCATTTAAAAAAGAAGAAGGAGGAAAACGTTTATGTAGGAGCAGAAAATTCTGTGATGTATATGACATAATATATGACTCAGAAGGAATATGCCAATGCGGTGAAAATTCTACAAACATAGATAGTATGTTTGAATTTATTAAAAAAGCATTCAGTTGGTCGCCACAGAAAGAAGTTGAATCGGCTGTATAGAATTTACTTTCTGTATACAGTTTCTTCATGGGGGCAACCTCATCATGTGTTATTATTGTCATATGTTAACTAAAGATCGTTTGAAATTCATGTTTCGTACTCTATTTTATTTTTTGTACCTTTTCGAAGAATCGAAGGAATGATTTTAGCTACAGTTTCTGTGTCATTCCCGTTGCCCTCCAGAATACTTAAAATTAGCCATATTTTCTTATAGTCCTAAACGGATTATCTTCAAACTTGGACAACAACCATTTTGATAATACCTTCAAGCAGACCAGACTGGACAGTCTTATAATGAATCATTAATGTCCTTGACCATTAAGGTCTAATGTTTGATTTTTTGTTTAATTTTTGCTTTTAAATTGGCTTTTAACGTGCTTTCCAAGAATAATATGCTTTCATCCTTGGATACAACAAGCCTAAGGTAGACATTTTTATTATGACCATCACTTTTCAATGACATTTTCCTTGAAGGTCAAACTACTAAATTTTGCTTTGAATTTAGTTGTATGTAATTATACCCCCACAAACGAGGTTAAGGGGGTATATAGGAGTCAGCTGGTCGGTCCGTCGGTTGGTCGGTCCACATCATGGTTTCCGAACGATAACTAGAGTTTGGAATAACGTATTACAGTCAAACTTAGTATATAGCAACCTTATGTAGAAAAACCCGATTGGTATTGCATTTCGATCACCCGGGGTCAAAGTCAAGGTCACCGTTACTTAAAATAGAAAAATGGTTCCCGGATAATAACTAGAGTTAGGAATGATATATTGTAATCACAATTGGTGTATTTCAAGTTTATATGAAAACAACGTTTGGTAGTGCATTTGGACCCCCTGGGGGTAAAATCAAGGTCACAGTTGCTAAAAGTAGAATAGTGAATTCCGGGCAATAACTAGAGTTAGGACTGAGATAAATTTTATCAAACTTGGTGTACAGTAAGCTTATATTTAGACCCCGATTGGTATTGCATTTGGACCCCCAGGTTTCAAGGTCACCGTTGCTAAAAAAGTAAAATGGTTTCCGGACAATGACTAGATTCATGAATGAGATATTGTAATCAAACTTGTTTTACCCCGATTGGTATTGCATTTGGATACCCTGAAGTCATGGTCACCGTTACTAAAAATAGAAAAACGGTTTCCGGACAATAACTTGAGTTAGGAATTAGTTCTTGTATTCGAACTTGGTGTATAGCAAGCTTATATTAGACCCCGGTTGGTATTGCAATTAATTGAAATAATTCTTTGTTCACAGTTGATACTTCATTTACTAAAGGTTGAGTTCAATTTTTCTTCAGACCACTTATTTTTTAAAAGTCAAAGTTGCTGGTGGTGGTGTTAATCACCTTCAGTGATAGCTCTCGTTGGCTATTGCATTTGTTATTTATTAATAGATTTCTTTCATACATTAGCCCCACAGTCTTTAAGGAAATCAAACTCAATCTGACATTGAGCCATTAATACCATTTAAGGTCAAATGATTTTTTTCAGATTTTATTTGTTATAATGAATGGATTGTCTTCAAACATTGATATTCATGTAAGTTGCCAATAAATGTTAAGTATATTGTCATTGATCTATTTTATGTGCTTCGTGTTCAATAAAGAAACACATTCAAAATATTAGATTAGTACAATTTTGATTTCTGATGGACAGTCATCTATATTGGAAAAGGCATTAGCTGACTCTGATATTATTATAATTATTTTACATTTTGACAGAACTTTTACTTACAATACAATAAAGATTTGATATTGATATTTTGGACCCTAAAACTTAAACGCATTATATATATATAGATTTCTAATTCTGGAAATGAAAACGAGACTTAATTGATAAGATTTCGTCCAATAATTAATTTTTATTGAAACAAAAAAGACATGTTGAGACAGAATAATCATTTGTTATGTTGATACACAATTTACTTTTAGCAAATTGTGAACTTTTGAATTTGTTATTATTAAGGATATTTTAAGCAATATAATTGAATTGACCCCCGTCTTTACAAAGAAAAGAGGAGTGGTATATAGAAATGGGCTCTGTCCGTCATACTACCATTTTGGTTCATTACTTAGCAATTTATCAAAGTCGGCATAAATGTTTATTACAATAAAAAGATTTGCGGAGCGTAACATCCATATCTCAAAGGTCAATGTCACTTTGGTGATTAAAGGTATACATTGTCTGTTTGAGGCCATAAGTCGAGTTCGGTCCATAACTTTTTAATCCCACAATGGATATTGAAACAAACTTGGCACAAATGTTAACACTAATTAGACGACGTGTCGTGCCCATATCGTCATGGTCAAAGTCACACTTTGAGGTCAAAGCTCGGTCTGTTTTAGGGTGTATTTTGTATTCGATCCATAATTCACTCATCATTAATGGGATTTTGAAATTAACTTGCACATATCTTCACAATTATTTGGCGATTTGCCATGCGCAACGCCTGGACCCCTACCTTCAATGTCAAGATCACAATTAAAGTTCAAAACTAAACATGGTTAAAGGGATTTTGAAATTACTTGTAAAAGGGATATTGGCAGAAATGTTCACAATAATAAGACGACGACGAGACATGCGCAACAACCGGACCCCTGCCCAAAAGACCAATGTCACACTTGGAGGTCAAAGTTTTACATAGTCTGTGACAGGGCATGGTCTGTTACAGGGTAAATTGTCCAGTTGGAAGACCATTGGGCCTGATTTTTATATCTGATAACATGCAGTGCATAATTTGATGATCCCAGTTTCTTACATCCGACCATTTTCTACTATCTAAACGATTTGTATTGATTTTGTATTTGTCACTTTTTGTGATTTTGTAACAACTATACAAATGTATTATATTCACACATACTCAGGAGGTATTTCATTCTATTTCTTTCATAAATTTATGGTTGCACGTGCAGATCTGGCATTGACCAAGATTTTGCACTGAACGTCAAGTTTCTTTACCCAACTTCCCTTAGGCAGGGACATTGGTATCACAGATACATTGGGGACAGCCCCTGTCCCCAATGTGATACGGTAAAAGGAATTATTTCAAATATGTAAAATTTGTTTAAAAACCAGTTTAATCGTTGTAGCAGATGTCCTATTCTTGTTTAAATATTAAAATATATTGAAATTGTGTTAACAGGGGCGTATCACGTTCGGGGCAGGGTCTGACCACCATGCGTCTGTAGTTACAAAGGCACGCTACCGTCACATCTGTCATCTTGATTTATTTTCATTTAGTAAACTTTGATTAATAGTAAATAACTCGTTTTACATAACATGCCTGTAATTTACATATGTAAGAGCTCTATGAAAATATGAGATGTTTTTTCTTTTAATCTGATACACCTACACACAGGCAAGTTATATACTTTGTATATATTCTTTATAGTAAACGGTTCTTGGATAGTAATTTTTTTTTCATGGTCAAGGGGTGATTATTTTATGATCATTTGATCTTTATTGGCATGGCAAATGTGCCGAACGCCTGTGCATCAACATAGTTAAAAAATTGATAAATTAAATAAAGTAAACTATCTTTTGTTTTAGAATCTTGGTGTTTGTTTATTTGTTATAATGGTTTAAGCCAAAATACAGAGAGAACGAGTGAGAGCCTGGTCTTTATATAAAGTATCAATAAGTAACGTGAAAAAGGGAGAGAAACTTGCGAAGCTAGATTGTGACTAACCCTCTTCCACTGCATACTTCTATCTACATGATTGTATACATTTATCCAGACCTATATGATTTTATCATCATAGAGTAATTTGGAATTGCTATTGTTTATACACACATCTACATGTGTTTCTAATTGTATATAAAAAGTAAATATTTATCAATAAATTCAGAAATAAAACAAAATTTGTGTTAACAAAATAACATAACATGAATAGATCTGACATATTGCGCGGTTGTCATTCATGTTAAGGCAAAAAAAAAATTGTTCGTTTAGGGTAACCTTCCCAAAATTGCTAGATAGGGTAGGTAGGGATTTTTTTTTATTTTTTTTTCAAAATCTGACGTTAGTTCAGAGTGTTTTCTTGCAGATGGCAGTCTTTCCTACACTACTGACATTGCCTGACTTTGTATTATCATATTTCATCATATAAACAATAATTCTGATTAAAATCTGCATAGCTTTAATGCCATTTAATGTTATTTCAATATTGAATAAAGACAATATACCCAAACATGTGTTAATTTTGATGTTTGTTTGCTACAGGCACTACTTTAAAGTTTGACTCTAACCTGAACAGCAAACAGTGCAGATTCTCGTCAGCTTGCATGGTTGCAATTCTGCTGATCTGAGTCAACATTGGTTGCATGGTAGGACATAAGCATAATAAAAGAGCTAAAATGACATGCTGTGATCTGGCTTTCAAAGTTTTAGTTAAAAATCTAAACTTATTCTGTTTTTCACTATTTGATATTCATGCATTTAATACTGCACATTTCATTGAATTAACAAATGTAGTGCTGACATATTGAAGCTCTTACAGTATTACAAAGTGTATATTTTGACACTATGGTACAATTTAACAATATCTATAATTTTGAATTGCACTTTTGATACACTGGTTCACATAAAAAGTTCAAACACTTCTATTTGTAAAATTACACCCTTGTCAATCAAATACTGTTTATTTTCTATCAGATACATGTATGTCAACATATAAAAGACAATGGTCAAGCTTTTTGATGAATTGGCATTTCGTAGATGTCATTCAAAGTGTCGTCTAATAGTATCCATGGCCCATCTGAAAAAAGCAAAGACTAGATCTCAATAACACATGGGAAATGGGATACATTGTGACGGTATGAAACAAAATGATGCACAGTACAGAGTCAGACTCCAAGTCTGGCTAAAAATTTGTTTCAGTATGGAAAAGGGATGAAAAATATACTGAAAAAGCTTTTCAGGTCTCCAGAATAGCTATGTACATATGACCTGTGGATATACTTTATACTCAAGTGCACTTGCTTTTCAGTGGGACTAGGGTCTCATTTGCTTCTAATTACTGTCTGAACTTGAACTGGTTTAATAAATTGTAACACTTAAGTCAATTTTCCAGTCAAGCTGAAAT